GAAGAAGGATCCGTTGGCTCTAAACCAGAAAGATGATGAGGATGGGATGGTGAAGTTGGAAGAATTTTTGAGGCACTAGTGCTCATGACAGGTTCAGTTTCAGGTGGAACTGACAAGGTTTGATTTGAGGCAGCTCTAGATATTATCTCATGAGTGAACTCAGCAGCTTCACACAAGGTATCATCACGTGAGAAAGGATTAATGCCAGAACCTAAGGGCGATTGAGGTAACTTTTGACGCATAAGATCAGATAGTCTGGAAACTAGAAAGTCTTTGTATTCAGCCTCATCAACCACATCAGCACCTGGAGATGATTTTGGCAAGTGTTTGGACTCAATCTTTTGTGCTGGAAACATGGAGTTCTTCATGCCACTATCCAAGATCATGCGCTTCTTTCTGTCCTGACGCATTCTAGGACTCATATCCAGTCTTCGAGGGCTTCTAGGGCTTTGAGGGTTTCGAGGGCTAAGTTGTACACTAAGTAGCAAATCAGTGTCAAAATTTTCCTGGACAACATTTGATGCACTGATTTGTTGAAGCACATTAAGTGCAACACCTGTTTTGGAATCTGACCAGTCGACTGAGCTAAAAATCTCTTGAACTTTAGCAAATGCTTCCACTGGTAGACCTTCCTTTTCCTCAAAACCAGAGAAATCTACTGAAACAACAGCATCAGCAGCATTCGTCTCTGAGAAAAGAACCTTCACCAAGATAATGCACTTCACATTAGAAGAAAAAATGCACGCATACACATTTAAGAAAAGAAAAAACATTACTTTGCCAAATCACACACGACCAAGAATTATACCTCTGCTCTGAAGTCCTTTGGAAATTGATCCTTAGTATCCCACAATATGTCAATTTCGTCACGGTTAAGTATCAAAATGTTTGACCTAATAAAAGCTGTGTTAAACACAGCTCGAAACATCATCTGTTCATGTTCCATATCATCATTTACACTGATACACTCAAGCACAACATCACCTTGTACATGGCAATTTATGTCAATTTTAACTAGTTCGCATTCTGTCTGCAGTAAGATAGAAAAGGGTACAAAAATCATATATTTGAAAAAAAGAACAATATCTAGGTGCTTATGGAAGAAAATACATTGAAAAAGAAAAGTATTACCTGACACCAATAAGAAAAGTGACCTCACAATTAAAATATAAAACCAAAATCTCTAAAAACATTGGAATCACAAGAACGAGGCAAAATGCAGCAAATCAAGCTCCCTACTAACTGAAACCTCGTAAGAGCGAAGTCACACACTCTCATATCACCCCCCCCCCCCCCCCCCCTCATATTCACCCCCCCCCCCCCCCCCCCCCCCCCCCCCCATATGAACATACTCTAGGCTTCACCTTCTAGAAAACAAATAGAAATATATGATTTAGGTAAACCTTAACCATATTCTTGAAATTCTGTGCTAACTTAAAGTAAAAAGTAAGATATTCTGAACCTCCACAATGACAGTTTCTTAGTTATTTAACATTGCCCATGAAAATTCCTTCAGCCTTTTATCATGATATTTTGGATTCTTTCAATCTGATAACTACTGAGGCAGTTATCTAGTGGCATTAGAGAAGCTGAAAATTGCATAGTTTACAGTTAAAAAACTGTGAGGCTACTTCAGTTCATAATAAGTTGCTTGAGAGTCTCAGTTATGTCCTTCTCCCACTCTCTCTCTCTCTCTCTCTCTCTCTCTTCTCTATCCGTCTTTTTGTGGTTGCTTTGAGACTCATGTGTTAATAAGCCACATTATCTACCCCAAACCAATCATCACACAATGCATAACATGACAATCTTAAAGACAACGACGAGTTAAATCAATGAAAGTAAGACTCTGTCTATCCACATGAATTGAAAATACTGCCAATAAAAAAACAAGTAAAAAAAAAAAAGAAGCATATAACCACTAAGTGAAGAGGATATGAAATTACCTGCTTATAATTCCGGACAGTTTCCCCTTTCCTAGGAGTTGAGTTCCTAGGAGTAGAGCACACATCATTGGTAGTTTGATATGAAAGACCGTGTCCATATATTCGAAATACAGGACGGCAGCCCCCTTCTCCATCGAAATCAGGAATAAATCTTAGAATAATGCACTCCAATGTAAGAGCTCTCTCCAATGGAGGCCACTCTGAAGCCACATTCCTCCTTGAAACATATTGTAGATACCTGAGTTGAGAAGGGATGGGATTCAGCGGTTGAAGCAACTGCAAAAGCTCACGAGGAGCCTGTCTGTAAATCATGTCGAGAGTCTTATGCTCTCCACTGAATTGCTTTCTGTAAAGCAATAGTGCAGCCAGCATGAAAGCCAAAACAGGCCAACCACCCCGTTCACAGTGCATTAGAAGCAAATTTTGTACGCCAAGTGAAAGCCAACTTTCACCCGATCTTAGAAAATGATGGATCACCTCCATTCTGAGCAATGGGCAACCTTCATATTGCCGAGGGTACTCCATGATAGTCATATTATATTCAGACATAATGTCAGACAGCTGACTTTGTTTCTCTCCCTCACGGAAATTGAACACCAAGAACGAAGCATCAGGGAAGTGCTCTTTAAGTTGACCAACTATTCCACTCATATAGCTCGTATAATTCTCTTCAGCCAACTTTCACCCGATCTTAGAAAATGATGGATCACCTCCATTCTGAGCAATGGGCAACCTTCATATTGCCGAGGGTACTCCATGATAGTCATATTATATTCAGACATAATGTCAGACAGCTGACTTTGTTTCTCTCCCTCACGGAAATTGAACACCAAGAACGAAGCATCAGGGAAGTGCTCTTTAAGTTGACCAACTATTCCACTCATATAGCTCGTATAATTCTCTTCTTGCCAAGCATCGACGGTAAAACAGTAATCGAAGACTATTTATTTATACAGAATATATAGCTTGTTAGTCATGAATTAAAGTTTAAATAGAATCTTTAAACTAAAAGAAAGAAACCCAATTAGTGTTTCCAAAAACCTCAAATGCCAATCAAAACATTTTTTAGTTTCAAATTGCCCTTTCCCTCCTTATTCAAGATACCAAGATGTCCGACTTTAGTAAGTACGCTACGCATATCATTAACAAAAAAAGGAGAGCAGTACATAGCATATGCTTAAAAAAGATCAAGTTATTCTTTCCTATTACACTTTACACAGTCGAGCCAAGATCATTGTTGCCTCTTATTATGCAAAAAGGAGACTTTAAAAGAACCCGTATGCAATTAGGCAACAAAATCCAGCAATTCAATTATTTGAAACACTCTCCAACACAGTTTCACGACACTTTCTCCACTTTGCTTTCATTCTCTATCAAAACATACAGCCAAAAACAAAACGACAAACACAGTCGAATAAGGCAATTCAATTCAAATTTGCAATCCCTACTTCCAAAAATGAAAGAAAGAAAAAAACGCACCGTAAACACGCTCGCAGATCTCGAGCAGACCATCTGGTGGCTTCCTATAGAACAATTTACGAAACAACGACATATTTCATTCAAATATAATAATCTAACACTCCAAAACTAACCAGTTTTTCAACTTCCAATCAATTGCAACAGAACCTTTTCTATGATCAAGGAGTTTGTTTGATTTGGTACAATATCAAATTTGATACTTCTGTTGTTTTCAGTTCAAACTTAGGTTTCAGCTCAAAAAACCGTTGAAGTTTGTTAGATACAGAAACAGATTATTCGAATCGATTAGATCGTTTGTTTGTTTGTTTCGCTGTGACCTGTGAGCACCCAAAATCGGTATATGTCAGCTACTGGGATTTCATTTCCGTTTCATTTTCATTGTCGCCTACCTGCTCCATGTAGCGGGTACCGTGACGTGGACGCCATTAACGACCGACATGCTTGCTCTTTGCTTGAGGGTATTTGGTAAATAGGTTTTTTAAAAATAAAAAGAAATAATAAGATAATGGATAAAGTTGCTTTTCCTTCTTTTATTTCTTTCATTTTTCTTTTTGGCTTTTATATTAACCATATCATTTTTTTTTTCACCTTTGAGATTTATTATTATTTGGATTTTTTGTTCGTTGACATATATAATATAAAATTAAAATAGTGCATTAAATAAGTTAAATTTAGCTATTCGACATGATAAATCATAAAAGTATATCCAAACTACAGTTTGAAATTTTAAATTTAAGTTCAGCTCCTTCATAATTATTAAAAAAAAATATTATTTCTTCGTAATATTAAACTCGTCTCATTTGTTAAACCAGCTGGCAAAATTAAATTCAATTTATTAAAATTTAAACTAACTTTCTAACGACTTTCCTCATTTACTATACACTAGTTAACGTTATATTAACTTAATTATAGTTTTGCTTATGAAATCCAAATGTAAATGATTTAATTTTCTTTTTCTCACAAATTAATGCCATTAAAAAATAAGAATTTATTTTGTTTTATTGACTATCATGAATAAAATGAAATTAACTTATGGATACTAAAATTAAATATTTTCAAGAAGGAAAGAGATAGATTTAATATAAATAAATTACATGTAATATTAACTTACATCATATTCATGTACTCCATTTAGATTTTGTATCCTATTAGATTTATATATGTTTACTGTAACACCCCTTCCCGGTCCATCCGTTAACCCGAATGAACCGAGCCGAGACGCTACAATCTGGTTGCACTTGTATCTTGTCATGCGGATAGCATACTGTATGTAACAAATCTGGTTATGCACTGTATCTGTTCATGCGGATAGCAACTTGTTATGCAAAATATGAATATAAACACTCCCAATTACACTCTAAACTTCCAACATCTGCCAAGAATCATCATAAACACAATAACCCTTAATTATATATCTTTACATAATTATATAAAATCCTCAAAAGCATTTAATATCTAGCAATCTTAATTTCATTTTCAGAATCTATATTCAATTTTCATGAAACCCATAATTGTAATCATATCAACTACAGGTAAACTATTCATCTTTCAATCGATTTCATAAATATTATTCTTATCACCAACTACTTACACCAAAATAATTACATGGTTTCAACTTATTTTTACAATCACATAAGCTCAAACAATAAAAGAATGTATACATTGCCATAACTCTTAATAACATGCCATAATCTTAATTCTACATTCTCAATCTATTATGACCAAATTAAGCACTTAACTGCTTTATTTAGGACTCCTCAAGTCTCAATTTAGCAACACGATCTTCAACGCTGCGCGTGATGAAAATCGCACTGCGGCTGGAGTTATAAAACTCAGTGGTTCTCATAATTTCACATACTAAACAAAGTACGATGGCAAGTAACTTCCAAAATACCAATTTCATAAAGCATTTGATACTTCATAGGAATCATTAAATTTTAACATGAATGTCTTTTGTACAACGAATGAAACCTTCCAATCATAGACAATAATTAATTTTCTACTTTCTTTCTCATAAACTCCTACATGAACCGTATATTACACATATGAGATTAATGGTCTTACCTGTGTTCATTTGTGTTGTCTTGGCATGAAATCAATTAGATATGTATTGAATACATAACATTATTATTTCCATTTCTTACTTGCTGTTCATCCTGTTGTATGACTGATGCACTTTAGTCACAGCATATAAGTATTGATTAAACAACATTGCATTAACTGTATGGCTCATTAAGAATTAAATAAATACAATTCTGTAAGCATATTATAACATGTTACTTCTTTCATAATCTTACTGATGTTTCTTTTGTTGTATGAACTTCTCAACTTTTGATTAAAAACTCAGTTGAATATCATAATGAATGAAGAAAACATATAAGCACAACATATGTAGAACTAAACATTTTACTGTACATATGAATGTAAGCACACATATCATTGATACTTTCATTTCCCCTTAAATAATTCTCTTGCTGTTAGTTATACTGTATGATTAATCAATTATGTTAGTCATATAACTGTATAGCTCCATAAGGTTATTAGTGAAACCTAAGTGATAGATTAAACTGTGATGAATACTGTAGGGCTATAGGCCCCGAACCGGATTCGCCTATGCCACTGTATGATCTAGTGAGATTACTGTCCGCTTTGGTGCCCCTAACCGGATTTGCACCGCACGGTTTTAATCATATTCACTCAACGGCTTAGCCGGAGTTCCAAACTGTATGGCGGTGCAGTATCTGCATTCTATGATCGCGACACTAGCCTTATCTACAATGTTTCTTCCCTAACCTTCAATGGAGCTTATTATGTACATTCAATAATAATAACATCATTAATACATAAAATGGTTGCATAAACTTCATAGTTCATTCATGTTGATTTGATTTCAACATCATATGAATTGCTTACATGTTGTTTAATCCAGTGTTCTTATGTGTATTTTTGTTGTAAAATGATGATGCTGCATGTTGAGCCAAAATGGAATGTAATTACATAGCCAAATGAAAGGCAAAAGAAGTTGTCAAAGCACAGTCGCTTGGGGCGCGGACATGCCATAGTCGGCGAGCGGCGAATTACCACTGATAGAGGTAAGTCGCGAGCGCGCTTTTGAAACGCGAGCGCCCGAGAAGTCAGAACTTGAGAGCAGAGAGTTTTTCTGGCTCAAGTCGCGACCGCGTATGTGAAAAGTCGCCGAAGCGCATACTTGAGCATCCTGAGATGTCAGTGTGTTTCTGGCTGAAGCCGCGAACCGCGCAGCACCAAGTCGCGAGCGCGAGATGAACCGTCGCGTAATCTTGGAGCGCGCTGTTGTGATTCGCGAGCTCGAGATGCGCCACACTGAGATCAGAGAGCTTCTGGCCAAAAGTCGCGACCGCGCATCTGAAAGTCGCTAGCGCTGAGTTTGTGCCATTGAGAGTCAGAGAAGCTACCTGACTCAAGCGCGAGCGCGCAATAGGGAATCGCGAGCGCGACCCGCGAGCGCGACTTGCTTTCCAGACCGCACAAGCGCGCGACGTGTTTCCAGATTGTGCAGTCTGTGTTCCTTTTGGCCATATCTCTCAATATATAACTCCGATTTGGGTGATTCAAAAACCCATGTAAAGCTAACACATAGAGGAAAAAATAACTCTTTATGACACTTCCTAATTCCATCATTAATTAGGGTCAAAATCAAGGTGAAGTTGCTGGTAAATTTCCAGCAAACTCTGTTTCAGCATAAACTCAATATTCACTTCATTCATTCATTCCATCCCCTGTTTTCACATCATTTCCAGCCTTCTCACTCAACAATAAGCAACATATTATTTCATTAGAAACACACCACATAATTTTGCATGCAAAGAAAATAGTAAACAACATGAGATATCAAACCTTTAGTTCAAAAAGCTTGAACTCTGTTTTCAACTTCCTTTTTCTGCAGCTTTTGAACTTCCTTCACCTATAAATAAGAATTCTTATAACTTATCGACAATAGAACTCAATACAAGTTGAATAACATAGAGTTACAAGAAATTCTACTTACTTGGAGAAACTAGAGGTTGCCTTAATGCTTAACTACCATGAAATGGATGGAGAAAGGAAAAGAAAGGAAGGAGACGAAGAAGATGAAGATGAAGAAGACGTTGAAGATGAAGATGAAGAAAATGAAGAAAATGAAGATGAAGATGAAGACGACGTTGAAATGGAAGTCTCGTATACTTCCTAACTAACTCTTTAATGAATGGTACAATTACCACATAAGACCTACAGTTTCTACATGTTCCTTATACTTTGATCTGTTTGTTTCCTTCAAGTAAGTCCACTTCTTTTCCTTATTTCAGTTTTATTTTCAATTACATCCCCATCCTAAACCTTACTCTAGAATCTAATGGATCGACCGGGTTTTGGAATCAGGCCCAGACTCGACTCTAATACAACGACCCGATTCTAATAGAAGAATGGGACGCTTACATTTAACACTATTAATAAATTGGTTATTGTCGCCAATCATGTTGTGGTCTGATTGGTTTTCTTACTTATTGAAAATTTATGGGGATTTGTGACACCTAAATTAAAAAAAAAAAATAAAATTTTAGAGTGAAAAAGTTTTTGGAAAAAAAAAAAATTACTTTAGTCTTACTCACTATAAATTAGTAGAGTTATCTTTCGGTTCCTAATTATTTGGGTTAGTACGTTACTCGCAAAACAAATTCCTCATTATTTTCAAAATTTGTGAGGGATAAGAGGTTCAACTTTACACTTTAGTGAAATCAAGTCCTAATCCTTATACTTTAATCTTTTTGTTTCCTTCAAGTAGGTCCACTTCTTTTCCTTATTTCAATTACATCCCATCCTAACCTACTCTAGAATCTAATGGATCGAACCGGGTTTTGGATCAGCCCGACTCGACTCTAAACAACGACCCGATTCAATAGAAGAATGGGACGTTACATTTACACTATTAATAAATTGGTTATTGTCGCCAATCATGTTGTGGTCTGATTGGTTTTCTTACTTATGAAATTTATGGGGATTGTGACACCTAAATTAAAAAAAAAAATAAAATTTTTAGAGTGAAAAGTTTTTGGAAAAAAAAAATACTTTAGTCTTACTCACTATAATTAGTAGAGTTATCTTTCGGTTCTCTAATTATTTGGGTTGAGTACGTTACTCGCAACAATCCTCATTATTTTCAAAATTGTGAGGGATAAGAGGTTTTAGATTCATTCATCTATAATGAGTACCAAGACATAATTTAATAGTCATTGTATATATGATCTAATAATAAATTCAGATTCGAATATAGACTTTCTGTCTCGATATTAAAGAAAAAAAAAAAAAGAAAAAACGCATTCACCTACAATTATGAAGCAAGTTGTCTAATTGGTCTATGCCCATGTCTAGTCTAAGTGGGAACTTGGAAAATGAGGTTAGGCAAAGCCAAACAAGATATATATGATCTAAAAAAATGGGTTTTCTTTCTTTATTCCCTTTTCTCTCACACGTTAAGTTCATATTATAAACGTGGTAAATTAAATTTAGTGGAATTTGGGTGAGAAAGTAACATAATGTTGTCAATTTAGGGCATGCCATGTGACACACGCACCATTGAAACATTTTAATGTGGTTGACCTATGAATTAGGATCATGATTAAGGAAAATGTGCTCTATTATTTCGGGGAAAATATTATATTTCTACGAGTTCAAAATGCATGTATTATATGGACACCACTGCTGATTATCGACGACTTTCATAATTTATCATTCGTTTGCATTTTCTCATATTTAATAATAAAATTTTTAGGATATCAAAAATTTATATTATTATTAAATATTTTTATATTCTTACGAGTTAAAAGATTTTAACATTTTTTAACTAATGTATAAGTTATTTAAAAAATATTTTAAAGAAAAGTATTTTTAAAAATAAATTAGTTTTTAAAAATAAAGGGCGTCTTATTATTTTAATTAGAGCCGAAATATTATCTCGGTCAATTAATTATATTTGCTAAACATTTTTAGTTTAGCTAATCACTGACAACAGCTAAGGTTGCCAAATGGCGCCTAAACTATACTGTAATACCAACCACGAAGACAGAGTGGTGCCGCCTCTCATCAATTTCTATCCACAATTTCCTTTCATACCCAAAATTATTCTATTTTCTATTTTGCAAAATTTCCAATTAAGTTCTCCTCCTCTCTCCCTATATTAGTATCACTATCAAGTGCAATCTCCAAGTTACAACAGCCAGTACTTTGTCTAAGAAAACAAGGAAAGGAAAAAAAGGGAGTTTCTTTAATTCCATATTCATCTGCAACTGCATTTCTGCTCAATGGATTGCAGAATTGCAGATTCTGCCTTTCTCTTCATGGTACAATTATCTCTCTCGTTTATCTCTGTGTTGTCAGTTCTTTCTTTTTATTCTCATTTGTGTTTTTTTTCGGTTTTTGCTTTCAGAATCCCCAACCAAGGCCAATTCGTTGTCGGAGTACTCTAACCCATTGCTCTCCAGGTACTTTGTTACTCTTCAATGCCTTTCCTTCCTCTAATTGTTCTCTGCAGACTGCAATATTTGCTTCTCAACTTCTTTTTAAACTTCATATATTAATTTAGATGTTAAAAAGTTGCAAATTTAGAATCTGGGTTTGCTGCAAGACTGGATTAGAATATACGAGGATACTGCTTTTTGAGACAACTGATTGAAACTTAAGCATATGATTTGGTATTTGAATGGACAAGTGGATTGGTGGCTGTCTGTGTTGTTATCATACAATTTGGTAATAATTCCAACCATACTAATTGAAGCAATTGGTTTTCCCTCATGACCAAGTGATTGCCTTAACTTTGGTAATTTGACCCCTTTGTCTTATTAAATTTCCTGGCCCCCAAATCACCAAAAGACAATATGGTATTCTTGATAAGTGATTAAGCTTTGTGTTGGGCCAAAAAAGTACTAGTCAGCTGCACTTCCTCCATCTACTCCCATAAAAAGAAGTTTAACGGGAAAATTATCCCCTCCAGAGTCTAGTGTTGCTGCGGCTTTATTGAGTCGACAACTCAATATTGTGCTTTTCCTAGTTATAATGAATTTCAGGAATGTATAAAACAACCTGTTTCCTTCACTTCTTTATCCATTCTTTGGCCAATTTTCAAGATTGTTGGGCGTCTTTAAAATAATTTTAAATAGTACGTTATTTTATACTTATGGTAGTTCTCTTAAGCCTTGAAGCAGTTGTTTCAATGGCTTCTGCCATGATTTGACATTGTAATAGTTCATCCTTATACCCTTAAGTTCACTGCTTATATATTTTCTTATACACTTGTATAGCCACATCATACTGATTTTTTCCCCTCTCCACAGGAATCCATCGCCTAACATGGGATAGGCTTATTAAGAAGGGAGAGAAACAGAAACAATTTTTGCTTCACGTGAAAAGGATTAAACCTGTACAAGCAGTAGCTTTTCCAGTTGCACCATCTTCAGACAGTGCTCAGTACAGAAAACAGTTAGCTGAAAGTTATGGCTTCAGGCAAATTGGAGAACCGCTTCCAGAAAATATTACTTTAAGGGAAATCATTGATACTCTGCCGAAAAAGGTAAATTTTGGAAGCTGAATCATTCATTTGACTTATTCATGTTCCGGCCTGTAGGGTATTGCCATTGTATGTATCTAAGCTATATTTCAGGTGGCCTGAGTGTCTACTAAGCTATAGTTTCATATAGAACAAAGGAAAAATGGCATAGAAGGGGGCACCACAAGTGGTGCATTAGCTCTTGAGTGTTATTTATCATGTAGAATCCTGAAGGGCATGATTCTAGAGTTAATATTGTGTTTGTTAGAAGGGGGTATATGTTTCGAATGTTGCTTCACAATTTGATGCCAATTTTTCAAACCAATTTCGACGACACTTAATGCCATACATCAAACAAGATCTGATTACAATATATGCCAGCACGGTAATCAATGATCTAATCCAGATAATCACGAAAAAATAGGAATGGATAAGACTGTCACTAGATTTCCCCTTCTTAAATGCTGCTCCAGTGGGATTTTTGAAGGCTCAATGTGGTCTGAAAAAATTAATTGGAGAATGCTGTTGATTCTTAGATAATTGTGGGTTTGCCATAAAAATATAATGAAATTTGAATTATAATGTCTTTTGTTCTTCTCTTTCTTGTTAAAATTTTGGTTATCAGGTGTTTGAGATTGACGATGTGAAAGCATGGAAGTCAGTTTTGGTATCAGTCACTTCATACGCGCTAGGGCTCCTTATGATTTCAAAGGCACCTTGGTACCTACTTCCTCTTGCTTGGGCCTGGACAGGGACTGCAATAACTGGGGTTAGTATACAGATATTTTATTTAGGTGATCTCACTAGTTCAAAGTTGTTCTTCCATTACTAATTGAAAGGACTAGTGGAAATACAAATTTGTCTATGTTCTCATTTCTTTTTTCTTTTCTCCCTCTATTAAGTTTTTTGTTATAGGCCACGACTGCGCTCACAAGTCATTTTCAAGGAACAAATTAGTGGAAGATGTTGTTGGAACTCTGGCCTTTCTGCCACTAATATATCCATATGAGCCATGGAGGTTTAAGCATGATAGGCATCACGCAAAAACAAACATGTCTGTAAGATATCCCAAATTGCTGCATCCAATATATGAATATGCATTATTAGAAAATAGCACTTGTAATATGTTTAGGATGATATATATATATAGATACACACATATGTTACATATTTGTTATATATCTATGCAAGAGATTCCAGCCCTGTTCCTTACTTGGACTATTATGTGCAAGTATTTGCAATTAAACTAGATTATTCTGTTGCTTGGAAATCAATCTTATTTTCTGCATTAATTAAATTAGTTTGCAATCTTTATCATTTATCATAGCTCTGAATTATTAATTCTCTCCATTCATGTAATATTTAAGGTTGGCTGAGGATACTGCTTGGCATCCTGTTTTGAAAGAGGAATTTGATTCGTCTCCCATTTTCCGCAAGGCAATTATATATGGATATGGCCTAGTTCGACCTTGGATGTCTATAGCTCACTGGTATGCTACCAATAACAGAAGAATTATAACGGATGAGAATTACAAAGTTTCTAATTCTGGTGGTCCTTCTCTTCATATTTTTTGACTACTAACTTCTGAACGTCATTCAAAATTTTGTATTCATTAGACAATTCTCCTCAAATTAATAAGGATTCTAACAGGTTGATCTGGCACTTTGACATAAAAAAGTTCAGACCCAATGAAGTTAAAAGGGTGAAGATAAGTTTGGCATGTGTGTTTGCTTTTATGGCAGTTGGATGGCCATTGATTATCTATAAAACAGGGATCATGGGATGGATCAAGTTCTGGTTAATGCCATGGTTGGGCTATCACTTTTGGGTAATAATACTTTCTGGTCTTTAATACTTATGCTATGATTCAGCAATGAATAAACTGAATGGTTGCATTTCTGTTCAAGTGATTTTTTAATGTTTCAATAGCAATATCATCATGTTAGCTGAGATCACAAACTGCAAAAGTATAGTTCAAATTCAATTTTGAAACCCTACAACCTTACTTGGGCTGGCTGCTATTTTTACATTGATAATTACTTGTCTACTCATTAATGCATTATTATGGAGACTGCAATTAAATATTTATATTTATGATAAATCTACTTTGCATGTAAAATTAACGCTGCTGCACTTTTCTTTCAAGCTAAAGTTTGTTAGGACTGTCAGTTTACTGGATATTTCATGCTAATTATCTTATCAGATTTAGTACCACATCATAGAGTTCCTGGGTCCTGACTGCATAATTTATATGTTTTGGTGTGTAGGTTGCTCAATACTTTGACTTGGTGATTTATGTGTGTCCTTGAACAGGAGAATTTAGTAATTGAACTGCATTTTTTATATTCTTGCATCTAATTGTTATTGTTTATATGGATTTCATAGATGAGTACTTTCACAATGGTGCATCATACGGCTCCTCACATTCCTTTTAAATCTTCGGATGAGTGGAATATGGCTCAGGCCCAGCTTAACGGAACAGTTCATTGTGACTACCCTCGTTGGTAATAAATCTTTTCCATTTTGATCATGTATATTCTCTGCATTGTCTTGATCTTTGATGGGGCAATATTGACTTATGAAATATACTACAAAATGATGCTTTTAGAATTTGATATGGAGTTGACTTGATTGCATCTTTTTACATTGTTAAAAGCTCTTTTTTCTTTTTCCTTTTTTTTTTAATTTGTTTTGTGGAAAAAAAAGGTGGAACTTCCTACTTGAGTGTCCTAGAAATCCTTAAAGACTTTGAGAAGTCAGAGATAACATCCTGCTTGTCCATACTTCTTACCTTAAATAAAGGACATTATTACCTTAATTATAGATATCTCATTAATTTTTGACCAAAATTTCTTTTGGACTTTCATTTTTCATATCCATTTAAATCATTATTTATGTATTTATTAATTACTTTTTGAATAATATTTGTATTCATGTTTATTAGAAAATTTTTTTTATTAAATTTGTGCTTATTTTTGTATAGTATGATTCTAGAATATCAAGTATAGAAAATATCATTAGTTAAGAGTATTATGGTAATTTATATATATTTCATAAATTAACTAACAATATACATTCTTAGAAAAAAATTGTTTATAACCAAACATAGAAACTGTTTGCCTAATAAAATACTTAATGCCAGTAATGTGAGTAAAAGAATTGCTGATTTTCCACTTTGCAGGATCGAGATCCTCTGTCATGATATCAATGTTCACATCCCCCACCATGTTTCTTCAAAAATACCAAGTTATAATCTAAGGGCGGCTCATAAATCCATTCAAGAGAATTGGGGAAAGGTACGACCAATTTACTTTTCAATTATTATAAATAAGAATGAATTAACTTTTGTTTAATAGTAGTTTTACATTAATTTAGTTCTTGTATTGGAAAGAAATAAATAAGGTAACAATCTAAACCCTCTCCTCCCAGAAGAGGTAAAAGAAAGATCAATAAGTTTCATAATATAAAAAATACTTAGCTTCTATTACATATCAAAGCAAAATGATTTCATAATATCTATTCATATATATATTCAAACTCTTCTATCTCTGCTTTTAACAGTATATAAATGAGGCTACATGGAATTGGCGTTTAATGAAGACGATAATGACAATATGCCATGTTTATGACAAGGAGCAAAATTACATAGCTTTCGACAAGATTGCCCCTGAAGAATCTCAACCAATTGAATTCCTGAAAAGAGTGATGCCTGATTATGCTTGATTTTTTTACATTCGTCAGGGCAACTGCTTTTTGGTTTCTTCTTATCTATGCCCTTGACTCCTCAGGTTAAACTCATGGAGTTGATGTTCTTAGATGTTGCTGATATTAAATCATTCTTTTACAACATTTTTATTAAAGGGGAGGACAGTAATATGAATGAAGCTTCCTGGAAATTCACTGCTGCTTTTGGCTATTTAGATAGGATCAAAGTTTTGGATATAATCAGATTTTTAGATATATTCCCAACCCTTGCCTACCCTGTATTGGACAAACAAAGTACTTGTACTTGAAAATGAGATTTTCCTTGAATAGTCAAAACCATTTCATCTCAGATGATGATCATTTTCAGCAGTGGTTTCTTATTATAGACTTTCCATCGATAGCCAGATGGATCAGAGAATCAGAGCTCAGCTCATGAATTTGAATGACGGAAAACATTGTGGGCACAACTTGTATTGAGCTCAACATGAGTGAAAAAACTATTATGTCCTTAAAAAACTTTTTAGCAATTTGGATATTGTTGAGGTTAAATTAAAGACATATGTAAATGCCCGCGTGTCATTTAGCAGAGCTCTTTGAATTATTACTACGGGAAGCATCAAAGATGACCAAAACAACTGACACCGTCACAATGCCTTGCATAAATGTTTGTGTCACTGACATTAGCCTAATAACTTTTAACAATTTGACAAATTTTATGTCAGATTCTAAAGCTCTTCAAAATTTCCTTTTTTTTTTTTTTTCTTTTTTTAAGAATCTTAACATTAAAATAAAATTAGGATGGCAATGGAGCCGGGTGAGGCGAGGGAGCCATTCCTTTCGTGTCCCCGCTCGCCTAACAGGAAGAAAATTCTCTTCATCCTTTTCAATTTTATATTTTTTTCCTATTTTTCATTGAATTTTTTTAAAAAATTTTATATGCTAAATATAAACAAAAACATGACTATATATACATGTATGCTAACTTCTCCCTTCTCTCCCACTTCACATCTCGGAACGCACCGTTCTAGTGAAATTGTTCACCCTGTTCGGACAAACAAGTGAGAATTTCTCTTGTTTATGGCAGAACCCTAAATAGAACCAGATATCCCTGCTTCAGTACAGTAGCTAGCTAAAGCATGAAATCAAGGTTGGCGTGCTAGATTTTTTCCATTTCTTTTTGCTAATAGCTCTTTGAAATGACTAATGAGGGAAAAAGACAGAGGCTGTAGGGTCAAATGATTCAAACCGCGCCTTCCCACTGTGGGACTAATTTGTAGGGATTTGTCAATTGTCCCCATTATAAGACTTTGAAAGTCTATATTTGAAACAAAAGTATCATTAAAAATTTAACAACAATAACAATATTATTGCTTTCATTTGCATTCAAATTAAGGGCAGGTCCAATTTAGCAGAAAGCAATAAAGGCATATGTCCCAGATAATGTGGGTAATGATCATTGGCATATTTGGTGTACTTGAAAAAAGCTCTAAATTTAAATATTTCAAACAGTTGAGCTCTTTCAACTGCTCTCACATGCCAAAAAGCATCTCTCTGCAAGATTATTATAATTCCATTTGGAAGGCTTCTTTAGTTGGGATTTGTTCCAGATAAAGGGTCTAGATATTCAATAATGCAGAAAGTGGTAAAAGAAAGTCTTCTTAAATTAGTTTTTATAAAATTTAATAAAAACAGGTGAACTCTAGAAGAGCAACTGGGTTGTCTGGATCTCAAATGGTAAAGAAATAGAAGGATGAAAAACACCAAACTCACCTGAAATAAATAAAATTACCTAAAAAAAAAAAGTGAAACTACCACGTTATCTGTTAGTGTAGCAGCTGAAACTGTCCACATGCAAACAGCATCTCTCTCTCTCTCTCTCCACAGCACAGATACAGAGACATGTGCAAACTTTGTGAAAGCAGAGGTCAAAAGGAAAAAAAAAAAATTTTGAAGGGTCAAAAAGAAAAAATATTAAAGACTCGATTTTGAGTCGTTCATATAATGGGAAAAGAACCACAATGCGTTAAAGCACAACCTGTCAATGATTATATGCATCTTCTCCATGAACAAAGCAAACAAGAAATGTCACTAGGTTAGGTCACCATAGTTCCATTTCTTTAACACTAAATAACAATTCTATGCATTTTCAATAATATCTATTCAAGACTTTTCCTTTTACAATAGTTTGAAGCAGCCAAGTGTCATTTCTGTAACAATGGGCAAACCCCAATCAAACTCATTGTTCTGCATTTTATGATAGTTAAAAAGATATATACACAAACAAAACCCTCAATATCTATCTATCTAACTATCTAAGTTTCCCTATTCTTTAACCAGAATTCCTGCTATATCTTCCACAACCTAAAGAGGGGAAAAAACCATTCATATAGATTAGAAACAATAACTGCAAAACCAAGAACACCTTAAAACTTGCATCATAAAATAGGTGGAGGTGGAGTCTCCCAAATGTCAAAGACATTTTCGTCACTGTGAAGTGCAAAGAGTCGATCCCCACCAATTGAAAAATCACAAAGTGAACCTCCATAACTTCGTTGAAGCCTAGATGTCAAAACCCAATCAGGACCACAAAACACAGAAATACAATCATCCATTGATGAAAACAATTGCCCTTCATGTAATGCCAATTTAGGATAACAAGGTTCATCAGGCATTTTCCCTTTCATTAATCGACTTCTTGAGCTCCACCTAACACTCCCTCCACTCATCCTCAAATCCATAAACCCTAAATCCTCATACTCATTCACTACACAAACAGCATTACAATCCTCCATAGCTATAGCATCACGAACCCGTTTCTCATCAACAGTTATAGGAGCACCAATATCAGACCAAGACCAAACCATTCTCTTATGTCTAAAGTCCAGCAAACTAATATAACAATTATCCTTTCTAGGAAACAAAGTAGCTACCAACAAACAACTACTCCCATTTAACCATTGCAATTTATCAGCATCACCTAATGACCAACCAGGACTTTCATAAAAGAAATCAATTTGTTTACCAGTAATTTGATCCCACACTCCAATTCCATACTCATTACTTCTCCCTTTACAACTACTAAAAATCCTATAATCAGAACTAGTACTCAAAGCTCCAGCTGTATAACTCTTAATTAAATTCTCATGACAAACCTGAAATTTATACCTAAGCTCACCTGAACTCTTACTGAACAACCCCATTCCTCCGTCTCCCCGGCCTAATCTCTCACAAGCACTAAGAATCACATTCTCAGAATCAACCCAAGCAACATCATTAACTCTTTGATAATCAAGATTGATTGGTGGATGTTCTTCCATCTTCCAATCATAAACGCGCACCACACTACCATGAGCTACACAACACCCACCATCAGGTCCTGCACGAATTGCAGTGCCATCCCCTGGTGCCCGGCCAGTAATCGACCGGCAATGGCTGAGTCGGTTTCCATCAAATGGGCCCCATTTGGCTGATTTTACATGATCCTGAAGCCCATAAAATGCGGCTTCTCGATAAAGGAGTCTTTCCGGTATGTGAGAAGGGATGTGAAGATCGCCGGTTCGTAGGAGATCGAGGAGGACACCGAAACAATCCGGGTTTCGATCAATGAAGAATTCTGTATTGGGGTTTGAGTCATTGATTGATTGTTTTAAAGCCCAGCTTTCGTCAAAAAATGCACCGAAAAATGAGTTTCTGCCGGCATTAGCTAAAGTCGTGGAGGTTGTTTCGAAGATTCTGCCTCCTACGTTGAAGCGGATTCTGTCTTTGGCGATTTTCATTGCTAATTTGAAGGGTCTGGAAAACTTTATGAACAGAGGAAACAGGGGAAGTGGATTTGAAAATTATAGATAATTAAAGACGAAGCTAAAAAAAAAGAAAAGAAAATGAAATTGCGAGATAGAATAGGCAGAAATGATAAGGAGACAGTCGGATACAAAAAAATTTCCTAGAAAGTTGGAGGGAATTGTGAGATTGTTTTATGATTGGATAAATTTTGTTCGGGAACAAAAATCCAAAAAAATAGTACAACCAAACAATTACATCAGAAGATGGAAATTTATACAAAGATCAATGAAAAGCTGCAAAAACGTAAAGTTGCAGTCCTGATTTAGAACAGAGAAGTTAATAACAACATAACGTCTTATTAGACAAAAACAGAGGCCACAAAACGGGAGAGATGGATCAAATAGAAGCAAATATGATAAAATTGTGAGAAATTGAGATCTGGGTTTTGCAGAAAAAAGGTTTTCGAAGATGGGTTTCGAATTTCATAGAATTCCACTGAGGGAAGCCAGAGAATTTATAGCTGTTAGATTTCAAAAAAATTGACTCGCATTGATAACTTCTCTCTCTCTCTCTCTCTCTCTCTCTCTCCCTTCTCTCTTTGTAAATGTCTCTCTTAGTCTCTTATTCCAAGTGTGTCCCTTTGCCCCCTTTCAAAGCTTAAAAATGGACCAAACATAGTTGAGGTTTTATACATATAAAAAAAGTATAAATTGTGGGGTCCACTCCAGTTTTGTTCCCTCGTTTGAACCGTTGAAACTAATATCTCATTGTGTGATAAATGATCCAACGGCGGACATGTGATGGTGAGTATAGCCCTTGGTAGGGTAGGGTATAATAATAATGACATGTCATTAAAGAATTCCAATGTTGAATTTTTCAAAACTAAAATAAAATGGGTTCCTCATAAAGTCAGCTCTCTACCCTAAAAGAAGAGAGCGTGTGATTTGGTTTGTCTTAAAAATGTTAATCAATTTGGATGACAAACGTCACAAAAATTAAGAGTACTTAATTGTTCTTGTTAACAGTTTAAATCATGGGCATTGATTAGGGATTTAGGGCTCTTTTCTATAACCAATGAATTGTCAATTAAATGGATCATAACTATACCCTTTGTCCTAATAACAATACTCACTTTTCTTTTTTCTTTTTTTTTTTCTTTTTAGTATTATTTTTTGAGCATGGAGAGAAGAAAATTCGAATCCCGATCTATTATCAAGTCGTACATACACTTATCAATCAATTATGTTTCAGTGTATACTCATTTTTCTTTTATTTTTCTTAAATTATACCTCGATTTCCATTTTTAACAATTTTGTATTACTTATAACACTAATATTAGACATTTTAGCAAATGTTAGTTATTTCCTCCGTTCCACTTTAATGGTAATAAAAGATAAAGATAGAAAAAAAAAGATTAGAACGCATTAAATTTTTTTTTTAAGTATAATAATAATAATAATACCAATATAGTGATTATTTTATTAACATTTTTATCTGAAAACTTTTTTTTGGTTATTTAAATTAAAACAATGTACGTTACTTTATCTGCTTTTATTTTTTACCACCAAACCATGTGATGACATTGCCGGTCATGGACGGCACACTATGGTAATAATAATATTTTCTCCGAAGTGCCAAAACCATTATCAAATGGCATTGTGTATTTTACAATGCAATTATAAAATTGGAAGACAATGGAAGATATATATATTGTCAATTAGGCTGAAAGAAGCCGATCAGTTTTAAAATATCAAGATTGGTATTATCACTTATATGATGAGTAAAAAGTTTTAAATTCGAATTTTCTCGATTACAAATGTAACTATAATATAGTTGAATATTCTATAGTAAAATAAAGGATTAAAATATAAATATAGGTAAATAAATAAATAAAATGCTTAGAAAGAGGGTTATTGGACAATGATTGATAATCACTAAAAGGAAGATCTAGGTTTGTGCACAAAAAATTATGATTGCTTATGTTATAGTTTATGACAACATAATTGGAAGATATCTTGAACTCAAAGAGACTAAAAAGGATGAAACCTTCTACTTTGTCTTGTTGTCTTTTGAGTTAGTTGCCTTACCCTATCAATAAAACTAATAAAGGTTCTTTGAATTTGAGATGTTAGGTAAGTACCCAATTATTTATAGTGCCAATAAAAGATAATGCACAAAAAAATTCGAATTGGTGAGACAGAATGATAGAAATCCATTATCTTTTAATCAAATGTCTCAAGTTCGAGTTATAGGTGATATGAAATCACAAAAATTCATTCTAAGAGGTCATTAACCAGATGTTTCGAATTCAAATTTTGAGAATGGAATCTTTTTAAACACTTCTTTTTGAACTTTGAATTGTGAGAATGAAATTTCTTTAAACACTCATTTATGAACTTGCTCCCCCGAATTTGGGTTAATTGATCGGATATAGGAGGGTTGAAAGAAATAACGGAAAAAAAAAAAAAGGAAAGAAAAGCAAGATTTTAGCTTATTTTGTTTTATTAAAAAATCAAATAATAACACACTGCCCAAAGCCAATAGCATATGTCATATGATCAATAAATTTGGTTATATATATATAATTTTGGACTATTAAAGCCTCATATCACCAATGAATGACGTACACGTGCGAGTTCTGCCAATTGTGCAGTGGTTTAAAGAGCTTGCTATTGATTTTATATTAGGGGACCCTTATTTTATGTTTTTTAATGGTTTTTATTTAAAGCAAAAATACCAAATCAGCACAAAATAAAAGAAAAGTTGTAAAAATTCTACAGGTTCATTGTACTTTGGTTGCCCTTTTCAAAAGACGTAGATGAGAATGACATGACAGAGTGGCATTATTGCAATTCTTGATTTTAAAACAAGGAGTTTCATAAGAATTCAAGAACTAAGTTATAAACTTTTGTTAAAGAAAAAACTACTGTTTGGACTACATAAAATTAAGAAATATCTGCAATTTTACTGTAAAAAATATTGTAAGAAACAGTATTTTTTATCATTTATTTAAGATCCCAAAGATGGGAAGAGATGACAAACTCTATTTCGTTTGGTGATGGTTGTTAGGTTTATACTCAGTAATAATAAACAGGCACATTGAAGTTTATCTAACTTTAGGCCTAGCAGCCCTAGTTGCCTAGTTCAACTTCAAAGAGGGTTTGTCCATTTGTGATTAACCTTTTAGTTCATCCCAATACAGCCTCGGAGTATACAGTAAAATAATTTTTTAAATAACTTTTAGCGTTTTGATTAAATCTTATTTTTTTACAGTGTTCGGTAATTAAATTTTAGAAGTTCATATAACATTTTATAAAAAATAAATCAATATAATATTTAACTTTTAACGTTTTATAAAATAATTAAATGCTACTAAAACGGTTAACAACTATTAAAAGAGCTTAGTTATTAGGCTAAGGCTTCGTTTGCTTCAGCTTTATTATTTGATTGTCACTTTATTTACAAGCAAAATTACATCCCTATGCATTATAAAGCTTCTATGATGCAAAAGTTGAATCTAAATTCCAATGTAGCTAAACTTTGGGCTTAGGGCATAATAGAATTGCTAATTAATATACTCAAGATTATTACAAACCCTAAACTCCCTAGTTTGGGCCTAGGGCACAATTGAAAATTTCATTCAACCTTTCAACTCCTAAAAGATTTTTCTTTTTTCCCCTAGCCCACCACAAAACTAGTGTAGGTTGTGTAGTAACTCTCAAGTTGCAATAATGTGTATTTACAAAAATATCCTTGTTTTGCAAAAAAACAAAGTGGTAGTGTGGTTGGGATTGCTTGTTCATATTATGGGCTACAATAATAGTTTATGGGCCCATCTTGCCCGAGACAGGTACTCTAAAAACACATGCTCCTTTCAATTACTTAGGGTTCCTTTTCTCACTAGTCGCTGCAAAGGGTCACTATAATCTGTGTCATGTGTATTGCTTACTTGGCAATATTCCATAGCCTAAAAGGTTAAATTGTAATAAAATAAAAACAATAAATTGAAAGTTTATTTAAAAACAAAATTTTCACGGTTTCAAACCGGAATCACTGATTTTAAATTAAAACTGTTGGTTTCGATTTGAAAGAAGAATAACTAAAACCAAACATTAAGTATACGGTTTCAATTACGATTTGAAATTAAATCGTGATCATCCTTAGCTCATAGTAAATCCATGGACGATTAATTGATATATACCTAACTCTTGCATGAAGTATATATTAGTTTTTCTATATTTGATTGCAATAGTTATCTATTATTTTTATAATAAAATTAATATTTTTCAATCACTATATTAATTTTTCTATATTTGATTATTGTATAGTTGTCAATAACATATTGATTTTTCCATATTTGATGTAAAGTTTATCTATTTTTTTTATAAAATTTTATACTCTTCAATTTGCAAATTGATTTTCTATATTTGATTGCAATATTTTTTATTATTTTTATAAAGTTTAATATTCTTCGATGAAATTACAAAATAAAGGAGGTAAGGATGAAGTTAAAGCCCAAAAGTAAATGTAGGTGAAGGACAAGTCAAATTAATCCCCACTTCGGCAAAATTTGTTGCTCTGTTTTATTATTTCATAATATATATATTTTTTATTTTGTAAATACTTTTAGATTTTTAATAATATTCAAATATTATAATTTATAACAAAAAATAATAAAAAATATATAAAAATTAAATTATATTTACTTACTGCGAGTACAAATAAAATGCATACGTTCGAGAAAACTACTCACTAATCAAATATTGAGCAACATTTTTCTGAAAACGCAGTGATTTTAACAGCTCCAAAAGGCCATATATTATTAAGTACTCACATAATCATGAAATTAACCCTCTTACCTGATGGGCCCATATTGAGGCCCATCAACCCACAATATGTGGTTTTGAACTTCTAATCCACTTTGTTGGACTTTAGGCTTATCAGTAACAGCAAGTGGAGGGCTTTGATTTTTCGTTCTCCCAGTGCTAATTTGTAGTTTGTACTGTGATCAATGTTTTTCTGAATGTTGAATTGATTTGATTAGATTGCAATTGAATCGCATTTTTTATTTTTATAATAATTTTTTTAAATTACAATTATTTTTATATTTAATTTTCATGTTGACGCTTAGGTTTATTCGAATTTTCCAGTTCGATCTAATTTTTTAATCCACTGAATTTTAGTTGTTAAACTATACCGAAACAATTACAGTTTTACATGCTAACTAGTTCAACCAATCCGGTCGCGGTTCAAAACATTAATTTTAATTGAGTTCCTAAATATAAATAGAGTTTGAAAACATCATGAGACATAAATCAAATTAAGAGTCTAAACCCGACTGAATGTTGAATTGATTTGATTAGATTGCAGTTGAATCAGATTTTTTATTTTTATAATAATTTTTTTAAATTACAATTATTTTTATATTTACTTTTCATGTTGACGCTTAGGTTTATTCCAATTTTCCAGTTCGATCTAATTTTTTAATCCACTAAATTTTAGTGTTAAACTATACCGAAACAATTATAGTTTTACATGCTAACTAGTTCAACCAATCCGGTCGCGATTCAAAACATTAATTGTAATTGAGTTCCTAAATATAAATAGAGTTTGAAAACATCATGAGACATAAATCAAATTAAGAGCCTAACATTATTCATGTCGTAAAAATAACTTATTTTAATATTTATTATAAATTTTGAGAAAATGCGAGGATCGTAAACAAGTTGAGTGAGCTTTGTCGAGCTCGAGCCGGCTCGGTAAATGCATATTTTAACTATTGCTTGGCTCGTTTATAATGTATAATTAAAAAGAATTGTTCAATTGTTTCTTTTGAAATCAGAATAAATTTTTTTCGAAATAAATTCCATGCAGTTTGTTAGCAATTTAACTTATTTTTAGTCTTATGACAACAACAATTAAGTCTTAATTCATATATATCAAGAAATTAGTTATGCCTAACTAGTTCAACACCAATCGGTCGCGATAAGAACATTAATTGTAATAGTCCTAAAAATATAAATAAAGTTTGAAAAACATCGATGAGACATAAATAAATTAAAGCTAACATTATTCATGGTCGTAAAATAACATTATTAATATTTTTATAAATATTTGAGAAAATGCGAAGGATCGTAAACAAGTTGAAGTGAGCTTGTCGAGCTCGAGAAGCGGCTTCGGTAAATGCATATTTAACTATGGCTTGGCTCGTTTTAATAAGTGTAATAATTAAAAAGAATTGTTCAATTGTTTCTTTTGAAATTCAGAATAAATTTTTTCGAAATAAATTCCATGCAGTTTGTTAGCAATTCTAGAACACGTTAAATTTTTAAGTCTATGATCAACAAGCCAATTAAGTCATATAACTTAATTCATAATATATATATCAGTATATATAATAAATATATATAGATATTACATAGTTAAAAAGAACAATGAAAATGCTATACTAATTAATACTCCTACACAAAAATGAAATTCTCAGTTCTAATCGCGGGTTTTATCAAAGATATTCAGTAAGCCAATTTGTTGTCGGGTTTAAGCATTAAGTGCTCATAAGCCTTTGTTAGTTAGTTATGTGAGTTTAAAAATAGTCGGTTGAACACTTCGACTTGGGCGAAGAACCCTAATTTGGATTTTAGGATGTACTGAGAAAGCTTTGGATAGCACAATTTGGCCTCGAAATTATTTTCCCAGAGAATAATAATCCTCTAATTGTTTTTGTTTTTTTTTTTAAAAACAAAAAATTCTTTATTGCACACAATCGTAAATAAATGCACATGACATAAAAAAACAATGAAATTGCTATAAATTTATATCCCAACAAAAATGAAATTCCTTTTAATGCGGTTTATCAAGATATTTCGAGAAGCCAATTTTGTTGCGGGTTGCTTAGCTCATAAGGCCGTTGGTGTTGTTGTGAGTTTAAAAATGTCGGTTGAACCTTCGACTTGGGCGAAGACCCTTTTGGATTTAGATTTGGTTGGAACAATTTGGCCTCGAATTATTTCCTAAGAGAATAATATCCTCTATTGTTTTTTTTTTTTTTTTTAAAAACAAAATTCCTTTTATTCACACGTAAAAATAATGCACATGACCAAATAAGGAAAGGCGCAAATCTAGTGGCTAAAAATGATCCAACCATCTTCGTTCCCTCATCAGTGATCATCCGAATCTCCAACCAGGGCCCACATGGCAACGCACGCGCGTTTTACATTCGTCTACACGAATTTTTGGTCGGACACAAAACGACAAGAAGACCTCAACGTTTATCCACCCACGCCTATAAAGTATGAACCACCGAATCATCCATCAGACACTCCACATCACATATTTAAGAATAACTTAGTAATTTCGTGCAAATAGCTGTTTACTTGTCGATCTTTTATTGGTGCACTTACACCCACCGTGTACTTCGGCTAATCATGTGTATCGCACCTCACCATAGTCAACTATAGAGGCTCATTCATAACCTGAAAAATAAAAAATGAAACGCAGTCAACGCAAAAGCGAAGGGTTGGGGTCTTTGTGTAGGGTTTAATAGTGCTGACACTAACCTCTCTTCTTTCTCTTTTGCAGAAGCCGTAAGAGGTCTCTGCTTTGTATCAATAAACCCAACACCTCTATTTCTCTCGATAGAGAAGAAACCGAAACGAAGATAGTGTATCTATCTCCGTCTCCGTCTCTTTCGTTGTCCCTATTCGTCGAAGATTCGGGTTCAATTTCATTGTATTTGGTGCTTAAATGATGGAAAATTTAGCTGTAAGCCAAGCAGAGTTAAGGATCCATTCAAAGGAAGATGAGGTGGTATTAGATGTTGCAAATGGATCTTCGGTTGTTTCTTCTTCTTCTTCTGTGTTTCAGAGAAGGATTGTGTTCCAACCCGCAAAAAAGCCGTTTGCTGGTTTTGGAAATACCGGTGCTGGTAGCGATTTTCGGATTGAAACTCTAAATTCTGATTCGGGTTGTAAAAGGCCTTTCGGCTTGAACGCTTCTCAGTCAGGAAAGAAAGTGGATGGCTCCGATTTCGTGGAAAATGGGCTCGATCCAGAGCTTGGTTTCGGGATTACTTTCAGGAAAATTGTGAGTCTGTTGTATTTTGTTATGTTTTTACTTTCTTTTTCCTAGTTTGAAATGATTTAGAGAAACAAAATGGTTGTTTAGCTCGTTTTTTTGCCTTTGATTTATAGGTGTTTTAATGCTAAATTAATTACCTGGAAGCTTGGGTTATTGATTTTTATCATTTTCCTTTTTTACTCAATAACATAGTTATGAGTCTGTATAAATGATCAGGATTTTTTTCCATACTGTTGTTTATTATTTTTGGTGGTGGTTATATATTCAAGCTTATTAATTGTTTTATAGATAATTTGGTCACTCCAACTTTAATTTATGCTGTAAAATTTTTTACTCAGTTAATTTAACGATCTCCATAGTATTTTTTTTTTAAAAAAAAATAAAAAGCAAACTCCTGCTGTTTGGTTCTCGGTTCACTTTCAACATTGATGGGAAATCTTTTTCTGCATTCTGGGTTACCTTTTACCATTTTAGAATTGCTTTTAATGTTTTTCTTCCTCATTCATTCATTCCAATTGGTATTTTCCTTGACTTCTGCTAGTATGTTTAATCTTTTTTGGTGTCTTGTTAGTGTGTCCTCTTTTTGGTTATTTCATTTTTTTTAAATGTGCAATTTTGTTTTACTTTTTGAAGGTTGTTTTCCAATTTATGTGTTTGTTTCAGAAGTCCTCTAGGATTTTGTTTTGTTTTTGCTAAATTCGTAATTTTAAGCTTGGTTAGCTGTTGGAGTTATTGCTTTGGAGTTATCATTATTATGAACTTCGGGTAGCAGTTAGCCAGTTGCTTAACATCGAGGTTCACATGAATGATCTCCAGGGTGCTGGTTTGGAAAATCTTGGGAACACTTGTTTTCTCAATTCAGTATTGCAGTGTCTAACATATACTGAGCCTTTGGCAGCATATTTGCAAAGCGGCAAGCATCAAAATTCATGTGAGTTGTCCTCTGACCTACTAATATTATTTTGGTTTACTTCTGTGTGCGCGCGATATGATCGGATTGTTGTGGTTGCTTTTTTGTGGAAATTACTTTTCCATTATGAGCAGTCTTTGTCGGTTGGGATGGGGGATCAATTAATGATCCTTGTTCTGGAGTTTTATCTGAGTTTGATTAGCATATAATTCATAATCCTTCAATATATTTCTCTTTCAAATCTGATCACATATTTTAATATGGTTGCAAATGCTTATCGGCATTGTTTTTGCTGGTGTTCTTAAGGGCCCAAGGCGCATTAAGGGTCCTAGAGCCTGAAGCGTGCACCTAGTGGACAAAAGGTGCACATACACACACATATTTCCTAGTTGAATAATAAGATATCAAATAAATACTTATTCCTCTATAGAATTGAATATATGTATTAACAAAACAAATATCAAATAATTGAATAATCACATCCCACTATATTTTAGCAATATCTGTTTAAGCATCACAAAAAAGTCAAAACTTTGTTAGAAATCTAAAAACGAGAATTTTAACACATATATAATAAAAAGAACAACCAAATCATATTAAATGTCATCAATTTTAAATTAAATCAAGGTATGAAACTTTAAATCGTTTATACATTTAAAAAAAAAATCAGATTGGGCACAGTTGCGCTTTTAACAAATCTGGTTTTTGTTTTCCTGATAATGATCCTTTAGCTGCTTTTGAGGCAATTTTTTTTATAGAGTTAGAATGTTAGCCATCCAGTTTTTCATGGATATTATTTGTTGGTTATAGAAAGGTTAGAAGTTGAGGTTGTGATGCAAACATTAGATTTCAGATGGCCGGGAACCATTCACTATTTCCTGTTCTGTCCAAGTCCTTATATTAGAAAGTTTTTAAGGCATAACAATATTGTATAATACGATCCTTTGTAGACTAAACTTCCGAGTTTTGACATCATCACTGAAAACCTCAGGTACTGTCTCTTTACAGGAGGATCGAATAACAAAGCGGCATCTCAGAAAGCTAGAGCTTTTGTCCCCTATCAGCCCTTGGCTCGCTATGATGCCTATATTTGCTTTTATTTTTAAGGACTAGAGTTGGAACTAGATTGTCTAGAATCAAAATATAAGGCTTTAAAGCATGATGCACATCTTGACTGTAACGTTAGGGTGATGATGCCCTGAAGTACACTCATAACTTTCTTATATATTTGACCTATGACAATCAAATTATCCTTGTGTCTCTAATGTAGCTTGCTTAAGCAAATTGACTTAATACAGACACTTTGTCATAAGCCAAAGACATTCCAAATTTAATGGCATCCCAAACTAATATGCATAATTGATTACAGACTCGGACATTTCTGGTTTAGCTTATAGTATATTTAATCATTCACTACTTCAGTTAGCTAACAATGTTATAGGATCATAATTCCTTCCATTGCCTTTTTCTTGTATAGGCATTGCCTGATGACTCGTGTGATTTTGTTTCATGGTTTCATATATGTGTTTGGCTCAGTAAGAGTCAGCTCTTCAACCAACAGTTTAAGTGAATAAGGTTCTTAATATCTTTCCCATCATTCTTTTTTTCTTTGAAGGCAAGAAGCTTTCTTCTGATCTGGAAAGAAGTTTTACTGCTCGTGTATGTGTTTATAAACATGTTCACTTGCATGCTTTCAAATTGTGTGATGACCTTGTGTATTTATTTCCTTTGTACCCATTTTGACCTCCTCCTGTTAACCAAGGGTTTAAGACCTGTTTGATCCGATAGTCTGATATGGGCTTATTGTCTGGCACATGTAATGAATGGTTAAATATATTTATTGTTCAGCGCACATGTTTTGGGACACGGTTGTTGCTCTTCTCACAGAATACTTGTGACCTAGTTATCCATTGCTAAATCATTCTCTCAAGTAATAAACTAAAAATTTCTCAGCTGCTAGATCTTTTCTAGTGCAAAAAAGCAAGGAACGTTGGATGTGCCTTGCTGAGGGAGAAATTGTAAATTCAAGCTATCGTATGTGGTAATTTATTATCTTTGACATATATTTGCATTTTTAATATGGAAAAATATGCTCCACTTTTCTACGTTTTATATCTGTATCATATTCCGTTCTAGATTTTACGATTTTGTTTTCCATGCTCACATTATTCCTTGTGCATTCTCATGCAAGTTTGGATGAGGTTGGGCATATTTCTAACCTTTTTGTTTGATCAATTTTTGAAGGCCATATTGCTGGTTTTTGTGCACTGTGTGCGATCCAGAAACATGTTAGCCGTGCTCTACAATCAACAGGGAGATCACTAGTACCCAAGGATCTCGTCTCTAACTTGCGGTGTATCCTTTTGGCATTTTCTCTGTGTTATACTAGATATCTGCAATGTGTTAGCTAAATTTGTGGCAGCATTTTTTATTGAACTGAGTAGTTGAAAAATGAATTCTGTAATAGTCACTGCCCTTTCCCTGCATTTCTTGCTGTTATTTTTTTCCTTTATTTTCTTCTTTTAGCTGATGTTTAATTCTGTTGCTATGCAATATTCCTTCATTTGTATGATGCTGGTCTTAAGTATACAAACTTGGTAGTTAACAGAGTTCCCTGTGGCAATATGAAATTCAATAGTTGGACTGCTTCAGGAGCTTTTTCCATTGCTACTGTTTTATCGGAGAAATATAAGTAATGGCTTCTGAATTTTTCCATGATAAAGCTTTGGCCTCTCATTCAGCTCGTTCCCATATCTGTAATTCTTGACTGCATATTTAGGCATATCACGGAACTTCAGAAATGCTAGGCAGGAGGATGCTCATGAGTACATGGTAAACTTGTTGGAATCAATGCATAAGTGCTGCTTACCTTCGGGAGTACCGAGTGAATCTCCTGCTGCTTATGAAAAGAGTTTGGTGCACAAAATCTTTGGCGGTCGCCTTCGGAGTCAGGCAATTTTCTTGCTTGATTTGTCAACATTTTTAATCATTCTGCTGCCTTTTTACCTCTTGATTAATTTATGGATATATGCATGCATTTGCAATGCAAGTTTAAGGTGTTGAATTGCATCCAGAGAAAAATTAAGAATTAATGACATTGCTAAGGGCGGCCTAATGTAAAAACGCTGTGTAATTTGTATGCAAGTTTATTATACTTTTCGTTAGATATTCTCTTTACTGAAGTGATTACTGGTATTGGCTCTTAAACTTGGAAGAATTACAACATATATGGGGTTAATGTACCAGTAGAATATCTAAATGTATAGTAATTTCTTTTTTATTTGGTTACCTATTTAGGTGGAATGTCAACAATGTTCATACTGCTCCAACAAATTTGATCCATTTTTAGATTTAAGCCTTGAAATAGTTAAGGCAGATACTTTGCCTGTCGCACTTCGAAACTTTACTGCTGCGGAGCTGCTAGATGGAGGAGAGAAGCATTATCAGTGCCAGAGATGCAAGCAGAAAGTTAGGGCTAAAAAGCGTCTTACAGTACACAAGGCTCCATATGTGCTTACTGTCCATCTGAAGCGCTTCCACGCACATGATCCCGGACGGAAATATGACAAGAAAGTTTTGTTTGATCGTTCTTTAGACATGAAACCTTTTGTCAGCGGTTCCTATGTGAGTAAACTTGTGATTGTTTTAAGTCATTGTTCTTCTGTGTGACTTCATCTCATATTTTCCTAAAATCCTTGAGCTCACATATTATTAGGTCAGTTTTGAACTTAGTGCCTGTCTGGCACTATGATTGAACTGCATTTGGAATAGCGAATGCTTGACAATTGACAAATCATGGTCTGCCAGAAGCTAGATTTTGTAGCTTTTCCCAAACCATGGTTTTCTTAAAGCAATCTAAAAATATAAAAGACAAAGTCGAACACAGTTCTCAAAACCAGCTCCAGAATCAATCCCAAATGGAGCCTTAATCAGTGCTAAGCTGTTCTTATTTTTATTTTGGCCTCATCTTGCTTTTTATTTATCATGTTCTTGACTAAATTACGATTGAACACATTTTTTTTATAAAAATCTTGTTATTTGCTTATTTACATTTGAAATGACAAAGAGTGTCATTGGAGTTCTCAATAAAATTATTTCCATATGGATATCTCAATATGGATATTATGCAAACTGTTTCTTTGAAGAAATTATTGATTATGAATTCAATCAGAAAGTTTGAGGCAGGGGTTGAAAGTGGCTTTCACTAAGCTGTTTATAAATGGCAAAAAATACTGCATAAAATCAGTTGATCCAGAAGTTCCATGTGTTTCCTATTTCCCTGTAGTATCTTCTGGTTGACGCAAAAGGATATCAGCCTGGCAGTTTTATGTGTTAATATGTGGGTAGTATCAGAAAGTCTTGGTTTAACTTAATTTACAAATTTACACCAAGTTATTGGCTTGTAACTGATTCTTCTATACAGGTAGGCAAGAAAATAGCAATCTTGAAATAAAAATTTAAAAAAGGTTTGATAATGGTTCAAATGCTGGATATATGGCTTTAGTACTCTATATAATGTTGCATGCTGAACCACTGTATTTTATGTCATTGACATGCTGTTGTTGCCAATAGCTGAGTTGATTTCTCTGCTATGTTCTTTTCGATGTTTAAACATTCATATTTTCCTATCCTTGCTATTTGATTTTTTGGATGTGCTTGTGTACTATTTTTGGGTTTATTCTGTTTGGCAGGAAGGAGACTTGAAATACAGTCTGTATGGTGTTCTGGTACATTTTGGTCATAGTACCCATTCTGGTCACTATGTCTGTTTTGTTCGCACATCAAGTGGTATTTGGTATCTCCTCAATGACAATGAGGTACGGGGATCCTAGAAGCAGCTCTTTGTGTGCTTGTCTTCTCTGTAATGAATAATTTGATGAGTTAAAATTACTTTTATGTATCAGGTTCGCGCTGTTAGTGAGAAAACGGTTCTAGATCAGAAGGCTTACATGCTATTTTATGTCCGTGATAGAAAAAATATTGCTACAAGAAAGCCTGTTGATGTGGTTAAAAAAGAAAATGTGAAACCATCTGTTGGAAGTAACATTACAAATTTGGTTTTCAAGCAGTTGTCAAAGGAAAATGCAGATAATGGTTTGACTGTTAATGGAGTTCTTCCTGCAGGTTCTACCCATGCAGTTTATAAAAAAGATTCAGTAAATTCTGGTACATCCAAGGGGATCCATGAGAACCAAGCATTAAATGGACCAGCAGTTTCACAGTGCACAGTGACAAAAGAAAATCCTTGTGCGGGAACCTCTGGTTCACCATTGCTGAAGGACCCATCAAAAGTAGTTTCTCTAAAACCAGATCTGCTAGAAACCTTGCCACCTTCAGAACCATCCATTAACAGCAACAGTGAGACTGCTAAAGTTGATAATGCTAATGTCACAGCTGGAGCCAAAAGTGACTGTCTTCAGGCATCCAAAAACACTCTGGCTGGAAACCTTGGCACAAATGATACCTCAGAAAAAGTAACTGGATGTTTATTGCCATACAATATGTTGTTTTCTTGTTTTCTCATTTTGTTGTTCCACCTGTGATCTAACTTGTAAATTCACGTTTCCATTCAGAAGCTCTTAAATCTGGGAACAATGGAAGTTCCAATACTGTCTCTATCTGTGGATTCTGGTGAAAAAATGTTGAATAAGATAGACTATGTAAAATCGCCAAACAAACCTAGTTGTGAAAGTGGTCAGGTGAACTCACATCTGAATTCTTTTTCATGCCTTATAATCATAATTAGGTCAAGTCTTGACCTTTTCCTCTTCCTTTTTCAGGGTGAATGCATTGCCAGTAGTAGTGCTGCTGGAAATTCATTTGGTGATCAGGCTGGTGATAGTGTTGAACAAATTGGGAATGAGATTGTTCAGTCATCATCAGCATCAGTCGTACCAAATGAATCTCTACAGAAGAAAGTTCCTGATTCCTCACCTCAACAGAAGTTAAAAAAGAAACTTTTGAAGCACGGGATTCCAAACATGCATCTACAAAAATTCTTTAGAGCATCTTTGGGGCTACGGAAAAAGAAAAAACATAAAAAGAGCAAGCGTTGCACTTTAGAGACCCAATACCTTATTAAAGAACAGTTGCTGGAGAGTAATTGCTTTTCTTCAGAGGTTGGGCCGTCTACATCAAATGCATCCATGTTAGTTTCATCGGATTCTACAAAATCTCAAAGGAAGAAGGTTAAATCCCGTTCCAAGTCTAGAGGAAATTATCTGATGGATACTGCGCATGAAAGACTTGAGAAGAGAAATGAGCAGAATGGTGATGCAGTTGCAATGGATAGAGAGTCAAAGAAGAGCTCTTTTTCAACATCTGAAACAAACCAACGTGATTCAAGTGTACTTGATCGAACAGAAAGTAACAAAAAGGACGCGGTAGATAATGGGATGTATATGCTTACACGAGGCATGGAAGAGACAACTGGTGAGTACTTATCTTAAATATCATCCAGATATTTTCTGACTGTTCATATTTGGTCTCTTATTATACACATTTGCTTCTTACCATTGGTTAGTTTCAGATCATATCTGTCTTAGGCTGTTTTTCTAGAAGTTTGTTCTCCTTATATTTTGGCAGAAATAATTCCAGATGAAGAGATTGGTTGCATTTGCCACTTTATCCAGATATATTTATACTGGCTGCCTCAACTTTTTATCAATTCCACTCTGAACTTTTTGTGGAACTTGTATGTGAGGTTAACCAGATGTGCCAATGACTACTTATGGGCCCTACACGTATATTTTTCCCATGCACCAAACAACCTACTTAGGTTTTGGCCTTTGATGATGGTGGGGTGTGAGCCTACCGTGTGGAATGGATGAAAGTAAAACATATTATTCAGAATAAATGAAGCGGAAATATTCTTTCAAATGCATGCAATTGACATATGGGGTGAATTTTATTTTTTCATGGTTGGATGATAATCAAGGTTAGCACCTTCCTGCAAAGGACAGAAAGCCTTGCAATGAAATTGTTGCTTAGAAAACTCTAGGCAACTATCTTTTCTGCAATGCCTAATCCTCTATAAAACTAGGGAAACAGTAAAGAGATAAAAAATTAAAATGTGATAAAGGAGTAACAAATCTTGTGCTTCTTATTATCAGTTGGACATGGTGAATATTGTTCATGGGCCTTATCTTGTTTATTGCAGTTGCATGTTGGGACGGGATAGTGTGGCCTACATCTCAGATTGTGGAATCAAGTAGCATTGAAAATATCCACATTGGTTACGTGCCAGATGAGTGGTGAGTTGGAATCTCTCTCTCTCTCTCAATTTGCTTGCGCAGTATTTACATATCTTATTTATGTGTCTTGCTCTTTATTTTGGCTTTACGTTCTTTTAAATGTGGAAAAGAATGTGCTTGCACAATGGTTTTGAGTTGGTGTATAAATTACCATCAGTCAACTTAATTTCAATATGGAAAATCAACTTAATCCTGATGAGAAACCGCTGTAAAAATTTGGCGGATGTACCTATCTGATTCACTTGTCGTGGATTTCGTGGATTTCTTCTTCAAGCGGTAGTGTAGCGATTGGATAAGAGAGGGCCATATGGATATAAAATCATTTGAAATCAAAAGCTATTTGAATTTGCACCAGGTGGATTTCTATCATTTGAAGTAGAAACCTGACTTCGCTTCACTTTTCTTTTATTGTTTTTAATTTGAATAAGAAATCCACCTGCATTCCAAATGCATACCTATCCAAATGGACCAGTATAGAAATTGTTCCTGTCTAATTAAATTTAGTTGTGTTTTCTTTTTGTAAATTTTGTTTATATTTATAATTTAGGAAATTTTTGTAGTATTTTCTTGCTTGGGAAAGTGAGTCCTTATTATTATTTATGGTCTAATAGTTTATGTCATCTTCATTTCTTTCTGCAAAATATCCAGATTAAAGTGGACTGGTATTCTTCCAGTCTTGATTATATGATTTTTCCTAATGTCTACCCTATTTCAATCAGTCAACTTTACCCTTGATCCTTGACCTTGGCATTTAGATGTGTTTCATCAAGTTTCGGAGCCTGTTAAAAACGCAAGCAGAGAGTGGATATGATTCATAAATCCCCTGACAAAATGATCTGACTATTAAGTGTGAAGTTGTTTGCTGGAATTAGCGTTTTTTTTTATCTGCATGATGATTGTTTAATCTTCCACAGGGATGAAGAGTATGATCGAGGCAAGAGAAAGAAGGTGAGGCAAAATAAGCACGACTTTACCGGGCCAAATCCTTTCCAAGAAATTGCAAGCAGAAAATTAGAATTTAAGAAGGCTAAGATGGATCGATCTAGCTCCGGAAACAAACCATTCAGGATATGAACTAGTTTGTGTCGAAGTGGAGCAACATGATTTGTCGACATGCTGTTATATTGTGTATGTAGCAATTATTGCTGTGTTATCATCAAGTTTTGTAATTTTTGTTTTCTTTTATTTATAGTTATTGAAAGGGAAGAATTAGAAACGGAATGAGAGGGAGGAGGGTGCTGGGATGAAAGACTTTTAGGTCCAAATATATGATGTTAGAAGACCAAGATGAAAAAGCATTTCCTGTTGAGGAATGTAGTGCTATTCTGCTTCATTGCTAACTAATTGAAGAACATTCTATTATGATTCATTTGACGTATTGTCAAAGTTATAATTTAAAGTTTCGCCTCTGTTGCGATGAATTGTGTCGGTCACTATGGCTATGAGCCAAGGTTGGTTCTTAACTGAAATTGAACCAAAAACTAGGGGTGTGCAAAACCACTGAACCGACCCATTTTGGTTTGGTTAGCCATTAAAGGGAGGTTTGGTTTGTCAGCTTAATCCGTTTGAATTGAACTAATTATTTTGGTTTGAGTCGGTTGCATAGAAAACTCATCGGTTGGGTTTACAATTACGTCAAAAACTGATCAAACGAAGAGATTGCTTTGATTCAAGTCGGTTTGGTTTAGATGTCAATATTGGTTTGGCTCAGTTTGTAGTCCAAAAACTTTGGTTTGCATTTTTGGCATTGCTTTGGTTTGGTTTGAACCATACCGGCCATGTGCTCACGCCTGCCAAAAATTGTAACTCGTGTGAGATTAGTAAGAATTGAATTAGAACTGAAACTGAATTGCTTTTATCAATTCCAGTTCTTATAAAAGTGGAATCAGGACTAGACAGTAGGTTAAAATGGAGAGTTCAGTTTTAGTTCAAAATCGGTTTTTTTTTTTTTTAATCATCTATAGGTTTTTAGCTTTAAAAACTGGGTGGACTCAAGTGGTTGTGTTGTGATGATTGTTATGATAGGCAATATCTGCAGTTCTTTTCTTTCTGATTGTGTAATTTGTAGATACCATCCATTGTAGCAATCATCACGCATGCATGCCCTTTTCAAACAAACCTTTACTTCTAACTTACATACAATAATTATTTTTCAATCCAACGTACCCTTTAATTTTACAAAACTCTTCTATTCCCAGCTCCAAGGATCATGTATATTTTGTTGTCTTCATTGAGAACCTACTTATGCCAGCTTAAATTCTAGTTTATCTGTTTGTAGGATTGCAAATTCTGGTTGAGCTTCAGAGCTCAATTAACTTCAAACTTTAAAGCTGTTATCGAATGTACCTAAAGGGTTTCGAGTTTATACCTCTTCCATTTGAGACTTTTATCAAATTAGTGAGAATTAATAAAAAAAATTGAAAAGCAATATTGGTTAGAATGGAGTGATTGAGACTCATTTCTCTTGATTAAAGGTCTCGAGTTTCAACTTTGGGTATGAAAATTATCATGCTGAGAGAGTCGCCTTCTATATAGGTCATGCAATACTCGAGCCAAATTTATTAGAATCCAATGGACTTTTAGATATGAGTGGTTATATTTCAAATAAAAAAATTAAATATTTTATATTAACTCATTATATTATTTTGATTTATTTCACCTCCAACGAATTAAAAAAAAACACTAATTTATCTAAGTCTCTGCTGAAAGCCGAATATTATACTGAGACCAACGCCTACAAGTGTGTAAAGTGTCTGTTCGGTTCACAACCGAACTAAACTTCAAAATTTAAAATTGACTCGGACTGAATTAGAGGCTAAAATTGCATCGGCTCAATTCGGTTGGTTTGATGGTTTCTTCATGCTTTTCGGGCTGGGTTGAGTTGGTCTTGAGCGTAACCGTTTGATATTCTTGAAAGGAATACTAGTACCGAACCAAAACAAACTTTGATTCACTCATTAAACTGAGAATTCAACGTTTTTGTGAGAAAAACGGGCAATTTGGTTCAATTTAGTTGATTTTTTTTGTCTAAAAACCGAAATCTGCTCAGCCCAAGAGACCGCAATAATAGGAGGCCATTGATTAAAAATTTCACAATAAAATTTAATAATAGAAATTGATTATTAAAAAATTGACCAAGAGAAAAATAATGGAATTTTAACTGGATAAATGCACAGGGCTCGAACTCATTCAACTATGGAATCTGACATCCTTCAGAAACAAACAACCAAATTAATATATAATATAAAAAAAACATTAACTTCAACGCAACAACATCCATGGAAACATCAAACTCAAGCTTTTGCTCTTACATTAATACTTCAAAAACATACACACATGGGAACCTCCACAACATATTTTTTATTGTCTTTAAAAAAAAAAAAAAAGGCAACATTTTTAATTCTTTCTTTTTAATTTTTTAAATTTTTATTTAATTTTTTTATTCACTGAAAATATTTTTTATTCAAAGAATACACACGAAAAACAAAGATAAGACATGTTTCTATTTTGCTCCTTCAAAACTTTCTCATTCTTTGTATTGGGTAGAAAGTATGTGTAATATGTGAACAAATATATTTTTAGAAATGTTAATTTTTGTCTTTTTAGATATAAATTTACTTTTATTTTATTAATTTTCTCTTATATTTTTTAATTTTTGGAGTTCAAATTTTCAATTTCGAATTTATTGTTAATATCATGTTTTCGCCTGTTGCCAATACTTATATTTAATCTATAAGATTGGAGATTATTGAAAGAAATTTGAGTCTTTTTTTTTTTTTTTTTTTTTTTTTTTGTCTTTTTAGATATAAATTTTAACTTTTTTATTTTATTAATTTTCTCTTATATTTTTTAATTTTTGGGAGTTCAAGATTTTCAATTTCGAATTTATTGTTAATATCTGTTTTCGCCTGTTTGCAAAATACTTATATTTATCTATAAGATTGGAGATTATTGAAAGACATTTTGAGTCCTTTTTTTTTTTTTTTTTTTTTTTTTTGGTAATTTCTTATGTACTTCTTTATGTTTTTTAATTTTATATTTTTTTTTTTTTTTTTTTTTTTGGTATTTCTTAATGTACTTCTTTTATGTTTTTAATTTTATATCAAAATGCATTTTTTTAATATGAATAAAAAGATTCCTGATCTAAAAAAAAAAATATATCTAATAAATACTGAAAAAAAAGAGTCCACATGAATCCTTTGAAGAAAAGTTTGCTGGCATATGATTATGACATAAGAATTAAAATAGATAGATACATTAATTAATAATGTTTTGGAAGGATAATAAATAATAATAATAATAGTATATATAATGTGGGTTGATTTCATTTTACTCCTTCTAAAATTATATATTATACATTTATTTATCATCAATCAAAGCAAATCATTAAGATTGCTTCTTCCACCCTTGTGCTTTGATTGTTGGACTCAATTCAAATTTCCCTTTCTTAGCGTTTAAAAGACTATTTTACCCTTGGAAATGACATTTTATCTTGCATATAATATGGGCAGTTCAAACATTTTACTACTAAAATAGTAATATTGGGTTTCTTTCTTTAATAAACACATTATAAGAGAGAGAGAGAGATCTAGGTGGTGTGTTTTGTTATAATTAGTAGAATTCAAAGACTAATCATTAATCTAATAACCCATAGCTTCTGTGGGGTCCAAACCAGCTCAATCTAGAACCTTGTTAATGTGAAACCCTAAATCTATATGATGGCCTCAATTTTGGATTTAATTGGTGCAATTTTAATATTATTAGTACTATTGTTGTTTCATGGAGAAGGCAAAGATTTATAATTTATTTGAGACTACAACTTGCATTCAAACATATCAAAGGTATTTTCAGCAAAATTAGTTGTTTTAATAGCTGTTTGAGTAATGTTTAGTTGTTAGTTGCTTGAATAACGTTTCATAAAATGCTAAAAGCTAAACATTATATGAGTTAATTTTTTATAAAATACTACCTCAACCTTTAAAAACTAGTTTAAAAATACTATATTACTGAATAACATAAAAATACATTTAGTGTTATATAAATAAAATATAAAAAAGCCTAAAGTCAAGAAAAGAAGGCATTTGGACTACGATACAACTATAGTTTTTACCTTCCTAATTTTGTTAAAGTCTTCAAGAAAATGAAATGGGAAGTAAACTTTTCCAATTAGGTAAAGTCAACAAAATACAACTTCCTAATTGGTGAAATGCTTAATTGCTTATTGGAATATGATGAAATTAATCATCATCATATACCCACAAAATAAAAATAAAAAAAGAAATCTTCTACAAGTTAAATCAACTAATCCTTACATAGATAGATTTTAAAAAATTGTTAGAAATGACTTTGAAAAGGTTAAATTAGAGTGCTTATGTATGCCATACGGGAGGGAAGATTTTTTCCTTTTCGATAAAAATTAAAAAAGACTAAGAATTCTAGTGGTTGACAATAAGATAGAAAGGAATAAAATATATTTTACCATAATAAAAGAAATAACCAAAAGGAATTTTTTTTTTCTTTTGAATATATTCATATTCTGGTTTTTTCCCTTTATATTTATGTGTATTGGAACCTTGTAGCATATTTCCTAAATCTTGTGAAAGGTTAACTTCCTTTGTTGCTTTGTTATCTCTGGCCATACTGAATTACTGAGTGGTCCAAAATGAAAAGGGAAAAATAGGAGAAAAATATAAATTCTACAAGATAAAATACTACTATTGAATTTATTTGTAAAATGTTCAATCATAATATTTTAAATTTTGTTATTTTTTAAGTTTTTACCTTTATAGTATCTTATTAGAAATATTAAATATACAAGTTTTTATCTAATAGAAGTATGTTATATTAGTTGAGAAATTGCAGCAATGAGCCATGTAAAAATGGTGCAACCAACCAATTGGTTTACCTTGTTGGAAATTCTAGTCAATGGGAATAAAAAATTAACAAAAGTGGGCTTTTTAGGTTCCTTTTTTTTCAAGGAAAGGTACAATTTTTGAAAAAGGAAAACCAAAAAGTGAACAAAAAAAGTTATTTCCTCTTGCTAATATCATATTTTATATATAAAATATTAAAAAGGATAAACAAATTTGGCTCCATCAATTAGACAATTACGTGTGTCAACTAAAGAAAGTCTAGTCTAGTAGCAATACTGTAAAGCAAAGCTTTAGTTCAATTTTCATCTCTATGAAAATTGATTCATTGTTATTACATTTAACAGGAGAGAGCAAAAAGCTTCCATTAGTAGAGTAGAGGAATGATTATCACCAATGAAGAAGCATTGAATACCCACCACCAACAAGCACTGATAAATTCAACAACCTAATTGATTTTTTTTTTTTTTCTATTAATTTCTTTCTCATTTATGAACCCAGCTTCTGTATCTGTCCACTCTTAAAGCTTCAATCTTTCATTTTTTTTTTTTTTTTTTTTCAGCTTCAAATCTTCATTTTTTTTTTTTTTTTTTCCATATATCCTTTTGTCTCTGTGTCTCTCCCTCTCAACTCTTTTAACATCTCTGTGTGTGGTTTCTTTTTTTTTTTTTTTTTTTTTTCCATATATCCTTGTCTCTGTGTCTCTCCCTCTCTAACTCTTTTTAACTCTCTGTGTGTGGTTTCTGTTAGTGGAACCGTTCTACTTTTTTTTTTTTCTTTTTTAATTTTTAAATTGGTGTATAGCAGAAAGTCTTGAGCTTTTCATGTTCTATACGAAGAAAAAAGTGTTTCCTGACTTGGGTCAGTGTTTTTTGTTTGTTTTGTTGGCTTTCACTGACTCGCAAAACCAGACAAGGTATGTTCACATTCCATCTTGACACTGCAAAACCTTCATTAGACCTTAAATACCGAGTTGTTTTCTCAATAACAGTTTTCTATTTGTTGGGTTCTCACTGACAAACAGCAATACAATAACTCCACAAATTTTGTAGCAAAACTAGTAGTTTAAGCGAGCTATTAGACCCGACTGTTTTTTTTTTTTTTACATTAAACCCCAAAATCATTTTGCATATTGATTTAATGGAGTTGCAGAGCCTGAAAGTATTGTCTGAGACGGGGGCCCATGAGCATTTAGTTTTCTAAAGCATTAGGAGAGAAGATTTTAAAGTGGGATTGGGGTTTTTGGTTTAATTTTGTTGTTCTGTTGTTTGTTTAAGGCACTGATTCCAAATGGGTTTTGGTTTCTTTGGTTCTATTTTGGTTTTTTCAATGTTCTTCAAGCTTTTACCTTGTCAACAACCCAATACAGATGCTTTCTTTGTATCTGAGTTTTTGAAAAAGATGGGTTTCTCCTCTTCCTCAGTCTACAACTTCTCTGCTCCAGTTTGTTCATGGCCGGTGGTGTATTGTGATGGTCAAGGAAATGTTATTGAGTTAGTAGCTTCTGGTTATGGCCTTTCTGGTTCTATTCCTGATACCACCATTGGCAAGTTAACGAAGCTTCAAATTTTAGATATTAGCAACAACAAAATCACTGCTTTGCCTTCGGATTTGTGGAGTTTGGGCACTCTCAAAACCCTAAATCTCTCTCTAAACCAGATTTCTGGTCCCCTCACCAACAACATTGGCAATTTCGGACAGCTTGAAACATTTGATCTATCATGCAATAATTTCAGTGGTGAAATTCCTGCAGCAATAAGTTCACTTTCTAGGTTGAAAATTCTAAAGATGGATCAAAATGGGTTTCAAGGGAGTGTTCCATTGGAAATTCTAAACTGCCGTTCACTGACTCTCATTGATCTTTCCTTGAATAAGCTTGATGGTTCCTTACCAGATGGTTTTGGTGCTGCATTTCCTAAGCTAAAAACCTTAAATCTTGCAAGAAATGGTATTAAAGGGAGGGATTCAGATTTTTCAGAAATGAAATCCCTTACTAGTCTCAATATCTCTGGGAATCTGTTTCATGGTTCTGTTATGGGGGTGTTTTTGGAAATGTTGGAGGTGATGGACCTGAGCAAGAACCAGTTTCAAGGCCACGTTTCTCAGGTACAATTCAATTCTAACTATAATTGGTCTCACTTGATGTATTTGGACTTATCAGAGAATCAACTTAGTGGTGATATTTTCCCTAATTTGAATCAAGCTCAGAATCTCAAATACCTTAATCTTGCATTCAATAGATTTTCCAGGCAGGAATTTCCAAGAATTGATATGCTTTGGAAATTAGAATATTTAAATTTGTCTAAAATTAGTCTCATTGGCAATATTCCTAGTGAAGTTGCACAATTGAGTAAGTTGCATTCACTTGATTTATCTGATAATCATCTTAGTGGCCAAATTCCTTTATTACCTATCAAAAGCCTCCAAGTTGTTGATGTTTCACATAACAATTTGAGTGGAGAAATCCCATTGTCCCTTCTAGAAAAACTCCAATTTATGCAAAGTTTCAACTTTTCCTACAACAACTTAACCCTTTGTGCTTCTGAATTTTCCCCTGAAACCCTCCAAACACACTTCTATGGATCATTAAACAGTTGCCCAATTGCTGCAAATCCAGCCCTGTTCAGAAGAAAGGCTACAAAACACAAGGGATTAAAACTTGCTCTTGCCTTAACTCTCTCGATGGTTTGCTTGCTCGCTGGGCTGCTATTTCTAGCTATTGGTTGCAGGAGGAAATCTAGTAGGTGGGCAGTGAAACAAAACTCATATAAAGAAGAACAAAATATTTCAGGCCCATTTTCATTCCAGACTGATTCAACAACGTGGATTGCTGATGTTAAGCAAGCAAATTCAGTCCCTGTAGTGATTTTTGAGAAGCCATTATTGAATATCACTTTTGCTGACCTCTTATCTGCAACTTCAAGTTTTGACCGAGGCACCCTTTTGGCCGAAGGGAAATTTGGACCTGTTTACAGAGGATTTCTACCTGGTGGAATTCATGTAGCTGTAAAAGTTTTAGTTCATGGGTCTACATTAACAGACGAGGAAGCTGCAAGAGAGCTTGAGTATCTTGGACGAATTAAGCATCCGAATCTTGTTCCATTGACCGGGTATTGCATAGCTGGAGATCAAAGAATTGCAATCTATGATTATATGGAGAATGGGAACTTGCAGAATTTACTTCATGACTTGCCCCTTGGTGTCCAAACTACTGAAGATTGGAGTACAGACACATGGGAAGAAGATGATAATAATGGCATTAAAAATGTTGGCTCTGAAGGGTTACTAACAACTTGGAGATTCCGGCACAAAATTGCACTTGGCACTGCTCGTGCGTTAGCATTTCTCCATCATGGTTGCTCACCTCCACTTACTCATAGAGATGTCAAAGCTAGTAGTGTTTACCTGGATTACAATCTGGAACCAAGATTATCTGATTTTGGACTGGCCAAGGTCTTTGGCAATGGTTTAGATGAGGAGGTTGCTCGTGGCTTGCCTGGTTATGTTCCTCCAGAGTTTTCTGATCCAGATAACAATGTCCCAACACCAAAGTCTGATGTCTATTGCTTTGGAATTGTTTTGTTTGAGCTAATTACCGGAAAAAAGCCAGTTGGAGATGATTATCCCGAAGCGAAAGAAGGAACTTTAGTGAGTTGGGTTAGGGGAATGATAAGGAAGAGCCAAGGATCAAGAACTATTGATCCAAAAATTCGTGACACTGGACCGGAACATGAAATGGAGGAGTCTCTCAAGATTGGTTATCTTTGCACAGCAGACATTCCCTCGAAACGACCAAGCATGCAGCAGATAGTTGGTCTTCTTAAAGATATTGAACCGGCACTAGTTCATCAATGATAAGCATAAATATAATGAAATGCAAGCTAAATTAATTATATCATATGCCTTCTTTTTTGATGTATTTTTTGCTGTTCTTTGTATTGAGTTCTTTCTGTGCTGCCATTGAGAGGGATTGATTGTACAGTAGTACTTGAAGATCTGTTTTTGACATTTACCTTTTCTTTTATTGGCAGCGTAGAAGTTTAATTTATACACATGGAGAGAGTTTAATCGTTGAAAGCCAGTTCTCTTCTCCAAGTATCCATATAATATCAGTATTATCCCATTTAGCTCTGTCTTTGTATTAATAGCAGGATTTTGAGACATGTATGAAGCTTTCAGCTATAGGATGTGTGTTTTTCCTCTGAAGCATTGGAGCAAAAGCCAAAAAGGTTCATTATTTATTGTCATTTGTTAGTAGTTATAGCTTGAATCTCATCTAGAGGTAGTTGCCTGTTCTTGTGCATTGCAGTTAAGGATGTGGTGGTCCTGGGTTGGTTCTGTGGTAGCTGGGATCACCATTATTGTTCTGGGTTCCATATACATATCGGTTAACCCAAACCAAAGCGGACTAAAACATTTTGATTATAATCACATTAGCCAAATAAATTATAATTTAGAATTTAAACAATAAAAGGGATTGAATGATTGGTTTTTGGTAAATTTTGAGCTTAATCAATAACTCAATAAACCAAAAGATACATTGATCAAAGTGTTACTTGACATATGTTTAATTAATATTGATTTATTGAGTTAAAAAGCTAGCTCGAAAGCAGATTTAGTAAAATTAAGTTCAACCTTCATTCGTTTATTGAATGTTCAGCTCGATAAACTTATTGAACAAGCTTATATGAGCTTTTATATAATCGAACCTCGAATAGTTTATAAACGGCTAAGCTCATTTACAATTCTAACTCAACATTTCTTTTCTACACTCTATGGTTTAGTGGTATTAAAAAAATAAATAAAGAACAATCATGTTTGCATGCAAAAAAATTCCACTCTCTTTGAAACAACAATTGGATATGATTATGATTATTTAGTGGGAATAATCAGTTGTCAACCACAATCATCACATTCATGGCCATACCTCGTCTTTAAATAACTTTTTGTCTGAATTCAATTATAATTCTTACAACAAATGTCATCATCAACCACCCATGGAAATAAGGGGAAAAAAGAAAAAGACAAATGCATCCCCTTCAAGCTTTTTCTCATGATTACCCTTTTTATTTTTAGATGTTAAAATCATCTCTTAAAAATTAAAAATTAAGAAATTTTTTTTATTAAACTAACAACTTACATATTTTAAACTATGATACGCAAATATATACAATTTAGAAAAATGATTTATTTTCTGATATCTCATTAATTTTGGTATGCATAAACATATATAATATTTCTGTATTATGTATTGAAATTTTATTTCCTTTGAGTTGAAGATTTTACTATTCGCAATAGCCCTTTATGGCAATGGATTTTACTAATTTGGGAAGTGATAAGGATGTTTTCATTATTGGTTTCTAAGCATATTTATCAAAATTATTTCTAATTATGATATCTTAAGCACTAATTTATAATGACGGTAGATTAATTAGGTGTGGTATACCGTGTTACTTCGGTCCAATGAATTAAAAAAAAAATATATAATTATGGCATGGGTTTTATTTCGGTCCACTGGCTCTACGGGCCGATGTTGTAGTTAGTCCAGTTCTTAGTGGGCTGGCAATATATATCTGGGAGTTCAAGAATATTCACCAATAAATATTTTTAAATCTTTTTATTTCATTTCAAAAATATAAACCATAAATTTAAACCATTTAAAATACTGTTTAAATTTATTAATTTTAAATTTTATATTATGAAAACTATACTGAAGAGAAGTTTTTTTTAACTAGGAAGGGAATGAAATTAATGTTTTTTTTTTTTTGACCTGAAATGCAATTGATAATTATATATCATTTCAAATATATATTAAACATAATTTTATTATATCTATATAATACTGTTTAAATCTCTATTAATTTTAAATATTTATATTATTGAAAACTCATACTGAAGAGGAAAGTTTATTTTAACACTAGGTATAGGTGGAATGATATTAATGTTTTTTTTTGAACGCTGAATGGCAATTGATAATTATAAATATATATAATATATATATATATATATACTATATATGTTATATATATATTTAGTACGTAATTAGGTTCACTCAAGTTTGAATATATATATACTCACAAATATAGATATATTAGTACCAAATTAGGTTATAGTTGATAAAATAAATAAAATAAAATAGATTTGACTATTAGGCTTTCAAAAATTTCTAAAGGTGTTATTCCACCAACTTTATAATTTAAGAGAGGCATCTGATGCTTTTTGTGGTCAAAGTTGCATGATCCTATTCCTACATATCATTATATATTCCATGAATACATGCTCATTCTTTGCATTAAAAAATATATTTTTATAGTCTTATCTGTTATTTTGTCACAGCAACAAATAAAATTTTTATAATTAGTTAATTTTTCTTAATCTGAACTAAAAAAATTAGTAATTTTTTTTAACTTGCATAAAAATAGAAATTCATCAGCTTTACAAGAGCGTAATATTTATGTGGGCCCAAAAGCATCTTACAATAATGTTCTACAAATTAATTTTTCTTTTTCTTTTTTAAACAAAATGTGGATAAAGGAAAAGAGCTAAACTGTAGAAATGAATCAAAGCCACCAAATGTGGGTTCCAGTGGAATCAACGGCCAAGATGTTTGATGTGATTAACCAGGGTTAGGGGAGATGATCATTCATCCTCCCAACCCAAGAAGCTTTCTGTCTCATTTGCATAAGAGGTGGTGAACAAGTCGTCCTCTTCTATACAGAGAAAAAAAAGTCAATATAATACAGAAAGCCAAACACTGCCAGAAAAACAAAAATGTCAGATGAAGAACATCACTTCGATTCCAAAGCTGATGCTGGAGCATCAAAGACTTTCCCTCAGCAAGCTGGTACTATCCGCAAAAATGGCTACATAGTTATCAAGAATCGTCCCTGCAAGGTAATTTTTCTCTCCAATTTCATTTCTCTAAATTCATTTTTTTGTATGTTTTTCAGTATTGCATATGGGTATGTGTTATTTTTACCAGATCTCAAGTGTTCTGTTTCTTTTTTTTTTTTTTTTTCCTTTTCTTAATTCACTAGTGCGTGTGGATTTTGTATTTTTTTTTTCCTTTTTAGATTGGTGGGTTCAATCTGTATTGTTGTGGATATAAGAAAAGAGATAGTAATTTTGATTGTTGTCATATGCTGAGATGTGTTATTATTTTGGGGCTCTGTATATATGAAGTCTTTTCCTTTATTGTATGTTTTTAGACAATTTTAGTGATAGTTTCTAGATACCATAGAATTTACTTGGGATTTCCTATTTATAATTTTGCATCTCTGATAAAGTTTTGAGGTTCACATGGTGCATGTGTTATGTGAGATATTCACAGGTCCTCTTTTGTTTGACATTAGGAAACTGAGACCAAATGTAATATATATATAAAATCATGATTGATGTGCTCTTGGAAGATCCCATGAGCAAATATTACTCTTTTTTTGTTTTATCATTCCGGATATAGATTATGGCCTCCTGCATAACCAAGCATGGATTTGAATGTTATCGTGTTGTATGGAGGTATGAAATGCAGCACCTTTTTGAAATTTCCATATAAATGGTGTTATCTCATCTGTGCCCTTCTGCATCCACTTCTAATATATAGTTTTGAACATACTGGAATTTGTCATTTCACATAGTATTATGTAAATTATATAACAAAAGGTTGTTCATTTAAAATTTTCACGGCCAAATCTCTACTTAGAGAAATACGTTTATGGGTAGTAGGTTCACATGATGGCACAGTAGTAGCCATGAAGTCTGATGCTATTGCAGTTTCAGTTTTTAAATCTTTGTAATTTATAAATCATAACTTTTTTCGTTTACTTGTCTTGCTTTGTATGAGAATAGGTTGTGGAGGTCTCTACCTCAAAGACAGGGAAACATGGACACGCCAAGTGCCACTTTGTGGGAATTGATATATTCAATGGAAAAAAGCTTGAAGATATTGTTCCTTCATCCCACAATTGTGATGTAATGCCATTAATTACTTAGTTCATTTATCATGAATATGATTTCACAATAAATTACTTGGTTGGTTGGTCTTTTATTGATTCATTTGCTTTTTTCACAGGTTCCTCATGTGAATCGTACTGATTATCAGCTGATTGATATCTCTGAAGATGGCTTTGTGAGTTCATTTAATTGCATAGTTTCAGATAACCGTTTGAGGAAATGCTGTTACAGCTTCATCATTACTTCATCTATACCAAATTACCTGTTCTTTATTTATGATTGTTCCTCCTTTGATGTCTTTCTACCATGTGAACTTTTAATATGAATAGTGTAGACTATGCAATCTTCCGTGTGATTGATTCTTCTCATATAATAAGCATAGTTTAGATTTCACAGGGGAGTCTTTTCCTTGCCAAAAAATATTTCACAGGGGACTGCAAAAAGATGTGAATCACTTAGTAATGTCTCTAAAGTTTATAAACTTTATGTAAATTCTCATGCAAATTACATATTGCTCTCTGTTTTAGCAGGGTCAATGAACAATAATTTTAATAGACAGAGAATGTTTCATAAGACGGGAGGTTAACTAACAATGGTTTGATCTCCTGTAGGTGAGTCTTTTGACTGAAAATGGAAACACCAAAGATGATCTGAGGCTTCCCACCGATGAAAATCTGCTTAGCCAGGTATAACACATGCATTCCTTTCAAAGTGCTTGCTTTAGTACCTTTCTTACTTTGCTTGGGCACAGATTTTGCAATATGACTTGTGCAAATCTAAAACTGATTTTAAAACTGGCTCATATTTGCTACTTTTTCCTCAATCAGCTTTAAGGTGACAAAAGTGAAAGAAAAGCTGGTCCAACAGATTTCCTTCCGACTTTTTGAACAAAAGTCTCCTATTAGCAATAACAATGCCAACTAGTAGTGTCTTTATCTCCATATAAACATGTTGGTTAAGTTGTCTGAAAACTGAAAATTGTTATCTTGTTTCTATATAGATTAAAGATGGGTTTGCTGAGGGGAAGGACCTTGTGGTGACTGTTATGTCTGCAATGGGAGAGGAGCAGATCTGTGCTCTTAAGGATATTGGTCCTAAGAATTAAAAATGATGCTATAGCATTAGCCATAGCTGATGGTGAAACAATCTATTTATGTTTGCTGATAGAGAATTTTATCTACTATGAATATGTACAACAAACTTTTATTAAGATGGTATTTTAGCTTTGTAATCAAGACTCATAAGGCTTGTAATGAAGGAGATGGGAAGGGAACAGGAGCTGCTCATTTCTCGATCGAGCAAACTTGTGTGTCGGCAGGATGGAATATATATTTAAATATTTTGATTTTACCGGCTTCTGTGGATTTCAGATAAATAAAGGTATGTGTGATGACCATATCTTTTCCAGCTTGATGTTGATAGTTCTAAAATCCTATGGATGGTTTATATTATTATTTAAGGAAGATGTTTCATACCAGAGTTCAATCAATCTGACTGCCATTTTGGTTTCTTTTCTATGATTTCACAAATTGGGTGTTTATTTTTTATATCAATTTGATGAATTGGGCAGGAGCTTTGCTTGAAACTATTTGTTCTGTTTGGTATTGAAATTGAAAATTATTCCCTCCCAAGATAACCTTTTTATCTTTGTTGGATGAATTGGAATATTGGCAATTCAACTCCAAGTTGCATTAGATGCCTGATGTATGTTCCCCCACCCCAATAGAATAATGCATTTAATGGTTAACAAAATCCCTCACTCGTAAATAAACAAGGCAATCACATGCCTAGGAGCTTTTTTGTGTGTATATATATATTCCATACGATCCGTAATCTTTGTCCTAGTTTGATTTGTACACGAACTAAGAAAATTTAGTTAATATAATTAAAATATAAGTTTTGATTTCTTTTTTTTTTTAATATACCCTTCTGTTAATAGTATCTGTTAAAAGTAAATGATTCATATTAATTTGTTTTTTAAATTAGTCAAATATAATTAAATATTTGATTAAATAGAGTTTTCTTGAAAGATTAAAGTTGATTATACTATTATATTTGTTGATAATGAAACATAATAAGGGTAAAATAGTAAATTTTAACAACAATTTAGGATGGATAAAAAGGAAGATAGAATAAAAATTATGGGATGAAGGGAGTAATATACAAAATGGTTTCAAGAATTATGGCTTAGTCTATGCAAATAAAATATTTCTGCTGCAAGCTGTGTTAACGGTCCATCAAGTAACTTCTCACCATATCTCTCTACTGGTCATGCTTTTCTTCCTACACATTTGGTCCCAGTTTTGCTAATTTTTAAGAAAGCAACATCAGAGTAATGCATTTTATGATCACAGTACAGCACTTCATTTTCTAAACAGAAATGCGACCACTCTTGAGCCATTTACAACCGTAATTGCCAGTAATGATTATCGCAATACTATTGCAGCGGTAGCTTGTGGAATCAACAACGTCAAATGCTATGCGGAAATAAAGTTTGTCCCTTTATAAATTCAAATTGCACAAAATAGACTATGGAATTATTTGAGAAAAGTAATACAGGTTTCTAACTGTATGGAATAAACTAATCCTAACAGTAAGTTCCAGCATCTGGAAACAGGCAATATATTTGCTTTGTCTGTAACAGTATTATTTCAGAAATTAGAATACATTTCTGAATGTAAATACATGCAAATTGTTCCAAGCATTTATATATCAAAGAGAGCAGAAAATACAGCAGGAACCTACCAGCAAGCTATGACGAAGAAACTTTTCTGGAAGTGGAACTGCCGTAGATGTAGGAACCGAATCCCCAGACTGTAATGATTAAAGAGAGAATCTTGAAACCACTCATAGGATCATGCAACAAAATAACAGCAGCGATGCTTGTGAGTGGAACCCTCACTGCATTAAGAACACCAGCCATAACAGTAGAAGCCAAATAAAGCACACCAGTGCTTCCCAGAACCCCTAATTGAAAAGTAATGGCACCCCAGACAAGAACCAGGATATATGAAGCCTCACCGCCTTTGAAATTTCTAGCCTCAGATGCCATTCCTTGAAAATCTTTTTTCACAATCACCCCAATTGTAGTAAATATACAACCAAATAAAGAAACCATGACCTGCTGCTCCAATACAACGTGAAAGGACATTCTTCCCAATAACTTAACGAAAATTAACTCGGAAAGAGCGAAGATAAGCCCGTGAAGAGCAGATCCTAATATATCCCATATAAAACCTATTATATATTGACGGTCACTGATATTATCATATCGGTCAGAATCTGAATCCAATGCAATTATTGTCATAGCAGCAGTAATTATCACAATAGCATTTATCATTGAAGCATTAAGTTTGTTGTTCACAATAAAATACCCACAAAGAGCAGAGAATACCAGAGATGATGAAGCCAGGAGAGAGGCAGTTGATGCCGGAAGGTATGCATAGGCATAGGCAAACATCAAGTTGTCAGCAGCAGTTAAGAAACCCAACACAATGTAAGAAAGAACAAGCTGTAAGGTCAAAGGAGTAGGGAAAGTTTTACAAAAGAAGTAAGTAGGAAACAAAATTAAAACAGTTAAAGGCCACCCAGCAACTGCAACCCATGAAATAATCCACTTGCTTGTACCCCCATTTGCATAATAAACACGAGATAGAAGACTTGAAGCAGGAAATGCCACCAGCATTCCTCCAATGCTTAAAAGTAGAAGAATCCAATGTGAAATTGGTTTTCTTTTGTATGCTGCGAGAGCCTGAGTCGTCCAGTTGGATATTTTCTCCCATGTGGAAGGTTCTGCTGATTCTTCATTCATTCCTTCTCCTGAAATATTATAAGGATTTATGAGAAACAAAAATCGGAAGTAATTATTGTCAACTAAATTCTACTGATTGGTTGTCAGTCGATAGATCCAAATTGCAAGGATAAGTCCGTACAGGCGTGCACATGGGGACATACTCTCATTCTCTCAGTCAAATTCAATTGTTCTTGTTCATAGGGAATGTTCCAGTCATAAACCATTGAAGAGAATGAATGTAAGCGAATCACAACCTAGAAAAATATTCCATGTTCTGTTCGGGTGGGAATTTAAACTGGAAGGATTTGAATTTGAATAATAAGCTTTGATGAAGGAGAACCAAAATTAGTTCAAGAATGAACTTGAAGTACCTATACCTTCTAAGATTTTATCAAAGCATTTTCCCAACCTACTCTTTCACAAGTCTCTTTATTTGCAAAATTTGAATGAACTTAAAACTCAAATTTTTATGAAAATGTAGCCTCATAATATGTTCAGATGGAAGGATTTTCAAACACAGAATTCAGAAACGATTTTTAACAAAAATTAATCCAATGTTTTTAAATATTTTAAACTGAATTAGATTCAAGAAAAGATAAGATTTAATTGACAATTATAAGTCTAACCTAATTTCATAATTCAATCAATTAAAGAAAACTTCAATTTCTCAGTCTGAAAATTTTCCATCCAAAACCATTTCAAAAGAAAAAAAAAATCCAAATGCAAGGTGGCCTTGTACAGCTTGCATAGAACTTTATTCCCTGCACAACAGTGCCTGCCTTACAAGACCGGATACCTTTAGAAATCCAGTTGAAAAAAATATATTAATCAAAAAGATAATCTTAATCTTGAAATTGCTTAAACCAGCCAGTAAAATGCAGAGTGATAACTGATAACATATGGGTATTACATCAAAGCCTCAACAACACAGTTCATGATTTTAAATTCAATTATATTTCAGAAAGTTGAGAAGAAGATAAAATCAAATATCTTAGATAATTCAAACCCCATAAAAAAACCCAGCAATTGAAATCCAAATTAACTAAAAAAATCCTAAAAGAATATGAGGCTGAAAAAAAAAACCCAGATAGTAAACGAACAATTAAGGGTCAGTGAACGTAATTATAACGAAATTAAACTGATAAGTAAAAACAGAACAAACCTGTCTCCATAAGTGGCTCTTCAAGCATGACAGACTCTGCACAGAAGAATAATTCTTGTGAAGAGAAGAGAAAGTTCTCAGCTTTCTCTAATTCTTTCTCAGGCAGTAAAATTGAAATCGTGGGCCATGCAATTCATGCTGGTTAAGTGTTTTTAGAGTTGTGGCCATTTACGTACCTTTCTTTCTTTTATCTATTTATTTGTTTGTTTCTTTTTAAATAAAAAAAAAAAAAAAACCTGCGATCATTGACATTTGACACGAGAGACAAACATCAATTTATTTATTAATTGTTAATGTCGGATATTAAAAACGCCAAATACATGTGCTATATAAATCGTATTTAATTCCACGTGTCATTTCAATTCACCATGATAATGGCTAAATGAGTAAATATAACCTCGTACTTTTATAAGAAAAAAATTTATGGTAATTTTAATTTTTATTTTGATTTATTGTAAATTTTAATTTATAAATTTACTCGATTTGAATTTTTTTTATAAAATATAAGGATATATTTATATATTTAGCCCATGATGATATTCTATTGATAAATTGTATCTATGATTACCTAATTCAACACTTACTTTTATTTAAATTATATAATTTTAATTTGATTTTAATTTTCATTTTAATAGAAGCTTACTTATCTGGTAATGAGAATAATGATATAACACCAAAAGCTACACATCACAAACAAAGGAATACAAAAAAAGAAAATGAAAAATGCTATCAAATATAAATGATGGATTGAAAATCTTTTTCTCTTTTATTTTTTTCTGAAATTTGTTTTATGTAAATGATATTATTTGTTAAATAAATTAATAGGTACGTTCCAAATTAATATATTAGGATAAATTATGAATTTTTAAAACAAAATAGCATTTTATTTTTATTTTTATGTTAGTATTTTCGATGATGGTATTCCGGTCAATAACCTCAAAACAAATATCAAAATTTCATGACTAAAAAATAACAAATTAAAATTATATGAGTTTGAGAAATTGATTGACCGTTAATGTAAATTTACCTAGACTCCAATAAACTTAATGGCCAAAATGATATGATGGATTACAAGAGGTAATATTTCTCTTAATTTACTATATTGATGAAAACTCTCGTTGTTTAAAGGAAATTCAAGATCTTTCAATTCTCGTACTAGTGAAAATATACAATTTTATAACTTTTTTAATATGAAATCCATTTCCTAACTCTGTTCTTTTTAATGTATAAATGTATCTGTGTGATTTGCTTCTATTGGATTAATATACCATTTTGTCATTAAAATGTCTCATAAAAATGTACTTACAAGTATTAATAGATAGTAAATTTGTACGGGATCGACCTACAGATGTTAACTCAATTATCAACGCAAATAGGATATGTGAGAAGAGCTATTAAATTTTATCTCCGCTAAACACACTTGCATGAAAGGGTGAAAAGTTTTAATTATCACTAAGTCCAAGATGTAAATACCTATAATTTAAAAAATATATATAATCATATGGATTCGGGTTCACTTCATGCTTTATGCACAGGATTTGAATTTAAAATTTACAATATCATATAATAATACAGTGTGTTTATTTATTATTGGGTAAGCCACAAACTATGATTTGTGAAGAAAATGACAAGCATTACGGGTCAATTCTTCACGTTTTCTTTGTCTCAGCATTGTTTATAAGTACTCTAGAATCAAATTTTCAAATAGGTAATTTTGTATCACAATAAACATTTTTTTTAATTTATAATAATATAATATAATTTCAAATATATTTCTATAAAAAAAGAATGGACACATATATGTTTTAATTTTTTTTTAAAACAAAATCGAAATTATCTACCGTAATTTGTTATTCAGGGAGATAAAAAAAAGCTACAAAATAGATTTTCTCGTTCAATTTATCATATAAACTTATAATTCATTAGTACTTTGTCCTAAAATACCTAAATTCACACAAAATTTTAAATAAATTCAGAAAATTTTTAAATAATAAATTATAAATTCAGAAAACAAATTAAAAAATCGAGCTTATAGTTTTTTTTTTTAAGGGATAAATGCCGTTTATTTCTCTTTTTTTTTTTTTAACATTTTATTTCTCTTTTTTGGTTCATATCGTAGGAGTAAATTTTAATATTATTTCTTCAGGGAATAAAGGCTACAGATAAAAGGACAAATTGTCATCACTATGTCAGAGTCGAAGTTACCAGTAACAAACGGCCACCAGCGCCGTTATAGAACACGTCAAGTCAACAAAAGCAATGCCGATTCATCCCACTCACCTATAGTAACGGAGAAATCGACGCCGTCCGTTATCCTCCACTCACCCAAAAAACCACCTGAGTCAATTCTAGTCAAAGACACATATACCCCCACCGCCGCTAGCTAAGCTCCCTCTCTGTCTCTCTCTCTCTCTCTCTTCCCCCCCAAAGCAAATAATCCGATACGCAAACATTCGATTACCACCATCGATCCTTAAAGTATCGGTATCGGGTCTCAATTTCTCGGGTTTAGTTTCGGACACTATAAAAGAGTAGCATTCATTATAACTGTTCTGAAAACTTTACTCTCTCGTAATCGGCCATGGCTGACAGCGAGAGCCTCGAAGCTCCCCAAGTACAACAACAAAGCCAACAAAAACGACACGATGAGGAACAAAACGACAATTTAGACGACGACGAAGAAGAAGAATTAGAAGACGACGAAGAAGAGGACGAAGACGACGAAGAAGAAGAAGACGGTCAACTAAGCGAGTTACAACAACTCGTCCAGTTATCGAACTGTCAAGTGGAGGAGGAGTTCAGGGAGTCGCAATTGGAATCGTTGGTGGTGCCGCCGCCTTCCACGGCGATATTATCGGAGAACGATCAGTGTATAGGTAGGTTTTCTTTTGGAAACAGTTAATTTTTTATTTTGGAAACATTTGTTTTTTTAGGTTGGACTTGTTGTGAGAGTGGTCGTGGGTGATCTAGCAGGTTTACAGGGTAACTCAGCTTTGGAAGCGCGTGAAGAAGCTGAACTCAAGGTAGAGAACTGAATTTATTACGTTCTAGTTATTTTATTTATCTCTGTTTATTACTTTTTTTATTTTTCTTTCAAGCGTATTTGCTTCCTAATTTGATGGCTACCCATAGTGTGAAAATGCTTTCTTTGCTAACTGGAGTTGTTTATTACTTTATTTATTTTTCTTTCAAGCGTACTTGCTTCCTAAGATGGCTATCCATAGTGTGAAAATGCTTTCTTTGCTAAGTGGAGTTTAAAGAATTGATAGTAGTTTTTGTTGCTGGTAGGTTTTTCTTTCTTGAATTTAAGGATTTCTGTAAGTGATAATGACCACTTGTTTAGATTCTCACTATGTGTGACTTGACTAGAGGTTTTATTAGTTGGTTTAGGTTACATGGAATTTTGTTATTTTAGATGCTTTAAGTGCCGCGTGAAAGTTTGTATTGGAATTATCCACTGGAAAGTGGTTTCATTTCTGGGGTTTGAGGTGCTTGTAGAAAGAAAGCAAGATTGTAAATATTCTGTCAACGTGATAAATCTGTAAATGTTGTGGAGATTTTCCTTGAAGCAGCATATTATGTTCGAAAATTATAGTTTAAGGCCCAGATTGTGGGTGTAATTAACCACAAAATAAGATTTAGTAAAGGTATTTGAAAGATGAAACTGTTGACCATTTTTTGGAACTTTGGAGACTGCTGCAGTCTATTAGAACTTTGGATAATGCAGTGAAAATGGTGCAATAATTTGGTATTGAATTGAACCATAAAGTGAGGCCCCATTGAGTTTGTATTTGAATAAAAAATTGAACCAAATGACTGAAATACTGGTAAATTTATGGAGATAATAAGATTAGAATGTGAAAGCAGAGAAAGGTTGATAACATACTAAGGTAGTTTTCTGAATGTTGAGCAAGTTTTTCATTTGAATTGGAGAAATAATAATTGCTGAAAGTGTAGAACTAATCCTTTCAAGTTAACTGCAATTTGTCATATTTGAGAATGGAGATATTTTCTGGAAGAATGCGCATAAAACCCATGAGAATGCATCTTTAATATAGAATTGTAGGATCCCAAATCATCCTTGAAAGTTGAAATAGTCTTTTGGTGCTTTTCTAAATAATAATAAAGAAGCAATTATAACCTTTTCTCTAATTACTTTGGTTAAAACCTTCAACTTGAATTAAGAGAACAAAAAAGATGCTTTCATCATGCACTTATGGCATATCCACTCATCTTAAAATAACCAATCAAGTACGGGACGAATGCTCAAATGACACCTAGAAACACCTCTTTCCTTAGCAAGATTCAGACCTTCATAAACTGCCCGTAGCTCTGCAGTTTGAACAGAGCTCCGCCCCTAGTTACCAATAAAACCTGCGAGCCATTGACACAGATCCCCACGAAGAAGACCTCCTCCATAGGCAAGGCCATTCCTACCCTTCATTGCCCCATCTGCAATGATTTTAACTCAACCCTTTTGGGGGCCTCCAACCAATCCAAGGATCTTCCTTCCTATTCTCAAGACTTGAAACATTAAAGAGGATAAGAGTATCACAGAGTTTCTTGCCAAGCTGAGGATACAACTTACAACCTCTTCAACCCTAGAGGGGTCACTTTGCAAAAGACTCTTATTTCTGTGAAGCCATAAACACCAACAACTCATCCCATCGGCCAACCAATACCAGCTACCACAAGATATTTATGCAATAAGTTTCAAATCAGCCAGTCTCTGATAACACCATCCGAATTAAAAAAAACCAGTTCCACTTGGATGGGGGGTAGAAAGGAGCACCAACTTGAAGAATAAAAGGCAATCATGGATAGCATGACTGATAGTTTCAAACTGGCCAAAACAAAAATCAGACACCTAGCTCTCCTCATGGTTGGTCAATAATCTATCATGCAGCACCATCCAAAGGAAAGTAGAAATTCGTTGGGGACCTTTCCATTTCCAAAGAAGACGCCAGTACTGATCCTCAACAGCAAAATGATCCTCCATTAAATTAGTATACGCAGATATAATGCAAAAGGAGCCCAATTTAGGAGGATTTCCAATAAAAATTATCATCTTCACTGGATGGGATAGGAGGGGGACAGCAGCTATGGCCAAGATAACAAAATGAGAAGAAATCTCGAGGCACCCCAGATAAACGAACGAGCAAGTTTTTCTATTTCAGAACAATCATTAACTGGCAGACTTGTAATTCCAGAGTATAACAAGGGACAGCTGATACACTGATTAAGCAAGGGTAACTCATCCTGCAAAGGAAAGGGTTTTGGTGTTCCAATCAGTAAGCTTGGAAGGCCATATATTTAGTTGTGGGATTGGATCAGAAATAATAGGGTGTCAGAAACCATGCAAATTAACTTTCTGATGAAACATATATAATTATAAAAATTCACCAGTTTTTGTAACAGATTAAGCACAACATACATTTCAGTAATAACTTCTTATGGTAGGTGTTAAATATTTGCTTAAATTTAATTTTCTAGCTCAAAGTTTAAACATGCAAGTACTGAAGCAGAAGATATTTCATATAATTTCTCAAAGACATGATGTGGTTTCCAGAGAAATTTGTATGAGGGTGCAAAAAGAAAAATCACAATATGCACCACAGGTCACCCTATCAAACAACCAGGGAAAGAGGAAAAAATAGGCAGCTAGATTCACACTTACATTGCAAAAATTACTACAAGTAGGGGGAATATAACTAGAAAAAAGAAATTTAGAGATAAAGGAATTTGATACTAACAAATAATAAAGGGTTTTTTTGTTTGTTTTTGATATGGGCTTTTGCTTTCTTGATTCCAAATGCAATTTTGACTTTATGATATAAATTAGAAAAAAAAAAAAAAAAAAAATGAAATAAAATCACAAGCAGTCTTTGAAGTTAGGTGCACAAAGTGCAAGATTTTATATATAGTTTTGTTTCTAAAGCTCCAGTTGATGCTTTTCCGAACTGCACTTTGGAGTCTGGATACATCTGTATGCTTTTGAAACAGTCCACAACTAATAACATGAGCTCTTGTTTGCTTCATTGATGAAATTTGAGTTTGTCAATCTCAATGGCCGTAATTTCTTCTCATTGTATGTATTTGTTTTAATATTTTTAAGAAGCAAGATGGGCCGTCGCAGCCGAAAGTTTCGAGAAGTGTAACAACTCAGGATGGTGAAACGCAGGCCCAAAATTGGCTTCAATCTTCTCAATGCCCAACTTCCTTGTCAGAACTTTCACCAACTTCTGTTACACAGCCGATATCATCTGCTCCAAGTCCACCTCTACCAGAACCAAGACTGTCACCCTCGAACGTTAACAGTGCATGTATACCAGGAGCTGATCAACGAACTTCTTCTAACCTTAAAAGTATTCCTGTTCCTATCATGAAAACACGTATTTCTGATGGTTACAACTGGCGGAAATATGGTCAGAAGCAAGTGAAGAGTCCTAAAGGTTCTCGAAGCTATTACAAGTGTACATATTCTGACTGTTGCGCTAAAAAGATTGAGTGTGCTGATCACTCAGGCCATGTGATTGAGATTGTTAATAAAGGAACTCACAGTCATGATCCACCTAGAAAGAATAACTGCACAAGGGAAAACAAGATAGCATCTGGCCCAGTTGTGGGCAATAGTGTAACAGAACATCCCATTAGCACACTTAAGGATTCAGATCAGGCAACATTGCGAAAAGAATCTATACAGGCAATACCCGTGATTCCCGACAAAAAGCGACAGAGTTCAAGTGGCTCTGATGGGAATGAGAAAATTCAAATCAAAGATGAGCTTGCCAGTGAGCCTGAAGCAAAACGAAGGTGAGGTTTCCATGAATTTTATTTCTTATGTAATACTAACACTTTCTGACATATAACTGCGGAAAGGAGCACTGGAGATAATTTAGTTTTAATATTTTTTCTCCTTGTTGACCAGAGTAAAGAAGGAGAACTTAGAATGTTCAGGAACTCTCTTAAAACCAGGAAAGAAACCTAAATTTGTTGTGCATGCAGCGGGTGATGTGGGAATCTCAGGTGATGGGTACAGATGGCGCAAGTATGGACAAAAAATGGTGAAGGGAAATCCCCATCCCAGGTGCATGTTTATTTTGCTGTTTTCTCTTTGCATCCGAAAACTTTGACCTGACAGTTTTCTAGACATTAACATGAGACGTGTAACTGTGAATTACAGAGAAGTTCTTTCTTAGTAATTGTCCTTGCTCATCTTCATTTTTTAATTCATTTTATCATGGTGGAAGAAAATTTGGTGAAGAAATGAGAGGGGATTTGAGTTATTATTCTCATTTGGGCGATTCCCATGCTTCTGTTTTCTTTTGTATATGAACTCGTATTCTGTTTATGTGTATTTGGATAAGTGTGTTGTGTAGGATTTTAACGAATCACTTAAAATCTGAGAGAATCAAAATTGGAATGGTACCTTTCATGATTGTTAGAAGAAAATTAGCATTTATTCAATGTTCTATGTCCCACAATTTGATGACTTCATCATAGGATTGATGTATGGTAGTATTGTCAAAATGAATGCTTCAGTATATTATACTTGGGATTCATTCACCTTCAGTTTCGATTCTATATAAAGAGTACAGAGGTAGAGGCAGGGTCTGAAATGTGGTAAGAGTGGCTCATTTGATGTCTTTCTAGTGTGCAGCAATCATGATTTACTGGAGTGTAGCACTTGCAATATTATTAGAAATTTATCTATTATTGAAGCTTTTCATTACACCTGCCGAAGTCCCTTCGATTTTATTTTAACTAGCTCATTTCTAGATGCTACAGCTGTTTGTCTTCTTGCTTAATTCTTCTAAGTTTGAAAATCGGTGTACTTTGTGTTGATTAGTCTTCAATCCTAAGATGGTGTTTTTGATTTCCTCTTTGATGTTGTCGCTGTTCTTAACTGAGGGACTCATGTTAGTAATGGTCAATTGGCAGCCTTGCCTATTCCAGTGTCCCTATTAGAAAAGGGGAAACCAAAAAAGGATGAAGTGTTCAAAAGTAAGTCAAAGCATTTTCACTCGTAGGTTATGTAGTTTTTTGTCAAAACGCACAAGACCCTTCAAGGATGTTATTCACCATATCAGTTCAAGTGAATGTTGACGAGTATCCTATAATGAAACATTGCCTCTGCAACTTATGGGTGTATAAACAGTGGAGAATAATATCACTTTTTTTTTTTTTGGAGGCGTCTATGATTTGTGCTAGGTTGGATCTTCTGGCTAGGTACAAGAGGTTGAACTGAAATCTTGGCATTATGGTATGAACATCAGTTGTAACTTTGAAGGGCCTCATTTGTTAATGCCAAACAAACTTTAAGTAACTTACTAGAAAATTTTCCCATTATTTTTGTATCCATAATAGTGCGAAAAGAAGGCCAGACTCCAAGTTGTTGGGGAATAGTGGCATTGAGTTTAATCATTAAAAATCTAAGAGCTTTAATGGTTCATTCCTGTTTCAAGTTACTACTTGCAAATTTAATTTTGCTAGTCCATTTGTTCCTTTATTCCAATTTATTGCTGGAAACACATTTTACAGGAACTACTATAGATGCACTTCTGCTGGGTGTCCAGTCCGTAAGCACATTGAAACAGCAGTAGATAACACAAATGCAGTTATTATCACGTACAAGGGCATACATGACCATGACAGGCCTGTACCGAAAAAGCGACATGGTCCGCCAAGTGCTCCCCTTGTTGCTGCTGCAGCTCCTGCGTCAATGAACAACTTGCAACTCAAGAAAACTGATACATTCACGAACCAAGGAACTCCAACGCAATGGTCAGTGGGGAAGGAAGGCGAATTAACTAGTGAAACCTTGGACCTTGGAGGCGAAAAGGAGAAGGCAATGGAATCAGCTCGAACTCTTCTAAGTATCGGATTTGAAATCAAGCCTTGCTGATTGGTTCTTCTCTTCACTATATGAAAAGATCATCTGCACACAGGCAGGCAGGCCTCACTTGAAAGGCCCACAGACCAATCTGGCTCGCTTGAAAGTCATGTAGCTGTTAGATGCGAATCAATTACCATTGAAATTATCAGGTTTGATTTTTTTTTTTCCCCCATTTTCATGTATCTTTCTTACTCTTTTTTTTTATTATTAGTTTTATCTTCAAGTTTACTTCTTCCTTCAGCCTTTGGTCAGATAGCTGTATATTTAGTATGTATGACATCAGGAATCATTTAGAACTTGGTAAGCTAATAGTATTGGAACATAGAATTGGTTGCCATGCCCATCTTTCGTTTATAATGGTTGGGACCCATTTCCAGTCTCCATTTTAGGTGCAGCTTCTCATATTTTAATATTTGAGAACCTTTATATATCTTCAAATTTACTCTTCCTTCAACCCTTTTGTCAGATAGCTGTATATTAGTATGTATGACATCAGGAATCCATTAGAATGTAAGGCTAATATATTGGAACATTAGAATTGGTTGCCATGCCTCTTTCGTTATATATGTTGACCCATTCCAGTCCTCCAATTTTAGTGCAGTGCTTTCTCATTATTTTGTACATATTTGAGAACCTTTATATATATAGTATAAGTATATACTATATATATTTATATATATATATAAGCATTTCATTAACCTTAAAAACTCAAGGGGTGAGACGTTTGAGAACAATTTTGGTATCTTTAATACCATTATTATAGTTTTTGTTTAACAAATGTAGTTCCAGATAATTACATGTCTAATGAGTTATGATTCGACATACAGTAATATATCAAAAATTTACAGATGTGAAAGCTGAAACTTTTTCACTGTACTTCACATGGTAAAATAATGAAAATAAAACTTACGGGAACCTTTTTTCTTCTGTTCAATGAAAACTCGATTTTCTTCAATGCTTTTTTGAGCATTGAGGAAATTATACTTGTACTGAATTTTAGACCGACTCACCTAATAGTATTACTATTCTTTATAAATTCTCATTAAGTAAAATATTTTAATAATTTAGTATTAACCTCTCGGATCTGAATTAAATCTGATTGATCAATGCAAGTTGTTTTTAAAGGGTAAAAAAAAATTTTTTTGAATGATGTCCCACTTGTCAAATAGAGCATCCTGAAAACCAAGCATACGCAGGACAAGAAGGACATGAAGGTGGAAGCACTGACGCAGTTCATGCACATTTTTTTTTTTTTTTTTTGACACATTTTTTTTTTTTTTTTGGGTTTTTTTTTTTTTTTTTTGGGTTTTTGTGTAATAATAAAGAGTGGGGCTATGCATTGCATTGAAGGCTGCCGCCACCACACATCCACCAACCAATGGATTCAGCGTCACTCTTAATCTGTAAATATATTTTCACATGCGTTAGGCCTTTTAAAGCATTTTACCATTACTATTGCTGGAGAAGTAAAAAGGTTGGGTAAAGGATTGGATTGAACGATTGGCAGAGGAAACTTGAAAAAGAAAATGAAATGGGAATTAGATAAAAATACTGGTTTTTACCTTGATATCTAAATTTGCTAAACGAGCTCCAGTTTCTGCTAATATCGATAGCTATGGTGGTCATTAGATGGTGATAGATCTGATTTCAAAGATGATTTTCCTGAATCCTGATTACCAACACTTTCAACTGTACAAAAAATCGTACATTAATATTTTCAAGGCTCTCATGAACAGGCCCTACCGACAGCACAATCACCGGTTGATTTAATTCATTTTTAGAATCTACAATCTAGGAATTCATTAAGCATACGATTTCTTGAAATTTTATACACAAAAAAACAACTTCATTGCTACCTGAGTAGCCGTGAATTAGTAGTTACTAGGATATATAAACTGATGACTGAACCTGGTGTTCCGGCTCTGCGTGCCACCAATCATTATCATTCCGACGAGAAATTCAATTCATCCATAGCTATCGATATTTTGGATTCAATCACACCATCTGTTGTTGTCTTATCTTCAACCTTTGTGCCATTTTCTTCTTTCCCTTCTGCTGCATTATTCATACATTCCTGAAATCTGAAGCAACCAATGAGATGATCGTTCGTCAACCCAGCTGCCTGCATGAATGAATACACCACTGTGGGCCCCACGCTGCGGAATCCCCTTCTCACTAAATCCTTGCTTATTACGTCAGCTTTTGGAGTTTTAACGGGAATCTGACGAGGATATCGGAATCTGCTAACTATAGGTTTGTAGTTGACAAAGCTCCAAATATACTTGTCAAATGACCCGAATTCATCTATGACCTGGCATCAATAAAACCTGCAATAAGTTAGTTCTAATGGTAATTATAGCAAGTGTGTGATTGTGGCACTAACTTCAGTAACAAAGTCTAGTGGTTAATAACTAGTTGCCATCGAATCAGGCAGACAATTTGTGAGAATTAACAGCTAAGCAAGTTGGCATTTTTAAGAAAATAAATAAATCATCTTGTATGTGTAACTCCTGACAAGATAAATATAACAAGGTCAGGTCAAGTTGTATGGTTGCAATACTATAAGTTTGTCCTATATGGTTCATATATATGCTAGGACCACCATTCAACTACTTTTCACCTAACCTACCTGAACAAATGATCAATAATCACACAACATGTGTCGTTTAAATGCTTAGACAATCAGCGAACATCTAAGCCCGCAAATATGAATGCAGATGGTCCAATTAATGCATTGGCAAAGAAGACGGATCCATAAATTAATCCACTTGTCAAAGAAACAAACTCGATGAATACTATCAATTAAGATTGACATTTAGCTAAAACTTGATGTAGCATTCCCAAAAATTAAAAAACAAACAAATGCATACATAATAGTCGGTCAGCTTCTTTTATATATACAAGAACAAGGAAATTGCAACGGAGTCCATATGAGTGTCTTCCATTGAATAGTATAAAATAAAGTTGGAAGAAAAATGAGAATCTACCTTCGATATTTGGCGTGCATTCTCAATTACAGCACGCAATTTAACTTCTGATAATAAGGAGTTTGCTGTGCTTCCAGGTGCTATTATCTTCTTCTCATTAAATTTTGAGACAGCAACTGGATCAAAATCTGCAAAAACTTCCCTGCACAAAAAAGCTTATTAGTGAATGATATATAGCAAAATGACCACAGTCTAATTGATCTCCTTCAACTGGGGAAGAGAATGTGAGTAGAGGGATAAGATGAAAACATAGTGCCTAGATAAGATTGTTAATGATGAATGTATAATACAGTATAAATAATACCTAAAGATGTGTCTTTTGCTCAGAATGGCAGGCCAAGTAAGTTCAGCCAGAGCACCTGAAAGAACCAAAAGCTCAAACAATTTCCTGCATATGGACAAGGAGATCAAGGAAATAACTTTTAGAACATAGAATAGCATCAGGAAAGAATGGGGACTTCAGCTATTAGACAGATGTTAACAAAATTCTGTGATCACATACTTGTCATCATGTACTGGAACTCCCCATTCTTCATCGTGGAAAGCAGCATAACATGGATCTGATTTCAGCACAGGAAAAAACCAATCAGCAATGGAACTTCATAAGGGCATATTTGAAGTATCCGGAAAACACTATGGTGTTTTGCAACTGATATGTATTTCTGTTTCACCTCCATCAGATCTGGTATTTTAAGCCATTCACATATAGCAGGGTATAGTGTTTCTTTTTTTCTTTTTCCTTTAAAGTTTTTCATGACATGTTATACACAATACAATTTCAAAATTATTCTCACACCAACCCAAGCAGAAAACGATAGATGAATGATATCATATTGGAAGGAGAGGGGATGGAAAACAGCATGTTTGTTTTTCAAAAAATATTTAATCCTCATATCAAACTTAGGTCATAACTATATAATTGAAGCTCATGTTTCTCTTTTCAAACCAAAAAATAAGGAGATTATTTTATGCTGATCTGATAGTTGCATATGCTTTCTAGAAGGCTATAAGCAGAAGGCATAAGACCACAAAAGAAAACAAAAGTTAATAACTTGACATGTTGGGAAGTAAAATGATCAGATAGAGGGCTACATGACTTATTGTGACATCAAATTGTTAAAGACTGACAAATGGCAGTTGGCAAGCATTATAAATTAGATAGCATAAATGCACCCTGGTTTTTCTTTTATGCAGTGACATTGAGATTGTTACAAAAAAAACAGAAGAATTAACCTGACCTATTTTTTGGTGGTTTGGCTCAGTTCTTCAAAATTATTGCAGTATCTAGGTTAAATGAATGAGGACTATCTTTTGCAAACACAAAGCAAAAAAACATTCAACAGCACAAATTAACTCACCTAGACTGTATTATAAACCACCACATCATTTAACTGCATCCTTGTGCATCATACATTTCAATATATCAATATTTCTAAAAAAGACCTCCAGCCCAGATTTTATCATGAACATTGTTACAATCAAACCGCCAAATAAACACTTTTGTTCGCATGTTCTATTGGCCTAAAGTAAAAAGAAGTTAGAATCATTTCAGTTCTGAGCGAATTAAGAAATGGTATGAAGCTGTAGACATGTTGGTTGAGGGTAACTGATGAAACAAGCCATTCCAAGCAAAAAAAAACCTAGTTAGAACATCCTTTAAAAACTATCTGCTGGTGCAATAGCATTTCCATCTTTCTAACCATATCCAATTTCACATTTAGGGACTATGGAACTTAAGAGGTAAGCATAACAGCAATTCCAAAATAAACCACTAAAGTCCTATTACAAATTTATAAGGTTGGTCTCCAATGACAATTCTATTTTGTACTTCATATAATTCGCAGACAAACTGCAAAGCATGTAATAACACCAATATGAACATTTTCTATTCCATAAAGTATTATAATTCTGCAAAATTATAACAAATAACTCAAAACTCAAAGAACCAAGAACGCACCAGTATTTGGTGTTACCCATGCACAGCTCTTCTTGGGCTGTGAACCGCCAGAAGGTGGTGGAGATTCTAAACCCCCATCAGAAACAACACTTCTTGGCTTTGAAGCATATTGCTTCCTCCTAACTCCACAACTATTTGACCGTGTCAACCTCCCAGTGGATGCTCGGCTATGGAATGAATCCGTGGAGGCATCAGATGAACAAGAAGCATTCAATGATAAATTCGAATGCAACAACTGCTCATGTCGACGAAGCACTGAAGGAACACTAGCGGAATGTGATTTGGGGGATAAAGCACTGACAGTAGACACATTAAGTGCTTTCTTCTCTTCACCTAATGCAACTTGCTCAGGTGATGTTTCAACCTTTCTCAGTTGTTTTGAGACAGTTTTCCTTGCGCTCAATGACCCTGCCTTGTTGTTTCCAGTGGGTCCTAAAACTGGTCTGGTCTCAGAATCCGCCACATTCATCGACCTCACCCTTGGAGCTCCCGACATCCTTTAGCACCTTATGTTTAACACTTAAACAGTGATTTTCTAGAGATCTTTAGCTTATTTCCCTCGAAAAAAACCTGAATTTCTCAAATTTGCAAACTTGCCACGTTTAAATCTTCCATGAAATTGAACAAACCAGCGGAGGAAACCCACCAAGAGAATTCACTAGTGCCCCCATTTTTCCCCCATTTGCTGAAATCAAATCAGCAAGAGAAGTTTAAATATCAAAACCCTATATGGGCTACCCATTTCAAGTAAACCACATTAATCAACCATAATGTTTAAAGCTACACCAGAACAGATCTTGGCTTTTAACTCTTACAGCTCAAATTTAAGCTACTAAAACTACCAATATTTTCTCAAAAATCGAATATCCACCTCACAAAACCCACCAAAACCCTACCATCTGTACCATCAAATCAGCTCCCCAAAAAATTTCCGTAGAAAAGCTCTAGACATCAAAATGAATTTAAAAGAGAAGTTTCGAACTTTATACCAAAGCTAAGGGTTTTTACACGGAGCTCAAAAGATCAAAAATGAAAAGAAAAAGAAAACTTGAAGATATATTCAAAACAATGACAGATAAAAAGAGAGAGCCTCGAAACATAAAGATTCCGTCCTGCATTGTTAAAAACGAGATAGAAAGAGAACTGAGAAACTATATTACCTCCCAAAACGAAATAAAAGATGGGTTTTTAAAACTGTGTCGTTTCAGTCTCTTCACATAATGCTGACCCATTCCCTATGGAATTTACAGTTTTCATGGCTTCTTTTTTTTTCCTTTCCTTTTTTTTCCGAGAGAACGGAAGAGAAAGTTGCAGCAAAAATGCTACTGCTTAGAAATTGAAATCGATCTAAGAGAAGGGAATTGTAACTCTTCTAGGCGTGTATATAAATGACAGAGAGAGGGGTAAAGAAAGAATGAGTGTGGGAGAGAGACTGAAGATTGTTTTTTTTTTTTTTTTTATTTTTTTTTTTAATGGACGAACTAGGACAGCGTTATTTAGCCGGCCTATGTCCAGTCCGTTCTTTCCTAGTTTCTTACACTCCCATTTAAGACAAAAGAGAAACTTACAAAAATAATAACAAAGAAACATTATACATTACCAAAACAAAAAAAAAAGTAATTTTTTTTTTTTTTTTTAATGGAGACACTAGGACAGCCGGTTATTTTACCGGCTATGTCCAGTTATCCGTTGCTTTCCTAGTTTCTTACACTCCCATTTAAGACAAAAGAGAACTTACAAAAATAATATACAAAAGAAAACATTATAACATTTACCAAAAACAAAAAAAAAAGTAAAATATTATAACATTTTTCATAAACTGACAACAACTCGTTATGTTCTAGTTTTTATTTTTAACTTAATTGTAATATCAAATTTGGGATTTAAAAGATAAAAGATTAACAGAAATTTTGTTAATTTTTATTAATATTTTAAATATTATCTTTTATTAATGGAGAAAATTTCTTTAGCTAAATGCATTTTTATCAGAAATTTATAATAGACAATTTTATTCAATAAATTATATCACATGTCAATATTCATTCTATTTATTTTATCTATTTAATTTTTTGTTATATTATACATCTTTTTTAAAAAATCTCAAAATTTTCTTATAATTTTCTTTTTATTCAAAATAAAATCAACAAAAATAGAGCGAATGAAATAAAATAGAAACGTCACTATTTAAATAAATTAATTAAGTGAAAAAATAAAATAAAATAATTCATTTTAATATTTGAACAAACAATTTTGGTCAAACATAATTAATTATAAAAAAATTCATTAATTCAAGCACTTAATTGATAAAAAAAAATTAATTTGAGACAGTAAAATTGGAAAATCGTTAAAGTTTTAAAACTGATATCATAATTATTTGAGATTAATTTGTAGTCAAAACTTAAAAATAAAAATAAAAATCAATGAATTTTTATTGATTTTTTCTTCCATTTTCCATATTATTCATAGGATGTTTAATTTTTTTGATTATATCAATAATAAAATATCACTAATATGTTTTATTTTTTAAAAATATACTATACACTTGCAAATAAAATTCTAAATTGGAATATGATGATTCAAATTTTTTAAAAATGAGTGGATAATAGTAAAAGTTCTTAAAACTAATAAACATAGTACTATTAGTTCTTAAAAAAAATGAATAAACTGTATTTATAATTATGTGAAAAGCATTTCATATTACTTCTTTCTCTTCTATTACAAAAATGAAATTGTATAATTTTAATTTATTGAAATCCTCATAAAAAATTGAACTATTCTATTATCATGATAGATAGGTATGGCCCAACTAAATTTTTACAAGGTTTGAGAGTTGTAATGAAGAATTTATTAATTTTGGTCTATTTCAACAACCTAAAAATACAAACAGCTTCAAGGTTCTTTTCACCATTCCAAGAAAAGCATTACTTACTAGTGAATAGTGATTAGTTATTTTTACCTTAATAGGATATAGGACAAATAGCAAGGTAATCTTCAAGTGGAAAAAGAACCAAAAAGAAGCCAACAATGCAAAAAGGGTTACAATGTAGTTTTAGCCATTGGGACCAATCCATAATTTTAGTTACTTTGACCAATAAGAATTTACCTGTGTGAGCTATCACATTATTTGAGAGAAACTCTAGACGCTGTCGAAGTAAAAAATTGTCAATAGTCGCAGAGAACAGGCAATTCCGCAGGGAGATTTTGAAATTGCAGAGGCTTGGTTCGATCAAGCTGCGGAGTATTGGAAACAAGTCCCTTATCGTGGATTCTGGTCACTAAGATAAGCTGATGTCTGCAAATCAATGGGCTCTGAGCTGATGTTTTTTCCAACATTTTCCAATAATCCCAATTTCACCCTTTGTATGCTGGTCTTCAACTCATATTCTCTGTTTTCTTAATGATAATCATGTAAAGTTAGATACAGGTAAGTATGAAAAGCAAAGTCAGAAGTCAGAAATTTGTAATGATGCTGAAATTTATTTGCCTTGGATTCAAGGACTTCGTTCCAGTGAATCTTGTGAAGAATTCCACAAATTTCATCAACCACATCCTCAGAAATAATAAACATTTCTCTGCTAATAAAATTAAAATGGGGTAAATCAATTTATCACCTTAAATGAAAATACATGATTTAATCAGTAACTACACAGATCTTTAACTACACGATTTTTCCAGAAAATATAAGAAAAAGACTGAGTTTACTGTCAACAAGTCCATCCAAAAAGCACTGCCTCACAACTGATAGAAAAGCATTATAGCTTCATGCCTAAACAGCACATAGCCCGTTACAGAATCCGGAAACTGCACCTGCAAGAATCACATGTTAATAACCACATGAATTAGTGGTAGCAGGTAGTAAGGCATTCAAGGGATGGATAACATGTCTCATTGCATAAATAAAGAGTGCAAATAGAAATAATAGTTCTACACATAGCACAAAGATACACAGTACAGTGTGGTTTTAGTTATCGAGACATCAATCATTTTACCATAGAAAACCACATCAAACCTAAAAATAATGACACAAATTGCTTTAGTTTCTATAAAATATGAGTCCAGCCAAAAAGTTGATAAATACCTGAAAAAAAAAATATTAACTTAAAAAAAAATAAAACAACAGTTAAATATATATAAGTATTGTCCGTAGGTTTTTCAGTTTGTCGCCATAGACTTAGTTTGGCCAATATGGCTTGTGCTCCAGATTAAATAGTGGTTTAAAATGGTTTTGCATATTATTCTTTGCATATTCAATCCAAAAAAGCGTCTTATGTTCCAAATAATCACATTTTGTCCCATTCAATGATTAAGAAATCTGATGCTGACATCCCCACCAAACCATTTCTATACAAGAATGTTTTACATTCCCGTTTTTATTTCACAGATTGAGCCACAGTCCAGGAACCCTTGTACATCTCATCTCGCCATGCAATATACTTCATAATGTGTACTACCCCAAAGAAATCTTCTCTAAAAAGACCCTTATCAAGCCAACCTAAAAAGGTTGGAAAAGCAGCATCTCTCAGCAATGCCATTCTGATCCTGATCACCCTCTCTCACTTAATTGGCAGCTATGCAAGTCACTATCTCCTCTGTTCTCAACCTTTTACCATATATATTTTTAAGGACGGAAATGGTTTTCTCTTTTATAGTGATATCGGATTCATTAAAAATCTATTTCAAAACTAATTTAAAAATACTAATTTTTCAGTAATAGGTACCTTTGAACTCCAAAAGATAAATGACAAATAAAAAGGCCAACTGAAAAGGTACTATACCTAATAAGTAATAAACCACTGTAAATCATCCCGGAGGCCAGTCAAAATTTAGTTTTTTGTAGTAAGTTATGACAGATGCTAATAATTTGAGTTATGAGAAAGTCTTAACAAAAGGCATCGATAAAATGGTTGAGTAAGCCTATTACACAAAGCGTCTGAAAAGGAGAATGAAGATCATACCCCAGTAGGCCCCTGCCTTGCCATGATCTAGGAGTCACTGTTAAGTTCACTGGAGCACCTTGCCTCAAAAGTATCACAGGCATCGCATGTCCCTGATTTGCCTGAGCCTCAGTAGCAAGCCTTTGCAGAAGATTGTCACCAACTTTATATTCCACACTGCCAAATTTAACAATCTGATCTCCAAGTTGTAAACCATCCTCTGCTGTCGGCGATGCGTCAGCTATTTCATCAACCACTGCAAAGGGGATGCTGAGAATCATGTCCACATCCATGGAACTGGGAGAATCTCTCGTAACAACACTGTGTGAGGATGCAGATGCAACAGCGTTCACCATTGATGAGTTTTGATTATTTGATGCTCCATCATTGCCTTGCAACATCACAAATACGCAAAACTACTTACTCAATTGGTTGTAAAGAAAAGTCAGTTCTTTATCAGACATCACCTTAATACTTCAAAAAACAATTTACAGAGGAAAGGAAAGAAAAGAATCTCATAGACTTCCAATCAGACTCAACAATAGTGATAACACTGCATTTTAGCCAAGGAAACAGCCATTACTGTGGGGATCATCATAGGCAATAAGCGAAAGTGTTGGTTACAAGATCAGTCACTTTAAAGTTTTAAGGCATGGATAGATAATACCAGCTTCAACTCAGTGCCACCAGGTTTTATCAGCAGATGATTATCATTCAATTCTCATTAATGTTTCAGCATCTACCTGAACCTTTGGTGGTTAATGGTCTAGCAGCAAGCCTTGCTGAATGCAGAACTTGTATATTTGCATTTATTTTCTCTGTGATCTCCTTGTGATCACTTCGCAGCACTGCATTAGAAAATAAAAAATATAAACATAATTGTCTTATCACATAAGTAACATCTGTGGCTTCACAAATTACGCACTGCAAGCAGCAGCCCTAAGAGCATAAGCATTACCATAAATCAAGATTATTGTCAATCATACAATTCATGATCACGGTACAAACCTAACAATTAATGAGACTATCAGCAACTTTCAATTAATCTAGCATGCTAGAAGGGCACACCAACCGAAACTGTGCAAGGAGTTGCCACTTATACAAAGATTTTTCCTTCTCCAAATTCCTACTGTTTGAGTAATCATTAAATTTTTAAAAATTCTTTATACTTAAAAGACTTGGTGCATGACATAACAAGAGGATGAAAAGCAGAGCCATCAATGATACAAGCAGTTGATATGGCCAGGGCCGCCAGGCACATATTCCTTCAAAATAAGATTCTGCTTATCTATGAACAAGTACCCAATATTGCAAATGACTGACAATCATTCTAGCAATCTATTGCTGTTTACTACTAATGTGCATACAAGTTTACACAGCCTTAATACTGTGTTGAATTATAATCCTAAAATTTTAAAATGTGATCAATGTAGGACTAAAGTCAAAGCAATTTCAATCATGCAGCAAAACGGGCTAGCTAATATTACAGGGGAAACATTAATATGTACCATATAACGAATGAGAAAAGAAATTCGTGTTTTGACAGACATACATACACTAGCAATAATGTTCAGTGGTGGCAAATTTTTCACCCTGCATGAGCCACTTGAAATTGCTGCAGACTACAGTATATACAACTTGATGCAGAGAGATAATTCTGATTTGAGAGGGTACTTGGACTTCCAATATCCAAGTGTAAATTCTGAGATTTTATCTGCAAATTATGCATCAAATCCTGAGCTCCTGGAGGATTTGATCTTGCTTCCAAAAATTGCTTCCCCTTGTTCATTATTGACTTCAACAATCAAGGTTTTCATCACATCTCAAAAATACTCCTCAATCTTCTCCAACTAATTACAAAATAAAAGAACTGCTCTTAATCCTCTGGATAAAGGGGTTACATAGAATCAATTCGTATTTTCTGGAACCAGAGACCAAGAGGAGAACAGAGAAGGGAGTAAATGACTTCATTAATCAATCAATGCCACATAGTAGAGATCAAATATAACCTCTAGACCTTACAAGGACTGACTCAGGTGGACTAACAATTTTTCCAGCCATTAAACGACACTTGATTCTTAACTAGACTAAAGCTAAACTTGATGTTTGATTGAATGATCAAGTCGTTGGTTTTCCCTCATAATACCTAAAAAGCTATAATAAGTATATACTATATACGGCACTCAGTCGCCATCTTAAGATTCGAAAAAAAAAAAAAAAAAACTTAAATGAAAAAAATAACAACTAAAAGTCACGGTACCAGCAAGACGATTCCGTTCTGCTCTCACCACCGGAATGTCAATGTCTGTACGAGGAAATCCCTAAAATTTTGACCAGCAATAAACAATTCCGATAAGATAAGAGAGTCTGAAAGAGCGATTTTGAAGAAAAACAAAAGAAGAGAAAGAGAATTGTTCTACCTCGGCGTCGACGAGATTGCCGGAGAGACCAGGACCGCCGGGCTGGCAGAGACGCTCGATGATAGCGTTCATCTCCACTTCAATTGCGCTTCTGTTCTCCACCAGCTTCATTGTTTCTGCTTTCAGATTCGCCGCCACCATTTTCTTTTCCAAATTTTTTCAAATTTTTTATTTTTCTCTGTTATTTTTTTGGTGATTGTTGTTTATGGCTTGCTTGTAGTATCTTCTGGGAAGCCAATAAGCTAAAGGGGTTAAGCTTGGAGGAGAAGAAATACAACAAGGCGATGGCTCGGTTAAATTAAAATAATAATAATAATAATAATAAGATAAAATTTTTTGACGTAAAATAATAATACACCTTATAGCCAAAAATATTTTAAATTTTATGTGGTAATTTCTCTATAAGAACTAAATAAATATATTGACAATCTACAATAAAATGATAATTTAGTAATATTCATAATCCAATTATAATTTCTAAATAATTCATAATTCACATATTTGTAAGTTTTTATATTTTACTGTAGGAAGTATACTAATAAATTTTAAATAATAAAGGCCAGTTTTTCATTTTTTAATTGAATTGCGTTTATTATTTTTTAAAAAGTTATATGTTTAAAAGTTAGCTAACATAAACTAGTTGTATATATCAATTTATTATTTATTATTTAATTATCATGTTAATAGTTTTATTTGAATAGTTTTTTAAATTTTTAGTGACTTGAATTAATATAAAATAATTCTCTTTATGCGATAGATGATTTACTAATTAATATCAGAAAGCTAAAATATTAATTTAACACAATTAAAAATCAAGTTTTCTAATTTAAATATAATAATTTTTGCCAATTTTTCATTATTTCAAAATTAATTATTTTAAATTACATGTTCAAATTAAATATTAACAACAAATTGAATTTAATTTTTATATTCTTAACATGTTTACAATATACCATATTTAATATACAATATAATTTATTTTATCGAATTAGATTTTTATGTCTTTGCTGTATTTAATAAATTATATTATTTCTTATTTATAAAATTATATTTTTATATTATCACTATTTTTAATATATAACTTATTTAGTATAAAATATATTTTCTTATTTTATGCAATAGAAATTTAGATGTAAATAGTAAATTAATGTAATCAATTAAAATTAAATTACTTTTATATTTTTCAATCAATAAAATTCAAATCCTTACCAATATTATATTTTTATCATATAATATAGACCTTATATTAGTGTATAATATAATTTTTTATTCTATCCAGTAGAATTTAGATATAAATAGAAATTAACATAATCAGTTAAAAATTAAAATTATATTATTTTTTAAACCAATAAAATTAAAATATTTAAAAATATTTTTATCAAACTATACACTTGGCAAGGGTATTTTTGACAATCCTCATGCTTCAACTCTCATTTTCACTTGTTATATTTATTATAGATATATAATTTCTAATGGTAACATATCCGTATATGAATATTGATATGGTGTTTTTTTTCATAATAATTAATCTTTTTATTTAATAATGGACTTACAAACTAATGAAATTACAATTAATAAATATTAATTAAATAATGAAGTTATAAAGAATATGGTTAACTAATATAATTTAAATAAAATTTCAAACCTTTAAAATTTATTGCATTATGATTAAATCTTCTTATACCTGATTTAATTATAAAAAATTAGGTAGCATTTCATTGGATATGTGAGAATTTCAAAGGGAAAAAAATTTATAACAATTAAGTTACAATAATTTAATTACAATAGTTTATTGTGCTAATAAATATTTGAGTTTCTTTTTTTATTATAAATATTTCAATTTATTACTTAGAAATAAAGAGAATAAAATTTCACATTTTATCGTTTAATCAAATTACACGAGAAAAATTAAATTAAAGCAACCCATATATAAATATAATAATTTTTTAAAAAATTATCTATTCAAATCAATTAAAATAATAGAAAATCACAAAACTTGTGCAACGGGTGATTATATGACTAATTCTTTTACCTCAAATTAATTATTTTGTATCAATTACAGCTTTTGTAAACGAGATGACGTAATTATTGACTCTATCTTTCACCGAGTAAATGTTACTAGTTTGCCATGTCAATTAAAATTGAATAAAAAAAAAATCTAAACGTTAGCCTTCTTTTCAATTTTGGTCATTTCTTTTAATTTTATCGTTCGATATGAAATTTTCATAAAATATATTAGAAAAATATGGATAAAATTAATTATTTAAATTATAATCGTATTAGTAATTATTTCTTAATTTATTCATCGATTTATATTTATTTCTGTCTGTTTATATGTTTATATTAGTATAATAGCACAGCAAATTCGCTACTTGGTACAATTTTAATATAGTCTTATTGAGTTAGAATTAAAATTTAATTTTACTCATTAATAACATCATAAAAAATTATTTTTGAAATAATTAATAAAATAATTTATATACTGACCTTTAAGCTATCTGCACTTTATAATTTCATATTTAATTCCAGGAATCTAAACACATTTTTAAGAAATAATATAATAAGAGCGGAAAAAAAATATCTAGCGAAGGAAATAGGAAAGAAAAAGAAATGATTATCCAAAGACGCTACTCTGTAAGCACACGCATATCTATATAGTTGCAGGTTACAGGTGGTCGCGCATTAGAAGGGTGATGTCAATGCTCAAATCATCTTATTCTTCGCCTAAAAAAAAAGCAAACTTCCCATCTTTGATGGTTCATTATAAGTAGATAGAGGCTCCCACATCCAAAAATGGCCGCCATAAGAGTATCCTTTGCAACTTCAATATCTGCACTTCTTGTTCCTCGTCCTTCTTCTTCTTCTCCTTCTTTGTTTTTCTCCACGTTTAGGTCAACACAACGAGTTCTTAGATTCTCTTTTGCAGTTGCCCCCTTTTGTTACCGTGTGGATACTGGAGAAAGAGGAGCGAAGTTGATGGCTCACTCGTTGGCTCGTGCCAATCTTGGCCTTACTCAGCCAGCCAATATCGACGTGCCCAAGGTCCTTTCTTTTGCCTCTAAATAAGTGAAACCACCTTTTTGTTTCATTGGGTTGTTTAGATTTTACATTTTTGTTAATGGGTTCATCGTTTTTTAGTAAACTGTAGATTTGTTTGTGTGTTTCTGCATCTATATGATGTGGACTGATTTTTTATTGCATTTGATGATTAGCATTTGTCGATATTAAGTGTACATGAAGTTCTACTACTGATCTAATTTGGTTGCCTGTTATTGGCTTAAATTACGAACTACTGTATTTTGCTGGAGAATTTACTTTTTTTTTTTTTTTTTTTTTTTAATCTATATGATGTGGACTGATTTTTTATTGCATTGATGATTAGCATTTGTCGAATATTAAGTGTACATGAAGTCCCTACTACGATCTAATTGGTTGGCCTGTATGGCTTAAATTACGAACTTACTGTATTTTGCTGGAGAATTTTATTTTTTTTTTTTTTTTTTTTTTTTTTGGTTCTATGATTTACTCTGTAACCGTGTGATCAATTTATTGTATTATCTTGAGTTTCATGGTGTAATTTTGTGCTGTAAATCGTCAAATAATTTGGGTTTAGCTTGGATGTTTTTTTTTTTTTTTTTTTTTTTTGGTTCTATGATTTACTCTGTAACCGTGTGATCAATTTATTTGTATTATCTTGAGTTTTCATGTTAATTTTGTGCTGTAAATCTGTCAAATATTTGGGTTTAGCTTGGATGATTGTTTTATTTAGTATTTTTTTTGAACGCTAAAAAGTGTATTATGTGTTTGTTGTAATGCTTCAAAGATCTCTTTTGCCGCAAAAGAGATTGACGTGGCAGAGTGGAAAGGAGATATAGTTGCAGTTGGTGTTACTGAGAAAGACATGGCCAAGGATGAGAGCGCAAAGTTTGAGAATTCACTTCTCAAGAAACTTGATACCCATTTGGGTGGTCTCTTAAGTGAAGCATCTTCTGAGGAGGATTTCACAGGAAAAGCTGGTCAATCCATTGTTCTTAGACTTCCAGGTCTTGGTTCTAAAAGGGTTGGCTTGATTGGACTTGGACCGTGTGCTTCAACCACCTTTGCTTTTCGCAACCTTGGCGAGGCTGTTGCTGCTACTGCAAAGACTGTTCAAGCCAGCAATGTTGGTATCGTGCTTGCTTCCACAGATAGTATCTCAAATCAATCAAAGCTTAATACTGCTTCAGCAATAGCATCTGGTACTTATTTATTATTTGGTGGCATACTAATGATTTTGTTAGCAGTTAGATTTATTTTTTTGGGAATGGTTTTAATTTCGTAGGGACTGTGCTGGGGATTTACGAAGATAATAGGTATAAAACAGATTCTAAGAAACAAGTGCTTAAATCTGTGGATATTCTTGGTCTTGGAACTGGACCTGAACTTGAGAAGAAGCTCAAATATGCTGAAGATGTTTCTTCTGCTGTAATTTTTGGAAGAGAGCTTGTGAATTCACCTGCCAATGTACTCACTCCTGGTTCGTTTTAGCTTGATCACTTCTTCTTTGTAATGCTTGTGTGTACAATGCCCCTTTATAATTCAATTGAGTATCAAACTGTTGTGTTAAACATTATACTTGTATTACATTATATATTTGTATGCACATGATTTAGAACATATGCGTGTGTCATGTGGTGTGATGTGATGTTTTTTATGTTTTGATTTTGCAATTATGCTTCAGCGGCACTGGCAGAAGAAGCTTCAAAGATTGCTTCTGCATCCAGCGATGTTATATCTGCTACCATATTGACCGCAGAGCAGTGCAAAGAGTTGAAAATGGGGGCCTATCTGGGTGTTGCTGCAGCCTCTGCAAATATCCCACATTTCATCCATTTGTGTTATAAGCCTCCAAGTGGACCTGTTAAAGCCAAGTTGGCCTTAGTTGGAAAAGGATTGACTTTTGACAGGTAATATATACTTCCAGGATTTGACATTTTCTACTAAAGTAAATGGGGATTAGATCTTCCTGTCATTCAGAGTTCAAAGTCTGAGCATATTATTTAGTATCAGTCAGGGAGTTGATGTTTATTTTATTGCAAGTATTGACTGTAACATGTTGACAAGGTAGTTCTGTTTTCAGTATGTCCATGTTGTATTACTGGAAAATGGACTCATGTTGATACTTTGTGTTCCCATTCTAATGGCTTTTCCCCCTGCTCAAGTGTATTAGAAGTATTGCTTTCATTTTTTCAGTTTTCTGTTGTTAGAGGTTCTTGATTATTTTCTCATATGTTTTCAGTGGTGGCTACAACATCAAAACGGGACCTGGATGTTCAATTGATCTCATGAAGTTTGATATGGGAGGTTCTGCAGCAGTTTTAGGAGCAGCAAAAGCCATTGGTCAAATTAAACCTCCAGGAGTGGAGGTAAGTTATTTCTGCTCCCTCTTCCTTTTCCTTTTCTTGTTACAAAAAAAATTTTCTTGGTAATTTGGTGATCTGTTTGCGAGTTGTTTTCTTCTGTGTCCTAAATGTTCCCTGATTATTGGAACACTTAAATCTAAGGGCAGATGGAATTGGAGTTGAATAAACAGCACACTCAGTTGAAGTTGAAAGAAAATCAAATGAGACGAAGAGGATCAGTAAAGGACATAAAATGATTTTTTCCTTTGGAGAATATTCTTTTGATATCCTTAGAAGTTAATGCCTGATTATAAACAGCACACTCAGTTGAAGATAGGAACGAAAATAAAATGAGACGAAAAGGAGTTGTAAAGGAAATAAAATAATTTTTTCCTTTGGGGGAATAATCTTTTGATATCCTTAGAAGTTAATGCTTGATTATAAATTTTGAAAAGTTTACTTGTCATTGTCCATTTGAAGATAGGAACTACTACTGAAATTTTTTTGGAAACTTTGGCTTTTTCAGGTTCATTTCATTGTTGCAGCTTGTGAGAATATGATTAGTGGAACAGGAATGAGGCCTGGAGACATAGTCACGGCCTCAAATGGAAAGACCATTGAGGTACATCTTCTCTATATCTATACCCCCACCGAAAAATTAGTCCTTATATATTGTGAAATTCACAAATGAGGACGTATATTTTAAAAATTAACTACAAGGTTTATAACTTATGATTCTATTAACACTATGGTCCATCCATAAAAAACAGAGGGATTAAAATGTTAACAGAATCATAAGTGAAGGGACCTCATAGTTGGTTTGCCTATAAGTTAGGGACTAAGTTTTCAGTCAATTGACAAATAACAAAAGGTTATTTTCGACTGAAGGATTGGATCATAAGTTATAGATCTTAGAGTTAGTATTTGAAAACAAAAGTCCTTATGTGTTAATTTGACTATAATTTGGAGACCAATTTATGTTTGTCCCAAAAAAGGCACACACCAAAAAAGAAAAAAAAAAAAAAGCATCAGGCTTTAATCAACTTATTTGAGGCTTACTTATTTGATTGATCTGTTATATTATAGACTAAACATGCATGTAGGATCTCAGAATTTGTCACAGAAGCAGCTTTTCATTTTCCTCTCAGAAAAATAGTGACTTGTTTCTCAAAATGCTTTTGAGAAGGTTTTAAGTTCAATTATGTGAGTCCAAGTCCCATAAGCTAGATATTGCACCAATTGTTTTATCATTAAAAGTTTGGTCTGGCTGCCATACTTCTCTTCTGATAAACCTTGTATAACATTATCATTAGTTTCTTATTATCTATCACAATGAGCCGTAACCTAGCTTCTCTCCTTTTTTCCCTTTGCATCAGTGGAAATGTTCTTAGACCTTTTGTTTGTTAACTTCACAGATTTGGCTTATCTGTTAATTTCAATGATTCTGATTTTCTTGTCCTCTTCAAGTTGATTATTTCAAGCTAGTTAATTTCTTTTGTTTTATATAGGAATTCTGACATTTCTACTTGGTAAGAAGAGCTTCCATGTTTTTTTTTTTACTGTGTAGTTATTTTATACATTTACTATTAGAAAATTGAAAGTGACATGAAATAATATAGAACATGTCTCTCATTCATATGTTTATGCAGTCAAGTAAACTGTGGAGGTTTTCATCAATGAGAATTATAACTTCTTGTTTGATATTTCTCTTGCAGGTCAATAACACTGATGCTGAAGGCAGGCTTACACTTGCAGATGCTTTAATTTATGCTTGTAACCAGGGTGTGCGAAAGGTACTTTCAAAATGTTGTATTTTGATGCTATTTACAAATAGGGGTGGCCAAAATCCGGTTTTTGGAACCAGAACCGTCGGTTCCGAACCGGTGGGAGCCGGAACCGGTGTGAACCGGAACTGGAACCGGTCCAAACCGGTTCGGTTCCGGTTCCATCAGTTTTGGAACCGTGAACCGGCGGTACCAGTTCTAGTCGGAACCGAAGGTTCTAGTTCCATCTGAAACCAGCCGGAACCGTTCGAAACCGGCTAGAACCGGTTCAAAACCGGCTGGAACCGTGGGAAAACCAGCTGGAGAACCGGCGGGAACCATCGATTTTGGAACTGTTGAGGAACCGGAACCGGAACCGGAACTGTTCGGTCCCAAACCGGAACCGGAACCTGTTAATTTTCGGTTCGGTCAGTTCCGGAACTGAAACCGGCGGTTCCGGAACTGTGGCCACCCTTATTTACAAGAATGGCTTGAGATTTGAGAAGTCCATTTGCTGCTTTCTGTAATTTTTGATACTTGATAGCGGAATTAACCCGTGAAGCTTATGTTTATAATGTGGAAGTATTACATAGAGGTATTACTGTAGTAGATCAAAGCTTTTGAATTTTTTTTTTCAAATATGCTTGGCATGTTAAACTTTGTGTTCAATATTTGGTTAATTATCCTAAATATAGTTGTACTCTTCAATATTATAATCCGTTAAAAGTTAGCATGATGGCTGTCTAGCATGCTGTTTTTTGATCGTAAATTTTTTTTTCTTGCTTTATTGTGGAAAATATGCTCGTTATATAGTTGCTTAGTTTGATTTTGAACACCCTTCCTTTACAGATAGTTGACCTGGCAACATTAACCGGTGCCTGTGTCGTTGCTCTTGGGCCTTCAATTGCAGGTATATGCATATTTTCATGATCATGCTGAGAAGTCCATTCTAATCATAGGGATCTGGAATTGAGAATTACTTTTTCACTTTATTTGCATGTGTGGAAGGGCATGGAACAAAGATCCGTGTCTATTATATAATAATATTATCATGAGGTCCGTAACAACGGTATAGATGTGTTTAAACCATATGATAGCGTATTTGCAACAAGTGTTTTATGACCATTATAAGGAGACATATTACTGATAGCATTTGCAGTACTTATAGAGTTGCTACACTATTTTGGAATTTCATATGCAACTGCCGGTGTTAATCAAGAGGAAACTATTTCATAGGTGTCTTCACACCCAGTGATGACTTGGCAAAGGAGGTATTTTCAGCAGCAGAGGCCAGTGGAGAGAAACTTTGGAGGTTGCCATTAGAGGAAAGTTACTGGGAGTCAATGAAGTCAGGAGTGGCTGATATGGTCAACACTGGCGGTCGTCAAGGTGGTGCTATCACGGCAGCTTTGTTTTTGAAACAGGTAGATAATTTGTTTTTGTTTGAATATATAGCCATCTTTTTTTCATGCATTGCAATCGGTAAATTATCTGAAACCACCTGTAACTCCACTAAGGCTACAGAATTTACCTACCATCTTCTGGTAAATGATTAGTTGGTGAGGCTTTATGGAGCCAGATTGCGCATTTTCAACTTTAATGGTCATAAATGAAGAATTCAAATACCTTCTAAACAAAATGTTTTCTTAAACACTAAAATGCATTGCAAAATCCTGAAATTTTATCTGTAATTTTGCAGTTTATCAATGAGAATGTTCAATGGATGCACATTGACATGGCTGGCCCTGTCTGGAGCGAGAAGAAGCGCTGCGCAACAGGATTTGGCATTTCCACTCTTGTGGAGTGGGTCTTGCAAAATTCTTCGTAGACGCCGAAACTGGAAACATACAATCAGGGCCTTACCAGACATGAAAAGGATGAATGGCCAAGAGGAGACTATTATGTTGATTATTAGGTGCTCTGAGATGAGTTATATGAATAAAAAAATTGTTGGGAAAGAAATGGAGAAGTGGTGTTTTGAGGCTTAGTTTGGTTTCAGCTTGTTTCATAAAATTAGGAGTTAAATTTTCCTGTCTTTTTGAGTCTAAACTTTCTTTTTCATTTCAAGTGGTTTGCACACATAATGAAAATGCACTTTGTTGATAGCTTATTCTTGTGATCTTGTCTTACCTTATATATGGACAAAAAGATAACTGTTAAACCAATTTTAACTGACTTCATACACTATTGGATATATATTATCACCAATTAAGTCTTAATTTCAAATTAATTAGTGGCCATTATTCCATTTTGCTTTGTTCATAGTAAAGTATGCATTACTATTGAAACATTTTTCTCCATATATGTTTAGGTCTGTCCATTTAGTACCTTCGACCATCATTGTATTATATTTACCATATGAATGGTCAACAAACAATTCAAAATGTCTCGGCTTTTTTAGAACAGGTTTGAGAATTTATGTTCAGTTATTAACTTGGAGGAGAGAATTTTGTTGAAGGCATCACTTGTGGATTGTGAGAGTTTTACAAAAAAAACAAAATTAAAATTAAAATTTCTAAAAAATAAAAGAAAATAAATATTCAACAAACAATTAATAGAAATCCAAATCAATAGTTATTAAAAAAAAAAAAAGATAAATAAATTTGCATTTAAAAAAAGACGTTTAACTGTTAAAACGAGTGTCTGATTAGAGGGGTAAAAAAACAAAACGGTTAAAAAGAGCGTCGAAACGGCAAGGGAATCCGATTGGACCGCGCGTTGTAAGACTTCGAGAACACATGCCAGCGCGCGTGCGTGCAAGCGAATGTCACATGTGCTGAAGCGCACGTGCAAGGTCAAAACCTTCTAATAAAATATTTGTAAGTTGAAAAAAGAAAAGAAAAGCTTGCAATTCCCACAATTTCACATTAGCACAGCTGCAACTACAGGAGACTGTTAATCAACACCCAATATAACCTCGCAAAGAATGGAATCTATTTACCTAAACTTATTATCGGCTCTTTTTGAAACAGTGGTCTTGAACTTTTGATCAATAATCATGTAGTAGTTGGCATGTTGGTGAAGAAAAGATAAGGTAAAAGAAAAAGAAGCGAGTGAGCTTGCTTTTCATATTTGTTGTTGAACAAAACAAAATGAGTGTTTCTTTGACTGTTATGACCTTTAATCTTCATGAAGATCAGCCACAAGATAGCCCAAATTCTTGGGAGAGGAGGAGAGATTTATGTATAAGTGTTATAACAAGTTACTCTCCTATGATTCTCTGTACTCAACAAGGTGTGTTTTTTTTTTTTAATTTTAATCCGTCTTTCTACTGTGATCTTGTTTCTTCTATTGTTTTTCTTGAAATGGTTGATCTGGGTTTCTTTTTATTTGGGATTTGGAGATGGGTTTTTGTTCTTTCTGGCTATTTGCTGGGAATTTTCTCTGGAGGTCCATATTGGGTTAAACTTATTTGTGTTTACTTCACTTTGTTGATCTGAGTGCATTTTGATGTTTTCAGGTATTAAGTCGCAATTGGATCATCTTCAACAGGGTTTGCCAGGTGTTTTTTATTTTATTTTATTTAAATTCATCAGTTGGCTTATTATGTATTGATAATCAGGCAGTTTTAAGTACATTTTCTAGTAGTCAAATCATAAGTCAGGTGGTTACAGTAAGACTTAATTTTTTTGTGATGCTATTATTATTGTATTTGCTTTTCATGTTCTCATACCAACGGTAGTGTACTTGCATTGAGTTTGCCTTGTTACCAAATGCCTGGTATGATTTGTGAGTAAAAGGCCATTGCTTGATGCAATGATAAAATCTGGAAATGAGAGCTATCATTCTTTTAAGTCTTGAGGATAAGCATCCCATGCGAAATTGCTAAAGGTAGGAAATTCGTGTAGTTCCCCTGCTAGTATTATGGTAGTTGGCCCTAGTAAATTCTTTATATGGGGTCAAAGTGGCTCTCAAGGTTGCGGTAGACACCTTGCATATACATTAACAAACCACATATCTGAATCCCTTGTGTTTTGTTGCTTATACTGTTATACATCAGTCTTTGTCTTTGTGAATAGTGCTTACCCTTTCACTTTTGAGCTTATACATCCGGCTCTTCCATTATAGATAGAGCTACACCTAGATAGCATCTGATGCATGTTTAGTCATAGGTTTATCCTCATAGGATATATATACCATCTATGCCTTGATATTTGTCTTTACAGGAATTCGGATTCTATGATGTTTACCAGGGATCAATTAAATTCGTTTGTGTTGCTGTTAATATGCTTTTTCAGCAGGATAGATAAATTATAAAACAAATTACACCTAAAAGGCATAATATCTTATAACAGTTTCATGTTTTCCTAAATAGAAAATTTAGAGAGTAATATTGAGAAGTTTGGAAGGATTGAATCATAATAGATTTTCGGCGGTATGTTACATGTACATCTAGGTAAATTTGTTGGATATGACGAGCAGGTACTTTGATTCCAAGGGTATTCTAGCAGTAATATCTTGATATTTGAGCTATTACAGCTCATTCAGTGGACCAACCAAAAAACTGAACAGGCACCTTGTCACCTTTCAATAGTGTGTGCTATTTGAGTTTGATTATGGTTTAGTGCTTGATACATTTATAATTAGTGTTCTATAAAGATAATTGAGCCTTGAACCTGACCGAGCTTCTTATGCCCTTCAGGTTATAATCAATTTGGAATATCGAGAAAAGGATCTCAAGACACTTCAGATGAACACTGCAACATCTTCTATGACAAGGAAAAGGTATGGAATCAGTTCTTGTCCAATCTGGCTGAGAATTCACATTATGTTTTATCTAAGTTATTGAGGCAATTTAATTGTTCTGTGTTCTTCTCTTTTTCAATAAAGGTAGAGCTGCTAGAAGGTGGAACATTTTGGTTATCAGATTCACCCTCTGTCCCAGGAAGCATGTCATGGGGTGCTGCAGTTCCATGTATTGCAACGTGGGCTATATCCTTCAAAGTTCCAACTACTAGTTTTCCAATTTTTATATTATGCATTATCTGCTAAGGCCCTCCAACCTCGATTTTGTGTTTATGATTGTTTCATGACTTGTTTCTTTGACATGATGTCCACACATTCCAATTGAAAGGAGTTGAGCCACCAGGCTTTTCGTTTCAGATAGTGAATACAAACATGGACGAATTCAGTCCCCGTGCCCGTAGGCGAAGTGCTTTACTCACTTGGCAACATATTGCATCCTTGCCTCCAAGCTTGCCAGTTGTGTATTGTGGAGGATTTAACACACAAAAGGAATCAACTACAGGGCGCTTTCTTCTTGGCAGATCAAGGTATCTTCCAAATACTGAAATTCAGATATTTTATTTTATAATTCTTTAATTGAAGGTATCTTTGGTGCATATGCATTCAGATCTCTGATGTTGTATTTTTCTTCTGTTGTACTTATTAAATATTAATATATTATCCATGCGTGTTAAATGTTTTCTTATTTATTCTAAGAGCATGAATCAATTAATTCAACTGAAGAGACAATTATTTGTTTTCATGGGAATGTGATGTTTATGTCATGGGGGTTTGCTAAGCCTTAAATATTGCAAATGCAGTTCACACAAGCAGCAATACCAAACAGGAACTTAGTAGTAGCTTTTGTTTATTTTCTATTTTCTCCCTTTTGATTCAAGGGATGGAGAGCAGAATCAGGGGGTCATAATTTTAGTTCAACAACTGGACATAACTGCCTCATTCATTCAAACTGCACTTTTTTGGTGTTCTCTCTCTTTCTCAAATCCTCCCAATTTTGTTACCTTAGTTGCATCAACAATGTGCTGTCTGTTACTGATGATTCTGAATAAACCTAGGTAGTTTCTGTATAACAGGGAAATGAGTTGCTGTATTGATGATGTTAATTCAGACCAACCCACCCCCATCCCTTGTTTGTGGGAATATAAAAGGGGGAAGGCCCTCCGTCGTGTTACAAGAGTGAATAAACTATAATCCTCTGTTGAATTTACACGTAAGTAAGCTTGCATGAATACTTGGTAGTAGAGTTATCAGATATCTGCAGCCTTTGGTACCCATATCATTTCCCTTTATCATCAGTTTATAGCACTGATTTTGGAAAATTACTGTGAATCAGCTCTTTGTTTCTAATGAATCTAAAGCAAGGAAAGTAAATATCTGTTGTTGGCTGATGAATCTGTAGTATCTTGGTATGCCATATTATTTTGGCAAGGAATTTTGTTCTTGTTTGAACTTTGAATTCCTAAATGAGAACTTGGCTTGGTTGTGTATTATTATTATTTTTTTTATTATCTTTGTCTTGGAATGCTCTAGATTAGGAGTTAGTCTCCATATATTTTCTCTAGTATGAATTTGAATACAATCAATATTATCGTGAAAGGAACCTATGAGGGAAAGGGGTATTGTTTGATGTTTTATTTAACGAGCTTTGATCAAGGGAATATTGATTGATGCGGATATAAGCTTTACTTGGGAGATTCTTCGTAAGGCAGAGCTCCTTCCAAGGAAGTTCTTTTTGCATGGAAAGTAACAGAGAGAGGGATCTAGCTACTGATAGAAGGGTGGGAAGATTGTTGTTTATAGATAGATATTTGTGAAAAAGATGCTGAATTTTGAGGACCTTCTTATTGTGCCTTGAGTTGCAGCAATGAGCATAGCAGACAAAGCTTTGTGATTGGTGGGGTATCTATGCTTGGAGTACATGGAAAAAAAGTTTTCTATGTCTTCTTACTCTGCGATTTTTTGGATTGCATTGAGGAGAAGAAAGATGAGGACCACATAGAAGAGAAAGGGTTGCTTATTATTCTTAGAGATAGATGACTTGAAACGATACGTTTCGGACAATTATTATATAGAATGGTTATCTCGTAAAATTGCTTTACATAGATGGTTGGCATCTTCCAATACAAATTTTGCATTTAATTATCAGCCAAAGAAACTCTTGTTGTTTCTTAAGAATGCTTAATCTGAGGTTTAAGGCGTGCTATAGTCAGGATGGAAAACAATGCTCCAAAAAGCAAAGAATGTCGTTCAGCCTTATCTTGTATTGTAGATTTACGAGTGCTTTTTCTTTTTTACCTGGAGACAACTGATTTATTGCTAAGTTTATTTTCCAAAAAAAGAAAAAAGAAAAAGGGTAGAAGTCCTTGCTAATAAAATGCTGCCAATCTATGTTCTAGTGCAACAGGACTGTTTTTGTTCAGGTTTTTCATTTTTCCTAGTTTGAACCAACTAATTTGCTGGTGGCTTTTCCCTTTAGAGAGCATGGTGTTGTGGGAGATATGAGGGATGTGTGGCCCAATGCCCGAGTGAGGAAAAATGTTTCCCTCATTCGCACTTACCATGGATTCAAAGGTATGTACCATCTTGCCATTTCTTTGTATATCTAATTGCATGATATAACTGTATCACTCCTCACTCTAATCTTCTGCTGCATTCAGGTGACAAGCAAGGTGCTCTTGAATTCTTCAAGTTGATCCTAAGAGCACTGTGCCTCTGCTGGGACCGACAAACTCAAGATCTTCATGTAGATTGGATTCTTTTCAGAGGCAGATCTCTCGTTCCTGCCTTGTGTGAGGTGGTGAATGATAATATCGACGGGTATTATCCATCCTCGCATTATCCAATATTCGCCGAGTTTATGCTTCCTCGTTCTGTGCGACTGCTTGAACCACCTCCTAATCAAGAAGAAAACTAAACTGTCATCTGGTTTCAAGCTAGCCTCTTGCATTCTTTTCCTATCTGTTCTTTAGCATTCAAGCGCTAAGATCATTCATTAATTGTTGTGGGTATTTAGGCAGCACAATATATTTGGTTTGGTCATACAAGGATCATCAAGTTGATTTTTTTTTTTTTAAATTTTTATTTTGCTTGTATCTATAGCTCTGTAATTTGCTTACTTCCCTTCAATATTTATGTTGGGGAAGAGAAATTTTCTATGAAGTTTTACTGCATGGCCATAAAATTTTTACAACTATCTTTGAATTTTTTTTTTTTTTTTTTTTTTTTTGGTTGTGTGGTTAATTTAGGCGCACAATAATATTTGGTTTGGGTCATACAAGGATCATCAAAGTTGATTTTTTTTTTTTTTAAATTTTTATTTTGGCTTGTATCTATAGCTCTGTAATTTTGCTTACTTCCGCTTCCAATATTTAATGTTGGGGAAGAGAAATTTCTAATGAAGTTTTAAACTGCCTGGCCATAAAATTTTTTAACCAACTATCTTTGAATTTTTTTTTTTTTTTTTTTTTTTTTTTTTTAATTAATATACTCGAGTTCTCGACTACATGGAAGGCAGTTAATTTTGACAATTTTTTTTTTTTTTTTTTTTTTTCATTATATACTCGAGTTCTCGAACTACATGGAAGGAAGTTATTTTGAAAAATTTGTAAACTTTTTTATCAGCAAATAAATTTTTTAATATTATTAAAAAAATAAAAAATGGTGAAAATTTTAATTAATTTAAAATTAATTAATTCATGAATCTAATCCAAAACAACCGTTGTATAAGAATAAGTTGTAAATATAAAATTAAAGAATAACAGGAACATGTGGGTTAGGGACTGACTAGGCCTGTGGTCAGTTAATAGTATAATTTTACATTTTTTTTTAATTTTTGACAGTATCATGGATTATCAAGGTTGGTCAATGGTTCTTGCTTACAGTTTACAACTACAAATGAAGTTTGAACCCTTTCCTAAGCAACCAATAAACCACTTTTTCTTTTTACAAATAATAAAAATTGTGACAAAAACAAGGTGAATATAATAATCTAGGTGTGCTTTCTCTAAAATTAATTTTGAATTTTGCTTTTTATATATATTCAGTCTATGATCAAATTAATAAAATTAAATATTTTATTAAATATTTTGTTTATTTTATTTTTTTCCTTATGAATGGATAAAAATATTCTCGTTTGATTAAGAATTTACATTTCATTGCTTTATTCCATGAGTGAGCTTATAAACGCGATCTGAACAAGTTAATTCCAAAATTCTTTCATTTTTCTCCATCAAAATTCAAGAACCAAGAATGTAGATACCGGGGGAAGAGCTTATTCTTGTTTCTTACGATAATTTTCTAATTTTTTCTTTTCTTTTTATCAAATTTCTATGTGTAATTTGCTGAGAATTTATTAAATGGATAATGATTTTCACCTTTTGAAACCTTATAACACTAGATTTAGTGGTTGAAATTCTTTATATTCGTCCTAAACAGCTAGTTTGTAAATAATCAGGCCATATGCAAAATTTAAAGAGTTTATCTAATTAGTCACTTCGAATTTCTATTAATTTATTTTATGTTCACTTTCTGATTTTTCATTAACATTTTTTATTAAATGAGCGAACACTATTGTATTATTTTAATTATGACAATATTGTTTAGGAGAGAACTCGTGTCGTTCTCATATTATTTGTATGATTTTGAAGTGATTAATAAAATCTTAAAATTTTATATTTTAAAAAAACTTTTTCTAATAAACAAAAAATTTCTCTACTGTGTATAAATATGATCTTATAATGAACTATAAGAAAAAATAATTGTACAGATAAACCCAGCTAAGCTTGGGGTGGTTGCAAAGACGGAATAAGGAAGGATCCGCTGTCTGCCACCTTACGAACTGAGTTAGGTGGTGGTCTCTCTCACTTCCACGTATATCATTCTTTGTTTTTAAGTTCTAATCCAACTTTTAATTGTGATTAAACACCTTCTCATTTTTATATTTGTGGAAAGCTTATATGATTTCTTGCTCTTTATTCCCAATTTCCTATGAAATGTGATATTATTGCTCTTATAAAAATATTTTTTTATATTAATTTTTTTGTTATATTATTTTTATAGAAATTTTGATTGCTCATATTTTAATGTCAAGTAATGTATTTTTTTTCATTTGTCTTCCTCCTTAGCAATGAAAATTTTTTCTAGTAAATATTAGTGTTTTTCACTTACTATTTATTAATATTTTCATAAATTTAGATTTTTATTATTGAAAAATAAAAATACATTTCTAATAATTTTATTCTATACATAATAATTAAATATAATTTTAAATTTATTATAATATGTTAGTGTGAGAATATATGTATGTAAAAGCGTAATTGATTCTGAAAATAGCACATAGAGATAAATACAAATTTGATAAAATTCAATATCAAACTGAATTGATTTAGCTCAATTATACAGTTAATCAATTCGGCTTAGACATATAATTTTAGATAATTTTAATTTTATATAAAATCTGATTGTAAGTAGATGACGTGGTAAATAATTTTCCTAGATAATTTTTTTATTTTAATATTAAAATAACGAGCTTCAAGTATAAGAAAAAGAAAAGCATAAAAGTCATGTACTCACCAAAATGGTGAATTTTCTTTATTAAATATGATTAAATAAATTATCTTAAGACCATTTGCGTGATGACTAATAATCATTTGGAAATTATTATTAACAATGATAATTATTAATTATTAGGCTATTAATTACTTTAATGGAAGACCAATATTTACCGTCAACTCTACTGATGTAATTCAATCTATACCCTACGATGAACACGATTCCCTAAATCTAACGGCCAATAAAGAGATATCCAATTGCTTTTATAAAAAAATAAAATTCCCAAAAACTCCGTTTCTGCATTAGCGCTTGCTCGTCTTTCTCGCGTCTATTATAAAGAAAAGAAAATACAAAGCCCACGACGCACTCTCTCCATTACCAGGTTTCTAGAGAGAGAAAGCTACACAGGTTTTTTAGAGAGAGAGAGAGTTAGAGGAACTTGGTGGATCTAGATCCTGAGCTCTGTTTGCGTAAGCTACTATGGCGAGAGTGTCTCTCGCATTATGGATCTGCGCCTGTGCTTTGCTATTGGTTCATTCTCATTGCTTCTATCTCCCTGGAGTCGCTCCCGAGGATTTCTTTATTGTAATCACATCTATCTATATAATCTTATTTCTCTATTCTTCTAGTTATTTGAAGTCTGTTGCTTCCATGGATTGTTTAATTAGGGTTAGATCTTGTTAATTTTGTTATTGATTGTGTTCTTTTCCTGGATCCGCGTTGTGTGCGAGTTATTTTATTTTCTTATTGTTTCTTATTTTCTTTTGTACAAGACAGAGGGTTTGGATGGGATACATATTGGATTTGTTGAATTTTTATCATATTTGAGGAAATTAGCTGCATTTCGATTGACGATTGTAGTTTCTATAAGATGATATGGGCTTAGAATTGGAATTTTGGAGGTGAAGTTGGTTCAGTGTCTGTACAACTATCGTTTGCATATAAGAAAATGGGGATTCGTATCATTGAAATGTTTAGATAACCAAGTTTATCATGCGTAGCTTGATTTAGTAAACATTGTTACATATGAATGATCAATTTGCTTATTATTATTATTTTTTTTTTTCATTTTTTGTCTTGTGCGGGTTATCAAAATATTGGGACTGGGTTAATAGAAAAAGCACCATATACAGTTTTCTCTTTAAGTTGTATATTTTTTTCCTGTATAAATTCTGAAATTAAAAAAATCCCATGTTATCACATTGAGTTTCATTTAAGGTCAAATTTTATGCTTGGTGTAAAGATAAGTAACACGTTTCAAATGCTTCTTGCATATTCGGACTTCAGGTCTTGAATTTTTTTATTGAACAATTATCATGATTATAATTAGAAAGGTGACTTCTTTTTTTTTTTTTTTTTTTTTTTTTTTTTTTTTTTTTTTTTTTTTTTACGTTTTCAAATGCTTCTTTGCATATTTCGGACTTAGGTCTTTGAATTTTTTTATTGAACAATTATCATGATTAATAATTTAGAAAGGTGACTTTTTTTTTTTTTTTTTTTTTATTTTTTATTTTTATTTTTTATTTTTTTTTTTTTTTTTTTTTTTTTTTTTATTTTTTATTTTTTATTTTATTTTGGAGGGAAGGAAGTGGGTGGTTGTAGTTTAGGTCTATCAAGTTGATGTCACAAGTTTCTTGTAATCATTCAAGCGCAATCACTTGAATGCTAATTCATTCTATTATTTCTGTGCTTCTTAATCCCATATGCACTAGCCTTTGCTTAACAGCTAAAGTTGATTTCTGAAATGAATGCCTGCAGCTTATGCACTAGTTACAGGATAAATTGCACACTATAAGAAAATATATTAATTTCGTGCTTTGCTGTTGATGCACAAGCATTTATTGAAATTTTGATGATGTGTATCACATGTGTTTGCCATCTAGCTATACATAGCAGCAAAGTATTGTGGATATAGTGACTAAACACCAATGCAATTTTAATTTTGTTTCTGCTGTTACAGGGGGATGAATTGAAAGTAAAAGTAAACAAACTGACATCAACAAAAACACAGCTTCCATACTCATTTTATTCCCTCCCATACTGCCGTCCAAAGAACATAGTTGATAGTGCAGAAAATCTTGGGGAAGTTCTTCGTGGTGATCGTATTGAAAATTCTCCTTATGTGGTAAGCTATATGTCACTTGGCATTCCCCTCTCTGTATGTCCTCTACCATGGATACTGCATGGTTGACTCAATCTTCCTAGTGCAGTTTAAAATGAGAGAACCGCAAATGTGCAAAATTTTATGTCGCATTACACTTGATGCAAAGACAGCAAAGGAATTCAAGGAAAAGATAGATGATGAATATAGGGTGAACATGTAAGATATTATGCAAGGATCTTTGAATATAAGTGTATCAGTATATTGTAGTTTTCAGCAAGTAACATGCTATTATAACTTGTGGACTAATTTGCGTAAACATCGTACTTCTTTAACTCTTAACAGGATCTTGGACAACCTTCCACTGGTATTCCCCATTCAAAGGCCTGATCAGGAAAATTCTGTAGTGTACCAGCATGGCTTTCATGTTGGTCTCAGGGGACAGTATGCTGGAGTAAGTGCCAGACCAATCACATTTTTTCTTGATAATTGATCAAGACGTGTTATGTTCAAGCTATATTCTTCCCTTTGTATGCGTAATTGTTTGCAGAGTAAAGAGCAAAAGCATTTTATTCACAATCACTTGGCATTTACTGTTAAATATCACAAGGATGCTCAGACAGATTCAGCTAGGATTGTTGGATTTGAAGTGAAGCCATTCAGGTTCTATTTTATGAACTTTTAGTGAATATAATGAGTTGTGTTGAAATTCATGTTTAGAAAGATGGCTGACTTTATTCTGAGACTTAACTTAATTTGATGAATTTAGTGTTAAGCACGAGTTTGGAGGTGAGTGGAAGGATACTGATACCCGTTTAACAACCTGCGACCCCCATGCAAAACGATTGGTTACCAACTCAGAAACTCCTCAAGAGGTGGAGGATAAGAAGGACATTATCTTCACATATGATGTTGAGTTCCAGGTTGGGCTTTATGCCTCTATAGTGAAGTGTGTAACTTTTTCTATTTCCAACTATGATTCAGGCTTATAATGCTGTTTATCTACTATTTCTTGCCCTTGTCCTTATTTTGTAGGAAAGTGATGTGAAATGGGCATCTCGGTGGGATACATATCTTCTGATGGCTGACGATCAGATTCACTGGTTTTCAATTGTCAATTCATTGATGATTGTTCTTTTCCTTTCGGGGATGGTCGCTATGATCATGTTGCGGACACTTTACCGGGATATCTCTAAGTACAACCAACTAGAGACCCAAGAAGAGGCGCAAGAAGAGACTGGGTGGAAGTTGGTCCATGGGGATGTTTTCAGGCCACCGGCAAATTCAGATTTACTCTGTGTCTATGTTGGGACAGGAGTTCAGTTTTTTGGAATGATTCTGGTTACAATGATCTTTGCTGCCCTCGGTTTCCTTTCCCCCTCAAACCGTGGTGGGTTGATGACAGCCATGCTCCTCCTCTGGGTATTTATGGGCCTGTTTGCTGGATACTCGTCAGCTCGTCTCTACAAGATGTTCAAGGGAACAGAATGGAAGAAAATCACCCTCAAAACAGCCTTCATGTTTCCTGCAATAGTCTTTGCTATTTTCTTCGTATTGAATGCTCTAATATGGGGTGAAAAATCTTCTGGTGCAGTGCCATTTGGAACCATGTTTGCACTGGTATTTTTATGGTTTGGTATCTCAGTTCCACTTGTCTTTGTTGGTAGTTATATTGGTTTTAAGAAGCCAGCAATTGAGGATCCAGTGAAAACTAATAAGATACCAAGACAGATCCCAGAACAGGCATGGTACATGAACCCGGCCTTTTCTATCCTTATTGGAGGCATTCTGCCATTTGGAGCTGTGTTTATTGAGCTATTCTTCATTCTTACCTCCATATGGTTGCATCAGTTCTACTACATATTTGGCTTCTTATTCATTGTCTTCATAATCCTTATCGTAACTTGTGCGGAGATCACAATTGTGCTCTGCTACTTCCAGCTATGCAGCGAGGACTACCTCTGGTGGTGGAGGTCATACCTGACTTCAGGTTCCTCTGCACTTTATCTTTTTCTTTATGCTGCTTTCTACTTTTTCACAAAGCTTGAGATTACAAAGCCAGTCTCTGGGGTGTTGTACTTTGGATACATGCTGATTGTCTCATATGCTTTCTTCGTGCTGACTGGTACAATTGGTTTCTATGCCTGCTTCTGGTTTACCAGGCTCATCTACTCATCAGTGAAAATTGATTGATTGATTGATCCTTTAGTTTCTGAAATGAATGACCTATTGGTTTCTACACGGAAAACATATTATTTAGACAGGGTCTGAGAGGTGGATATTGGTACCTCAAGAGTTACCATTCAGGTTCAGTTTTGAATTGTTAAATCATAGAAATTGTTATTAGTCTTCTTTTCTTACAGGTTCTTTGGCAGGTCTAGTAATTTTTTGTTTTTTGGTTTTTCTGCTATTGTGTTTTCTGTTTTGTATGTGAACATTGGAGGGGATTGTTGAACAGTCGCTCTTCCTATTCTAGAAATGAAAAACAACTTGTATTATTGGTGCTAGTTCCCGTTCCATCCTATTTGTAATCTATTTGGAATTAATAACCTTCACCTTCACTTTTTGGCAAGAGAAAATACACGGTCGGTTCATCTACCTGCTCTCAATTTCCCATATTTCACTTCATAAAATTCGTACCCATCCCATTTCTTTTTTCTTATGATGATTCGTTCTTGTGAAATTTGCATTACAAAATTTGCATAAACAATATGAAAGAGTTAAAAAGAAGAGAAGCAAATAGCTTTGGACTTGCATTACTCTCTTTTGCATCGGAAGATCCTCTGTGAGTTGCTTTCAAAATTGTCTAGATTTGAGGTATCATTTCTGAAGGAATATATACTGAATTTATTCTAATATAGTGGTGCTCCAGTACTAAATGGCAACACAGTTATCAGAAATAGTTTGTGATAAAATAAATGGTTAAGCCTAAGAAGGAACTTAATGGTGATTCTATTGATGAAATTGTCTCCAAGATTTGGAATTTGATGTAATTACGTTGAGTTGGTTAATATTGAAAGGCAGAGCAAAAAAGCTTATGCAGAACTTGAGAAGTCAAAAGTGGCTTCTTTTTGTCCCTTTTCATGAAACCTAATTTGGATTTGTCAAAAAGGTATAAAAATAAGGTGCAATTATAACAAGAATATTCACTAATCTATCCTCAAAGCAATTTCCCAGACAATTAAAGTGCACAGAATTACGAGCATAAACTTATTTCAGGTATATCATAGGGAAAACTTGCCTTGTAACATAACTAATTACAGTTCTTCTCATATTCATTTTGCATGTGTATTTCAAAATGTTCAAACATTGGCAGACACCATCATCCTGAGGTTGCAAAGAGAAAATAAATACAATTTTCATCTTTAAATTTCTTAGATTACTCTTGTTTCTACATGTTTGTTGCATACAGTATACAGCATCGTTTTCTTTTCCTTTCTTTTTAACATGGAACACAGTTCCCTAATCTATTCTCTGCTACTATTTTCTGCTTGAATGTTGAATCCTCATCAATGAGTTGAGATTTGCTGCAGAAAATAAGCAAAGATTACACTTCTGTTTAGAAACATCAACTGACAAACAGATGAAATTTTTACTTAACTAGGAAACAAGCAGTTACCTATGATTTAAATAATGATGCCTGCATTCTTTGCCATATGCGTCTTGGAGCAGAAGGCGCCATCGTCATTTCGACTGCAGGTCCCATTTCATGGACAAGCTTGACTGATTCTGATAGTCGATGGAGTAGATTAATCAGCGCAATCACTTCATTCCGTTGTAGCTGCAACTGATATGCACAATGAAATATGCTTCAATCATAAGATGAAATATATGTTGATAAATTTACAAACTAATTGACTAGCCACTGTGATTATACTAAACAATTTAGAGTTAACTTCGGGAATTGAGCCTTGCCTTCCATCCTGTGGAAATGGGATTGGATCGGACCAGTGTAGGTTTTTGGTTTAGATTTCATATGAAAAGCACATACTATTAGTAGACTAAGGACAATTGTTTTTTTTAGCAAAATTTCGACAGCCTCAAAAGAGAATGTCAAGGGAATTTAAGAGGAGTTCAAAGATAAATTCTTCAAGAAAAAGTGGGAGAATCACACCATAGTAGTATTCTTGCACTAATAACCAATATTTGATCATAAATAAAGACCACGCGAGACTTGGTTTGCAGTTGCTGCCAGCGATAGAAATAGATACTTACAGTCTGACCCAAATGCTCCTGGCCATTAACAGAGAAGAGGATTTTCAGTGCAGTGCCGAGACCTAGAATTTGAAGTTTTCCCCAGAGTCGGCACTTCTCACAGCCCACACAGTCCATCAATGCACTGCAATGCCAAATTCTCTAGTTATATCATCACCATACAGATAAGCCAGTCTAAATGAAGTAATCAAAAGGAAGACAGAAAGCAGAGAAACAAAAGATAGAGATTATTTTTCTAACCAAATGGGTTAAAAAACCTCATCTTTTGGCTTTTTATATTCAACGCCAAACACAACTTGCAGCTTTTTGATAGGGTAAAATTTCAAAAAACTAGGAGCCAAAAGAAATTTGAGAAAACCTTATATTTCTGAATTGTCCTTGAATCTGCTGTTTCAGTTCAGGACCACGTTGACCTTTCCATAACTTGGCTTCATCAAATGGGACTGGGCATGCTGCTTGAAGTTTTGGATTAAACAGCAGTTGCCTTATCAAGGAATGTGTCTTGAGGTCCTCGGTAGGGTGTCCTGTGTCATATTCAGCTTGTTCCAAGTACTCTGCCGCCTGAATAAGGTAACCACTAAGTATTATAACCTCAGAGGAGAAAAAAAGTCTGACCAACACAACTTATCGCTTACAAAAGAAACCGCTGCCAACATAACATATAAGAAAATAATATATGAAAAAACATTTCTATCATTTAATAACTCAGAATACCTAGATGCATATAAATCTAGCTTCTATACTCACCTTTGTCACAGCTCGAAGAACAAAGAGGAACGTGAAGTACAAGTTTCTAACACGATCAGGATACCTTAAGACCCGATCATACATCAACGTGAGATTTTGGCCCCACTGCAATTTGGGAAAAAAGAAAATCAGAAATCATTATTAGATCCTTCTGATATACCACAATGCATGCATAAAATCTTTCTTTTAATAGGCGATACATGGAATTCTTCATGGACAAAAACTGTTTATATTCAAGAACAACATATTGCAAATATTTTCACAAATTAGTTAACCAAAATCAGGCTATCAAAATAACTTGGTCTTGGAAAGCTCAAGGGCACTTAGGTATTACATTGGTATGAAAAGAATGGAAAAAGTACAAGTATTAAGAGCATACACATAAAGTCATACCAAGTTTCTAGATTCATCAAGTAGATAATCAGCAGCTATATGGATTGAAATAGAGGAGTGAAGACCAGATATCATTTTGTACAAAATCCTTTCCTCATGACACAACTCTTCAGATGGATCTGGACATTACATAGAAAAAGAAGTGTATATATATATAAGTACATATATATATGTATGATCTATGAACTGTGGGGTGTGTGAACATGAGCAAAAAAAAATAGACAAAATTTACATTTGGCACAATTCTCTAAGTAAATAGCATCCCATATTCTTCTAGCTGATGGACCACTGTAGCCAGTATAGCGTTCAGGATTCAGTTGAAGATTCACATAGGTCATTTCAGCTGCAAGCCAAAAATGCTTTATTATTGGTTTGAAATTAAATAAGGTAGAATTGCAATCTAATTTCACAACAACAAAAATGGAAGAATTGGATTATTATTGACCAATTGTGCACGAACAGAAATGGCACACCATTATCAGTCTCATCATCATTTGTCCAGGGGTTATCAATTTCTGTCCAGCCCCTAAATGCTTTACTGTCCAGCGTGCGATCAACAGCAGCCTGTGGCTTTCCTTCTTGACACAGAAGGTCATCCGATGGAAGGCCTCGAAGGAAGGGTATCCTGAATGATTCAGGAAATTCACTTTCTGGGCATTCACATACACTGCAATCTCTCAAGCGGCACATGCCATCATCAGGCCAGAAAGGGCAATCACACCACAACTTAACCTGCCACAAAATCACACCACCACTTAGATTCCACATTCCAGTGAGTGAAGACAAGTGTGTAACATATATTTTCCAATCTATGATTGAAAAACAAGAAAATACAAAGATGATGTGAACTGTATTGTGCTGGAATATGAAGACAGACTATAAATAAGCTCTATTAACAAATGGACCTTAAATCATTATACAACATAGATGGAACGAATTAGCTTTTCTCAGAAATACAAGGGCAAAGCAGAAGAATTCTGATTTTATTTCCCATTTGATAACTTGAATGCAAATAATAAAATAAGAAGCATCAAATTGGTTGATTGATATTTGACATTTTAGGACTGCATCAATTGAATATATAAAATTGAATTGAATACAATGAGGACAACAATAACAACAAAAACTAAGTCTTAATCCCAAATTAGTTGGGGTTGGTTAATGAATCCTTTAGCTCCATTTTGCTTTGTTCATAACTAAATCCATACTAATGTCAAGAAACAATGAGAAATTGGATACAATGAGAAACATTTGGAAATTTAAACCTTTACTACAGGAGAGCTATTGCTTTTAAAATCAGCTCCTATATCATAATGACATATATCAAAAGGTAATCCAACAAAGAGGGTGATCAACAAACCTTGAAATATCGGAAAAAAGTTGTTTTTACAAGGTCTTGGAGAGATGGATACAAAATTTCTTCATTGAGACGATTTACTGTCTCATAGTCGCAACAACAATCATCCACGATCCCGCTATACTTCTGCGCAGACAACAAGCTCTACACATGAATTAAAATAAAATAATCATATTCCCAATTAATCATGCCCTAAGCTGGAAGAAAGAATAATTATATGATCATCTCCAATTTCCTATCATTTCACTACCAAGCAAAACCAATCAAGCAAAAATGTATTAATCACAACAGTCAATCGGGGCAAACATTAACTTACACTCTAGCCAAAACAATATTAGTACAAATTCATTCCTAATCACCCCATTACATAAAACAAATAATTGAATAATATTTACTTAAAAAGTTGTAAACTTTCTTCATTTGCTATCTAAGAACCAAAAAACAAGAGCCCAAATGCCCAATCAGCAAAATTTTCACTGGAATTTTGAGATCAGTATTTGTTTTTCTTCATTTTCGTGAGAACCAAACACAGATAGGTTAGAAACCAAACCTTACAGCAGCCACAATACCCATTGGTGAGTCGAAAGAGAGAGATCTTAGGCGTAGTAATTGAAGCCGTAGCTAAAGCAACAACAAGAGCAATGACAGCACCGATTATAACACATTTATGCCGCTTTCTCACACTCTTGCTCTTCATCTCATTTTCCGATCCCGCCATTATCCAGCAAAAGAAACGATGAAGAAATAAAACCGGCCAATTTCCGCTGCCTTAAAAAGAGAGTTGATTTCTGCGAAATCAGAACTGTTCGTTGTGTAAGTTTCAACGGAAATAAATTACAAGTCAAACTGATGGGCATTTCGCGTTCGGCCCACGGTTTTATAGCGAAACTGAGAGTCCACAAGGCGGCTATTATAATTTATAACTGCGCTTAACAGCGTAATACTAGGACCTAGACCCGGCCCAGAACCGGTTTGGAAACGGAACAATCGAACCGGTTTGGATTTTAATTTTTAAAATCTGAAAAAATCGGATTTTATTTGTCTTATTTTGGCTCCATAGTTGATAATTGTGTAAAGCTACATCCTCCAGAGTCCTATTTAGCATCAGTGTTAAGTTTGTTGAGAGGTTGGCTAATGGGACAGCTCATACAGTTCTGTTTTTGTTTGATGGTTGCAGTAGGATAGTGTATCCCGCTTCTTTTTTATTTTTCAGTTAGCATATGTCTCTGTCATGTGCATGTAATATTCAGATAAAACATTCTAAAAGACATGATTTCAAATTTTCATTTTCTAACTTTACATATAAAATTTGCAATCTCGCATGAAATAATTACATAGAAAATCTATTACGCTTATTCTACCGCATGTATACTCATCTTATTTTGGCTCTTTAATGTTTTTCCATTTGAAAGGGAAGGGGAAGAAGAGTGAACCAATAATTTGAAATTGGTTTGAGTTGAAGTAAAAACAATATTCAAAATTAATCCACTATTACTTTAGAAATTGATGATTCTTAATTTAATATTGTTAAATGAGTATCTCAAATTAAATTCTAAAGGGGCAAGAGAGTTATTAAAAAGAAAAAAGAAAAGAAAAAGATTTCGTCTCAACTGAGGCTGTCGTTTGAGCAGCAAAATTTGTCGGAATGACAAAATTGAGTTGAAAAGAAATAATGGAACTTGTGCATTAATTTGCATTTCCTTGAACTTTCATTGCTTAATTTGACTTAAAGGGCAAGGCTATTGAGTATTGATTTGGTAAAATCCATGGAAATATTGGTAATTATGAATTTTAATTTTGATTTTATTAGATTAAAGACAATTTTTTATTTTGATTTTGGTTATTAATTAATTAGTTACAGCGAGCTATTGGGAGGCTGATTAAGCAAGTGGCTTGGCCATAAAATCGCCACTCAGGCTTAGGAAGATGACTCGGTATTCACATTAAGCTTGATTGTGATTCATGCCAATGAGAGACATTAAAGGTGGACTACATTGCTGGTTTCGTCCATCATGTTGGTATTTGTTCTATGGTGGGTGCTGAGTTATGGGGTATGTTTGAAGGAAAGAAGCTTGCTTTGTCATTGGGTATTCATGACCTTGTGGTGGAATGTGACAGCATTTTGGCTGTTAAGATAGTTTATGATGAGATTACACTACAGGAGAGCATGAGAGCTCTTATTACTTCAATTAGACTGTTGCTGGTGCTGCAATGGAATTGTCATATTGGCCTCGTATACAGAGAAGTAAATCATTTAGTAGATAACCTTGCTCAGTTGGTAATTCAGTTTCCTTTGAGACTTCATGTGCTTAACCAACCTCCTCCTTCTCTTGTTTCTTGGTTGTTACATATGCTAGTGGAGTAGCTTACCTAGAATTTGTTTTAGTTTGTTTTTTTTGAGCTGTTCCTCCCTTCTGTACCTAAAAAACAAAGGTTAACTATTCTTCTTATATACTCTTCCGTTTCATTTTGTTTTTGTTTTTTTTTTTTTTTGGAATATCCCAAAATATTTATAATATTTTTAAATTTATATATTTAAATAATTATTTTTCGCATAATAACTTTTATAATTGTGTTCATTAAATGAATAACTTTTATTAATATTTTAATGAGTTAAGGGTAAAAAAAGAGTAAAATAATTTTTATTGACTAAATTTTTAATATGAGTATTTTGTCAAATTATGACAACAAAAATAATCTATAGCACAATACTTTTTATGGCAACTTACTACAAAGCCCTAAGGTTGGACAGAAATTATTGTGAAATTTTTTAATTTGGCCTCACTAAAATGTTTAGCCATCCCATTCAAGAAGCTTTTTTACTTTGTTCGTTGAATATTCTATAGTATTTGATTATTTCATCATCACATTGATTATATTGTTGTTTTTTAGTCTCTCATTAATATTAATAATAAAGTGATAGAAAAATTAAATAGTTTAATGAGATTAAATGTTATAGATTTTATAGTAATTTTTTTAAAATAATCGGTATAAAAAAATAGGGAAAGGGATGAAACTAATTGAGATTCAAACTGAATTTAAATACTAATATCAATAATTTATTATTTGTTATTAATTTTTTGAAAAGCAATTAAATGGCTTTATTGATTAATTTTTGTGACCAAAAGCAATTAAATATTAGTTTAATCATATAAATAAAACTTACACTTTAAAATTTTATAGATCTATCTATACAAAATCATGTCTTCTACATTATAGCCATGGCCATTAGAGTATGATTTAGCACATGAATTTTGAAGTAGTTTATGTATAAACTTTTAATATCTCTAGCTATTCTAAAATGCAAATTCGTATTTTCCAATTTATAGTCTTAATTTTATATATAAAAAGAAATTAGTTACTATAATTTTAAGCCGTTGACCATTTGAACCTTGCAATTTTCTATATATTAAAAGCTCATTGATTCAATAGATTTAATTCGTTTCGAAGGAAAATGGATTTGAGGGATAAATAATACACGGGTGCACGTGAGAATTTGAATATTTCAACAAATAGAATAGGCCTAAGAAATTCCACGGAAGAAGGTAATAAATTTGATCTTTATGTTACATTTACCCTGGCCAGGGTGTAAAAGACGTAGTAATTAGTCAAGAGTTGTCATAAAATTACAAATAAAATCAATCTGCATCTTCGGCACTAAAATCAGGCTCGGGAGGCTTCTGTAGTTTGACCAATTCCCTAGCAGTCTTGGCATTCCGATTCCGGTGAACACCGCGAAGAGCATTGGCGGCAAACCTAGTAGCCAAAAAGGTTGCACCAATACTATATGAAGTTCCACTAGCATTGCTGCGGGTTTCCTCTGCTTCTAATTCGTCTTCCTCTTCCTTCTTACGAAGCTCCTTCCTCTTGGAATAGCGTCGCCATGCTGCTTGAATAAAGCATGCAGCCCAAGTCCTCCATTGCTGCGAGTAAAAGCGGAAAGTGTGTTGAACCTGTCTACTGTGAAGACGCCTAAATTGACTGGCTACAAATTTTAACTCGTCAGCTGTGAGGGCAAAAGCCTCCACTTCTGTTAATGCTTTTACTGTTCTAGTAGAAGATGGAAGATTAGCACCGGATTTAGGATCCAATGCCCAAGTTAAAAGCTCCTCGCCACAGAAATCTCCTTCTTTTAGCAAACTCCGGTTGAAGAAACCACTCCTTCCACCATCTGTAGTTACACTTTCAAGACGACCCCGTATGATGAAAAGCATTTCGTCTACTGGATCTCCTTCTCGTACTATATAAGTACTTTCAGTAAATAAACAAGGTTTCAGTCGCTCACAAATGGCATCAAGTAACCTCTCATCCATATTGTCAAATAGAGGAACCTGTAAATGCCATGGAAGCAATTAAATACAAGAATTGGTTAGCAAGCACCACTGGCTTAGCGCAAAGAAATTATATATGACGGGAGTCCTTTTTCCTCCCCTTCTACTTGGTGAGCCTCAGAGAAAATTCAACTTCAAGAAGCTCCCACATCAGATGAACCAAGAACACCTAGTCTTGTTCATGCAAAGACCGACCAGAAATGCAAAATTCAAGATGACTTACCCTTCTTACTAATGCCAAACAGAGGTGTCGTTTTATGTCTCTCCTAAGATCTTTTGGTAGACTCTGCACCAAATACTCCTCATCCACCCCACGTGTTGCTAACCACTTGTACTGGTCATAGCGCCTCACCCGTTCCCTCAGTTCTGGTGGAAGCAATCGATGATGCATCCACTGTTCTGAGTCGCGCCTTTTGACCCTCATTTCTTCTAATCGTATAGTAAGTGACTGGAGATAAGTCTGTACCAAAAGCAGAATTCTGGAAATTTTAGCACTATTTGATGTATCATGCTTCACATATCACAAATTACTTTCAAAATCCATAAGAAATTAACAGATATCTGGCATCTAAAGCCAATTTGGAAAGGCGTACATCCTAATACAGAGTTCAAATGTGTTGTTTCCCCCTCTATGAACTTTTTATACAACGTAAGCATACAGACTAAATAGGCAAAATAAACCACAAGCAAGTGAATATCTCATTTGATGTATTCCACCCGGTCTTTTGTGTGTGTGTGTATAAATAATTGAAACAACTACCATTTTTAGTATTGCTTTTTTTTTTTTTTTTAAGATGTATTCCACCCGGTCTTTTGTGGTTTGTGTTGTATAAATAATTGAAACAAACTACCATTTTTTTAGGTAATTGCTTTTTTTTTTTTTTTAAGTTAACATCCCTGGTTGATATTATTAGAGAGTGGAAAGAAAACAGTAAATGTGGGTTCAGTCATTCACTGAAGTGGAGTGGGTCCCCAAACGCCACTTAGGCAGAGATCCTGGTGACTGCAGCAAAGTGCAGTCCCAAGATTTTCATAGACAGAAACACAGCCAAAGAAATTAGTACCAATTCATTTACCTGCATTGTTTCCAATGTATTTCTTTTTTTTTTTTTTTTAAGTTAACATCCCTGGTGATATTATAGAGAAGTGGAAGAAACAGTAAATGTGGGCTTCAGTCATTCACTGAAGTGGAGTTGGGTCCCCAACGCACTTAGGCCAGAATCCTGGTGACTGCAGCAAAGTGCAGTCCCAAGTTTTCATAGAAGAAACACAGCCAAAGAAATTAGTACAAATCATTTACCTGCATGTTTCCAATCAGAAGTGCAAAAAGGATAAGCCCAGATATCGCTAATGCTATGGAAAATATAACCTCTCCAGGGTAGGTGCTGGTTTGAAGCCCCTGGCCAAGGGTACTGCAAATGAGATGGAGGTAAGTATATCAAAGAGTTAAAAAGCTATTATCGTGATAGCTTATTCGCAAGCAAAAGAATTATGAGGGCAACACATTGATATACATTAGTTGTTTAAAATGGCAGATACATTAGATTCTCATGAATTTAGCTCTAAAACAAACATATTGGCAAGGAGAACACCTAATACACATGGATAAGATTGCAAGCATGAACATACAAGAACAACTTCATTTGAGAAAAAAGAGCCATATTTGCAAGCGTTCTTAGCAAATAGCCAGCAATTCTAATCCTAAATAAAGAAGGAACCTGAAAATTATTCCTAATTAATTTACATTTTTTTAATTAAGAATACTAAATAAAGAAGGAAACTAAAAGAAAAATTCTTAATTATGCATCATAGCTACAGCCTGCTAGACAACCTTCTATATAAATTTAACTTACAAATACAAAGAAGACTAACTGAATAAAAGATTTACTACTAGTACAGAAAGAACACCTTAGTTGAGTTGAATTGAGTTTCATGAAATTGCTTACTCTGAAACTGTCACCTACTAGCTCCAGCCCTGTGTCTAATTTTGGCATATTTTCACCTAATCTTGACATTGGGAAGAAGTAGCTATTGCTTTAGAATCTAACCTACTCTAAAAATATAGTAACACATTGAAATGACATTGCAATGAAAACAAACATGCTATCTACAATTTGCTACATCATGTTGGTCCTATTAAAAATATAAATGTAAACAAGAAAAAGTGAATTTACCTCAAATTCTGAAGGCCCCACCACAAAGAATAACAGAATTTAGGGATGAACTTCTTCGATGAGGCAATGCCAGATGACAAAGCATTTAAATAGATTCCATAATCAAATGGCCCGTCCTCTTTGGCTTCACAGTTTGACTGAAGAACCTTACTGCTGTTGCTGCTCCAGTCAGTATAACCATCCATACGCTGATTGCCACAATATAAAAAATCTTTCCTGCATGGTGAAGTATCATGACAAGCCCTTTGCCAGCATGTGTCTTGCCGTTCTACAGCTAACAAATACCAAAATGCACCAACTACCTGCAAAATACAAGTGCCAGATTCTGCTTAAGTATAATCAGCTGGCTACAAGTAAATGTTGAAACAATAGGACATTGCAAATTGGATATAGCACTAGCATATAACCAAACAGCTGGGCAAAGGAGGATAAAAAGTGTGTCCATTATTATGACCAGAAGTAAAAACAATGACATTCTGGGATGAAAATTCAAACAGCCATCGGCTTAGCAACCTATGTAAAGAGCAAAGAAGTCCAATGACATAATCCCAAGTCAATAATTCCCATGGATAAGTAAAGTCCTAGTCTATTTGAGCGGAAAAGAGATAATTATGAAGAGGGGTAGCTATCCCCACCTTTTGCAACCAATAGCCAATGGTCCCCCTCCATTGCGCCAAATAAATAAATAAATAAGTGATGGACAAATATTAAACAATCAAAAAAATAATCACAGACACATGAAAAAAAAGGGAGAAGCATGACCATAACAATGCAGCAATTGAAAATTCAATTATCCAACATTATACTGTTTAACAGGTTAATAGATAGAGAGGTCATTCAATGTTAATGTTCCAATATAGATCATTAGAAATGCATCTACATAATGCTACAGACAGCAAATCAAAATGAGAATCATTAAGATGGCAGAATAATTTCCACTAGAGACAGGGAAACAGGACTTACATGACTAGCAAGCATGTATAACACCAAATAAAATGCAGCACCTGCCCATGCAGTTTCTGCAAATACTCCTTTTGTTCTTTTCATTTCTGAAGTTAAGGGTAAGATGCGAAGTAACCTAGGAATATATTGAAGCATGATAATAAATAGTAAGGCCTGTTTTGTTCTCAGAACATCTGAACCGCTTGACCTCTGCAGAAATCTCCAAACCACAATCTACACATATGGAGAGAAATAATGAACATCATGTATTGCAACATAAGAAATATAATATGAAGATCAATGCAACTATTCACTCTTCTGAAACTATAGTGCAAAATTCCAAATGCATTTTATATCAACATTCGAAATCAAAGCCATCCATGAGGTCCCTGCCAGAGTTTCACCAAAGAACTTAGTTAGACTTAAATCCCACAGGGCTAGTTTAATTGGATGGGAAATCTTGCAGTGTAGAACTAGAGGCTGAAAGAAGAAAATATCCTGCTTGTTGAAATGAAAAGTGCATAAAATCTTTTTAAGAAAGTCTACAATATGTTGAACATGAAACCAGACATTAAACCTTAATTTGACACAGAAGAAGTATCACATCCCCAAACAAGTCCTTGAACGTGGCAAAATATTAGGAAAAGTGGAGGTTCTGTTTTTGTACTAACTTTCCAAAATATAACAATATAAATATCAGCCAAAGAGAGGGGATTGCTTTGAAAATTAGATATTTGAAAAAAAAGGGTAATATTTAAAAGCCAAAATTTAAATTTTGATAGTGATTCTCACTCTTTGGAGCAGACTACATAAACGTTTCCTAATCTAATAAAATTAAATTCAAAACACAAATCAACAAAAAAGTTATCCAAAGACAGACCATGAAAAGGCAAGTCTTGTAGTTGAGATTCTGAATATACATATGAACCAGATGCCTTCCACACAATTTCTACTTCCTAAGGAGAATTTTTCCCTCCACAATTAAACAGCCATAAAGATTCTCCAACGGTATAATGGGTGTAATTTTTTTCATGGGCAATCTTCACAAAGCTTAAGTTTTACCATAAAGCGAATCACAATTGAATAGTTAATATTATCTATGCAGTATATGGTGAATGAAACCGTGTGGATATGAATGAAAGAATAATTATGGCGAAGTAGGTCAGTGACCGGAAACTTCTAAAATAAAGAAGTGAGCATTATGAGGAGCAAATGATCTCTGCAATATTAATTCTCGTAGCAAGCTAATAGATATGATTAAGCAATCAGCACCAATGTCAAACAAATGAAAGTGAAAGACACATCTGATAAGAATAAACCACATCAGATATGATATTACAAAAACCAAAAGTGGAACAACTGCAACGTCTATTTAAAGTTAGCACAATATTGAAGAATTTATGTCTGTGAAGCATCATGGACATGCAAAAGAAACATATGTATCACAACACACGCAGATAGAGAGAAGCATACAGAAATTGGCAACCAAGGAAAAAGAATAGAGAACAAGTCAGCATGTAGATTATATAGGTGCCACATAAAAGATACTGAAAACCACTAGATTGCACAGGTTTATTTTTTCAGATCTAGCACAAAAGAATGAGAACTACTGAAAAAAAAACATAAATGACAAAATCCAATAGCAAGAAAGAATAATAGGCCAATAGATAGATATAAAAGCAAAGTAAATCAATGCATGTTGCACACAAACAAAAACAGGTAGTATGACATAAACCTGCGGTATAGGAAGGACAGAAAGAAAATCAATGAAGAAATATTGACGCAAGTATCTCTTGGCTATTTGTGCAGGATCTATCACAAGTTCACCTCGCCCAAATACACGAGAAGAAGGAGCAATATAAGCTGTTCGGAACTGAAGAGCCATGCGAATAAGATAGAAAGCATCCATAATTGTCCGCAAAGTTGTTGTAGTAACTGCCAATTTTCTATCTATTTCAAGACACTGTACCGAATCATTAAAAACAGGAAGATAAAAAAACAGAGGGTCCACAGATACTGCCAGAATACATGATATGAAAAATAATCTATTGCACAGCAGGAGAAATTTGTCTTGAGGATCAAATATCTTGTTCTCTGAAACTTTAAGATCTTCTGGAAATACTGCTCTAGATACCCCAAATCCAAGTGACCGACCAATCGACTTAAGTCCCTCAGATCCTTTTCTGATTCCTTTCTTGAAAGATGTGGAAGTTGTAGCAGTTCCTTGACCTGCATGACTAAATCGCTCAATCCCAAATCCACATTTATTCACTCCTGCATTAGATGGTGATGATAATCTAGAGTCCAAGTCATCCAACCTAAAATATAGATAAGACGGATCAATATCAACAAATAAGACACTTTCATATTCCAAATCAAACCAAAAAAGGGATTGATAAACACAATTCCTACACCAACTGAAACTTAAGGCCTTACAATCTCATCAGAGAAAAAGTAGGCAGCCTCAAAGTGCATTTGCACCAAAAGATCTTAGCAAAAAAGCTTAACTATGAGATCTTGCAAGGGTAAGAAGCATACATATTTTAACTTAAAATCCACTAAAGAACCTAAAGCTACTGAACATAAAATTTTCCCATGAACCAGGAAGTAGACCACTGATGCATACTGTTGAAAGAATGACTATCACTTGCCTTCTTTACATAGTTACTGCCTCACATGAACTGTATACAATTAGTCCCAAGTTGGAATAGAAATAATAGCCCAACCAACCAAGCTCAGTAGAGCAATTGTAAAATATTAACTATTAAACTGCACTCCAAGTTGGAACTTTGTGAGAGATTCTATGATTTATTCATTCAATTCACGGTTGTATAGAAATGGATGAACTCTGCCAAATGATTTTAGCTCTATAGGAAAGAGATATCACTAGTCATATTTAGTGATATAATACAATAAAATATACACATTTGAAAATTAGCTACAAAACAAACTGCTAAATTATCTACTTCGAGTAGGTTCTAGGTTGCAGTGCACCAGAGTTGCAGTTTTGAAACACATTATTACATTTGATACTTCAAACACCTATAAATACCACATATCCATAGCCATCTCTCACCACATCTGCCTCCACAGGCCTATTAAGAGGAGTTTTTCTTTTTTAATTTTCAATATTCAGGAAGAACTTCTGCATGCCTTTTGGTTAGAGAATGACCAATTAATCTCTCTTGTAGTCAATATTACAGTGGTTATGATTTTGTCAATGATGATAACCTAGCATTTGTATGACTTCAAAAAAGACAACGATTGTTAAAATTTATTCAACAAGATCAACGAAATGTGACAAAAAATTAAGAATCTAATATTGTCCAACTTTCATGTCCTTTAGGACTGCCCAAGAAGGAAAGAAATGAAACCATTACCTAACAAACTTCTCTCTCTGACCGCCCAGGTACTGCGATTTGTAACCACAGTCAAACATTTCTTGCAGCTGAACATATAATAGCCACCTTCAGGACAAAAGGGAAAAATAATTTGAATAAACTGCAATCAATTTGCAACAATATCATCCAGTTCAGCCTTGGAACTATGGCTGCTGGTAAAAATTTAGGCTCAGGCACTTACACACCAAATAACCAAATTAAGCTTGGAATCATTTAAACAATAATAAAAATTATTGATAAGAAAATCTGTCTTCCATTAGAGTAGATAATTTAGAACAACTTCCTCATGCATTAGATCTTCATAAGGACATCGTTGCCCACGAATTTCAACAAAATCATACAAATTAAAAAATAATCAACAGTACAGTACAAACAATAAAAAGCAACACGATCGTCAACCATCAAAATCCCTAAAGTAGAACCAAATTGGAACTGTAATGTTTTCAATTCATAGAACAAATTCACTTCATACACTTAACAGTTGATACTAATCTCCAGTAAACATAAGCAAATAAGCACAGAAATAGCGATTAGAAACATAAACATGTATATAGATACAGATTGATTAATCTTTGAGCAAAGAAGATAAGAGCGGAGAGACAGTAACTCACAGTGAAATGGATTTGGGGCTTTAGACCATGAAATTAGCTAGAAGAAAAAATCTAGCAAATGAAAATCTTTATGCACAGAGGAAACATTCGAAAGACAGATTTGTAGTAAAATAAGAGTAAAAAGGCGCCACAGTAAAGGAGAGAGAAACTGAAAACGAAGTCACAAGGAAATATCTTTTAGCAGAAACCGATATACGTGCAATGCAGGACGATATGAGCAAAACGGAGACGGAGTCAATAATGAATCAAAATTATTAAATGACTGTATTGCCCCCTCTCCTTTTTGTTTTGTTCGAAGAAAACGGCAGAAAAGGTTTACGTTATTTTTAAGAATTTCCGATATTAAATGATTTATAAATTTATCAAATTAAATTAAAAATGTTTGATATAAAGCTGAATCAATTTTAACTGAAATAATAAAGTATAATTTTTATTGATTTGGAGTAAATAAATAATTTATTTAATTATAAATAATTTCATTATTTTTTTATTTCACAAAATAAGTATTTTAAATATATAAAAGCTAATTATTTGGATCATTTAAAATAAACTAAATTTCTCCGGAACTGACTCCTTTAAGGACGAGAAAGGATTTGTGGACTGTTAAAACAAAAACAGAACTAGATATCTTATGCACATATAAAAAAAAAGCTAAAATTTCAATTGTAAGTTATATTCATATTATATAGGGCATGGTCACATGAACTATATTATTTATATAAAAAATTAATTTCTATTACTCATTTTTCTTTTATTAAAAAAATATAGAAACACAGCTGAAACAAAATATTTGCTAGAAGTCTTTTATTCTTAATGGATTGATTCTGTGCAAGTAGGATTTAGCCACAGCCCTAGTGAACTGAGGATATTTGTGGTTAATATAAAAAAAAAAAAAAAAGATGAAAAAACAAACATAACTAAAAAACATTGGTTTTTCAATCAGAAAAAAAATTTATTTATAAATCATTATTTTTTTCTAAAAAAAAAAAAAAAAAAAAACATACAAAAACATTGGTTTTTCAATCAAGAAAAAAAATTTTATTTATAAATCATTATTTTTTTCTAAAATCTGATCCTTTAAATTTGTATAGTATTCAAATTATAACTATGAATTACTAAAATAATAATAAAACAATTGCTAGCAAAATCCATTTTTTTTTTTCTTGCTTGATCCAATAAGGCATATCTCTATCTCTCTCTCCAAGTCCACTCATTTTTTATCTCTCGCTTTCATTTTCTGTAATGTGATGTTCACAGCCAGAACAAGAATCAAGTGGTTGTTGACACTTTTATTTTTTTTATTCACATTTCAAAATTTATTAATATAAATAAACAATTAACACTTGACAGACATGGAGATTGGCATGGCTTTATAGCCTCTTAGGGATGACTCTGTGATCACTTTTAAAGTTTGGCTGCCTACGCTGTATTCTATAAAAGTATTTTAAATAGTTTTTAGTATTTGACTAAATATTATTTTTCTTATAGCGTTCAATAACATAACATTTGAATTAACTTTTAGAGTTTAAAATAACGTTTTATAAAAAATTAAAACATGTAACGTTTTTTTTAGCGTTTTATGAGAAGCGACTCAAATAACTAATAATTAAACATTAATAAAACAACTAATAGCTATTAAAACAGATAATTTTATTGAATAAACCTTTAACATTCACGGTGGCTTGGTCAATATGGAAAGCTAGAAATTAACTTATTCATCTTCGAGCAAAAGGATTCAGTTTCTGAGTTTGGTTAAAATTTACACATATGGGTTAAATTTTAAAAATTTTAAATTACAATTCTTAAACTTTAATGGCTAAAAAGAAAACCTTAATTTTCTGGATTTTTTTTAAATTTTTATTCGAACAATTCACTTTTTTTTAGTAAAATGTAAATTATAGTTGAATGCTTAATTTTCAAACAATTGTTTTAGATTTATTCTCTTTATTTCAATTTGGTTTTTTCTCTATATATCATCCAATCCATCTATTATCTAAACTTATATATTTGTATTAATTATATTATTATATTTTAATCATCTCTTACTATCTTATATTGTGTTATATTAGTTTTTTTCACAAGGATTAAATCACTTAAATTATAAGAAAATATTTTTTATTTGATTAAATTATTTTTTTATCGCATCTAATTATTTAGTTTCAATGTTTCTCTCTTTATTATTGTGCCATTAAAATTAAGTGGAAAAAAAAATGAGTGTGATAAGATGGATTTTAAGAAATTGTAGAAAATAGTAATGTGTTTAGTAGATATAAAGAATAAAATTTAAAAAATAATTATATTACTTAATTTTTTCAAAACAAAGCAATAGATAAAAATAAACGGAGAGAATATTACATAAAAGTGTTGAGTCTTATCAAATACAATATTAATCTTTTCGTCCTATTTTGTTTGGTTGTCATTACTTTTTTTAACATCCTAGCATGTTTGCAAGGTTTATAAATTTAGATATGTGAATAATTATTTTTTTCATAATAACATTTATGATTGGTCATTAAATAAAATATTTTTATTAATATCTTAATGAGTTAAGGGTAAAAAAAGGTAAAATAACTTTTATTGACTAAATTCATAATATGCGTGTTTTGTAAAACCGTACAAACAAAATGAGACGGAAAGAATATTACTCATTGAAACCACAAATATAATAAGTATTCTAGAATAAATCTTCTCAAATGTATCAAATATTATAGAACGGAAGTAACACCTCGATTTAGTTGTAGTAGCTAAGGAAATAATAATGAAACGCAATCACATATCTTGTTGAATTATTAGGATCATTATTATACTCCCTCGTATATATAGGTTCACTTTTTTTTTTCCGGTTTGTTCTCAAAATGTAATCCTATTTTATTCTTTAAAGTATCATTTATTATCTAATTTTTTAATACTCTTATTTAATGTACATCCATATTCTAAATTGATGCCCATTATTTAATATTATAAAGAGATATTTTGAAGAAAAAATTAAATAAAAGATATAATTCAATTATATTAATTGATTTTTCTTAATTTATGTTAATGTCAAAGTAAGCTTATATATATGGGACGGATGAAGTATTAACTTAATTAGCTCTAGCGTAGAAGGACAAAGCTAAAAACAAATACAGCAATAAACAAAAAAAATCATGCAACAATTATGCTAAAAATAAATATGGCAATAAACTACTCATTGTCCCAAAATATAAATTATTTATGATTTTTGCACAAAAATTAAGGAATCAATTAATTTTTATAGATTATAACAAACTCAAGGTAGTTTGACCAAATTATTCTTTATCTCAAATCCAAATAGTTACTTGTGAATTATTTATTGTATTTGGTGTAAATAAAGGCGACATTGGAAAAATATCATTTATTACTTTTTGAAATACACAAATGACTTATATTTTAGGACAGAGGGAGTAATAAAAAATGCGTGATAGTTTTTTCAAATAATAATTCATTATTGACTTGTTGTATAGGTAATCTTGTACACCAGATGTAAGCATATTTCTTCAGTTTTTGGAGAATTTAACAATTTTGTTTTGTAATTTAGGAATAACAAACGTTGATTTACTTATAAAACTCCAAAAAAAATAAGCAAATGAATATATTTAGTAAAAACATTAATACTTTTCTTTTTAAGCTAAATGATTAAGATATAAAGTAACTCCTGATTTCATGCCATATGAATACTTAAATACCTTATTTCAAGGGGCAATCTAATATTATTTAAATGGTTTACAAAATATTTAGAGAAGCATAAGATAGTAGAAATTAATTAGAAGGCAAAGATGAAAAGAAGAATGAATGTTGGTAGAAATCCATTGTGGACATTCTACATGCTTTTGTTCTTCATTTGCTTTGCCTTTTGTCATAGTCAATCTCTTGTTGTGCATGATGAAGGGAAAAAGGGAGATTATTTGTTAACAAACAAACGCACAAGTTTTGGAATGCTACTTAAAGAAGTTCCAATTTTTCCATCCGGACCAAATAGATGTACCTCGGATTCTCTTCCACCACCTAGGCATTTGAATTTCGGAATGCTACCTAAAGGAATTCCAATTCCTCCATCCGGACCAAGTAGGCGTCATCACGAGGATTCTCCTTCTCCTCCACCACCTAGGCATTTGAATTTCAGAATGCTGCCTAAAGGAGTTCCAATTCCTCCATCCGGACCAAGTAGGAGAATTCCAATTCCTCCATTCGGACCAAGTAAGTGTCATCACGAGGGAGTTCCAATTCCTCCATCCGGACCAAGTAGGTGTTGTCACGAGGATTCTCCTTCTCCCCCACCACCTAGGCATTTGAATTTCAGAATGTTGCCTAAAGGAGTTCCAATTCCTCCATCCGGACCAAGTAGGCGTCATCACGAGAATTCTCCTTCTCCTTCACCACCTAGGCGTTTGAATTTCAGAGTGCTGCCTAAAGGAGTTCCAATTCCTCCATTTGAACCAGTTAGGCGTCCTCCACCAATCAACTTTCATTAATTGCATCCTAATTAACCCAACTGTTTTAGCATTCCTACTTCAAACACTTTCATCACCATCACAAGCTTTGGAATTTCAAAATGTTCCCTCTAGCATTTCTGCTATTCATGTATTACATCTCAATCTCAAATATTGATGATTTGAAGTTTGCTTAATAAAGTTATCTTTTCATTTATTGTTGACAAATTCTATATCTATATTCTTTGATTTTGAATTGTTAAAAATTGTCCATATACTATACGTGAGTTCTAATTTCATATCATATGTTTGTTATTTGTGGTGCAAAACCTTTTTAAAAGGTTCAACCTTAAAGATATATCTTTATATAATCTAAATTAATATTCCACAAGGAGAGTTTGACCCTCCTTCTCATTGAGGCTTAGTTACAAGTAAGTGTACAATTTTTGCCTTCTTCACCCATGGGTCCCATGGTTATATCATAAAGATTTTGTTGAGTGTATTGAGAAGAGAAACATGGTGAGATTCAAAGTGTACGTACGCGCGTGTGTGTATATATATATATATATATATTCTCGAATGTATGTTGCATGCTGTTTATACTCATTGATTTGTATACATCGTAAGTAAATATAATTAATTTATACATTTTATGAAACAATAATAAAAAATATTAATTAAATAACTTGTTAAGGGAATAACATGAAAAGCATTATTATAATTTGGCAATTAAATTTTCATTATTTATTAATTAATTTAAATTTTCTTATAACAATTTATATTTATTAATTAATTTAAAATTTTCTTATACAATTTAATTTAATTTAATTTAATTTTTCATATATAATATAATACAATAAATTGTCTATATAATTAAAATATGAGAAATCAATATTAATTATTATAATAATTAATGCATTAATTATTGTTTTAGGGCATGTATAATTTTGATACTTTTCTTTTTTTTTTACTTTTTATAAATATTTTTTAGTTATTTTTTTAGAAAAAAAATATATTATATGGTTTACTAACATAACTTGTTATATCATAATTTTATATTATATAAATATTTCTATTGAGTTTTATTTTTTATTTTATATCGAATAATAAATCCTATAATATACTTCGTGATAAATAATAATAAATTACATTTAATTTTTATAGAATAAGTTACTTGTAGAAAATAATTATAATCAATCAAATTAAAAATTTATTAAAAATAATAATTAAATAGTTATGTATCTCATCATATTTGATATTACTTCACCTTGTTATTCCATTAATAATAATACATATTATATTATTATTACTAATATTTATTATATAATCAAATACTATGAATTTATTAGATATACCTTACCTATAATATTCCTCTACCAGTTCCCACTACTTCCTGCTTGCATTCCACTTTGCTTGATTGTTATTTCTTTTCTTGAATGTCTTACCATATTATATTATATTACTAATATATATATATATATATCAAATAATATTGACATTTTAGATATACCTTATATAATATTCTCTCCGTTCCACTTTGCTTGATTCCACTTTGCTTGATTGTTATTTCTTTTTTGAATGTCTTAAAATATTTGCACGATTTCTAAATATAGATATCTAAATAATTATTTTTTTCATCATAATCTTTATAATTATTTATTAAATGAAAAAATAATTTTTATTGACTAAATTCTTAATATGCACATTTTGTCAAACCATGTACAGAAAATGACACGGAGGAAAAGAATATATAATATAATTTTTTTATTTTATCCAATATGATTAAATTAAAATAATAAATTAATATGAACAATTAAAATTGATATGACCGAATAGTTCTGGAACGATACATGTAAAAAATATTAGTTAGTGTTTTACTAATCTAATAATGATCAAAATGACTATGATTATTATTTGAATGAAAGTACTCTCTATCATGTTTTGCAATTCTTCTTTTTCTTCAAAAAATCAACAATTCCCTTTCCAACACATAAGCAACAAATATATTTTCCTCTAACAAAATTCGTGTACAAATTGAATGCATGAGCATTTTCCTTTGATCAGTAATATAAAGATATGAAAACAAATGGGTTAGGATATCAAACATAAAATCAGAATCCATCAAAAATCGATTAGTGTAACATCGTCTGGAAAATTGCAGCATAACTAGGTTCATGCAACTATTCACTAGTGAACTCACAAAGTCATTAGCATCACCTTGGATTCACCTCTTTGGAGAGCAAGTCGCTATTGCACAAACTCTGTACTCTGCATCGTATCCAAGTCCAGTAAGAGTAATGGCTAGCATGTCAATTTATTTCAATAACCTTGTAGCTATATATCCTTCAATAACTGCAGCCTCAGAAGTCAGAACCAAAACATTTGTTGCACTAACCTTCAGCCACTCGAGCAAAATTGCTGATTCATACAAGCTCAAGCACCTTATACCATTAATCCAATTAAACTAAACAGACCGTGCAGTTGAGATTTCTCAACTTTGCTCATGCAGTGAATTTGCAATTGTTTTTCTAACTTCATTGCATAGAAGTTCAGGATTACTTCCTTCTACTGGCCGATGAATAACAACTGTCACAGACCCACAGTTCAAGATACTTTCCATTCCAGGTGGCATGATTTTTCCAGTCCCCATAAGTGTAATAGGGACTACAGGCACCCCAGTTTTTGCCGCCACGGAGAACGCACCTTTCTGAACATCAACAGAAATCAAAAAAGAAAGAAAATTAAGAACTGAGTTTCAGAAAAATGTTGCAATCTTCCTCCAAAGTTTATCTAGCACTGTTCAGATATCTAGCAAGAGGAAGATATGTACACACCACATCATGGAGGTTTGTCCTTGTTTACGTTTCTTCCATTATTGCTTAAACAAAATTAACCAACCTTATACCTACAAAATACTTTATCACACAGCAAGAGTAACATTTGGAACCATAGCATGATCTTTACCTTGAAAGTGCCTAATTTCCCATCTCTACTTCGTGTTCCCTCTGGGAAAAAAAATACAGAAGCTCCCTTCTTCACTAATTCAATGCAACGTTTTAGACATTCCTGTAAATAAAAAGAATCAGACTTTCAAACCCAAATCCAACGACACGAGCACAATCCATAAAGAATAAAAGAAAAGAATAAACTACACAATCTTTTACATTACCATCTAGTAAAATATAAATAAACAATACAGCTGCATTTATAAGAACAAGGAAAAAAAATGTTTTACCAACTGACTTCTGCTGTCCATACGCTTCAGGGGAATGACACCCAGCATAAACATAGCCCACCCGATGATGGGAAATAGAAATATAGCAGTCTTGCTTATAAACTTAAAACTTCTTCCAAGAGTGAGAAGCGTGTATATATCCAGAAAACTCTGGTGGTTTGAAACATATACAGCAGGAACATCTGAAGATGGGAGATTCTCCAATCCCTCATACTTGATTTTAAGAAACGGTGCGACAGTCAATCTCGCCCAAATTTTGGCAATGAAAAACTGTGCTTTTCTTTGGTATCGATCCAACAAGAGAACAAAAGGATGTTGCATCAACATCAGCACAAACAAAAAAATGGCAGTGATAGCAGTAACAGCATAAAAGCAAATTCCTCTGACTTTCGACCCTAATTTAGTTTCTGCAACTTAAAAAAGTTTTTCAGAATACATATTAGCATAACTTTGACAATGAAATAACGCAACTATCTGAAAAAGGCTCCTGGGTGAGACCTGATAGTGGATATGCCAAATCAGGGGTCGCACTTCCCACAAGTTCAGATCTTACGACTGTCTTTCTTGGTAACTTATTCTGTTTATTCACTTTATAATCAAAAAGTGGCCATTTGAACTCCTCTTGCAAACAATAAGTCCAAAACACTCCCACATGCTTTCTTGTGATGTGCAAAGAGCCATTTGAAGGAGCTATTGGAACATAAAAGCAACTATTTAAAAGATCTAAAATGATCAAACTAAACAATTAAAGGGTTGAATACAACTAAGAGAAAACTATACATCCTAAAGAAAGAGAATAGAAATGTCGAAATTCATATGCCATGAAATTCACATATTGCAGAAGATAGTTTTCTAGGAGACTAAATTAGACTGCCATATATTCATGTCAAAGATCTAGTGCCAAATTGTTTCTTGGTGCACAAGCATAAAAAGATGCTAATATTGATATAAACATAGGTATCATAATTTAAGATCATCATTCTATTATGTAGTAAAGAGCACCATCACTTTTCTATCCAGCACAAGAGCTAATCAATTTATAAAAAAGTGTGTGGTCGCATTCCAAAGTGCATATCTCAAAACGAGTAGATCCACAGAAAGTGACAACTAAAATCTCTACTTGTCAGTACTAAAAGCCAATAAAGTGGAAAGGAGAAAGCTTCATAGAAGAGATCTGATAACAGTGGCAGATTAGAAACAGAAGCCATAAACAAAGCAGTGGTTCCTGGGCCCTCTTTAGAGAAAATATAAACCAAGAAGCATTAAGACCTTAAAGGAAAGTGCATGCAAAGCACACAGTAAGCCCACAAAGAATGAATACAAAACACACCATTATTTAATAGCATTACATATGAAATGGAATTGGGATGGCCTTGTAATGCTTAAGTATAGTCAAATTCAGATATTTAGGCTCTATATTTCAAAAGAGTGGCTTGAAGGATGAAAAAGTAACCCATAAAAATTAAAATAGGATGGATGAAATGGAGAAGTGTTACACGTATGCTACATTATAGAAAGATACCTAACAAAGTGAAAGGTAAGTTCTATAGAATGATAGTGAGACTTGTGATGTTATACATGAGTGAATGTTAACCCCAAATGCCAACATGCACAAGATGAATATTACAGAAATACGGATGTTAAATTGGATGTATAATCACTCATTATTGTATGAAATATGAAATGACAACATCCGACATAAGGTGCAAGTAGAACGAGTTGGGGATAAAATGAAAGATGTATGAGATGACTTGTTCATAGCCTACATGGACCCCCATGTTCTCCGGTTTGTAAATATAACACGATGGTGGAGGGAGCTAAACGAGGAAGAGATAGACCTAAACCATGAGTAGAAGTTGTCTCAAAAGGTCTACTTTTTGACATTAATGTGGACTTAGCTAGGACCAAAGTGAAATGGAAAAAAAGGATTCATATAGTCGACACTAACTTGTTTAGGATTAAGGCTTGGTACTTGTTGTTGTTGTTGTTGTTGTTATATTATATAAGAAACAAACAGATAAACATCATTTTCTGATGGTATTACTGAGTTGCACAAACAACAATATATATTATTCTTCAAAGCAATAGCAATATGTGAAGAACCATAGTAAAATTCTGTCCAAAGAAATCACGAAGTTAAATTTATTATTGCAATATACTGCCAATCACTCATTTCGTGCAAAGCATATATGAGCAACTCATATGACTATGAATATACTCACAATTACTTGAACTTCTCAAAATTGTTCGTTTAAATGGAGTGTGTCCAAAATGTAGTCCTTTATGAAAATAGAACTGCAATTAATGAAATGCAAACAACTGAGTAAAGAATCAAGGGTAACTTTCTATGCTGAAAGGCATCAATAATCCACAACATCGAAATATTATACAAACAATGGCAGAGAAATAGATAAAGGAGTGGAGAGAGAAGCAGCAAATGATGTCCCCTAACTTCCAACTTAAAATAGTCTTAAGGTCAATGCTTCTAATCATAGGGTTGCTGGCAAGAAGGAGAAATATGGCATTATTTCATTAATCGTGTCCCCTACACTTCCAACTTTTAATATAGTCTTAGGTCAAATGCTCTTCTATCATAGAGAGTTAGCTGGCAAGAGGAGAAATATGGCTTATTTCATTCTTTTATTATAGCGCCACCCAACCCTAAAAAAAAAAAAAAAAGAAATCCATCCACCATCTTGATGAAGAAAAGATGGAAGTACAAAAACTTAATCCAATAATAAATTCCCTGGAAAACATACATTTTTAGTGCAATTATCCTGATTTCATCACAAATAGCAGTCCAAATATCACACACACACACACAAAAAAAAAAAAATCTTAATCTCAATTCATTTCCTCCTGTCATCCTCTTTGATCTTCATATCTGAAGGAATGGACTAGTTCTAATTATGTAGATTCAGATAGAAGTTACCTAACCTCAACCAACCAAAATTAAGAAGAGAATTAAGAAAAGAAAAAACATGTCCCCATCATTTCCCCTCCAATTTCTGAGTAACCGACTAGGATATAACCAATAAAAGAAATTTAAAAAAAAAGGGAAAATGAAATTACTATAGAAATAAACAAGTGAATTAAGAGAAATACCAGCGACGAGAAAGACGAGGAACAAAAACTCGTTCTTCTATTACCTAAAGAAAATTTAGTACCAAAAGAAAATCAAAAACACAAACAAATTAGACTGAAGAAGAAACACGTAGATATACATAAAGAAAGAAAGAAAGATAGATTACAGAGAAGAAGAGGATTATGAATTGGATGAGAAGCAAATTGGATGAGAAGCAACTTCCATCATTAATCTCTGATAGGTTCAGGACCCCTTCTTGAGTCTGCTCCGTAGATATACAAAGAAAAGAAATAGAGAGGTAGGGTTTTCAGAACGGCAAAATAATTTTATATGGAAATTGCAAATTTCGAGGCGATATTCGTTTCTTTATCCTTTTCGTTGCTTCTCTTCAGAATCAACAAATCCCGCCGCCACTTTGTGGCTTTGGATTTTAACAGTGATACAAGGCGTTGTCTTCTTCTTCATGCATGGAGTTTTTCTTACCATAGAAATATTAAGGAAAAGTGTAAATAAATTGGTCCTTCAATTATAGTTAAATTTATAAATATAGACCCTATTTTCAAATTTTAATTTTAATATTTTCAAATTTTAATTTTAATATTTTCAAATTATAAATGAATGACCTAAAGATTAATAGAAATTATAAATTATGAACTTTATAGTTAGTTTGACTATAATTTAAAAATTAATTTCTCAGTCAAAAGTTGATAATTAAAATATATTATTTTGAATAAAATGACCAAAATATTAATCGAATCATAACTGACACAGAGTTAAAGATCTTATAGTTAGTTTTTTTGGAAATAGATATTTATTAATTACCAATTTATTTTTTTTCAAATATTATATCGTATATTAAAATACAATTTGGAAAAAAAAAAAGGATACATATTATTTAGTGTCTAATTTTACTTATAATTATAATTTATAATTTACATTAATTTATTCTTAAATTTTATTTTATTAAATTATTGAGTTATTTCTTCAAAAAAATATTTTATTAAATATTTTAAAATATTGATTATTTATTTCTTTTTCTTTAATATAATATTATTACTTAATATTTTTATATTGTTAAATTACTTTTCAGCCTCTTATCTAATATAAAAATACACCGTTGAACATAATATTAAATAGTTTAATAAACTTCATATAATAATTAATAGAGTACGATTCTCCAACAATTGAAATTAAGCTTGTGATCTATATATGACATTATTTTAAACGAGTCATGCCATGTATTAACTCATAGAACCCGTCAAACACGCTGAATTAAGGATAAAAAAATAATTTTATTAGCATACATGTCAATTGAAGTGAGTTATACATGTGTATGTAGGGTTTTCTAACACATGCTATGCATATAACTGAACAGATTGAGCTTTGCCTCATACATGACTTATATAATTAAATGGGTTGTATAATTTTTTTATATCATTATTAAATACAAATGACCATTTCCCTAATCGTATCACGCATTAGATAGAGCCGAATAACACATGGGGAGGGTCCATAACTGATGTGGTAGAGTGAGTCGGCCTAGGAGAAATTCCAATGTGGGGTCATTGTTCATTTTCACTGGACGGATTCAAAGTGAGAAAAAGTTCAGAGTTCAGAAAGCCCTGAAACAAGAAAAGCAAGTGCTACCATTTTAAAGATAAATAAAACAGTATCTCATAGAAGAAACAATCATTCCCATGGTAAAAATCATATGAACATGATTGGTGATCTTTCTATCAAATCTTTTTTCATTATCATATAGAAACAGGGGAGGATCAGTAAAACTTGCAACTAAATTAGGTGGAGAAACCATATCCTGGAAGAGTATCCCAATACAGCTAAAATTGCTTTCATTTTTTGAAAGAACCTAAATTGTCTCTTTCTTTTTTCAATATTCTACATAGTACATGCACTTTATGCTACATTTAGACAGAGATGAAATAAAAATACCTTAAACAACCATTTCAGCTTCTCTAACACTGGAAGGGATCCCAATATCCAATCTCATGGTTGGTTTGTATTCATCTGGCACAGCAGCACCTGCTTGAATGCACATCTCCACAACAGCAGGGGCTTGTCCATAAAACCTCCGGAGCTCCCGATGCAATGGCGACCCTACATCAGGAAGATGCCACACATATCTTGGTGGTATCAGGTCATCAAGCACAGCAGCCTGCCAACCATGTTGCCCATTTCGTTGTTGATGCTTGTTGGCCCCACAATTCTGTGCTTTGTGTCCACGGGGTCCTACATGCACCTCTGGACAATATCCACAAACTCTCACTGTGTACACCCTCATTAACTTCTTGGCTCCTTTCCTCATATTCTCCCATGCTTGTAGTGTTTCCTCCGCAAGAAATTTGGTTTCTTCTTCATTAGATGGGGCTACTATTTCTGAGTTGGGTATTTCAGTTAGCAGAGGCTTTACAGGAACTACTGGTTCAGGATCCGGCAGGTCACTTTCATCTGCATCAACAAATTCACTCCTATTTATGCGAATGATTGGCTTTCTTCTCCTTTTTGTGGGATATTCAGGAATTTCAACACCTGCTTGGATGCAAAGCTCAACAACCGCAGGAATTCGGGGGACTGAAAATCTCTCTGCATGAGGTATACGCTTTCCTAGACGGTCAAAAAGGTGATAGGATTCTATGGGAACGAATATATCTTCAATAGCTGCATTTGTCCACTCATGTTGGCCCTTGCGGAGGTTAGCATATTTACTTCTGCATGTCCTAAATGGATGTCCTTCAGGTCCCACATGAATTTCATTACACCACCTGCAAATGATAGGCAACATCCAATATAGCAAATTCATCAAAGAGTTTCAAGAACTAGCAACTATTCTTTGCATACATGCATCTATGCGCTGTTTTGATAAAGAGTCTATTCTTTCCAGGCATTAGTGTGACCAATAAATTATATAAATAAACAAGTAAATAACAATCAGTATGATGGTCAACCTGCCAAGATTAACAATCTAGATGTCCCATACTCACTAAAACACCATGTATAGATTCCACAATCCAGATTCTCTTAGATCTCCTGTCATTTATGTTTTTGGGCAGTAGAAGACAGCAACTGATATCAGATATCATCAGATGTGTTCATATTTTGCGCATAATAAATGTTAGCAGACAAAAGGTGATAGCTTATAATTTGAAAAGTACATTGTTCCTTTACAATGGCACAAATGTTTCTACATTTCATCGGTGAAGATAGAGAAGAGGATGAAAATTACCCACAAGCATGCACAGGGACCACTGTCATTAATTTCTTGAGATTGTTAATCAAGACAATCCTTGCATTGTATACATCATAAGCAAGCGGTATAAGGCTCTTAACAACCAAGCCAATCCTTGGAGGAGGGGGTCGCCCTTTAGGCTGGCCTTTCCTGTTCTTCATTCTCTCCCTTGCAGCTCGTCTCAATTCAACTATGGGTACTGGAAAGGGCTTCTTTTCCTTGTTTGAATATTTTCGAGGAAAATCAACATTTTGTGGATGTTCATTTGTGATGACCAAGGCCTTCGGTTTCCACAACTCTCTTGATGTTACTGCAGACTCAAGTCTAAGCTTATTGCTACTATGCTGCAAGGGGATGGGTGAGAAAAAAAGGAGTTAAGGAGCAGCAGTAACATGGGAGACAAACAAATCAGGCTTAGACAAAAAAAAAAAAAAAAAAAAAAAAAAAAAAAAAAAAACATGAAAAAGTAAAATTTCAGAACAATGTTATGCCTGCGTGAACTTTCTGTTTACTGTCTTCAATTTAACAGTGCCTAATATGAAGTAATGGTGTATTAAAGAAGTAACTTGGGTAAAAGATGACTCATTTCAAATTAATGTAAGCTATTTTTCTTGACTGTTGGATGACAAGGTAAAGAAAAATTGTCATTCAAGGTGTGTCACCTGAAGTCTTCTTGATCAAAATGCTCATGAAGAAGCATTTCCTAGTTTTATTTCTGCCACAAGTATCATGTGTCAGCATCCTTTATGTCCAAAGGATTCATCATCACAATGCTAATTAATAAATCAATAGAGTATTTTGGCATCTTATGGCCATATAAAAAAAACCAGCATATCAAACATCAACGCTTAAGACTTAAGATTTATATTAATAGGTCTCAGGTTCAAAATTTCAAATCTTAGGTAAGGCGGGAGGGGCTCATGGGGAAGTACAGAGCTATCCCCTGTTATGTAGGGCATTTAATTCCGACACCAAATAATAATAATAATAATAGTGAATGTCTAATTGTTCAGTTAATCACATATAGATACAGTACAGTAGCAAAATGCAAATATTTGGTCTTCGACAACTACTACAAGGACAAAGGAAGCAACTTTTCTGTCTGTTAAACATCATAAATATAGGTTATTTAGTTTCAAAGATTATACACCTCCTAAAGACGTCAAGTAATCTTCTAAGACAGTAATGGAAAGGCCTAAAACACAAACAATTCACACAGAACTAAAATATAGTTGGTGGTGATTGAGAGCAATATCAATGAGGTAAAGCTAACTCAATGACACCAAATGAGCCTACAAGAAAATTTCTAAAGCATCCACCATGTGGATTTCTTATCTTTTTTTTTTTTTTTTTATGTGGATCTTCTTATCTTTTTTTTTTCTTTTTATGGTGGCTTTTTTTTTTTTTTTTGGTTGGCACTTTTACACATTCTATTAACAAGAATCTAAGAACTCAAAACAATATGAAAGCCAGTGAATATTAAACATGCTTCCAACTAAACATTTCTAAATCAACCAATATTTCAATTTTAGCAGATAAAATAACAAGTACCTGTAAAGAATCAAGCGAACTGAGACCAGGGTAGAGGTTAAATTTGTGAACTTGTGGTCTTGGTTGATAACAGACCACAAAAGCTTCAATTCTTGGATGAAAAACTGTCAAGTTACCATGAGATAAAGCCATAGGCGAAAAACAAGAAGCTATAAAATCCACAAAATCTGTGCTCTAAGCCATAAAATTTGAGGCAAGCGAGAAAATACTTTATGTACAAGAAGATAGTAGCTACAGATCAAGCAATCACAGATACAAATTAAAAGAGGGAGAATCGGATGCTCCTAGCCATTGGTGGGAAGACGAGATATAAGAGGAAATGTGTAACACAAGCTACAGCACATTGCAAATACGATCTTTTACCAGATTATGTGGGTCGGTCGGGTCTGGACCGCGTGGCTTTAGCATTCGATAAACAACTTGACCCAACCCGAACAGATCAGTTTACAATTAGCCCTTTACATTGCGATTTCGCAGAATAAATTCTGGTCAACTGTAACGGGATAGTTTATGAGAAGGGGAAGTTTTACCCTTTTTTTTTTTTTTAACAATAATTAATTTGTGAATTGGAACAATTTTTTAAAAGTAAATAAATAAAAATATTCATTGGTTTGCCAAATTATGAAAAAATAAGAAAAAAAAGCCCCTTTTCTCCTTTTCTTTTTTTTTTTTTTTAAACCTATTTTAAATCATTCATTAAGAAATGTCAACTTAAGATTTGTTGTTGTTGTTGTTGTTGTTCTATTATATAAGAAACAAACAGATAAACATCATTTTATGATGGTATTACTGAGTTGCACAAACAACAATATATATTATTCTTCAAAGCAATAGCAATATATGAAGAACCATAGTAAAATTCTGTCCAAAGAAATCACAAAGTTAAATTTATTATTGCAATATACTGCCAATCACTCATTTCATGCAAACCATATATGAGCAACTCATATGACTATGAATATACTCACAATTACTTGAACTTCTCAAAATTGTTCGTTTAAATGGAGTGTGTCCAAAATGTAGTCCTTTATGTAAATAGAACTGCAATTAATGAAATGCAAACAACTGAGTAAAGAATCAAGGGTAATTTTCTATGCTGAAAGGCATCAATAATCCACAACATTGAAATATTATACAAACAATGGCAGAGAAATAGATAAAGGAGTAGAGAGAGAAGCAGCAAATGATGTCCCCTAAAATGATGTCCCCTGAATTGCCAACTTACATTAGTCTTAAGGGTCAATGCTTCATAATCATAGGGTTTGCTGGCAAGAAGGAGCACTTATGTCATTATCTTCCAATTTTTGTTTTATCAGCCGCACACAACTCCCTTAAACAAAAAAACGCAAACAATCCAGTCCCATCTTCGATGAAAGACAAAGATGTAAGTACAAAACTTATCCATAAATAAATTCCCTGGAAATTAATTTTTAGTGCGAATCATACCTGATTTCACTCAAAATAAGCAGTCCAAATATCACACAACACAAATAAAAAAAAAAAAAAAAAAAAAAAAAATCTTAATCTCAATTCATTTCCTCCTGTCATCCTCTTTGATATTCATATCTGAAGGAATGGACTAGTTCTAATTATGTAGATTCAGATAGAAGTTATCTAACCTTAACCAACCAAAATTGAGAAGAGAATTAAGAAAAGAAAAAACATTTCCCCATCATTTCCCTCCAATTTCTCAGTAACCGACTAGGATATAACCAATAAAAGAAATTTAAAAAAAAAAAAAGGGAAAATGAAATTACTATAGAAATAAACAAGTGAATTAAGAGAAATACCAGCGACGAGGAAGACGAAGAACAAAAACTCGTTCTTCTATTACCTAAAGAAAATTTAGTACCAAAAGAAAATCAAAAACACAAACAAATTAAACTGAAGAAGAAACACGTAGATATACATAAAGAAAGAAAGAAAGACCAAAAGAAAATCAAAAACACAAACAAATTAAACTGAAGAAGAAACACGTAGATATACATAAAGAAAGAAAGAAAGACAGATTACAGAGACGAAGAGGATTATGAATTGGATGAGAAGCAACTTCCATCATTAATCTCTGATAGGTTCAGGACCCCTTCTTGAGTCTGTTCAGTAGATATACAAAGAAAAGAAATAGAGAGGTAGGGTTTTCAGAGCGGCAAATTTCGAGGCGATATTCGTTTCTTTATCCTTTTCCTTGCTTCTCTTCAGAATCAACAAATCCCACCGCCACTTTGTGGCTTTGGATATTAACAGTGATACAAGGCGTTGTCTTCTTCTTCATGTCTGGAGTTTTTCTTACCATAGAAATATTAAGGAAAAGTATAAATTGGTCCTTCAATTATAGTTAAATTTATAAATATAGATCCTATTTTCAAATTTTAATTTTAATATTTTCAATTTTTAAATGAAGGACCTAAAGATTAATAGAAATTATAAATTAGGAACTTTATAGTTAGTTTGACTATAATTTAGAAATTATTTTCTCAGTCAAAAGTTGATAATTAAAATATGTTATTTTGAATAAAATGACCAAAATATTAATCGAATTATAACTGACACAGAGTTGATCTTATAATTAGTTTTTTTGAAAATAGAGATTTATTAATTACCATTTTTTTAATATTATAACGTATATTAAAATACAATTTGGAAAAAATAAAAGGATAAATAATTATCTAGTGTCTAAATATAGTTTGTAAATAACTATAGCTAGAATATATTTTTCATGACGAGAGTTTTATAATACATTTTATTTTATTTTAAAATTTTAAATTGCAATTCATTAAATAGTTTTAAAGTTGAAACATTTATGATGTAGTTTAAATTAGTTGAATTTATTTGCATTTTCAAAAAAGATTAGCTGAATTTGAATTTAACTGTGATTTGAATAATATATAAAAAAATTTGAAATATAGCTTTGAAATAAATATAGTTGGAAAAAACTTATCACAATTAATATTTTATACTAAAAATGCATCTAATATTTATTTTAAATATAATTTAACGAGAAAGGAAAAAAAAATTATATATTCTAGACAAATAGAGCAATAAATTCGAATAAAAGTACACAGTATATTACAATAATAGGAAATCATTAATAATATTATAATTGAGAAAATTTAAAATTAATAAAAATTATATATTAAAACCATGCATAGCATGGATCTCACGCTAGTTTTATAACAGAAAATAAACATTCCATTTGGTTTTTAACCGATTTTGTTCAGAAGGGATTTTCTGTTACAAAATTGAAATATAGGTAATTTTAAGTGACCGATTAAAAATTAGGTAGAATAATAGGATAATCCCTAAATCGAGAGAAGACAAGTGAAAAGTAACCTAAACTTAAATCAAATCATATTTATATAAAATCAAACTTATAAAACCATGTATGTTATGAAAGAAAAAATGATTGCTTATTAGCAATTGTTACTGTAAAAGTTAGAAGAGAAATGATAATTTTCCTGCAAAGAATTCTTTTCAAATGTTTTGATTTTGTTCTTGAAAATCAGTTAGTTGCTTTTCAGTCTGTCTTTTGAAGCCTTAACGCATTTCCATTCCATACACTCTTGTTTCTTCATATTGAGTAAATTAATTGATTTTCACCACCAATACTATTAGATTTAGAGGACATCTCTATTCTCTACATGGTCAAATACAATCGCACATCTATCATGATAAAGAAGTGACAGAACAGAAAAGCAAAAGAACAAATAGAACAATTTGAATAGCTACCGTCTAGATAGGATTTGATTCACCTCTCATTACAGAAAATGTTTCACAGGAATTTAAGAGAACAAGCATACTATTTTTGGCAGACTGTAATTTGTTTATAACAGCACACGATTGAAAGCACCAATGAACTTTTTTAGAGGACAGACACTACTCATTTGAGGAGTGTCTTGACAATAGATTTCACATTCAACTTTTTGAGATCTGTATAAGATTGTCCACAGCCGACGAACATTACTGGTGCGCCAGAGATGTATACCATTGACAGCGCAGCACCAACCTACACCATCAAAAACAAAATATGGAACACATTTAGAGAAAACTGGAGAGAGAGAGAGAGAGAATGGATAAGGAATTGCTTGTCACTAGTGCAATTCGCTCTACCTTATCATCAATTGTATCAAACTTGGTAAGCAGAATGCCATCGATTAATCTTGCATTAGGTGAAGTAGAGAGATCGGCTAGTTTCTGTAAAGAAACAAAGAATATCGCTTGGTAAATTCAGTCTGAGAAAGAAGAACATTAGCTAGTGAAATGCTTGAATTAAGAACTGAACCTGGTTGAACTTTGATAGTTGATCAACGGCATCATTTCCAACCAATGCCTCTCCAACAAACAAGACCAAATCTGGATTGTTGAGGTAAATAAGTTTTGAAAGAGCTCTCATCAATGGTTCATTATCCTGAAATGCATGACAAGTGCATCGTCATCATCATAACAATAATAATAAAAGGAATAAGCAAATAGATGTGTTAAATCCATTTCCCAATACTCAATTTAATCAAATTCCTACTCCCAAACTACTAGGGTTGCTGTGAGGATCCGTTGGCTAAAGAATTTAGATATTTAGGATATATCAATAAAACATCATTGCTACTAAGTTTTGATCCAGTTATGTGATCATGTTTTGCATTTTGAAAGCATTTTGATTGCTTTCAATAAAAGATCAAAAGAGAACTTTCATTATGAACAAGCAAATGTAGAACACCAAAGAAGTTAGAAGCAATCATCAAACTAATTCATATGCTGGACAATACTAGTCAACCCTCATTATCAGTTCACAAGGTACCTGCATTCGACCAGCAGTATCAACAAGAACTACATCAGAACCATTGCGTGTAGCCTCCTGAATAGCTTCCTTTGCTACAATGGCAGGATCTTTCTCATAGCCCTTTTCGAATATTGGGATCTACCAACAAAAGTCAGAAGTTCAATGCTCAGCTTCCATCAACCACACATTATCAAACAGACAATCTGCTGCAATAAAGAGCCCAGAAAAAGTTGCTGCTCATAAGACATGACATGACACCAATTTCGTACCTGAAGTCTGCGTGCATGAGTGCGCAGCTGCTCTACAGCTCCTGACCTAAATGTATCACAAGCAGCCATCATAACACTAATGTCATGCTGCAGAAGCCAGTATGCTACCTGCAATGTACAAAAATAACCCATGTATCAGAAAACAGGATGCTATGATGATTAGATCTTCAAATGCCAGGAAAGCAAGAGTGAGAACAGCATCAACTGAACCTTAGCAAGATTGGTGGACTTTCCAACCCCATTGACACCAACAAAAACAACAACATATGGCTTTCTCTGCTCCTTGGCAGCATGTACATCTCTCAGTATGTCAATAGAGCGCCTAGGAGTTAAAATTCGAACAAGAGCGTCTTCCATTGCACCCTGTAGCCATATGGCATGATGATGAATTTATTGCTACGTCAAATTGGGAGGAAGCAAAAATAAGAAACCAGATGTTCCAGATTCAACTAACCTGCACGGTTGAGGATATTCTTGTGAAAGATGCCAGCTTTTTACCTTCAAGACTTGCTGAAACTGATTCGCAAAGCTTCTCAGCTATCTCCTCAGCCTGAAATTTCCCCAGGGACAGAACTTCATAAGCATGCAATGTGAAACTGATAAATAGTGGTCAACTAAGGAAAAATTCATGCAAAAAAAAAAAAATCTGCTGGATAAGGCAACATGACAATTTCTTTTTCTTTTCTTTCAGATAACAAAAGGCTTTATTGAGAAAGGAAGAAAAGCGTACACAAGGAAAAAGATAACAAACAAGAACATACCACATTCTTGGTCATCAACCTATCCTTGAGTGCTTTCAAAGCTGGTTCCAGATCTGACTTCTCCAAGTTTGCCTTTCCTGCAATACTGAGCCAAGGAAAGCGCATGAAATCTGATGCATATATCAAAGGACTACATTCTAAAATTTAGTTAGTTTCTGCTTGGTCATCATAATTCATTTTCTAATAGTGAAATAAATTAGAAAATGAATTCTGATGCTAAATATAGTTTGTTAAAGATACATTTAAGCCCTTGAAAATGCTTTATATATATACCATTCCGAAATTCACCTAATATACACATAATCCAAGAACGAACAATAATTTTAATATTAAACAGAAATTACCTCTGAAACATAGATGAAAACCATCCCTTCTTCTTAGTGTCACGCTTGCTATCTTTCTCCTCTTCCTCATCTTCCACCTCACTGTCACTACTAATAATTTCTTCTTTATCCATCATGCTTTCACCATGATCAGTCGCCACAACCTCTGCATGCCCATTCCCATTCTCCTCCACAGGATCTGTAAAGTCCAATTTGGACTCTTTAGGCGAATCATCCCAAACTCTCTTCTGTTTTGTTATCTTTTTCTTTGGGTCCACATTGGCACCCTTACTAACAACAGTATCAGTTTTCTTTCCACCTTTATTTCTAAGCTTCTTAAGCTTGCTTACATCAAAAGCTCCAATATTGGAACTAGCATTTTCTTTACCGTTAGCAACATCTGACCTAGACTCATGAATATCAACATGATTACCGTTGGAGTGTCCATTCTCCAATTTGTAACCCTTTCCCTTATCACCATCTCCACCATCATTCGCTCCACCTTTTTTCTTATTTCCTCCTTCAAACCCACTTTTTTTAACTTGCACTTGCTTCTTACCATCATTCACAGGCTTAATTACCTGCTTCGATTTTTTCAACTCATCAGCTCGAGCTTCTGCCTCTTTCCTAAGTTGCCTAAAAGTTTCATCAAAATCATTATAATCCACACGCTTTGGATCATAAATCTCCGAAAACTCACGCTTAACCATTGCAAGCAGCTCATCAACATAAAGTAAATGAAGAATCCGCTGATAAACAGCAACAAACACAAGACCAAGGTCGTTATGGAAAGTCCATTTGAGGGTGTATGCAGCACCAGGAGCATCATAATTATAAAATGCTGCACCTGATCTTTCTTCCAAAAGACATGATCGGATCAGTGTGTCAATTGGTGATCCTTTCAGAGCATTTCCAAGCTCTTTACATGTCCAGAGGATTAATCCTCCTCTTGTGAAGATTAGCAACTGCTCTAACATCCTTAATTTTTTTTAAAAAAAAAACCTGCAATCAAATTCTAAAAATCAGATTAAAAAAAACCACGAGTCGATCCATAACAATAAATAAATAAAATCCTATAATTAAAACCTCACAACGCCTCAAAATTATATTCTTCCTATAAATTCATCAAATTAACTATTTTTTAATCAGAGTAAAACAGATCGATCTCAGATTAGCCATATCAAATTGTTTTCCGTTACCTAAACTTTACCGGTAAACAAACAGAAGGTCAGAATTTAAAATCATACAAGAGATTACGGATCCAACAATCGTATTCCAATCAAGATCAACAAAAGCCGTTACAAACAGAATAAACAAAAAATAAAAAAAAAAATTCGACATGCAGATCACAAATTTGAATCGAGAGGATAATAAAGACATACCTTTTTCTTTTCTTTTTCTCTTTTATTTCTGAGAAAAATGAGAAACCTAAAATACAAAAAAAAGGAGAAGAGAAGGATAAAAAATGGAAAATCTGAGACAAAAAGGGAAAACAAAATGAGAATTTGTGAATGTTCCACTATATATATTGGGCTTTTTTCTTATAATGTCTATATTTTGACTAGGTTCGATGGCCGGCGAAGGACATTGTGCAAGCCGCTGACCCGAAATTGGGGCCCACCAATTTGTGCGCGGTTAAAAAAAATTTGACACCCGCGGTTAAAATAAAACGACCGACCATTACAAGCAACAAACTGAAGCAAACGACATCGCATTACATTTGGCAGACTATGGCCCTGCTTATGCTAGTACCTAGAGGTTGAAAATTTTTTTACAACACAGCGTACACTTACCACTGGGCTATATTTTAATGTATCAAAACTCGATAATTTAGTTGATAAGGATGTAAACCTCCAAGATTCAATGTGATTGTGGACTACTTAGTGAATTATATTAATATTATTTATGAACCTTTGAAGTACTTCAAGTGGTATTGAAAACAAAAAAATAAAAGATATGTAGAGACCAAAAATATTTATTTTGATTAAAAAATGGCAAGAGAAATCTTGCACATCAAGATAAAATCGGTTTAATGTATGGAATTACCTCTGAATTTTAGGATTTTATCTCTATTTCATCTTGAAATTTTGAAAAGATCGATCTATCGTATATTTGAAGTTGTAATTTTTATTATAAATAAGCACTTTTACTTTAGGAGCATTGACGGGTCTCTAAGAATCGTTACTAAGAATTACAATCTCAAACCAAGGTGCAAGGTTAATTAGAAAAATAGAAAATTTGTAGGTGTTTATGCGATAAATTATGCAAATATTACTTAATTAATATTACTTTATGTGATAAATTATGCAAATATTACTTTATGCGATAAAGTTCGGGAGTAATTTTATGTGATAAATTAGAGAAATATTAAATTTGTAGGGTTTTTTTTTGAATGGAAAATTTGTATTTTATATGGAAAATTGATCACAAAAAATTAACCCATCTAGTTCCTGAATTATTACTTAATTAATAAACAAAAATTGATCACAAAAAGCTTGATTGATGGGTACCAAAAAAAAAAAGTTCTATAAATCAGAATAATTACAAATCTCAAACACCAGCATCACCAAGCCAAAATAGCAATGGGATTTGAGCAATAGCAAGTAAAAGCAAGAGATAGTGTCGTTTGCTTGAATGCTTCTCACAATTTCTCATCTCACAAATTAAAATCCTCTTCACAATCTTCACAAAGAACATTCCCATACAGAAGCTTTCCCACAATGTTACTATGTAGAAACAATATCTACATGTGATTCTTGATAATACGGCCACCGACACGGCGGCGAATGTGTATCCGCCGTAAGCAACCACATCAAGTAAAGGCACATCTCCATCTCCTAATGAGCGCAAAGTAGCTTCAAGAAGGAGGAGTTGAAATAGCCAACATAGCAATCCGTTTGCTAATTGCACACTTAAAGCTTCAGGGCTAAACCTATACCATATATATAATAATTTGAATTATAAAAAGATTAATTGTTTATCAATTACCAATAAATTAAAATATAACCCAATATATAAAAAATTATGATATTTTAATATTTTTTCGGTCTGTTCGGCAAAATTAGCCATTTTTATAGTAACGTTTAACTGTTAGTTGTTTGAATAATTTTTCATAAACATAAATTAACTTTTCACAAAAATGCTACTTTAAACCCAATGTTATCAAACACTATAAAAAGAAGGCGTTTAACATTTTGACCAGTTAAAACGCTAAAAACTAGCTAAAAAGTTATTGTCGAACACAGCCAAAATATTGAAAATCTTTAAGGGAATGATCATTTTAAAAAAAAAACAATAATATTGAGAATAAAGAATTTAACTTACTTTCCATTGATGCCCAAAGAGAAGCCAGCTAGAACAAGGTAGGTACCAAATGCCATCAATGGAATGTACAAATCAGGAGCATTTATATCATAAATTGGAGGTTTATAAAAAAGTTCACCGCCAACCTTCTCGGTGGTTCTCATCCAATATCCCTACAAATTGATGAAAACTCTTGTGATTGATAGGACTGAAATCCAAAACCCCTTATTTCTCATATCAGTGAAAAGACTAATCAAACCACATTTAATTGGTAAAAAAAACAATTAAATAAAAAATAACTATTAGCATATTATATGCTTACCCTGTGTAGAAATGGAAATAGAATTATTTTCAACTTGTTCTTCACATACTGATCATTCACTTCAAAATAATACTGAGAATTACACAAATATTTTGTAATCTGTAAAAGGTTTTAGAATCCAACAATTACTACAATGAACAAAAAATTAGAAAAAGAAAGTTGTAAATTGTAAAAATACTTCACTGACATTGCTTTGCACATAAGCTGAGCTTGATCCTAATAGCTTCTCTCCATAAGAACCCAGTTCATTTTTTATGAGATCTGACCCAGCTTTTGATGCTACCATCAACACTTCTTCTACTTGGCTTCCCATTTTCTTATATATTTCTGCAAATAATATATACTATAATAAAATTATAATCTGACAAATTTTTAAATTTTGACAAAAAAATCCAGAGTAAAATGATTATTATTAAAAATTAAATGCTTATTTTTGCAGTGCAAAATGTTAAGAGTCATATCTCATTTTAAAAAAATTATTTTTTGTAATTACCCAAATATTAATAATGAGAAAAGAATGTCCACATGTATTATTTTCTAAAAGAAAAAATAATACATACCTTAAAAATATTATTTGTAAAAGATTCATGAACCTGTTTGTTTTGCCTTTCAAAAAGAAGAAGAATAAACTCTCAATCCTCCAAGCACAGCAGGATGTAAATGTTGCCAACTTGCCATGCAATCACTCCCAAATCTTATTTAGTATTTAGAAAAAAGGAGCATTTTTTATTTTTTATTTTTATAAAAAGAATGATGACCTGGCAATTTAATTTCCAAAGCCCAATAAGTTAAAATGATTATTTATTTATTTATTTATTATGTGGCTTTACCTGATTGGAGCTTGATAAACTTAGTTGTAGAAATATTGCTCTCTGTGGATAATAGTAAGGTCAGTAATATCTGTCACCACAAATCCCTGAAGGGTCCTCACTCCCATATTCCCATTTCCCAATATCAAAGATAACAATTTTTTTTCCCAATACACACGTATTTTCTCCTTTCAGAAAAATAGATGTAATTTAATTTTCAGAAAAATATAATTAATATAATTAAATTATAAAATTCTTGATTAGTTCTTTTTTTTAATTTACCTTTAAAATTTTTTTCAACTCATATTTTAATTAGTTTTTTATTTTAATATTTGTGCAATAGTAATAGTTAATATATTTATTTATGAATATGGATATTAAATACAATATTATGGGAACCGAAATAATTATTTCTTTTAAAAAAAGAAATAGAATTATAATTTATAACATTTTTTTTTGGAAACATAATTTATAACATAAGTTAAAAATAAAGGTGAGATTATTTTTATAGGAGGGGAAGAGTATATTTTCTTTCCGCAATTCCAAGAAAATTTATCCAGCTTTTGGTGAGGCCAACTTTTGTAGGCCAGATGGGCCTTGGCTGAATCAGCGGGCCTGCATTACCAAGATTAGCCCAAAATAATTCTCCCTTAGCTCTACAACTTGCAACCGAACAAAAAAAAAAAAAAGCATTAATTACTATTATCTAATTAGCCGAATGATAAAGTTTGTCTGATAATAAAGAGATAATTTGTCAACCGTAAGTGGTCTTTTTTTTCCATTTATAATTTATAATTTATAATATTACATGATAAATTCACCTGAATATACAGTATACAGTAACAGTCTAATAGTCTGTTATTAACTATAAGTAGTCTTTAAAAAATTAAACAAGAATTTAGGAAATTTTATTAAAATGTTAGTTAGAAAATAAACTGAAATTGAACTAAAATTTAATGATAATAGCATTATAGAAAAATGCATTTCCTAAATTATCAAAATGGAAAATTTAAAAAAAAAAAATCAGAAACGTGAGGTTCTATTTCTTTCCAATTAAGGAATGGGACAATATCTTTGGACGTGTTTGGGAAAGAGTTATAATTTACGATAAGAAGAAAGATATTTTTCTTTCTTTCCCTAAGAATGAAGAAAAAAACAAAATTTAGGTCTAAGCAAGCATTAGCATAGATCAGTATCAACATCAGAATGGCTCTCAAAGAGAAGTCAAATACATGGACCAAAACGACATATCAAATCCGGGATTTCCTCCTTAAAATACAAAGATGTATATCACTTTCTACGGTTGACCACAAATTGTAGACTCGTCTATGGAGTTATAGTTAAATAATTAATCTATTATTTGACTATTCCATGCACATCAATAACATTGTTTCATTTATATAACACAAACCATGTTTCTCTCGTTATCGAGATAACTCGAATTGGAGATCTATTACTACTCATATAGTCATATCGGTGAAAAGACCAACTAAACCACACCTGATTTACTACATAATGTTTAATAACATATAATATTTATATTATTATAAATTGAAGGAGTAGAAACGCTACATCTAAAATGGTTAGCTAAAACTGATTCAAAACGCTGATAGCTATTAATTACAACAATTAATAACTATTAAAACATTTAGTATTATCCAATAAAGCGTTTCAGTTGGGCATTCATTATTTTGAAGTTCTACCAAATGGCTTATCTAATTTTCTTCTTCGTGATATATTCGGCATTAGCTGTCCCATGCATTAATCTCTAAATAATTTTCTGGTTTATCTCTTTTTCAAAAAAAAAAAAAAAAAAAAAAAAAAGCCCATATGCATCGTGGGAATGTTCAAATCCTGAGACTTCTGAATAACTCTTTTTTTTTATTTTAATTGTTTATCCGCCCTTAATTGAGTTTAATTATTTAAAATTTAATCTCATAATTTATATTCTGACTTCGTTCTTACTTCATTTTTGAATCAACTTTAGTACGAAAATCTTGAAAAAAAAAAAAAAAAAAAAAAAAAAAAAACAGGAAATTTCTGTCCCATTGCCATCCCTACTCCAAGCTCTTGTGATAATTGCAAATGATGAACAGTGAGAAGATTATTTTCACATTTTTCAGATAGAAAGTTGGAAAAGCTAAATGAATTCCAGCAAGCAAGTAATGAAGTTAAATTGCACGCTCGCACGAACGTGATGTTAATAAAAACAAGTGAGGAAGCACATCTCGGAAATCATGGCCAGATCTCATCTCAAACAAAAGCAAATTAAATAAAAAAAAAAGGAAAAAAGGGAAATTATTTAGGAAACAAGCAATCTAATTAATTATACTTAACTTTAATTAATTTGGTCCAACTGTTGACCTAAATTATTTTGAGCCATTATTAAATTGGGTACATTTGAGATTCCACCATGATTCATGACATTTATGTAATGGAGCCTAATGATTGTATAGAATTCATGGAATTTCTTTTCTTTTCTCTAAGAGTTCTTGTTTTGATATTTTCAATTATCGTTAGGTGCTTTTTTCAAAAAAAAAAAAAAAAAAAAAAAAAAAAAAAAAAAAAAAAAAAAAATTACGGATAGCTGCGATGAAATTTGATTATGGATTTATCAATTATTTAGCTGAGAAAAGACGGATTTATCAATTATTTAGCTGAGAAAAGACAGATTCATTAATTCGATTATTGATCTAATTTCATCATTTTAGAAGAGAGAGAATTTTTTTTTCCGGATATATAATTTAAATGCATGTGTTTTATTTTTTAACTAAAACAGATTCATTAATTCGATTATTGACCTAATTTCATTATTTTAGAAGAGAGAGAATTTTTTTTTCCGAATATATAATTTAAATGCATGTGTTTTATTTTTTAACTAAACAATAGAATGTGAATACATTTTATAAATTTAACCATCCATGGATTTCACATTTCATTGGTCCAACCACTTAAAAAATTTTAAAATAATAAAAAAAAGAAATAAGTTTTTTACTTCTAATTTAAAATTTAAACTCACGTTTCAAAAAATTTATTATTTTTAATTTACGGGTAAGCCTATAAATCAGATCTAAGAGAGTATTTTTTTTTTTTTTTTTTATTTTTTTTTTACATCGGAGTGGAATGAATGATATTGATATCATTTCTAATATTATATATTTTTTTTTTTTTTTTTACATGGATGAATGATGATATTGATATCATTTCTAATATATATAGATGTTTAAATTTAGTGGTCTCCAACCCATAAACTCCAAAACAAAATATTTTTTTCATGTACATAAAATATATTAAAATATGAAATTCCAAATTAATTATTCGGTGGAATTCATTTATGCTAAAAATAGCCGTTAGTGACAAATTTGAGTATTTTATTTCAAATCAAGATTAGTTAATCAATCATATCTAACTATAATAACGACACAAAATCACACACCAAACGGCATGTGTCTTCCCAAAATTTCACAACATCAGTTTCTTAAATAATATAATATGCTCATGCAATAATACAAATTTGGTTTGGTGAACAAGTTTAACAACTCCCTTTGACATTAATCAATGATCATTTAGAACTTTGACCAACCTCTCATCAACTAATCACCAAAGTAAGTTCCAAAGCTAGTTAATTAGTCACTAATCATGTTTCTACTAATTAACTACTCATCCCACAGTGCAAGCCCCTTCAAGCAAATTATTTGCCAAGTTTGACTTATCATCGTATGATTTAACCTACAGTTAGGATCTGTTCGGTAATATTAGTTGTTTTCGTAATTATTAGCTGCTTTAGTAGCGTTTAACTGTTAGTTGTTTAAGTAGTTTTTTATAAAATGCTAAAGCTAAACATTACATAAGTTAATTTTTTTATAAAATGCAACCTTAACATCTAAAAAGCTAATTCAAATGCTATGTTATCGAAGACTATAAAAATTATTTAAAAAGCTATTGCTAAACACAAGATTAATCTTTTTAATTATAAGCAAAATTTTCCATATCATGTCACATACCACATAATGAAAGTTGATACAAATTCAAAGACGCTGTAAATTGTCCAGGGGAATGAATTTTAATATTGCGGGCTCTATAAAAGGGACCGTTCTTTTCATGGCTCAACAAATTAGTGAAAATTATAATAATCGAGAAGACTTGAACTCGAGACATCTTATTCCTTTCACTCCAAGTAGAAACATAAAAAATTTAAGACTTGCACTCTTTGGTCTGAGTGAAGGGAGTCTCACCATCAAAAAGAAGAAATAGGTGATAAAGACTAATGTTAACTACACTTTTTTTTTTTTTTTTTTTTTTTTTTAACTTCTAAGGAGGTAAAAGAACCCAAATCTAAACAACTTATCTAGGCCAAAAAATACCAACTCTGTCACCCGCCAAGTACACCTATTTTCTTATGCTGTATTCATGGAACCAATAGAAAGGCGATTAGAGGTCACAAGAGTCACTGAGTCACACACCCCACATCCATAACTCCCTTATCATAATAATCCTTAATTCTTATGTGCCTTTCTCGTATATATGTACAGTTAGGACCACAAAGACATGACACTACCACTGCATGCATACTACTTAATTGCATAAGCTTTTATATTTCTATTATAAAATTTAGATATGAACCAAAAAAAAAAAAAAAAAAAAAAAAGAAAACTACTAAAACAATTAAATTATAACATCTAGTAATTTAATTTCAGGATTCATTCAATTACTAATTAATGACTAGCTGCTAGAACATAACGAGTAATGTTTCATTTCAGACTCACCAGGATTAATGAAATTATTATTTGAATCCATTTCGAATTTTTATGTATCTGACTATTTAAACTTGTTTTTATTATGATAGGATTGAATCCTAATTGCATACCTTCTTTCTATATACTTATTATTTATTTTCTATTTGATGCCAAACCTATTAATTGTAAAGGGTTATTCATATCTCATAATAAAATTTGACTAAATTATTTAGAATCAAAATGAAACTAACAAAAGTGATTCTCATTCTGATTTTTCTCAACACATAAGCAAATTTGAATTGAAATCCCCTTAATTATTCTCTAAATTCTAATTAAAAAAATTATTCAAAAGCAATTATTTAATTAATTATTATTAAACCAAATCTCTAATTATGACTCAATTATACATGCACAGTGCTTCATAACAACTAACCTCCAGTTAATAGTAACAGAGTAACAGCTAGCTAGCTAGGTCATACGAAGAGAAAGACTTAAGAGAGAGGTGCATTTATGGTGGCTATTCTTGGTGCATGGTTCCCAACTAAGTTCTGATGATCTAGGTCCCTCTACCCTCTCCTCTTCATCTCTCTCTCCCAAGAATCTCAGGAGAGAGAGAAAACAAAAGAAAAAATAGCCAGTGGTCCACTAATAGTTGCCCAATACCAGTACCTGCACAACCTAGCTATAGTTAGTGTATAAATGCAGCAACTACATTAAACTCCAAACATATCTCCTCCCCTATATATAAACCTATAATTTGAGCCGTTAAAACCAAATTTCTTTCTCCATAGTATAGTTCTGTCCTCTTCTTGTTCTGGGTGCAATGGCAATTCAAGGAAAAACCCGTAATTCTTTCTTGTTATTTGTTGTTTTCTGGTTTTCTGCAATCAACGCCATTGTTGCTTTCAGAAAACTGCAAGAACAAGAGGAAGATCGAATTACAGCTCTTCCAGGTCAACCAGCAGTCACTTTTTCGCAATTTTCTGGTTATGTCACCGTCAATGAGAAACATGGGCGTGCTTTATTTTACTGGTTGACAGAAGCTGCTACTTCATTTCCTGACAAAAAACCTCTTGTTCTTTGGCTTAATGGAGGTCAGTCTTAATTTAGCTATTCTCCTATTTCTTTCCATTTCTTTCATACAATACAGAAAACAGTGTTTTTCTTTTCTTTTCTTTTCTTTTTCAATTTGCAACGTGAAGTATTAATCTCTTTAGTTTAAGCATAAAACTTCAAAATTTTTTTTTATTTAAAGCCAGAAATTAACTAATTAACCAAATTTTACTTTTAAAAAAAAATAATTTGCCAACTTTCCATTAAATTTTCATTTTCAATGCAGTTAGGAGTTAGGACAAGTTGGGACGGGGTAATAAAGTTTAAATTCTTATTATTATTTTTTGTTTTTTGAAAGGAAATTCTTACTGTCTTTCTTAGATGTACTAAAAAAACTATAAATATGTTTAGTAGAACATTCTAGTGGTCAAATGCATGTTGTTCTTTATAATGTCCATTTGATGTCGGGATTGAAAATAATTTATTAAAACAATATTGTTGATAAAAAATTAGAGAATGTTATTCAATTATTTTAAGATTTTTACTTTGAAATGTGTAAAGTAATCTTAAAATTGAACATTTAATGTTTTCTATTAATACTTTTAATATAATAATTTTACTCTGTGAGTGAAAGTAATTCCTCAATAATAATATTCCAATTAATTAGTGGTATGATGAATTAAAAATAACACCCGAAAAGTCTATTTAATGAGAGAATAAAAAACGTTCATATTTCACAGTTTTAGAAAATTAATATTAACTCTGTTCCGTAATATTTATTACATTTGAAATATCACGTCCTTAAGAAAATTATTAAATTTATCTAAGTTATAATAAATTATTGAGTAAATTGACCATATTATCCTTAGTTTAATACTAATTCTCTAAGAAACTATTAAATTGAAGTAATAATTATTGGTCATATATAAAGGGTAAACATGAAAAAATGAATTTGTTACTCCTTGAAACCACAAATGTGATAAGTATTTTGAAACCACAAATGTGATAAGTATTTTGGAATAAACTATTTTTTCAAATATGACAAGTATTATAAAACGGAAATAGTAGCTCCTAATTTTGAAAGAAAAAAGAAATATCAAACATACTTTACGGTGTTCGGCAATAATTTTTAGCGTTTACTTTATTTTTTTAGAGAGTTTGAATTAATTTGTAGAGATTTAGATAATTTATAAAATGTTATTCAAACAGTTAAACGCTGTTAATATAGGAACTATAGTTAAATTTGGCGAACAAACCCGATATCAAAGTTTAGATGTTAACAACTCCATTTTAAGAAATTTTTAGTAAATCAAAATATTGTGAGTATATATAATACTATAAGTATATATATATATATATATATATATTAGTATATATATATATATTAGTCAATTAAATTAATTAATGAGATTGTATATATCATTAATTAATTAATGAGATGGAAATTGAATTGATGATTTCTTCTAGTGCAATCCTTTTGTCTTCACCTCTTGCAAGTGCCCCACTCTGAATCCATCTATAGTACACACAAAATGGGTTTAGGGATTGGTGCCATCAAATCCGGGACACCCATTATGCCATGTACACATAAGTAAAAACTTCAGATGCTAAAATGCACCAAAGTCGTCAGCATCCACTAGAAAGGAAGTAAAAACAACAACTGGGTGTCAATGAAAAAACAAGATGGGTCCTCGTGATCTTTGTGTGTCTGTATTCTTTTAGGGTTTTATTCCTTCCATAACAGACGTTAATTCCTTCTTCAGAACACCTTCATTACCTTGAAGAACATAATAACACTGTAAATATTACTCACTTTCTGTCCACTTTTGAGCATCTTCTGTAGCCTAAGAAAACACCAAAATGCTGCCATAAAGTGAATCATCTTTTTCTCTCTAAAAGATCCCTCAGTTTAACCTATATATGTTGCGGGAATATTCTTCCAAAAATTCATTTAATTTCTCTATTTAGGGCGCAAAATTAACTCTTTTGATGATATTAGTTGATTTAGTAGTGTTTAACTCTCAGCTATTTATATTTATGTAGTTTTTACATAAAACGCTTTTAGAAAAAGCTATTGACGGTACGTTACCAAATATTATAAAAAATAACATTTAGCTCTTTAACTAGTGACGCGGAATCGATCTATGTTAGCCTCAATCAATGTAATCAAAACTGCATTATATTTTTTTCTTAAACTAAACTGAAATCACAGTACATATGGAAACAAATTGGTTTGATTTGATTAGTTAGGTTTATTTTTTTGAGTAAATTTGACTTTGTTTTTCTCAAAAAACTCAACAGAAAAGCAAATTACATAAGATTTGAATAAAATCAATCAACCCGGATGATCAAACCGAAAAGTTCAACTAAATCAATTTGACTCAGTTCAGTTTTAGTGATTATTTATAATTTTTATAATTAAAAATATGATATTGCAAAGTAACTTTTAGTGGGTTTTAATTGAATATAAAAATTATTTCAAACTATTAACGCTAATTAACACACTATTACAGTGAGATTATTGCTTCTTTCGGTTAACTTGGGATAGTAAAAAAAGAGTTAAAAGACACAGACATATATGTAACTCTCTCTCTCTCTCTCTCTACTCTGTTCTTTATCTCTGAAGCATGCGCATTCAGAAGAAAATGGACATAATGATGATCCTTTTCTTTTTTCTTGACCCAGAATTTAATGAAGGAACGTAATTTTTTTTTAATCTTGAGATTAAAAATTAATAATACTAATTTTACAATTGAACCAACGTCTAAGCCAGACGAAACTATATTGCGGAAATAAAATACTTCAGAAAATAACTAATATATAACTATATTGCGGAAATAAAAGTTACTTCAAGAAAATAACTAAATATATATATAAGATAGTATATATTATAATCTTATTTTGTATTGCAAAAAATTATTTTCCATTTAGATATTTATTTATTTTGTATTGCAAAAATTATTTCATAGACATCATTGATGTGTTTGTGAAAAGGAAGGAATGTGTAAGTTCATATTATCAATTTGTATGGTCAGATTCGTACACTGGGTTCGAATAGTTGTTGTTCACTTTTTTTATTGTCATTTAATGTAGCAACCAATCAATTTATGATAATTCCTACAAAATAAAATTCAAAACAAAAATCATTCTTGCTTAAGTTTATTTATAATTACAAAAATCATTCTTGCTTAAGTTTATTTATAATTATTACTTATTTCAATAACAAAAAGAACATTTTTTAATTTATCAATCAAGAATAATGTGATTTACTGTATATTTTTATTGGGGTTCTTGAGTTTAATTTTTAATAAAATAAATAAGATTTATATTATTTGAATTTTTAAAAATAATATAATAAAATTATACATTTTGCACAACCCTGGACATAGCACTAGTGTTGATTAGTAGTCAGTGACTTTTTGACTAGCTTCATACAGAAATCTGCACCACTACGCATGTCAATGTCCCCACTTCAGTTCAGCTTCTGACTTAGGATGTGGAAGGGAAGAAGCATTATATAGTGGAACAGTAACTGGAACTGCTCACCTTTTTTTTTTTAGCTCTGTTTATTAATTGTTAAAAGTTATAACTTATGTTAATGAAGAAACGTGGAAATGCAGAAATGATTATAATCTTATACGAAAAAATGGTATTTTATATAGAAAGATGGACGCATGGAAATGTCCAGAGCTAGAAGTTTCCGTGCATTGTTGGTTATACTAATGCTTGAATTTCGATAATTAAAAAGTAGATAAAATAGAGAGAAACCATTGATGGGTTCTGAGACAAGTTTAAATGAATGAAAATGCAGGACCAGGTTGTTCATCAGTTGCATATGGAGCATCAGAGGAGGTTGGACCATTTCGGATTGACAGAACTGGTTCATCTCTTTATCTGAATAAGTATTCATGGAATACAGGTAATTAACAATAAATAACAGTTCTTAATAACCGAATTTTAAATGAAAATTTTATTAAATCAAATTTATATGCTTACAGAAGCAAATATTCTTTTCCTGGAGTCACCTGCTGGTGTGGGATTTTCATACACAAATAAAAGTTCTGATCTTAAAGATTCTGGTGATGAAAGAACAGGTACCAAAACTAGAGATTCTCAGTGCTAATGCCAAAACTACGTAGTTTAATAATGCAATTTACTACTTTTTATGGTGCAGCCGAAGATGCTTTGATCTTTCTCATCAGATGGTTTTCAAGATTTCCACAGTACAAGTACAGAGATTTCTACATAGCTGGAGAAAGTTATGCTGGTTAATAACCCAATACTATAACAATTAAAGAATCTAATTAACTACATTTTTTTCTCTAATTTCAATTATCTTTGTACATAGGGCATTATGTTCCTCAACTGGCAAAGAAAATCCATGATTATAATAAAGCACATTCCCATCCAATCATCAATCTCAAAGGATTCATTGTGAGTACAACATCAATCACATGATTTTTTTTTTTTTTTTTTTTTTGGGGTTTTTTTTTTTTTTTGTTTTTGTTTTTTTTTTGGGGTTTTCAACAGTTTTCATAAGCCCTTGCTATTGGTAAAGAGAGACTAAATCGGGATTCTTGGCAGCCCCTCACTAATTGGCAGCCCCCACTATAAGTAATTTCATACTTTTTTTTTTTTTTTTTTTTTTTGGGGTTTTCAACCAGTTTCATATACCCTTTATATGGTATGAGACTAATATCGGGATTCTTGGCAGCCCCTCACTATATGGCAGCCCCTCACTATAAGTAATATTCATACAAATATGTAAATGCAGGTAGGAAATGCAGTAACAGATAGTTACTATGATAGCATTGGAACTGTTACATTCTGGTGGAGTCATTCAATGATATCAGATAGAACGTATCGATCAATTCTTGATAACTGCAATTTCAAAGACGAAAATAGATCATCCGAAAAATGTGATGAAGCAGTAAATTATGCAATGAATCATGAATTTGGAGATATTGATCAATACAGTATTTATACACCATCTTGCATACAACTGCAAAATAATAAGAGCAATTTAAGGCCTTTAAGGCTTTTCAAAAATACGCTTCTACGTGGAAGAATTTCTGGTTATGATCCTTGTACTGAGAATTATGCAGAGAAATATTATAACAGACCTGATGTTCAAAAAGCAATGCATGCCAATGTTACAGGAATTCCTTATAAATGGACTGCTTGCAGGTAGATTTTTTTTTTATTCGGTTTTAACTAATAGAATTTAAAGATTTCTATAATAATTATGTGATCTTGTGTTGTGATTGGCAGTGATGTGCTTATTAAGAACTGGAGGGATTCTGAATCTTCTGTATTACCTATATACAAGGAGCTAATTGCGGCTGGTCTAAGAATTTGGGTTTTCAGGTAAATTCTTGACATTTTTAGAAAAAAAAAAGTTTCATACTAACAGAGTATGATGATATTGCTGCTTCTTTGTTGCAGTGGCGATACAGACTCTGTGGTTCCAGTGACCGCCACGAGGTTTTCCCTCAGCCACCTCAATCTCACCGTTAAAACGCGGTGGTACCCTTGGTACTCCGGCAACCAGGTAAATACTCAACATAATGTTCTTGAGATTCATCCTGTTTATATGCTCTTTGGGACTAGTTTAAAAAGAGAACTTTTGAATTTGTGTTAAATAGGTAGGAGGATGGACAGAAGCATACAATGGGCTCACATTTGCAACAGTAAGAGGAGCTGGCCATGAAGTTCCATTATTTCAACCACGAAGAGCTTTCATTCTTTTCAGGTCATTCGTAGCTGGAAAAGAATTACCAAAATCTTAACATTGGCATATTACTCCAAGATTTTTTTTTTTGGCTGCTTCAAGAAGGTTCTTGGAGTAATCCTCATGTAGAACCTTCCTCCCATAAAAATGATGGGTGAAGCAACTAGCTAGGTTAGTTCATGACTCATTCAAAGTGTAATCCATGTTTCTAAAGACAATTTGTTCTTGTTTCAATTCATACAAATAGAGATTTCTATTTTTTGACATGGGTATAAAGCAAAATGTTCTTTTACTATCTTTACTCTGTTTAACATAGCTAGAGAACACCTTTCCATGGGATGCTTCATATGTTATTCCACAGAATGATTTCTTCTTCAACCCAACCAAATTTTGGTTGCACCCAAAAAAGAAAAAAATTCAGAGTACTGCAAAAATCTCAGACCCACCAAATGAGTAAATTCAGGCTTCACTTTTAGATTGGAGAGAGGATTCCAGAAAGCGTTAAAGTTTACATCTTTAGTACGAGGGCACCAAAATTTACGAGGAATATTCATTGTCAACCAGAAATGAGTTACCCAATTGTGGCTCATCATCACACCTTTAGCGTTTGAAAGGAGCAGTTAGTAGCCACAGTATTCTTGTTGCAACGATAACGAAGATCACAAAGTCCCCAAATATTTTTCACTCATTAAATTAAAATAATCATTAACATAAACAAGGCTGTAAATTTCAAGTTGCACTATAAATGAGAGAACTCCTAACCAGCTCAATTACAAAATTTGAGCTCATTTCAGAGACCAGTATGAGATGAATCCACCTTTACCTTCCTTCACTTTAATCCTTCGCTCATGCCAGGAGGCATTCCTAAACTTTGGGCGAGATTGCTCATCCTTTCTTTCATGGCCTTAAAAATAATAAGTGCAGGTGTTTTATTACAGTTACAAAATGAAGAAAGAGAGTTTTGATTTAGTGAAAAATAGGAGATTACCTGGACACTTTTTTGGTGTGCGTCCTTGTATGCTTCATTAACTAAAAGTGAGAGCTTCTGCACAAATGAAGACAATTTCTCTTGGTTTGTGTGCATGTGAAATTTGAAGAAAATATACAGCATTTATTTCTCAACAGAATTTGCATGAAAATTGAATAACCACATTTAAATCAACATGCAAAATGATATAATCCTTATGACAATATCTTGTGCATACTGTACAAAAAAGAAATGCATAAAAAATCAATAGAATTAGTGTGTACTCACTTCTGGACCTAATTCCATTGCAGCCTCAGTGATCTCTGTTCGTATAGGCTGTTGGTTTCCAGATAGTGTTACCTGAAAAATCACATCAAAGTTCAAACTGTGCTTGAAACCAATATGTAGAGATTCAGTTAATGTTTGGAATAGAACCATATAGCATTACTTCTTCCTTCTGAAAATGATCTAGATATTTTTTCATACATCAACATATAGTGCCTCTAAAACCAGGATCTCCCATTAGAAAACCAAAACATCCATCTTCATGAAATCCATAATGACTGACCGAAAAGGAACCATAATGCCCCCAGTCCCTTTATCAAATCATAAATGAAAATGATAAGGGCAGAATACCAGGTTTTGCAGTCCAGTTCAGATTATGGCTAACTCAAATCTAAATTTAAGATATTTTGACAAGATACTAGCCAAATTCAGTCTGCCAATGTACATACTGTCAGTAAACAAAAATCACAAATTTGTATTCAAATACCAGACAGCAAGCATGATACAAGAATACTTGGAGATGCAATGCTGCATGCACACAAAAAACACTCACACCCATGAATGTATGTGCCTATATACGATGCACATGTATGCTCTCCCACAAGCACAAACTCACACCGAAACACAGAGAGCATAACATACCTTAATTAGCTCACCTTCACAGTAACCATCAAACTCTGCCCTGCAAGACGGAAAGAAAGATAAACAAAAGTGAGAAATCAACAGAAGCCACAAAACAAAAAAAATTTCAGTGACTGTAATTATTTATGAGCCATACGCAGCAAGTTCTTTTTGAACCCTAACTGCCTCAACTTGGACAACCATCTGCGCCTTCTTCACAGTTTCATATAAATTCTGCATGTTTCCAAGAATTCCTGCCTAAAATCAATCAGTGGGGACAATGTCAGTCTCCAATAGTGAGATAAGATCAGTACCTCTCTCTTTTCATGTAAAAGAGTCCAGAATAAAAAAGAGTGAGTACCATAACTACAGAAATATGAATGAGAATTCTAAATTAAACAAATAACTGCAGATTCTGAATCAGTTAAACATGCAAGGATGATGCTTCTGCAGTAGTCAAAAGAACATGCCAGGTCAAGGCAACAGAAGTAGCGCTCAAACACATATAGTGAGAGCAACTTACAAAAACGTTCTTCAAGCTCATTAATTTCAATATATATGACTGGTTTAAAGTGGTAAGTAAAAGATTCCGCCTGATTTCACCTTTGTAAGCGTGAAAAACTATAGTTATCTATAAGGATTATATCTTTGCAATATCAATGAAATACTTTTTCCATCATCCCCATGCACATATCACATTCAATCATTTTCATATTAAATCTATATAATTCTAGTATTCAAATAATAATTTGAAATTTAGCTTCATGTGCATGATTGAATTATTTGACATTGCTAAACACGAGCCATTATTTGACACTGCTAAGCACGAGCCATAGACAATTAATGATTTACAACAATTGATGGACTTAATTCTGAAATTAATTACATATATTTTTAAATAAATCCATAATAAATCAGTGAACCCCCCTATTGGCTTGGTGCTTTGTGTGTGTTCTCTAGGAGACTAGGACATGTGGTGTTTTCTCAATTGCCACTAACCAAAATAGCAGAAATAAATTGCGTAAATGTATTCAAACTTTCCAAATTTTTTTTTTTTTCTGTATTATGAAAAACTTTGTACAACACACAAGACAAAATTGCAATCTTTGGTAATCTCTTCAATTCAATACATATTGCAGCATACTCATTTTTACAGTCACACAACTGACCGCAAGATTGTGATAGAAGAAAAATCTATCACTGGCCTTTAGAAGATCTTCCAACAACTCTAAAAGGAAAAAAAAAATTCTTGATTTTGGTAGGTACTTAGACCAACATGCTACCAGCTCAACTGCTAGAACCAATTACAACTGTAGATATTTAATATAAATTATCAAAGAGACATGAGCAACACAACAGGGTCAGGGAGCAAAGTTTAGTCTCCTTCCCAAACTATTACCAAAAAGCATGGTGGATCATTGTGGTACATGCAACAACAATATTAAGCCTTTACTCCCAAACTAGTTGGGATTGACTACATAGATTCTTTGTCTCCATTTTACCATATTCATAGCTAAATCCGCATTAATATCAAGAAACCACAGATCTGTTACAACAAAGAGAACACACAACGTTCTTGTCTAAAAATGTGGTACAGTGAAGTAGATTTCTATTTAATCACTTGGTGGGAACAAAATATGATTATCCAGATAGCATATGTAATAAAAAAAAAATTATGCCAAAATATCATGTAAAGATTGATTGAAATAAAAACAATCACGAAGTTTTTTTCACATCCAATGCTAAATTGTTTTCAATTGACAAATTCTACTTCACCACCTAGGTGGTGCAGAAATATCCAAATCTTAAAATTATCACATAATAATGTTAATAGTAACAATATCATTTGAGCTTTTTGTGAATAAGATTGTTTGGTTCTTTAGCCAGATTGTTTGCATTTTGTAATTGTAATTTTTAACTTTATGAATTGCTATAATCTAGATCTTGCAATCCAGAAAACACTCCCTGCAGTGCAATAGGGGGTTGCAATTTCTAGTTGTATTACTCTAAACCATAGCATAAGTGAGCTCCAACATAGTAACTGGGCACCATTGACCTGTTTATATCCACATTGACAAAATATAAATTATGAAATCTATCAGTCTGAAATCTCCTTATACACCTAGACTGTTCAAAAGGAAGAACCCTAGGGAATTAAAATCAGATGAGAAGCATTGTTGCGGGGAAACGGTATTGCATTATAATATAGAAACAGATGGTCTAATGTAAGGGCGACGTGAATTATCATTCTCAATTAAAAAAAAAAAAAATTAAATTCAAGTTCTGTATGTAACGTTCACTACAAGAAAAGGGAGCAAGGTTGACCTTTGATGGTGCATCATCACTCTTTTCATTATTATCCTTTTTCCCTCCGAACAAACCATGTACACAAAGAGACCTACTGCTACGCCCAGATTTCCAATGGCCAGACTGAGATATAAGCTGCTTACCGACTACATTTGGATTTAAGCTCAGATTACCTGAAAGTAATGGGGCAAAACTAAGTTAACACGCATTCAACAAGATTCAAACTTGAGAATGGAAAAACAGATTCATACATTGCAAAACATAATTTTCTCCACCTATTCAATCAACTAATAAAAAAAAACAATCAATGACATAAAGCAGGCCACTTTCAAACAATTATGAACCAAAAGCATATGTAATTTCTTATGCAACTGAATTTAAAGAACTACATAAAAACAATTACTTTAATCACAATATGCCATTACCTTCTAAACCCACTTTCACTTTGAATTACATTAAATGTATAAACAGCGAATAAAAAGATATGTTGAACTGTTCAGAATAATCGAAAGTCCAAATTCCATTTATCCATAATAATCAATATGACATAGGTTAGTATATCCGTTCGCATAAACAAATATCGTAAACTCAAAAATAAATTCATGAGCAGCCTCAATTAATTCTTTTCAAATAATAATAGTAATAGAGGGCAAGGAAAGATTAAAATTGCACTTCCTATTGGAACGATCCATTTTATCAGCAACCAATCACAATACAATTATAAGGAGAGAGAGATTACCTAAATGAAATGAAGAAAGCCTAGGCCTTTTCCAGTCAGCAAGTCCGCTTAGGTTTGAGACTCGGGGAGACACTGCACTCGTCGATACCATTTTTCCGATTTCAGAGAGAGGAGGAGGAAGAAGAAGAGGAAGATAGTTTTGAGAAGATAATGTAGGTTTACTTTCTCCGATTTTTTTTTTTTTTTTTTCTGTTCCAAAAAAATTTCTCTTTACATTTTTTAGGGAAAAGTTCAAATTAGTACTTATAATTACGGAGTCTTCTAACATTAGTCTTTAATGCACCATTTGGTATAAATGAACTCCAACTGTCGAATTCATTTATAAATAAATTCTAAATATAATTTATTTATAAATAAAATTTTATTTAGAATAAGTATAAAAATTAAAAATTTATTTACTTTTATTCCTAAATTTAAGATTGTAAACAAGCCGAGCTGCCCGTGAGCCGTTTATGAGCCGCTTAAGGCTCGGCTTGGTCAAAACTTGTTCGAACTCGTTCAATAAACTTATCAAGCTAAGTTGAGCTCACAAGCTAACGCAATAAGTTAAAATCAATTAAAATCCATATTAAAATGACGTCGTTTTGGTTAATAGATTTCAAGCTTGAGCTTGAGTATATTCTTATTGAGTTGAGCTGAAGTCACCAAAGCTCGACTCATTTACGGCCTATTTAAAATATATTGACATAGTAATTTTGGAAAGTTGGGAGAATGAATAGAGGTGACTCGCTTGAAAAATAAATAACATAGTAAATGCTGTGAATTTACCTATTTACCGTCACTTTCAATTGCATAAAGTTTTGCATTTAAAAGAGCTCATTTATTCCTTTTGCAAACCTAAATCGATTTCTAGGACATTGAAAATAACATTTTTCTTCTATCAATTATGGCTCATAGGTAAGGGTGGCCATATTATGGTTTTGGAAACCGAAACCGTCGATTCGAACCAATCCCGAACGGTAATTGGAATCGGACTGAACCGGAACCGGAGATTTTCAGTTCGATTTCGGTTCCAGAAAACTGGTCGGAATCGGATTGGAACCGCCGGTTCCCCGTCCAGTTAGAACCGCCGGTTCGAACCGGTTTGAACCGGCGGTTACCAATCCGAACAGTAATTGGGAATCAACACTGAAACACAGACACGGAAAGATTTTCAGTCGATTTCGGTTCATAAAACTGGTAACGAATCAGACAGGCCGGTAATCCACTCCAACATTGAACGCACGGTTCGAACCGGTTTGAAAACGGGATACACTTATAACTGTAGTTCTGCTCTCTTTCAAAAAAATTTGTTGTGAAATCTCTAATACATAATCACGCTACATAACAAACACTATTATTGTAATATAGAAAATACATAATATGAGAATACAATAACACCAATACCATCATTTCATTTTACAAATCCAATACATTCTCTAACTCTCTCTAACTATCCTCTACAATACTACAATCATTAAAAATCTACTAACATATCTCTACTCTACAATCTCTCTTAATTAAGATATACTATATATTTTCTTAATCAATTTATTATATCTTTATATAAATGGCAGAGTGAGGAAAATAAATTCACGCGCGCACACGACAACACACTTGGAGAAACCACAATATTCATCCTATCCCTACAAGAAATCTATAACTAATCTACTTCTAATTTTGAGGGATATCCCAAAATGAAAATTTGGAATTCACCACACTCAAGAAATACCAATTTAATGAGCAATTACAAGAAGAAGAGGAGGAAGCATTTATAGAGAGAGACACAAGTTCTTGACATATTCGCCCATTCCCTCACACATCTCAACAGTAGAAAAATGTACCGAACGTAATTTGCATAAGAGTAATTTAACGCAACGCGGCCTATGGATCATTGGGGAAAGAATTTGGAGAACAAATACATGCAACAAAATAGGAAGTGAATCGGTCTTAAAACATCAAAAATTCTAGATACGCACAATCGTCTAAATTTATATATATATCTGAAAAAAATACAAAAAGAAGAATTACAAAAAACTGATTTCTAATGGAACCATTTAGCCTTTAGTTTTGGTTGCAGTAGTTTAATAATTAATTATCAAAACCTTTTAAAATCCTTACTGCCTAAACAGAGTCACATACATCTCACAAACGATAACATAATACACTTATATAATAAAGGAAAAATATTAGAAATTTTATCTGTTTCTCAAATTGAAAAAGTTCGTGTTTCAATACTTGTTGTAGATATTTTTAGGAAGTGATCATCTGCAAAATGCATTCTTTAATGAACACGCACCATACATGGTATAATCGAGAGAGATAATGATTGAAAAATTCAAAAAAAGAATTATGCATTTCGTGTTTTTTGATGATAAATATACCTGCAAATAATACTCCTATAGAATAATTCGTCTTCTCAATTTTAGATGAATATTAAGTTGACAAAACACAAATTTTTTTCAATATTCATTCTATATGATCATCGAACCAAACACTAAATCAATTATTGAACTTAAAATAGCACCATATAACCAAATACTATGGTCGAAAAATTTTTTCATATAAATTGCATGCCATCGTTATTTAATTTATGTGACAAAATGGTTTAAAAAATTCTTCCTTGAATATTTATTTCTCCAATTAAAAAAGCTAAATTTCATACTTATGGGGAGCATCTCCAAAAGTGATGAAAAGTTGGGCTAAATTGTTTGTAACACCACACACATAATAAACACACACCAAAACTGTTTTTTCAAGGATTCCCAACTCGTTTGGAATCAACCATTGAATTAATAAACGAGTCCTTTTTCTTATAAGAATTATAATGCTTTTTGTACTAATAATATATGAATTAACATTTATAACCACAAAATGGGATATTTGTGCCAACAAAATTTTAGATAATTTTAAAAAATTTTAAATGAGCTTCCGATAAATATTCAGTGGTTTATTATCCACATCCTTCATTACTATTACCTATGATCCATTTATTGTTATGCACTCAAGAATTTGACTACGACGATCAATCTTAAAAGAATTTGTATTTTTTCAATGAACCAAAAATATTTACTCACTCTTAAAAATATACCACCCTCAATTCATCCACAGTATTATGAATTCAGATATAAGCTATATCTATAATTGACTAATTCATTATGAAGTATTAAGATCTGATGTAGAAGAAATGTTAATGAATAAATCACCTCAGACACGACACTAAGTTAACACAAATATTATGCAATTAATATATGAATGTTTCACACTTTTCTAATCTCATTATACTTCTAAATTTCTTCCAAATCTAATATTCACCAATTCCAACACAAAGAGTAAGTGTGTTGGTGTTGCTCAACAAGTTTACTACAAAGAATTAAAAAAAAAAACAAGGAAATCAGTTCTTTTCTGAATTGAATTAATATCTAACCACTTCTTTTGAGTTTGGTATGATAGCAGCAGATACGATTTTTCAATTTTAGATGGTGGAGGTGTCACCAAAATACTCTACACACTACCTCTTTCTTTTAATTGCAAAACCAATGTTTAGCCACGCCTCGGTCCGCACTGTTTTGGTTGAACAAGCTTTAGTCAAGGAGGAAACATACTTGATGAAACACCATCTCGTATGACAACCTCGATTCATTAAAACCACAATCAATGCGTGGATGATTTGGAGCAAGGCCGAACTAAGAGCACAAAAAATCTAAAAGAAAATGAAGATTATACTTTATTATACGATGGGCGTTCCTAACGGGAATATTGGTGCAAATAACGATTAAGGTAAAAGGGGTGAAATTGGTATAAGGTAAGTAAGAACTACGTGGGCTTTGATTCCTCTAAACCCGAAGATGATGTGTAGGCAACTTAATTTTTTTTTAAAACAAAAAAAAAATTGAGTTCAAGCCCTTTTTTTTTTTAAAAAATTATGTTTAAACTTTTAAAAAAAAAATTCAGTTGAAAATTTTTTTTTAAAAAATAATTATGTTCAACAGTTCAAGTCTTTAAAAAAATAAATTTAATTTTTTTTTAAACCGGTCTTCAAAATTTAAAATTTTTTAGGTGTATTTTTTAATGTGTATTTTTTAATTTTTTATGTTCAAATAATTTTAAAATTATGCGATTCGCCGAAAAACCGACCGGAACTGTCGGTTTGGTCACCGTACCAGAACCGGAACCGAAACTTTTCGGTTCGGTTCCGATTTCAATTTTTTTGGAACCGGAACCACCGGTTCTGGAACCGGAACGGTGGCCACCCCTACTCATAGGGACTTCAATGTTGTCTTTACCCGGCAAATTTCCAGGTTCTGTCATTAAAAAATATTTAAAATCCTAAACATTCCAAGCAAGCAGTTAACTTAACGTGAAGGCTTTAGGATATGGGTTTGTATTTTGTTTATCTACAATGGAAGGCTTTAGTTTGTAATGAATTAACTCAAATGATAGATTGATTGTTTCGGGTTAATAGTAGTTTGTAGAAATCTCATTTTTATCTATTTGAATGATGTATTAATCCACCCAGACTTGTCAGATTATATTGAATGACAGTTGTTCTTTTTTATGCATACCAGCTGTTTGATTAAACTTGTGAATGAATACATTCACTTTTTCTTTTTATGCATACCAGCTGTTTGATTAAACTTGTGAATGAATACATTCACTTTTTCTTTTTATGCATACCAGCTGTTTGATTAAACTTGTGAATGAATACATTCACTTTTTCTTTTTATGCATACCAGCTGTTTGATTAAACTTGTGAATGAATACATTCACTTTTTGGAACCGGTGGGAATTCGAACCGAAATTAGAATTGTGAAGAATCGAAATCAGTCCGAACTGAAATCAGAACCAGGGATTTGCGGTCTGTTTCGATTCTAAATTTTTTGAGGAACTATAAACTAGCGGTTTTAAGAACCGGCTGACAGTTTTTTCAACCGGTTAGAAACGGTGGTTCTGACAGTTCGAATCGGCAGTTCCATCCAATTCTTATAACTTTTTTTATTATTTTTTCAAATATTTTTGTGAAATTCCAAAATTAATCTTCTAACAATTATATAACAACTAGTTTTAAGGGTATTTGTGAACAATTGATTTTTTGAACTTATCATAAATACCTTTTTTCATTTAAAAAAATAAATTAAGTTTAAACCCTTTTTCTTAAGGGAAAAAAAAGTTCAAGCCTTTCTTTTTTAAACAAATAAATTAAGTCTTTTTATTAATTTTTCTTAAAGTTTTTTCTGAAAATTATTTCATAAATATTTCAATTTTCAATAAAAAAAATATTTTATAATTTTTTATTTTATAATTATATGATTCGCCAGAAAATCAATCGGAGAATCTGCCGAAACCATCAATTTCAAACCGCTGAGAAATCGAACTTAAAATCGTAACCGTGCAATTTTAAATTATAACTAGAATCGTCAATTTTCAGTTTGATTCTAAAACCAAAACCGACGGTTCGGGAACATTTACCCGTGGATATGGATATAGTAGATTTTACTTATAGACATACTTCTTTTAAAGGTTTAGGTGTAGGATGGTGACAGATTTCTGTGTTGGCATTAAATAATCAATAAACATTGCATTAACTAATTCTAGAACCCATATACTAATTGTAGCAAGCAAACCATTTCTTTACTTCTGTTCTTTGCAAGTACTGTCTGAAGATTTCTAAATTTCTCTTTCCTTCCCCCTTTTAGATCCTTGGCTTCAACCTCCAGTGAAAATGTAATTAATCCAACAACAATAATAAAAATTACAAAGTCCAGCAACTTCTTCATCAAACTGCAAAATAATTAAATGCAGCGATTCCAACTGTATGCTTCTACAAGCCAAACGGTGCTTCTGGCCCCTGAATATTGCAAATATATTTAAGATCAAACAAAAGGTCTATCGATTCAAAAAGAGTAATAAAAAAAAAAAAAAAAAAAAAAAAAAAAAAAAAAAAAAAAAAAAAAGAAGAACTTGCTAAACAAAAAGACTATTATTATCTGTGAATTACCGGTATATTTCAATTGGGAATGAAACTAAAATTTAAATGAGACAACTCTGAATTTGGATTGATAATATCTAAATAGTTTTGTTCTGTAGATGAAATAAAAAACTTTCCATGAGGTAACTCATTTTGAAATTTCTTCCAGGAGGCCATCCATTTTAAAATTTCTCTTAAACAAATACATTTTTATTCGAATTTCTTTCAACTATCCAGACCATTTCACCGTATAAAGTTTCTAACTTAACTCATTTGTTAAACCAACTCCCTAAATAAGTTAGAATTCCACATTTTTCCATCAGAATATGAGCATTGTAGTATCATATCCAACACAAAAGAAAGACAATGACTCGTCTGAATTGGTAGGTGGCGTTTCAATTTATTGATAATGCCTTTTGAATGGTAGAATTCGTCCCACATCTTACTGGCATACAATATATTCAGTGGGTGCATAAATAATTGTCATATTATATATATATATTTTTTGTCCCTTAAAGCTTTTTGATTTATCTAATTTATAATAAATTTTTGAAAAAAATAATTATATTACCAAGAGAGAGATTTTTAAGATAATATTAATTAATATATTTTATTTTACAAATGATAAAAATGGATAAATAAATTTATTATGGAGGGAGGCTGTCATTGTCTATGTCGATTTCAAAATAGTTAAGACAACAGAGGTAGTTGGTCAATAAATGAGTAATAACTAAAATTGTGTCATTTTCTTTCGCTTTCTTGACGCCATTCGACTAGACCAACAATGGTGGTTGTGTCATCGTCCACGATTAGAGGCTAAAAATAGTTCCTCGGAAATTTTGGGGATATATATGTTATGAAGTTCACTAACCGTTTGTTTGGAAGACGGAGGAAGGAAAGTATTGGAGCGAAGAAAATAATAAAGGAAAATAACGAAGGATTTTTTTTTTTTTTTCGATAGTTATTTTCCACACTTGTATTTAGATATAATGAAGGGAAAAATAAATAATTTTTCTTTTCTTTGTTTGAAACAGGAAAAATTTTAAAGGAAAATAAATGTTTTGTTGCAAGTTGACAATTATTTATTTATTTATTTAAATTATGGAGTATTTATGAAAGGCTTAAAGTTTATTAATTAATTTAGGTTATTTGGAGAGATTCATAACTTGGGATCTCAATGGAAAATAAGTAAATATTAATTCCTTCAATATTTTCCTCATTTTTCCCAAACAATGAAAAATACATTTTCCTAGATATGTTCCATAGTTATTTTCCTTCATTCACAAATATGCATCCATCCAAATAAAGGGTCAGAGTTTAGAAATAAAAAATTGTAAACGGAAATAAAATGTTTTTTCAATAATTCATTTTTCAGTAATATTAAAAATTAATTTGGAAATATTTAGTTTATAAAAACGTGAAAAAAATACATAAAAAAATATAAATACCGATAGTGATCGTGACTATATTGATTGGATAATATACTAAATTAAAATTAATTGAGGAAAATGATTGAATTCATAAGAAATTTATATATGAAAATTAAAATATAAGCGAGAACAACGAATAACTTATAATGAATAATGTATACCTGCAAATGTAAAAATTATTAACAATCAATTATTAAATCAAATAAATTTCCTATCAAAAATCAAGAAAAGTAACTATAAATTAACAATTAAATTTATATTTTAATAATAATAATAAAATAATATAATATAAAAACGCAATTATTTAGTCCGTGGACCATAATTCTACGAAGGGCGCTGATGAATGGAACAAATCGTTCCAAGTCACGGATATATTTTAGAATCATGGTGGGCCATAAGAATTCCATTGGCTACAACGTATAAGAAATAAAGCAGGCAATAGGTGTAAGTGACTTCCATAATGACAGGAGCAAAGAAGGAAAAAAAAAATCAGAAACGAATCGATTTGGGTAAAATGGGAGGAGGTAACCTAGACTTGAAATCTGTAAAAGAACTAGATTGAAATCAACAAATCCTCAATTAAAAGAAGAAACAAAACATGAGTATTAAATCAAAAAGAAATTTTAATTGCAAAAACGGCTCAATACATAAATTCACTTATATATTTCTCACAAAATATTTTAAACACTTTAATTTATAAAATTATATTTATTAAATATTTTATTTGACTCATTGAACACGTTATCTTATAAAATTAAATGGATTGAACTTATTGAAAAATTAAAAAATATAAAATTATTAAATTAAAAAGTTATATTGACTAAGTATCAAACTAATATTTTAGTTAAAAAATCTTAAAATTTATTGTTTTTAATATAAAGAAGTAGGAAATTGTTATAAAAATTTAAATTCAGGGCGCCACAAAGATAATTTTATAGTCTGGGATGTCACAAATTTTTTCTTTTTCAAAATTTAGGGGTTAAATATTTTATTTAGCCTTGCAAAACGTTGTGCTCCAATGCCACAGCCCAGGAGTTGCATTGCATTTACACTTTTGTCATCTCCATTCTTCACATGCTATTACCATTCCAACCGTACACGTTCGTCTACAATTATTTACTGGCCCTATACTGTACTATTTGAGATTATATTATAATATGACAGTGACTTAAAGTTAAAGACGAATCGGGCATCTATGTTGATCCTTTTATAAATATCACCATCACTTAGCACTACATCGCCTTGAAAGCGTGTGTTGTGTACAAATTTTAGAGTCTGCAACTGCAAGTCTTTCTCTCGTTGTCCTTCAGGTAACTCTTTCCAGTTTCTAAAATTTCTAAAACAAGCATTTTATTAATCCCTTGTGTTCTTGTGTGTGTGTGTATGTGTCTCTCTCTCTCTCTCTCTCTCTCTCTTTTTCTATATATATATATATATATATATAGTTTAATTTGTCTGAATGACTCGTTATCTGTTGGATAGAATGTCACAGACTCATGAATGGGCTCTCTCTCTCTCTCTCTCTCTCTCTTTTTCTATATATATATATATATATATATATACACTTCATGTAATTAATTTTTCAGGTGCATGGCTCTTAAGGAGATGAAAATTAGTGTCAAAGAATCAAGCATTGTACTGCCTGCAAAAGATACACCAAGAACAAGCATATGGACTTCAAACTTAGACCTTTTAGTTCCAACAATTCACATCCCAACAGTATACTTCTACAAGCCAAACGGTGCTTCTAACTTTTTCGACTCTGAGGTCCTTAAGAAAGCTCTAAGCCACGTTCTGGTTCCCTTTTACCCATTGGCAGGGAGGTTACGTACTGATAAAAATGGTAGAATTGATATAGAGTGTAATGCAAAGGGAGTGTTGTTCGTCGAAGCTGAAACAGGTTCTGTTATAGATGATTTTGGTGATTTTACTCCTAGCTTGAAGATGATGCAACTTGTTCCAACTATGGATGGCTATTCATCGGAGGATATCTCTTCTTACCCATTACTGGCCGTACAGGTACTCCTAATTAGTACATAATAAGATACATAACTCCCTCTATCCAACAAATATATGTACTTACTGTTTCTATTTTGCTCTGTCAAAAAAATTAGTTAATATACGTGTCCACGACAATATGGAAAATAAGAGATCTCAAGTTCGTTCCAATCTTTTTGACCATTAAAATTTTCATTAAACCCTTATTCACTAATAACATTTAATATAATGCTTTATTTATAATATTCGATGCTATAACGTTTATATTAGTACTTAAAAATTTGAAAAAATAGAATATGAAACTTTAAAACCCTAGTAAAATATTTAATAAATATTAGAACAACTACTTACTATTAAAATAGATTTTTTATTAAACAATACTTGATTCTGTGAGCCTAACAGAGCGCTGCTATTTAAGATTAGACTTACTTATAATAAGTTTATGGCTCTACTCATAGATCAAATTAATATATCATCAATTCAGTAAATATATATATATTTTCATTGATTTGGTCCATGAAGAGGCTTATGGAGTGATTTTAAGGCAAGTTAATACTTACTTTTCATCATATCTACAGTAAAAAGTAAAGAAAATATTTGCCTAGACAGATTCATAACTCTACTTATAGATCAAACTAATTAAAATATAAATTTTTTAAAATTTATTCTAAAATTCATCATTTTTTTTATATATGATAAAAAACACCGTCGTTTATAGCGAAAAAAGAAATTCTATTTTATTGGTTTGATTTATGGACGAAATCATATTATCGTTCTAAATAAGCAAATCTCTAAAAGTAACGTAGATTCAACGATAATTTTACTTATAGTAATTCACCCCTTTGTTTCTTCTGCTGTCTAGGTAACCTATTTCAGATGTGGAGGGGTATGTCTTGGTGTGTGCCTGCATCATACCGTAGCAGATGGTACTTCTGCCATCCATTTCATCAATTCATGGTCTGAGATAACACGTGGCAACTCCATTACCCTTTCACCGTTCATCGAGCGGACACTACTTAGTGCTCGAATTCCGCCCACTCCTACTTTCCATCATGTAGAGTATGATCCCCCTCCGTCCATGATCACCCCTATCAAATTAAACGCTAAACCCACTTCAACTAAAATACTCAGGATCACACCTGATCAGCTCACCACTCTCAAGTCGAAGTTTAAAAAAAATGAGAACGGAATGGTTCGCCACAGCACTTACGAAACCCTAGCTGCACATATTTGGCGTTGCATGTGCAAGGCACGTGGCCTATCCAATGACCAAGCTACAAAACTCTATATTGCAACTGATGGACGGTTCAGATTGCGTCCTCCATTACCACGCGGTTACTTTGGCAATGTTTTATTTACCGCTACAGTAAAAACCTCATCTGAGGAAGTCCAATCAAACCCATTGAAGATAGTAGAAAAAATCCATTCAGCACTAAAAGGAATGGATGATGAATATTTAAGATCAGCCCTTGATTTTTTACAAATGCAGCCTGATCTAACGGCTCTGAAGCGAGGGGCCAGCACATTCAGGAGTCCAAATCTGAATATTGTGAGTTGGATGAAACTCCCTATACATGAAGCGGATTTTGGGTGGAGCCGGCCCATTTTCATGGGCCCAGCAAGTGTCGTTTTCGAAGGAATGGGATATGTTTTGCCAAGTCCGAGAAATGATGGGAGTCTAAGGTTAATTATTTGTCTGGAGACAGACCATATACAACTCTTTCAAGCCTACTTTTATGAGTTGTAGGTACACTTGTATTTCAACAAGTGTTTTCTAATCTCTTTTTTTTTTTTTTTTTTTTTTTTTTTAGGTACCTACTTGTATTTCAACAAGTGTTTTTCTAATCCTCTTTTTTTTTTTTTTTTTTTTTCTGTTTTCATCTACATTTTTTTTTTTTTTTTTTTTTTTTTTTCTGTTTTCATCTACATGATAAATGCTCTTTCAATTAATTCCTTCTTTCTTTTTCTCTGTGAAAACAAAATTTATTATTGCCATGTATCGTCAACCTGACCTAAGCTGGTTTAATTTAATCGTTTTGATTCGATTTATCGGCTTTCAGCTACTTTTAAGCTGATTTAAATTTATATATATATGAGCTTAATAAAAACTAGACTCAATTGAAACAATTTTATTTTTTCTACTGAAGACAAAATCGAATAGAAGATGCTAAAAACCAAATACTAAATCTAACTACTAAAAACTAAAATAAATAGTACAACCTTTCATTGTTTTCCTCACTTATTTTCTTTCCTCTCCTTCTCAAACATACACTTAGGGGTGTATTGGATTAGGAGTATGTAAGATTTTAAATGAACTGTTGAGTTTGATGTAATTGAAGGATTTCCTAAAATTTCTACAGATTCTATTAGAATTTTACATAGAGTTTTGTGGAATTTATGAGATTTTTTTTTTTTAGATTTTGATTGACTTTGATGGAATTACAGTGATTTTTCTATACATAATCAAAATTAATTTCAGGACCTAATCGAACAAATTACAAGGTTTTAGAGTCCAATAGAAAAACTGAAAAATAATGAGGAACTAAAAAGTAAATGCGTCATATTCTCCAAAATCTTTTTTTTTTTTTCGTTATTAAAACCTTACCGTCGCTAATAATAAAAGACTTATAACGGCCAGCGTCACCGGCAGTTATCTTATGCTTTCAAAATAGTCACAATGTAGTTATAAGACTATAGGTTTTTTGTCCCTTAACTAAACTATGACCGTCTCGTTGGAACATCCATTATATATATTTAAAATCGAAAACTAGCAACCACCGCTAGCTAGGACATGCACCAACTACCAGAGCTTGCCTAAGGAGGCGGTTTTATATTAATTTAAAACTGATGCACGACCCGTCGTTTACGGCTCATGGAGCCTAGTGGTTCGGCTGCAATAACGACAAATTGTATTCTTCAGCTCTTTGACTATTTCAAAGTTTTTTCAAATTTTTATTTAGTTAAATCATTATTTAATTGAAATCAACGTAAAAAAATTTCAAAAAATAGCAAATTAATTTTGAAAATTTTGAAGTACCATTAATATTAGTTTTTGTCAAAATATCAAATTCTTAGCATATGAATTAATTCAAAATTAATCCAATAATTAATACATTGTTTTACATCTTAAGGTGTAGGGATATAAGTGGGTACAAATATTTTATGGTATCCACTCTGCTCCGATTCTTTTAAAGAGTATATGAGTAGTTATAAAAGGGTTTAAACGAATATGGATAATAAATTACTATCTGTAATGTATATGAATAGTGAAATTACACCCATAATGGATACATGTAGGATATGTGTATAGATATTTGGATATCCGCTACCCATTAATTGCTATATTAAATAGGTTTGATAGTGGTACCTGCGGGTAATCTATCCATGGACATCCTATTCATTATTAGTAAAAAAATGTATTTTAAATAAATTCAGATTTGAATAATTTAAGATTCGTAAGCATCCTATCTGTTTAAAAGGTACTTTAGATGCATTTTAGACAGATATGACAATTTAAACGGGTTCGAATATGAGTACTTAAATGAGTTTAGAACGGACACGAGTAATAAAATTTTAAACGGATATTACATCTTTATTAAAGGGTATATTGAATTAAGACTCTGTTAGATTTTAAAAGAGTTTTGAAATCTTTTAGTTGGAGGATGAATTTGTAAATGGCTTTTTTATTTATACCTAGCGCCTTAAAGTCCAATGAAATCAATAATTTTATAAAATTTTTTCAAATTAATAATTTTTTGAATACCATCAAATTTATATGAACTTTTAAAAAGTCATAATTAATTATCATTATATTTTTATATATCTTATAAGAGTGAATTGAATACCACAAAATTTTAATACACTTCAAAAAAATCTAAATTAAATATCATTAAAATTTTAAAATCTAATAGAATCTTAATTCAGTATATCCTCGTGTCAGCTTCGTTTGATATTTACCGGTTAACATCTACGTGGCTCCCTCTATGCTGTATGTGACACGTGGATACTGGATATGAGGTTAAACTAATCCAACGTTGGTTCTAAACGTATCGTTTACGGTCTATAAAATTAAGGTCCATTTTAGAAAAACGAAGGCCCATTGGGTCTTCAAACTGCAACTAAAATTATTTTTTAATTGATCCAGTAGATATAACAACTGAGTTTTCTTCTCTTCAAAAAAAAAAAAAACAACTGAGTTTTCTATACATCCAAAATTTATTTTGAAAAAAGATTGAAATTTGAACTTTAATTGCTTTCAAATTGATTTTAAGCATCTGAAATATTTTTTCAAAATCAGTTTTGCGCATATTGTTAGTTGTTGCATCAAATTTTTTCATTGATATGAGAAAACTTTAAATCAAGTTAGCCTTAACTGCTAACATTTGTTAAACGATAAATGTTTAGTAAAATTCTAACAATAGATCCCAACAGAAATATTAAATGGCTATTAAAATTATAATTATTTTCATAAATTATCATATATTATATAGTTTTTTTAAAGAATTTTCAAATTTGATAGCTAATTATTATATTTAAATAATTATAAATCAAATGATGATACCAAAATGTTAATTTTTTAAAAAATAAAAAATATATTAGTAATTTTATGAGGTTAATACAGTTTATTAGTAATCAACTACTTACCTATCATCTCTATTGAAAAATTACCTATCATGAAAATTATTAGCCATGTAAATCAAACCACTCAAACTTATCTTGCCTCCACATAAAAAAAAAAAAAAATAATTAATAAGCTTTAATTATCAACCACTATTAAAAAGTTAAATAAAAAAACATTATTAGTTAAAGAAAAAAAAAAAAAAACCATATGTTACCCATAATTAGGAAATTGGTTTATTGATGGGACTAATCTATAATAGAAAGAAATAACAAAACACACAAAAAAGAAGTACAAAAAAAATGTTGATAAAAATCTAAGATTACTTAATTATTTTTATATTTATGACATCATCAACATGAATGAAAACATTGTAGTAAAACCTAATTAGTTTTTAACCTCTATTGATAAATAGATTTGAGGATAATATTTAAATTTTCTTGATATAATTAGTTTAAAAAACAATTAAAAGTAAAAAGTAAAATAAATCAGTCTCAAGTGTCCATGTCATGTAACTTCCTACCTCGATGCTATGAAATGGAACCATTTTTACAGGCATTGAAGACAAATAAGAAAGGCAAGGAGAGGAAGACACCTAACCTATATTCATCTCTCTCAAATGATAATAAATCCAAAACACCACCTCTCCATCTCTGCCCTCCTCTCATAAATCAATTTCCAAAAAGAATATACTCCAGAGAGAGAGACAGAGAGAGAGGAACTTAACTTGGTTGCCGACAAAATTGCAAGAGAAGGCAAGCCAACTTCAAGAGAGAGAACCAGAAACCTTTTTGCTTTCCTTTCACTTAAGTTGTATATGGATCATCAGTGATACACAAAATGGTGATGGTAGATCACTATAGTAATAAAATTTATAATTGTGCATCTGCTAGGATTATGAATTTAAATATATCATTATCACTCTTTAATCTTAATTTAAATAAAACTATTTAACAAAAATTCAGAGGCTTCATATCAAAAAAGTAAAATAAAATAAAAGACTTGGATCAAATTTGATAAATTCAGATATTTCAAGATGGTTACTCCATACTTATTAAAGAAATGAAGTTTTTTTCTGTCATTAGGTGGATAAACAGGTAGGGACTAGGGACTTGCATCCATAGTGGACAAAGGATGAGATAGATTTATAGAATGGGTTTTGCAAAAGTTTACCAATTTGCCCCAGAACAAGTTAAATTTGATAGCCATGGGAAGGGAACCGCTCAACCCTTCAACAATATAATATTAATGGCTTCAAGATTAAATTTGTTTGTGTATCAGCCAAAACGGGGTTTTCTTTAATTCTTTACGTTTTTTAACAGCCAGATTCTGGCAGGCTAAGTGGGAAAAAAAGACAGAAAAGGAAGCATTCTTGATGACAAAGGAAGCGTAGAGGGGCAAAAGAGTAAAAGCAAGAGAATAGACCAGGTGTGATAATAATATAGAAAATGAAAAGCATCTGCTATCTCTCTCAAAGCCTAAAAAAAAGGTAGTAGCAACAATTGCTGAAACAACAGCAACAACAACACATCAGAAAACAGCATCATCCCATTTATCTCTATCTATCTATGCTTTGCTTTTTCAGCCCCCCACCCATAACCCATTGATCTCATTCACTCTCACTTTCTCTCTCTAGAAAGGGGGGTACATTTCTTTTCCTTTCTATATCTCTCTACACAGTCACAGAGCCTAAAAAACACAAAGAAAGAAGAGAAAACATGGAAACTCCACGCCCTCAAAAACAAGGAAGAGTCCACACCACCCAACTCTCTCTTTCTCTCTCTTCAATGGCCCAGCTGGACCAAAATTTATGTTAGAAGAAAAACAAAAAAAGAAAAAAAAAGAAAGAAAAGAAGAGAGAAGAGATAGTATTAGTAGATGTCTTCAAATGTTGTCGTCCAACCAAACCCACCTCTCAAAAACACTCTTTCACTTCTCCTACAACAAATAAAAATTACATCAAGCTATGCCACAATTACCCTTCTGCAACCCCCCAAAAAATCCCATCTTCATCACTGTCTCAACTCTCAAAAGAAACATTTTTTTCACCGAATTATGTGGGCTTCTTTGGGTTTTCTTTGTCTTGGTCAGAGTTTCACAGAGAGAACAGGAAAGCGAGAACCTTCCCATCTCTCTCTTTCTTGTTTCTCTCTCCTTCTTTCTATCTACCCTCTTCTTTCCTTTCCTTACCTTCTTTTATTATTTCTTGTCCATCTCTTTCTCTTTCTTTCTTATTCATCTTTCTTCCCTCCTTTATTTCCCTCTACCTCCATCTCTCTTTCTCTCCTCCCCCACCTAGGTCTTTAGTTTTTTTCTTGTGGGTTTTTTTTTATCTTTATCTGATTTGATCTAATCATGAAGAGGATGAAAGGGGTAGCTGCTGCTATGGAATCTTCTCCTTCTCCATATTCGACTATGTATGAGGATCGAAGAACCAGGCTCAGGCATCAGAGTCTCATGCAGGACTATATGGAGTTGTTTAAGGTAATAGCTTGTTGGGTTTAGTTGAATTTGTTGTTTCTGCTGTGGGATTTTTGTATCAGATCTGATTTTTTATGGGATTTGCTTTTCTGGGGTTCTTTCCATGTATTCTTAGGTTTTATGTATTAGAGGTTTGCCATGCTTGATTGTTTTCTGGGCAAATATAATTAAGGGGATAAAAATTAATTCTTTTCTATTTTATTTTGCTTTTTGTACAAAATTTTGTACATCTTGCCTTACCTTTTGCTTGGTTATAGAGAAGAACTGGGTAGGACGGGTGGAAAATGGAAATTCCAATTTCTTAAGTTTCATTGAGGTTAAACCCACAAGCTAAGTATTTATTGTTGGGGCTTTTTTTCTGGGATATATGTATGATCTTTAATGTTTCATGACTTGGCCAACGACCAAACGGATAAGTTGACTCGTTCTTTAGTGACTTATCATGGGTTTATCAATAATTTCTGTTTTTGATCTGTGATTTTATGTTGCCTCTTTATTCGTGCACATGTTTATATATTTTGATTTATGTGGTTTATTGGGATCATTATTTCACAGTTATATTCTGTATGTTTGATTGATTGAAAATTTTCAATCTGAAAGTTCCCTGCCTTGAGAATTTCACAGAAAAATGCTTTTTTTCTTGCTTGGTTGGAGCTGTCTTGAGATGTAGCACTTATCTTTGGGGGTTTAACTTATTAATTATACCTTTTGATGTCGTCAATTTAATTTGTTTGCAAGTGTTATTCACTTTCCTTTGAATTTGTGTTGATTGATATGGTTTACTAAGAACTTGCCTTTTAATCTTTTATGTCCTGTTTGTAGTTTGAAAATCCTATTGTTTGGGTTCCTAACCTTTCTCCAGAAACTTTTTTTGTGTTGGGGGAGGGAAGGTGTATTTGAGCTTTAATTATGGATTTATGCAATAAGTTCAGTTAGTAATAGATGGATCTATTATTATGCTTTCTTCAGGAAACAGAAGACCAGAAAAAGAAATTGCAGACCATGAAACAGAAAAAATTGAACCTAATGGCAGAAGTCAGGTAAACTTGTTTAAATAAGTAAAGTTGGGAATTTTTTTTATTAAAATTTATATGACTGGTTTAATATTATATTACATGTTTTTTTAATTTGCGGATTTGCAATTTTGTATTGGGATTGAAATTGAATGTCACTCAAAGGTTGTATTTTTCAAATGGTAGATTTCTGAGACAACGATACAAGTATTTGATGCAAAACCAGTCTCAAAATCCTGCCCCTGAGCCAAAACATGTGCAGCGGCAAAGCCTAGCAAATGGAACTAGAGCTGTAAGAAAAGACAGGAATTACACTGGAAATGATGCTGCGATACAGCGCGGAGGCCCCCGATTTGATTTAAACAGGAAGGGAAAGATTTATAGTGAAAGGGAAGCCACTTTGCGAAACCCTGCTCAAGATTTTGATTTGAGCCAGAAGCATAAGACTTGCATGGGAAAGGAGCCTGCATTGCGTAATTCAGTGACAATTCCGGACTTAAATCAAAAGGAACGGATTTACGGTGGGAAAGAGGCAGCTGTTAGAAACAATACACCAAGTTTTGACTTGAACCAGATTTCGGTAATCAATTATAACCATTATAAATGACGTTAGCCATGAATTCATACATCATCATTTTGTTACAAGCTAATGTTATTATTGTAACTTGTTGCAGATGGAGGAGGAAGAATTACAGGCAAACGGAGATACGATGAGAATAGAGGAACCAAAGATATGTTTAATGAGAGGTGGAAGTGATGATCAACACAACGACATGAAGTTATCAGCTTGTAGGACAGTCGGAAATGGATCGAGTAGGGCAGGGAAGAGGAAGATTTCATGGCAAGATCAGGTTGCTCTGAGAGTTTGATTTTGTTCTTATTTCAATTGCAACTTAGTCACATTTGGCGAGGTTGGAAAAGTTCCCTAGCCTTGTTATGGTTAACTCACATTTTCATTTTTCTCTTATTTGTAAAGAAAGAAATAGTTCCACATATTATAATTACAGATGAATTGGTGTTCAGGTAGCAAATTCTTGGTTCTTTTTATCTTTTCATCAGCATGCCTCTGGCTAGGTTTAAAATTTTGCTAGTTTGTCTATTTGATGGACACATTAGTTTTAATAGAACAAATTTGAGGGAATTATAGTTCATTTTGCATATTCAGGCCGGCACAATTATTCTATACTTTGCGTTACTTGAGGGGTAGAATAGTTATCGATTACGACAATTGAGAAGTGTGGCAGATTCTTTAATGGGCAGCGTACGTATGAGGGTAGACTAATGACCAATTCGACAGCTCGTTTATGACTCTTTAGCTATACCTTTTCTATACGGGCAGACGTCAACTATGGGGTCGTTTGACATTATTTGTTGCTTTCGGTGGAAAAACAATGGCCACCGATCTTCACTTTAAATGCAATTTTCACATGTTCCTGTATCATTACGTGTTTAGACAATTGCCAGTAGGCTGTAATTCTTCCACTAGCAATACAAAATAGACGCCACTCCCTATTGTTTTCCCAATTTTTTTATTTTTCTTTGAGATTAATCTTATCTTAAAGATAGGGGAAAAAAAGAAAGTTCAAATTTTGGTTTTCTACTAATTGAGTTTTTAATGGGTATTCACAATAGGTGAATTGTACCTTTTGGAATTAAATTTAAGAGTATAGGTGGCAAACAACAAGAGAAATAGATACAGATCTAATGAAGAACGGAGAATAGCCACTGCAGAATCTGTTCCAATAAGTGGAGCTGATATTTTAACAGAAGAACACTGACCAGAAAATTCAACACCAGTAGTTATGGATATGAAGATTAACATGAAAGGAATACAAATATAAAAGAAAACGCTAGAACTATGTTAAAAAAAAAAAAAATACTAAGCTAGATTTGGAAGAAATAATGAAAGTAGATACAGACAATTGAAGGCAATAAAATAAAATTACGATGAAAATAAAGTGAGATAAAATATGCGTAGAATAGATTTTGTAGTGATAATGTAGGGTCTTCTGCAAATTTTCAAACGAGGAACTTACAGAAGTTGTTGTGTACTTGGTGCCTTTGGTAATGAAGCGGCATCTTGGCACTCAAATTGGCTAGTGTGAGGTGTCTTTCTCTTCTAGAACATTCACTTTGTATTCCTCATTCCACAATCCTTAAAATTATCTAACACCTTACGTTCCAATCAACGGAGTTTTTCATCTCCAAATGCATAAATTCACCCTCATTCTGTATAAAAAAATCTTATACTATCCTCAACTTTTACTTTGATCAATTTACACTTCACTTGTAAAATTGTATCTATCAAACACTTCAACTTATAAAATTAGATCTATTAAAAACTTATTGGATAGTTAAAAATGCGAAAAATATTATTTTAAAAATGTATTAACCACAAATCAAACTAATATTTTGCATATAGAGCCAAAGACCTAAAAAGATGTCATTTCCAATATAAAAGCCAAAATTGTATACTGTTACTAAATTCGTAACTTCAAAGATATAATAGGTGCTCCCTAAAATTTGAAGTGCTAAAAATTTTTTTTGATAAACTATAGAGTGAATTTATGCCCTTTTAATCATTGATAATAGTTACAGACTCCATAGACTTTTGCCTCAAATACAAAGACCCATAATTGATGAATTTTAGAGTGTAAACATCTACAATATCTAGAACCCTTGGCCACTTGGCCATTTAAGGTTATATATATTTTTGAAAAACACAAAGATTATCATAATTCAAACCCACAACTTGGTCAAAAGGCTAGGCCATTTGAACTATCTGGCGTTTTGCAAAGCAAAGACAAGGGGCAAGACAAAAAAAGAAAAGGGAAAAACACTAAATAGTTATTATATATGGTTTGAGCAAAAAGTGCTTGTTACAGTTACCTCCAGGATCTTTGCATCTTTGACTCGATGCCAATTCCAAAGGTGTAGATCAATTGTTCAATGCTGATATCTGTTGTGAAAATAAGTCCATGTTTAAAGACCCTGTAAGAAGAGTTTTCAACTTCCAATCCAACCTACAAAGGAACATGATAACAATTTCAATCATGATCTATCCAATCTTGAGGCTGAGTCAATTGCTTCTGGTGCTATTTCATCAATTTCATGACTCAAATAAGATACAGCATACATGTGTTTACTAAATCTAAATATACAGAACCAAATAAAGGAACCTTGAACTTCAAAGTCTATGTCCAGAGAGGTACCTTCCGAAAGGCACCGAGAAAATTTTTGCTTATTAGTTTGCCACTCATCCATCTGCAATTATAACTGCATTTTCTGTTATCTTTTCATTATCTGCAACAGTTTTTGTTTTTTGATTCCTTTTTTATGGAATTGTCAGTCAAATTCTCATTTGCTTTATCGGCCACAATTATGTCATTCTTTGCCTTACGATCAGCTTTAGATGATTCCATGCTGGCATTGCCCAGGACAGTTTTCCCATTTTGATCAAGTTTCCGCAAACGATCTGCATGCTTCTTCCCCATTTTATGAGCCTCCATCACCATAGTAGAGTAAGCACCAACATGACATTCTTCGCACCAGAACTTAAATTTCTTCTTCTTTCTAAATTCTTCTGTCCTCTTCTCTCTCTGCAATTTTGCTGCCACATCTTTCTTCACACTTGTTGCGCCCTTATTTTTCTGCTTCAACTGCTTTTCATTTTTCTTCCCTGAATCTTTTTCATTCCCTATTTTCTTTTCTGTGTAATTACTCTTAATAACTTGAAGGGATTCCTCAACTTTTGCCTCTAGTTCTGTGCATGAAACACCAATAGTAAGCTCGGCTGGCTTTGCAGTTTTCTTTGGCAATTGTAAGGCACTGAGGTTTTTCGCCATCTTAGTTGCTCTCAATCTTGCTTCTTTGGCCTTGTGCTTCTTCCCTCGAAGATGTTCATTCAAACCATTTTCACTTGTAGCACTAACCTGACATAGGGCACAACTCCACTCCTCCTTGGGTTTCTTCTTTAAACCAGCCAAACAGAGCTCCCCAGCATCTCCTGCAGGTATTGTTGCAGCCTTTCGCTTTGCCCGACAGAGATTTGGATCAGGCTTCGCCTGCAACATAATACTCAAACACAGTATATAACCTGCAGTCGTGTAACATTACTTGCTGGAAGAATTGTAAGAGTGCCCTCACAAGCAAGAAAGTAACACTAATTCAGAATCACAATTAGGTAGTTTTCAAAAGTCAAAGCCATCAGTAAATCAAGAAATCACATTTGGTTTAATACAGATAAATGTTCTCACTTAAAAACTGTGACATTGATATAATTTAAGTAAAGTAACCACTCATTGTAAAAATTAAAAGAATAATTTGTCAACCCATGCCTGCTAATGCATTTCTTCCAAAAAATCAAACATTCCAATAAGTTTTTCTTCAATCATAAACCAAACCAATAAATTTAACATCAGACCTGATCACCTGAAACAAAGCTTCTTGAAAGAACTTGATTCTAAGGCAACATATAAAAATTGCTTGCAGAAATTGATGAAGTGATTTCTTAAAACAATAACATGTCCGTTTGACCACCAGATCTCAATTAACTAATTTATTTTCTAATATAAGGATAAAATCGTTATATACTGGGAATTTGAAGTTCTCTCTTCCCACCCATTATCTTTCCAATAGAAATGTTGGCCTACTTCTGCACAAGATATATCATATATTGCCTTTAGTGAGTTGATGGAACATAACAGAACATTCATATTGCCTTCTTTATATGTGTTCGAATTTGTAAATTATAAATGTCCTCGGCGACACTGACCAGCATTTCCATGGCAACAGCCGAATTAACAGGGCTGTGCCTCAAATATTGCAGCCACAATAATTTAAGACATTTAATGCAGAGATGTGCCATGGAAACTTTTATTTATAAGGTGGCAAGAATAGTGCATTTCTTAGCATTATAGATAACACATTTTGAATAAACAGATTTGGTGACTCCCATACTGGTTCGCACTACTACACTAGTGGATCCCTCTGCATGACATGGATCGATAATGATGAAGGTCTTTGGTGGCAGCTTTTACTGCTACCAATGCCAATATTACTTCAATAATACCAAAAATAAATGCTGTTTAATCATGTTGGATCCCTTTGCAACAAACAGAAAACAATTTCAGGCTGAAAACCATATTATAATATCCCATTCAAAAACAGGCATGACAAAATCATTTAAAGGGCTTGAACTAAAACCAAAAGTTCTATAATTGTTGAAGCTATGGTTTCCCTGGTCCTGGACATGCAAAATGTCACCTGAGGTTGTGATTCAACTTTAGCCTAGGGTCACAAATAACTAAGGCCTAGAGGCTTTTTCTTGAGGGCTAAGGAAGGACTAAGAAGTAAGAAAGCAATCAGAATGATCATGAACAATCATAACTCTGAGGTCAGCGTAGAATTAACATCTCATAAATGTGTTTTTGCAATCTGTAAAAACTAAAAGGTGCTGACAATGAATTCTGAGATCCCCATCGACAGGTTTACTCCATGCTTTACATATTAGGATTTGCAGTACACAACTAGACTAATTTATGGGGAGCATACTGCCTTGGCCCAAATTTTATTACCAACTGCATTAGCATTCGTGCATGTGCCTTTAAGTCGCGCACATTTACTTGAGTTCACCATCTCAAATTGTGGATTTCTCACCTAGACCATGGTTCACCATTGACCATCTCACATGGTGTGGGTCCAACATGTAAGGTGGTCTATCATGAACCATGGTCCAGGCAAAAAACTTCCATGAGCAAATGCTATTGCATTTGGATAAAATCAAGACAGTTGGAGCATCTATGCATTACCCCAAAAAACTATGTAATGTGTGAATTGAAACCAATGCTGAAATGCACTTTAAATGGATAGATCCAAGGGGAGCCGTTAAAAAACATTTAACCATAAACTCCCTAGTTTTTTTTGTTCCTTAAGTACCTTAAGCTCCATGGTATTCTTTCCACCAACTTGTGAAAATGCTTCAAGAGAAAATGTTTGCTGATTCTGACTCATAAAGCTAGAACAAAGTCCAATCCACTAAATCAAGAAAAACTATTCCACAACCTAACATGCACTTGACATGCAAGTTTAAATAAAGAAGAAAGGAATTACAAATTTAAAAAACATAGTTAACTGATAAGAGTATGCAAAATTAGGAATGCTTACCAGTACTATTAATCTAGACTGATTATATTCCGAAGCAGGCTTAACATCAGGCGCAACCAAAGCTTCTGATAACCGGGGTGGCTGCAGCCACTGATCGAAAACGCCACGAGCAGGAAATGGCGGACGCATTTCAAGTCGCCGATTGTAAAACTGGTCGTTCAAAGAGCACGAAACTCTAGGGCGAATTCCCATGGTCAGTCTTTCCTCAAATGAGAGGCCTCCTTCTATTCCTGCTCGCATTGCCATTTCTCTCTCCATCATAAGCTCTCTCCTAACTTCAGCTTCAAGCATTCGACGCCGCACAATTTCACCAGTGATTATCTCTTCTCTTATGCGCTCCTTCTTAATCTCGCGCTGGAGCATTTCGTTTCGCATTAGCTCCGGGTTTAGGATATTTGTATAGGCGGCTGAAACAGAGAATTAGTGCAAAAAACAATTTATTTACCGTTTCGTTCCCGGGACAATAAAGTGTACTAACTGAATTAGATGCAAATAGATGAGATAATTCCTTCAAGTCCTATCGTTCGAAAAATTTTTAACTGAAAACTCAAAATTGCTAGCTATATAAACCTGTTAGTCTAAATTTTCTCAGCAACCAAACATCGAATGTATAATTTTTAAGTTATGAGGCCGAAAGTTAACTGTCCTGAAAACAGAGTACTGATTTTGGAGGTTAGAATTTGTACGGACCTCGAAATTCTTGTTCAGAGAAGTATCCAGCGGTAGTGGAAGAGGATTCGTACGTAAACCGCGGTCTTCCATCCACAGCTCGAAACTTAAATTCCATGGAAATTTACAAAGATAACTGCAGAGGAAACTGACAGAGAACCGTAACCGAAAAATATAACCGAGAGAGCAAGACAAGGGAAGAAGAAAAGGAGATTGTAAGCTGTTTGCACGCGGAAATTGCGCGTGAGAATAGTTGCGGTTAAAAAGCTTGAGTTGGGTGCCGTGAGAAGTCTTCCGTCGAGTCTGCGAGTATAGGGCAGTGTGTTCCTGTCTGTAAGCAAGCCAGGTGCACTATGCGCTGAGTCGGGAAGGCGGAAAAGAAGAAGTAAAGAACGTTAGCAAAAGAGACTATTTTCCTTTTGTTTTCACTTTTTGGGCCTAAAACAGATGGATATAGAAGAAAACGCATTGATGGAGTTAGATTTAATATCATTAATGATATTAACTATATTTCTTTATTTTATTAAATAGTTAATAAAATTAATAATATCATAAATATTTTTTTTAAAATAATAAATATTTTAGTTTCTTTTTTTTAATAATTAATGAAATTAAGAATCTAATTAATATTGTTTAAAGTAATAAATAAACTACTAGCATTATTAACATTTTCATTTGAAAAGTGTAAAATAAATTTTTATAAAAAAAGAAAATTTATAATTTTATCATTGTATTTTACATTTCATTAATACCATCCCATTTCTAAAGAGGGACTCCTAAACTTAACAACTTTTGAAAAAGGGAGAAAGGATTACTCCTCTCCTTCGATATAAAATATAATGTAATATAAATAAAAAATAATATTTTTAAAAAAATTTTCCTTTGCCGTACATCACTAGCCATGTAAAGATAATTGCTATCAGATGATGAAATGATGATAATGTATTACCACGTTATATTTTAGCGAGTACAGGTACATCACTCATAGCAGCACCTGGCTATCTTTTCTTATCTTGTTTCTGACCATAGGTCGTACCACATTCCTAGATCTAGACCGTCCATTGCCTGGAACAACAGCTGATCACTGATCTAGATCAACATGCACTCAATAACAAAATTCACCCCGTAGAGAAAACTCATTAATTTAGGAGGAGTAATTATTATATAGTTACTAAATTTTATTAATAAAGATTTTAATTTTTTAAAATATATTCTTTGCATTATAATTTTGTTACATTGAAATGTCTAATTATTAGCTTTTCGTCAAGTGAGAAACGTCAAAAACATCCCTAAAGACATTAACTATATAATCCTACCCTTTGGCAAAAAATATTAATAAAGACTTCAATTTTCTTTACATTATCTAATTTATATATATTATAATTATCTTTAACGGTATTTTACTATTTTACAACCATTTAAAAGAAAAAATAACTGTGTAATTTTATAATATAACAGAATTATTATGCATGAACCAAATGGTGTAATTTTGAAAATAAAAGTCATTGTTAATGTATTTGATAAAAACGTTGGTAGTATAATAATATTTACACTAATCTAATAAACCCAAATTCATAATTAGATTATTAATTAATGAATTAACTAGTTAAGTAACATCAAGGATTTACTTATACTCCTTTATTTTCAAATATTTATCACATGAAAAAGTACTATATTATTAAATATTTGTCATATTTATGCATTAAAAAATAAAAAATTGATTTTTTAATTTTATAATTTATATACAATTAAGAGTAATTAATGAAAAATTTAGTGTTTAAATATTATAAATTATGAATAATATAATTAATTTATTCAATAATTTATTATAATTTAGATAAATTGAATAATTTTTTTAAATGACTGAAATATCCAAATGTTATAAATTATGATTCATCATGGGATTTAACGCTATTAAATATTGTGAAATTTATTTAGTTCTCACATTTATCATTAAATTATTAGCTATCCTCACCTTCGTACCCGGCGGGTTGTCGTAGAAGATTAGGTCTAATAGATTTGTTTTGTTTTGTTTTCTTCCTCATTAAGATCTCGTCACTGTCTATCAGCGCGATATAAGGATCAAACTGTTTGTTAGATTCAAGGCCAAAGAAAAAAAAAAAAAATCCTGAGCCAAAGAAAAATACTCGAGTTTGGATTTTACAGTTGAAAAATGCCTACCAAGTGTGAGATCTTCTGCGAAATCCTTATCGCCGTTTTGCTTCCTCCTTTGGGCGTCTGCCTCAGGCATGGGTGTTGCAGTGTACGTCTTCTTCTTTTTTTTTTTTGGTTTAGTTTTTTGTTTAGTAAATTAATTCATTAGATCGAAATTTTTTACTCTAGCTCTAATTTTCTCTTCAGCCAAACAGATCTTGAAAATTAGTTTATTTATTTCTTTTTTTTTTAAATGTGATATTGTAGGTTGAGTTTTGGCTTTGTGTGCTACTGACGATCCTCGGTTATGTCCCTGGAATCATCTATGCTTTGTACGCCATCGTTTTTGTCAATCGTGAAGAATACTTTGATGAGTATAGGCGTCCTCTTTATGCCTCGTACTAGTGAGCCAGTTCCTTGTTATTTGTAGTTTCTACGCTGTAGTGTCATGAATTGGTGTATCGTGTTTGAACTCTTTGCAATAAGATGAATTTGATGCTTAATTTCCTTAATTTGATGTTGACTGATGCTTTAGCTGCAAGCTTGATCACAAACAAAAGGAATGGCATGTGGGATTATGTTAAGATGGGCTTGATTATGTCTATGACTGATTCTGGTTCACCACTTTGTATCTGTAAGAGATATCACTTATTTGAGGAATGTGATTTTGATTTTTTATACCTGGGTTAGTATTTTTGATGAATTCAAAATGGAGCGTGGCCTTTGTTTGTTACAATTGTTTTGGAACTATTGGATGTGCTTATTGAGTCATTTGTTCAAATTTAAAGGTTTTCTTATTCTGCCTGTTCATAAATTTTCATTACTGGAGTGAAATGACCGTAAAATTTCTCTTTCAAAATTGTTTCTACAAAAAAGTATTTCAAAGCGTTTTCCGATTTATATTTTGCTTTGGGCTGCTATTAGTTTGATAAGAGTGGATATTGGAAATAAATGATTCATATAGCCGATCTCAACTAGTCTGGGACTAAGACTTGGTTGATGTTGTTACTAGAGTGAAATAATGTGTTTGTATGGCTGAAATTTTCATTACTGGGGGGATTTGTCTACAAAATTAGTTGTGTTTGTACAGGTGAAAAATGGCTTTAGATAGTTAGATTGTTGCTGACGGTTCATCTTTTATCATATAGGGGAGACGAGCTTACATATATATCTCAAGTCTCACAGAAAATTGGAACTTAGATTTCTTTTCTAACTTATTGTCATTGCAATAATGATGCCATTGTGGTTTAGAAATTAGATCATCTATTATTTGTGCGTTTTCTACATAAGCTTTCTTTTGGTTCCTGAGCAAATCGCTAAGATAAGAGAAATGAACAGTAGTGAAAAGTGCAAAAATTTGATATACTCATTCAGGGTTAAGGTCTCTGGTTTGGTGTTTGATGGTGGTGGCATGATACTGAATAGAAGTGGAACTATGAGTTTAAAAACTTATGGTGTAAGTCTTTATAATTGCTGTTTCCTTTATTCTGATGAAAGTGGCTTAACTGGGGGTAACTATTTGAAAGTAGTATGGTTTATCACTGTCAAACTAGGTTCACCTATTGGTCTTGCAATTATGACATCTGAGACCGAGAGCCTTGCTTAATAGCTCATTTCAAGCTTTTGCCTGCACAGGCTTTTTAGTTTTTATTTGGTTGTGGAAGTCAGCAATTTCTCCCATCTTCGCTTTCGTTATTAGTCATTACTTTGTTAAAGCTTTTTTAATTTTATAGATGAAGGTTGGATCTGTTGATAAATGATACAGTGCACAGACCTTTCTAATTATATGAATAGCCATAGGAGGCAAGAGAATAGTATAACTTCTATTACGTGATTCCAGAATTCCTAGCCTTATTAGCTTGCAAATGCTGTTGAATATGTATATGTTTCTGCATCCAGTTAAGTTGCATTTTTTCCATTAGATGCAGTAGACAAATGGCGGCTTCGTGCCCACCGGCGGTAAAAAGAAATTTTTGTTTTAAATTTACTTTATCAGTTAGAGCGATTCGGTTTGTTTTTTTTGGGATTTTGCCTTTCTAACTTTTAAATTTTTGTTTGACCCCCTAATTATAAATCTCGGATTTCCCTAATTTAGAGTGAATCCTTGATGAAAAAATCTGCTAGAGCCATTTAGCTGATTCATTTAGCTTTTAACTGTTAGCTGTTTGAGTATTTTTTTTTTCATAAAATGCTAATACAAAATGTCACGGAACACTATAAAAAATAACATTTAACGGTTTGATTGGTTAAAACTGTAAAAGTTATTTAAAAAGCTTTAAAAGTTATCTATTATTATTATTTATAAAATTATAGATTAAATTAAAAAAATTAGTTAAATTGGCCAATCAAATAATAAAAAAAGAAGAAAAATTTTAAATCTTAAAAAAAAAAAAAAAGAATTTTTTTTTGGGATTTTGCCTTTTCTAACTTTTAAATTTTTTGTTTGACCCCCTAATTATAAATCTCGGATTTCCCTAATTTAGATGTGAATCCTTGATGAAAAAATCTTGCTAGAGGCCATTTAGCTGATTCATTTAGCTTTTAAACTGTTAGCTGGTTGAGTATTTTTTTTTTCATTAAAATGGCTTAATACAAAATGTCACGGGAAACACTATAAAAAATTAACATTTAACGCGTTTTGATTTGGTTAAAACTGCTAAAAGTTATTTAAAAAGCTTTAAAAGTTATCTATTATTATTATTTATAAAATTATAATTAAATTAAAAAATTAGTTTTTTAAAATTGGCCAAATCAAATAATTAAAAAAAGAAGAAAAATTTTAAATCTTAAAAAAAAAAAAAAAAAGAAGTATTGGCAAAGAGGAACGCTTTTAAAAATATAGATTTTTTTATTTTTTTTTATGTTTTTGCATTGGATTTTTAGAATTTTGTTTTTTTGAACAATAAAAAAAAAAAAAAAGAATGTATGGCAAAGAGAACGCTTTAAAAATATAGATTTTTTATTTTTTTTTATGTTTGCATTGGATTTAGAATTTTGTTTTTGAACAAACTTTATGCATTAAAGCCAAACCCACAACGAGGGACCAAAATTACAACAGTTGACATAGAGCTTGAGGTGGAATACTATAAATATCAACTATCCACCAAAATTCATTTAATTCATAGTTATATGGATGTTGTTAAAATAAATTAATTATTCTTTTTTACATTTTCTTAATTAATATATAAATTTTGATTTTTACAAATTTAAAAAATAACTTTAATTTTTTCTAAAACTGTCACTAATTTTATTTTATACCATTAAACTGAGCAAAGAGCTTCTGTGGCTGTTTGATCCATTTCAATCAATTTAAAATGGATTTAAATATCAATTAAATGTATTCGAGATGCATATATTAAAATTTGGATTATACTTTTCTATATTAAAAATGTCATTATTTTTTAATAAAAAATTATTTTTTTATTGATCTGCTCCGTTGATAAGTCTATGATCGAGTTTAGGCAAGAAAATCCATATGAGAATTTGAGAAGAAATCGTAAGGGATTTAATAAAAAATTATAGACAGGCTATGAATAAGCCTACAATGTTCCTAAATTATCATTTTATCCATTTTCCATCCACATGATATGATCTTGGAACACGAAAGTTCGGTGGTTACCATAAACCCAAAACAAAATGAACGGATACGATGGCAATGGCGATGGGGTAGACACCGAGACCGGAACCGAAACTGAGTTATTGGGAAGGGACTGGTCCGAGTTGACTCACGAGTGTTTGATCAACATCATTGCGCGACTCACCCTGGAGCACCGATGGCGAGGACCTATGTTGGTGTGCAAGTCCTGGCTCAACGCCTGCAAGGACTGCTCACTCAACTCGACGTTCGATCTCGATGCTTTGTTCGACTCATCAACTGAGTTGTCTCGGTGGTGGATTCCCGAGTTCGAGCGTAAGATGGATTCGATGCTCCGTTCTGTCGTCGCTTGGAGCGATGGCTCTCTCACCGAGATCCGCACCAGACACTGCTCCGATCGCGCCCTCTGTTTCGTAGCAGAAAGGTACAAATTATAATTACCCCAAAAAGAAAACATCAAATTTGAACTTCTGTGAAAACTTGCCTGATAGCAATTAATCTTTAAGTTTTGATGATTTCTTCAATATTCAATCTTGGGTTATTGCATTTTCAGGTGCCCAAACCTCGAGGTGCTATCTATTAAGAGCTGTCCAAATGTTACTGATGCATCTATGGCTAAGGTAGCCTTTAAATGCACCAAACTTAAGGAGGTTGACATTAGTTATTGCTATGAAATATCTCATGAATCTCTAGTGATGATAGGAAGGAATTGCCCTAATCTTAAGGTTCTAAAACGAAACTTCATGAACTGGTTAGATCCTTCCCAACATATGGGAATTGTCCCTGATGGGTATTTGAATGCTTGTCCTCAAGATGGGGATTCAGAAGCAGCTGCAATTGCAAAGTCTATGCCTCAGTTGGAGCATCTTGAACTTCGATTCTCTAAGTTATCATCGAAAGGGCTTGCATCAATTTGTGAAGCCTGTTTGAATCTTGAGTACTTGGATTTATGTGGGTGTGCAAATTTGACAAGCCGGGATATCATCAATGCAACATCTGGTTTAAAGAATTTGAAGGAGATTAAAAAGCCAAATTTCTATATCCCCAGGTCAGTCTTCCATACTGAAAGGTATGGCCATTGGAGGCTGTATGATGAGCGATTCCAGACGGATGTTTTTCGTATTTGATCAGGTGATTTTAATTTGATTATCATCCATGACAACATCTTGTTTTTCTTGTGCTGCTGTCAGAGCTTGTAATGGTTTGTTCTGCATCTGGACGTTAATGTTTTATTAAATCTTGCAGATTGTTGAATGCTACTGGGAAGTTGGATTCCTTCATGTTTGCTGCTTTGGTGGATTGGTGCCTACGTGGTAATTTCTTATAAGTTATGTCTTTGAATTTTTTTTTTTTCTTTTTTGAAACTTTCTTTGCATGTTTCTGCATATTATGTCTCAAATTGTTGTAAAGCCATTATTTGTTTCCTACTTGGTCTTGTGCTGAATAATTTATTAAATAAAAATGTATAGAATTGTTAGTTTTATTTTGGTTGAAAAATTGGAGAGTAGTAGCTTCTTCATAATTTTTTTGTTTGTTTGATTTGAATGTTATAAAACTTCAACTTTGTTCATTTTCTTCTTGGTTAGTTTTGCTGATTGGTGTCTCTTGGGCATGTTCTGTATGATAATTTCTTGACAAACTAGGGCATAAAATTCTGACCCATCAAGCAATAAATTAAAACAGGAGTCCTCTCTTGGAAACCAGTTCTCTACCCTCTATGATAACCTCTTGTAGCAATTCAAAACTACACATATTTAAATTCAATGAACAACAATATGTGTCCAATACTAGTAAAGCATGCACCTAGCTTAAAAACTTAAAATCTGTACATAAGGTCAACAAAGTAGTAAGCTGAACATCCAAAATATCACATTAAATCTTAGAATGTTGGAATTTATAACAGGATTTTAGAACGAGTGCATGTGATTTGCCTCTAGGCATATTTCCAATGCCCAATTTTCACCACAGTTCAGAGTTAGTATTATGTATGCCTTCCCATTGGAAGGAGTTACATGCCTGACATGTATTGGTTTGCTCATCCCAAAATCAATGTCATAGAAAGGGAGCTGCATCCAACTAATGATGTTGAGGTTTTAGAAACTGAAAAATTGAGGGCCTTAGATGTTAGTGCTTCCAAAATAATCAATAGTCGATCTTAAAATACTCATCATCCATCCGCTTTATTGCCTTGTTAATTCTTTCCAGTGTCCTCTAATGACTCTGATAAGAGGTCACTGGATAAATCAGTTGGTTTAGCCAAGAGGATGGCATTCCCAAAAGTAATGGGCTGTGACCTACTGTCTATGGTTACGTTTAATTGATTGCCAGTAGATGAGCCACATGCTTTTCACGTAGGATCTCATAGCTACTGGACTTCATTTTGCCATTGTTTGTACTTGATTTAAGTTGAGTAGGAGTGATCTTAAGGTCAGGATTTGAATAAAATTCGATTGGTTTTATGGTTTTTGGTGGGCGGTTTGTGATCTTCAATGTGCAGAAATTTTGGGGATTGAGGGACTTGGCCACCGAAAATGGTTTGATTAATGCATGGTAAGATGCTAATGGGGAGGCCATCTGCTAGTGTTCGACTCCATTGTGAATTGGCAGTAGTAAACAGTATGTTGTCTGCTGGGAAAATAATAAGAGAAATAAACCATTGCTGGAGCATAGAAATCGAACATTAAAGAAGATAAAAAAATTTTTGGCAAGTTATTATAAGGGAATAAAATGTAATGTGATTAAATAAATGTTTAATTTAATATTGTTTTTTCTAAAAATATATTTATTGAACTATTTCACTTTATGCTGTACATTAAAAACTAAAAATAAATTTAAATATGTTACAATACAAAAGATAACTTATCAGAGTACGTGTGTTGCCCAATTCACAAAAACAAAAGATAACTTATTTAACAAAAAGGCAATACATATGCGATGAGCAGAAGGTATCAAGTCCAAGTCCTAGTATTTAGTGAATTAAGGGGAGGCCTACCCCTATCCCTATTGTAAAAAATTAAAAAAAAAAAAAAAAAAAAAAGGATAACTATTTTTAACAAAAAGGCAATACATATGCGATGGAGCAGAAGCGTATCAAGTTCCAAAGTCCTAGTATTTAGTGAATTAAGGGGAGGCCTTACCCCTATCCCTTATTGTAAAAAAATTAAAAAAAAAAAAAAAAAAATGAAATGCAGTTACATATAACTCATTCTAACGATACATAAATCTCAACAAATCTCCACTCACTACCAATACTCAGGATAACTATTATTTCTTAAATTAAACAAAAAGAAAAAAAAAATAACTATCCCCAAGAGTGAAATGAGATGGATGAGAGCCCTCCTTCTCGCCACTTTTTAAATCTCAAAGGAGATTCCTTTGTAACCTTAAGTGCAAAATTCTAGATTGGCTGAACCAGCAGGACTTTTAAATACCGAATGATTGTTTACCAAAAAAAAAAAAAAAAAAAAAAAAAAACACTATTATTTGGAAGGAATAATATCAGAGATCTGCACTCAAACATGTAGGAATAACTTGTTGAAGGATTCCATAAAAAAAAAAAAAAAAAAAAAAAAAAAACACTATATTTTGGAAGGAATAATATCAGAGATCTGCCTCCAACATGTAGAATAACTTGTTGAAGGATTCCATATGATTTATCTCTAGGGTTATAATTAATGCCCAACTCCCATCGATTTCATTGCTCGGAGTTGGTAGTATGTATCCTTTACCTTCCACTGGATTTACAGGTCTAAAACATAATGGCTTACCCATCCCAAAATCAAGAGAATAAAAAGGAATCCTCATCCAACTTGTTATACCTAAATTCGGACACCTGTTTTGAATTGCACTTATATCATCCAATCCATCAATATAATCCATAGTTGACCTCAAAAACTCATCATCCATCCGATTTATCGCCTTTCTGATTCGTTCTACAGTTTCCTTCAACGTCTCTGATATTATCTCACCAGATAAAGCAGTGAGACTAGCCCGGAAAACTGCATTGCCGAAGTAGCCGCTTGGAAGTGGAGGTTTTAACCTTGACCTCCCATCCACAGCCATGTTGATCTTGGTCGCTTGATCATTCGATAAGCCACGTGCTTTGCATGTGCAACGCCATATATGTGCAGTTAGAATTTCATAACTACTGTACTTAGTTTTTCCATTGCCATGGTTGTTGTTTTCTTCCTGTACCTTAGATTTCAGGGCATTAAGTTGTTCTACTGTGATCTTAAATATTTCAGTTTTGGCATTATTGTTTTGCGTTGGATTTATAGGAGGTAGATTGTCATATTCAGAGTGTCGGAATTTAGGTTTTCCGGCGACTTGGTTACGGAGGATGGTTCGGTCGATGAATGGTTGATGGCTAATGGGGAGACCACGAGCTATTTCACACCATGTCTTGGCAAAATGGATATAGGCTCTACCATCTGATAGTGTATAATGCCACTGCATTCCTAGTGATAGTCCACCACATCTAAATTTTGTTACCTACCAACAATAACCCTATCTCATTACAGATATAATTATACAGTAAAAAATTATACAAACCAAATCAAACTATAATAATAATTTCAAAGAATAATGGATCTGGATCACGTGAAACGTATAAATTCTTTTTGGCCTTGTTGGACAATAATTTTAAGACAATCGGCTAAGGCCAAAGCATTATTTCTGTAATTATACTGTTAGATAATATAATACATATCTATATCTATAAAAATATATCAAATCTCAAATATAAAAGTTTATGTGTCACAATATTAGAATATTAATATGCTTACGTTGCATAATGTTAAAATATTATTTTATTGAGTTACAAATACTTTTTATATATTTTTAAAAATTATTTTTTAAACAATTAATAATATCATTAATATATATATGTATATATTTATTTTATTAATTTTCTTTTTTCTTGCGAAATCTATATACATATCTTTCATATAAATAAGAATACAAAAAACCAATTCATACTTTCAATAAAAAGAATTGGATTCTTTGCGATTCTTTTCATAGTATTTTATTGAAGTGAGCTTGATTATTGTGGGATGACGATAAAATTATGAAGTGTATTCAGTTTCTGATAATCAACTAAGTGTGATTTTGTGATCTGTAACTATTAACGTCTTTGATCCATACAAAAGTATTTTTTTTATTATTATTACTAAACTTAAGTTTTTCTTGTTATTATTCAACTGTATGTCATCTAAATTATACAATTCACTTTTCACCGGTGCTATATTTCTAATGAAATTAAAGTTAAAATTCATTTTTTAATGTGATTATGTGGGCGATAGGAGAATATTCTATAACAGAATTAATGTTTATATTTTGTTTTATAAAAGGAGATGATGGTGTTGTTCAACCTATTTCAAATCAAAACAAATTTTGATGAATAATTTTTTTTTTAACTTTTTAATATTCATTGGGTTTATGCTTGGATTTTAAATTATTTATTTAAAATAAATTCAATAACTTTTTCTTATAGATTAATTTTAAGATGTATTAAAATATTTCTAAAAATTAAAAATTTTATATTTCTAAATAAGAGTTACTGAAATTAGGAAAAATTCTAAATAAGAGTTGGCCATGAATTACTACTCTATCCATGCACTCTAAAAAATACACTGCAACATCTTTATAGTTTATTTTGTTAAAAGCTTTTGTCCTTCCGTATATTTTTTACAACTTATGTCGTTTTATAGCAAACTACAAGGACAAATTTATAAAATAAAATCCAAGTTTTACCTGTAATGCAAAAAGTGGAAAAGAAGATATGTCGTTCTTGGAATGATCAACTCTTGGAATAAGTTGGCGATTTTCCTCATAAAGCATGGAGTCACCAAGCTCATGTATGGCAGACTCTGTTTCAGCTTCTATAAATAAAACCCCATCTCCATTACAGTTTATTTGAAGCCTGCCCTTCTCATCTCTTCCCAATCTGCCTGCCGCAGGATAAAATTGCACTAAAACGTTGCTCAGTGCCTCTTTTAGCACTTTAGTACCGTCAAAAAAATTATTATTTGACTCGTAAAAATACAGCATATAGTGTATGCTTGTTTGAGGCAGATTTATATCCAGTTTAGAGAGATATAGATGCTGGTTAGGCAGCTCTTGGGCTGGGCATATCATGCTTGTTTCTTTTACCTTTATATTCATCTTCTGTGTTACTTTGTAATTAACACAAAAGGACTTAGAAGACAGAGTGATCAATATATTGTTAAGAAAGTTTTTGGGTCTTCTGTTTTTTCATGAAGTGAACTATATATATATAAATATAATATTTTTCTGAGCTTTGATATCAAAGATGTGGTTCAGAATGCGAATCAGGTGACGGTACATAAAAATATTATTTTATGTGATATTATCGCAACAGTTATATATCTATTTAATGAAATAAAGTCATATTAATAGTTTATTTTTTTCTGTTATCTGTGATATACGGACACGGGAGAGACTTGAGGTTTTCACATTTCGAAAATATTTTTGAAAACAGAAATGGCTTGAAAATGTATCGGTTCCATTTCCATAAATGTTAAAAAATCGGACACCAATTTCCACTTGCTGGAAATATTTCTTGCATTAAAAAAAAATCAGATTTTAAATCCAAATTAAATTTAGATGATTAGCAAATCCTATTCGAGAAATAACAAATAATCCTACTTTTAATTTCAATATTCAAATTTAACAGAATTTCATTATTTTGTTCCATTTTAACATTTGCATATTTTCTTTTCTTTTTTCTTTAGAATATGAAACTTATAAACAGTTTTTTCTCTCTTTGGATGTGATTTATAATGATTTATTTTTAATTATAGTTAAGAAACTTTATCTGTTATTGATTGTTTTTTAAAATTTATAAATATACTCTTTCTAAATTATTTTTATATTTATTCATATATTTTTAAATTTTATAAATAAATCTTTATATTTTTTATATTTACATGTTTTTTCCACATTTCCGTTTCCTATATTTTTGAAAATACAATTTCCTTATGTCTGTGTCTGTTTCCCCCTTTCTGTGTCTATACTTCATAGTCCGTTATACATCAATAACTTCTAAACCAACACAATTAGATTTCCTATATCTAAACAAACAGAACATTTAAAAGGATTAACAGGAAATAAGTGGAAAAAAAAAAAAGCAAACATATATATAATACTTCATAGGTTCCGTTATACATTCAATAACTTCTTAAACCACACAAATAAGATTTCCTATATCTAAACAAACAGAAACATTTTAAAAGGATTAACAGGAAATAAGTTGGAAAAAAAAAAAAGCAAACATTATATATACTATATTATATATATATATATATATATAACAAAAAATGCGCACTACAACCATTATTATATATGTTCTCAACAAGCTCTAGGCATGCGGGGCAATGTCACAGAAGGCTTCATCATTAAAACAAGTTTTTTGAAGAATTGCAGTATGATGGAACCTCTAGGCATAGGAATCAAAAATATAACAAAAATGCACTACAACCACTTATATATATGTCTCAACAAGCTCTAGGCATGCGGCCAATGTCACAGAAGCTCATCATAAAACAAGTTTTTGAAGAATTGCATATGATGAACCTCTAGGCATAGAATCAAAACCCAACTCCCATCAATCTCATTGCTTGGTGTTGCTACTATGTATCCTTTACCTTCAACTGGATTTGGAGGTCTCATACACAGTGGCTTACCCATCCCAAAATCAAGAGAATAAAAGGGCAACCTCATCCAGCTAACAATACTTAAATTCGGACACCGACAAAACTCCGGTCCCCTTACAATTGCCATTATATCATCAACTCCATCAATATAATCCATAGCTGATCTCAAGAACTCGTTATCCATCCGATTTATCGCCTTTCTAATTCTTTCTACAGTTTCCTTCAACGTCTCTGATCCAATGTCACCAGCTAAAGCAATCGAACTAGCCAAGAAAAGTGCATTACCAAAGTAGCCACTTGGAAGTGGAGGTTTTAGCCTTGACCTACCATCCACGGCTATGTTCAACTTGGTTGCTTGATCATTGGATAAGCCACGTGCTTTGCATGTGCAACGCCAGATATGTGCAGTTAGGATTTCGTAGCTACTGAACTTAGTTTTTCCATATCCGTTGTTGCTGTTTTCTTCTTGTACCTTAGATTTTAAGGCATTAAGCTGTTCTAATGTGATATTGAACAGTTCAGTTCTAGTATTGTTTTGGGTTGGATCTGTATTGTTTACAGGAGGCAGTTTGTCATATTCAAAGTGTTGAAATTTAGGTTTTCTGGTGACTTGGTTACGGAGGATGGTTCGGTCGATGAATGGCGGATGGCTAACGAGGAGACCACGAGCTATTTCACACCATGCCTTCGCAAAAAGGATATAACCAGAACCGTCTGATAGTATGTGATGCCATTGGGTTCCAAGAGATAGTCCACCGCATCTAAATTTTGTTACCTACCAATAAAAAGAATATATGAAGCTAGGATAATTATACAATGTATGACTCGAACCAAAATCAAACTTAATAGTAAATTATGGTTTTATTTAAATGGAGATTTGAGTCGATTTAAACAATTATACATTTAAGTTCATAGTTTTACTTTCCAAAAATGGAAGTATATTTGCAAATATTTTGGGATATCTAAAAAAAAATAACAACGATGGAGGGAGTATATTTGATTTTTAGAAATTTTTAAATGTTAAATAAATCATACCGAGTTATTTTCAATTAAATATCAAAAATTTTCTTTTATTATTTTATTATTGAATTAAACGGAACTAGTTAGATTCGATTTCTTTTTCAGTTTATCCATTATTGCCCATCCCTAGTTGCATGGAGTTGCAATTTAATTAAAAGGAGGAGAGAAATGTAATATCTATGTATTTGGTTTGAATTTTATACTTCAATTAAATTTTGTAATAAAGTATAATCTACATATTTTCCTGAAAAATATTTATTGTCACCTAAAGTAAATAATTCATTTAATATCTTTATATTTATTTGTAGAAATCAAAATTTCTTAAAGAAAGTAATTTTCTTTGAACTGGATAACCAAATACCTCCTAATAAAATAGAAAAAAATATATATATACTAACTAATTAAAATAAACAGATATTAGTATAAAGTAAATACTAGTATAATTACCTGTAAAACAAGTAGTGGAAAAGAAGATAATATGTCTGTCTTGGAATAATCAATACTTGGAATAAGTTGAAGAATTTGCTCATTAAGCATCAAGTCACCACCAAGTTCTTCTACTGTAGAGTCTGTTTCAGCTTCTATAAATAAAACCCCATCTCCATTACAGTTTATTTGAAGCCTGCCCTTATCATCTCTTCCCAATCTGCCTGCTACAGGATAAAATTGAACTAAAACTTTTCTCAGTGCCTCTTTTAGCAGTTTAATGTCAAAAGAATCAGTATTTGACTTGTAAATATACACTTTAGAGTTTTGGCTTCTCTGGAGAAACAGATCAATGTTAGAGAGATATAGATGCTGATTGTTCAACTCCTGAGCTGGGCATATCATTGTTGTTTCCTTTATGTTTATATTCATCTTGTGTAATATTTCCACCTACAATCATACAAAGGTATAATTTTTATAAAATAAAATTATATATAAATCACTAAGTTGTGAGAATTAAAAGATTTTGATTAACAAAACACACTAAAGGAGAGGAAAAGAAACCAAGAAATTGAAATGATGGTGAAGAAAGGAAAGAAAAGGCCAGAAGGGTAGGGAAGTGAGAAAGAAACTTGGTGGGATACAGAAAGAAAATATTGATTCCTATTTAAGTTAATTTATGAAGAAAAATCTCTATTAATAATAAATGATTACCTGCACCCAATGTTCAGGTACACCTGTACATTAAACCAGTCAAAAAGTTTTTTTTTTAAAGTATGTTAGCTACTTTACCTTTTTTTTCTATACATAGATAGAAATATTATCGTTTAAACTAAAATATTATTTATAATTAGTTTGGTGTGTAGATGAAATGGTACGCCGGGAGTAGTTAAATCTTCCACTATTAATATGTAAATCGTATGAGAATTTGCAACCTCTATTTTCAAGTAGTTAATGAATATATTCTTTTAGATATAACTAGACGTTAAGTATCGGAGATCAATTATTTATTTTTTTTTTTTTAAAAAGTAATAGCAAAATTAGGAAAAATATATAACTTATAGGGAAAACTTTTAATTTTAAAAATTTTGGAAGGTAAATGTAGATGTTTTCGAGAAAATATAGAAAAAAATTAAGGAGGGACAAATAAGAATATTTTTGAAAATTTATATAAAATTCTATAGGGAAAATTGGCATTTTAAAAAACTTACGTGCTTGTTTTATGAATTCTCTCAATTATATTATCCGTTCACGCCTTGATGCAAATGCTAGATGATAAATAAAGCCGTCATCATTATAGTATGAATGGATAACCTTATCCACGGTGGGGAAGCAGTGGAGCTTGATGGGACTCGGCGTCGGAGAATGTTGGAATGATTCAAGGTGGCCCGCCAATTGCGCTACGGGTGGCATTTTAGATAAACTGAATTTTTTTTTAGATAATTATATTTTAAGCTTCTGAAATTTTAAGTTTTTATCACCTTTTTTATTTATAGGAAAGTTTCGCGTCCACTTTTGAAATCATGTCCAATTTGAAATCTTCCAGACCAAAACTAAACTCTGTTCACTCAATTTAAGATTGGATTTCGGATAATTTATTCGTAATTAAAATTATTAAATTTTATTTTTTGATAAAATCAATTATGTTAATTTATAATTAATATAATCAATAATTCTTATAATTAGATACATTTAAGACGTTTTAATTATTTAATACATGTATTTTAATTGCATGATACAATGATGGCGGAGAGGAACCTCCAGCTTAGCTACTAGGCCAAGGCTTGAGGGAGTCCGAACTTCATTTCAGTAACAAAACAAGTACATAATAGAATACATAAACTGCTTTATGTGCACTAATCAAACAAATACAACGTAAAACAGCAATCCTACCACAATATATCTAAATAATATTATTACAAATGAAGATGATTTGAGTAGAAATGAGCCTGAAGCTTTGCTCCGGCGAGGAGTGCGGGGACGAAGAAGATCTCCGCCGCCATAAGATCCCTTTCCATGTCCACCTCTTTGGACAATCTTTACATGCACGTCCTTGCTATGTAAATCTACATGCAAACGAAATATATATTATATGTATATGTATATATACAGAGAGCGAGAGAAAGAAAAAAATCTTATTTACAAAGGAAGAAAAATAATGAAAAGAACTATATATATACACCTTTAGCTATATGATTTGGGTTGGGTAGTGGGCTAGATTGAGGGATGAAATGATCTTCCAATGCATTGCTTGAAATATATGTGCAGAAAATTATGAAGAAAAAAGGCCCTGAAAATATTACTCTGGCTGTCATGTTAATGGTTTCTTTTCACTTTCTCTTTTAGAGTCTGTAGCTAAATAGGTAGCATATATTGAAAGACCTGCACTTTAAAGTGATGAATAATGGCCTTTGCTTCCTTTTTAAGCTTTTCTTTAGTGGGGAAACTGTTAAAGATTTCAGATTTTTTTTTTTTTTTTTTTTTCAAGTTAAAGATTATGGCTTTCCATTGGCATGCCTGTTATGGAACTGATGCTATATGTTATTCAATTTTATGGTCTAGAAGAGACTTGAAGGCTTGTTTCAGAAAAAAATAAATAAATAAGTGGAGAGTTTGTGAATAGGTAAATGGCATTTTATGTCACAAAAAAACCAACGGATTTATATTGAGGAGCAAAGCCACAAGTTTCAATTAAAGGGGGTAGAAAATTAATTTTTTAAACTTCATTTACTAATTAAAGAGGTCAAATATTATTTATCAATGGGGACAATTTTTTTTTTTTTTTATGCTAAGATACTATTTTGTAAATTTTACTTAAACTACACTTACTTTGAAAATATTTTCAAATTTTTGATATTTAGGTTGACAGAAAAATTAATCAATGGAAAATATTTTTCTAATTAAAGAGAAATACTAAGTCGTTTTACAAAAAAAAAATGAAACCCTTTCAAAAAAAGAAAAACATTTTCTAAACATTAATAAATTTACTGTAATTTTATAAATACATCTTTTAATATATTAAATATCAATAGTCACTATTATCAATCACTATCGGCCACTACTATAATTTATATTTTTACCTAATTTTTATGTCAAATTTATTAATAAATGTAATGCTTTTCATTCAACAGTTAAAATTCAAAGTGGAGAAAGTATATAATGTCTGCATATGTTTTATTGGAATTTCTTATGTTCTTTTTAAATACATAAGTAATAAAGAACATCAATTACGGATGGGCATATGCGCTGCGTTTTGGATAAATGCCACTTTTATCTTATTTTTTTTAGATTCTTCAGATCATGCAAAGAATATTTACAACAGAAGAAAATGCATCCACTCATATAACTGGAATACAACTAATTCAAAAAAAAAAAAAAAAAAAAATCAAGCTAACATAAAGAACATCAATTACGGATGGCATATGCGCTGCTTTTTGGATTAAATGCCACTATTAATTCTATATTCTTTTTTAGATTCTTCAGATCAGACAAAGAATATTATACAACAGAGAAAATGGCATCCACTCAAATATAAACTTGAATACACACCTAATTCAAAAAAAAAAAAAAAAAAAAATCAATAACTATAATAAACTTCCTAGAGAAAAAAAAAAAAAAAAAAAATCAATAACTATAATAACTTCCTGAGATTCTAATTCTCATGGCATAAGTGATTTGCTTTGAAGTCCGCTGAAATTCCCATCTGACATCTCCGAGAAATTTTGCTATGGAATTTTCTTTTAATTAGGTTTCCATTTGAATTTAATATCGAAATTAATTTTTAACGAATCATTATTATTTTTAGGATTTTCTTTTTTATGCATTTGAAATATATATAGGGAATAAAGATGTGAGGATTTAGATTGCTAACATCCTGCAGCACTGTACATATGGATTGAGGTAGTTCTGTAAATATTTAAAGAACTTCTGAAAATTTGAACTAATAAATATAAACAGCTTTCTCAAAATACTGCAAAAATTAATTTAGTTTAAAAGAAAATTAGGCAAACACACTAGCACCATCCAAATATCTTGTTACAAAACACCAAGTTGCTCCTTAACTGTGTTCCAATTATGGTATACTCACCCCAATCTAGGACTCAAAATAACGCAACAAAAACTATAAACCCTACTGTAACATGTCTGAGTGTAGAACAGAGGAGGGTAGAGGATTTCAAGAGTAAAGAGCTTGCTCCACTCTTTTTAGGTACAGAGCGAGGCCGAAGCGTATCCCCACCACCATAAACTCCTTTCGCGGCTTTCTGAAAGCTCTTCGCATCAACTTCATGTCTACTCTCATGTATACTCGGATTATTTTTCTTTTTTGATTCGATCATCGATTCATATACATCTATAAACCAAAAAAGATTATAAAACACTAATCTTATTAGCTCGATTAATATATTTGTAAATGATCAAAAAAAAAAAAAAAAAAAAAAAAAAAAGATTCAAAAAAAAAAAAAAAAAAAAAACAAAAAAAGAATACGTACGATATAACTAACACATGAACCTTAAAAAAATAAAATTAATAAAAAAAAAAAAAAAAAAAAAAAAAAAAAAAAAAAAGAATACGTACGATATAAATAAACACATGAACCTTAAAAAAATAAATAAATAAAACACTTACTCTTAAGTTGCTTTGCCCTAGTATGAGGGTTGTGCTCAGGGTGACAAAGTGTCTTACAACAAATGACAAGGAATAGGGAAGCTAGAAATAGTATTTCTGTCTTCATGGTAACAGTTTACCTTTCAACCTAGCTGGTTTTATTTGATGATGTAGGAGAAGGATTAGGGGAGATGTGATATATAGCTAAGTGTATTGTGATTAGAGCTTTGGTTAGGGTGATTAATTCAGATCTAGTTGGCTTTATAATAAGATGCTTCTTATGACCAGACAATAAAGAAGAGAGAGTTAGTGGCTCAAATTGCAAAAGTTAAGTGAATTCGAATATGTTCTCTTTCAATTCAAAACATTCATTTTTAAAACTCAGTCAGCAAACCGTTTTCACATAACCAATATCGATTAGAATGGAGTGATTGAAACTCATTTTCTCTTAAGCAGAAAAACTAAATTATTTTCAAAGAAAATGAATTCTGATAAGACTGATTATAAGTAAAGTCTTATCCCACATTAATTTATAATAGTTTATAAGTAAAGTCATACTTTTAGGGTTGTAAAAATAGCTAGTGGAGGCCACAACTTAAAGTGATAAAGGACACAGTTTAATTTATGGCTAATGTATCTTTCGGTAATAAAATATGGTCAGAAATTGGATATGGAAATGCTGTTGAGAGGTGCCGGGAATAAATAATACTTTCGGTAAATGTATGTGAATAAAATGCTTTCGTTTAAAAAATTTAAAAGCATCTACTTTAAATTTGAATAATATTTTATTACCTACTAGCTAAGAGTCAATACAGTAAAAGCAAGTTCTAATATCGGACATGATATATAAATTACCTTTCCTTTGTTCTTTTTAAAAGCTTTGCTTGTCTCCTTGTAATTTAAAAAAAAATTGTTCGCGGCATCTCATAGACGAATCCCAGGAGGAACCAGACAACGCCTTTCGTTTTTTCCCCCTTCGTTGGCACTTGCCGACTTTCTTAACCAGCCCCCTTTGCACCGCCTTCTTTACAGAATAGACGGGTGATTCGATACTTTTTCCTCGAATACAAAATTTTTCATTTAATAATTGATCTGATAAGAGCAAAATATAATAAAAGACTGAAAATACATGTAGTTAATTATAAATATATATATATATATATATCAATCCATGTGGCAGATAAGAATTAATTAAGGTGGACGATGTTGAATTTTCGGAAGGTAAACTTACAAAGGATGACAAGTAATTGCAATGCTGCAATAACGTATAACGTATCTCCATAACAACAACAACACAAGTTTATATATACTGCTAGTGATTTAATCTGTATAATTCTGCCATGCAAGTGCCATATTTTCAAATCCTTATTCATATATCTCCGAAAATGGAAATGGAAATGGAAAATCCAAACTGGGTCACATGGCAACCCAAGCAAGTCAGGCTACAGTAACAAAAATGGCACAGAAAAAACAAAATAATATATCATGTTGTAATATTTCTTAAAAAAAAGGGTTTCGAAAAGAATACAGCCGAATTCTCATGGACCGTCTCTTGTAAGTATAACAGTACAAAAGCAGGCACCAGGGATGACAAGGATCATCATCATCCTATGATAACTTTCAAATAACTTTTTCTTAAATAAGATATTGCCATTTGCCACTTTACGTCAATATTATATGAATTTATTTATTTTTTTTTGATATAATAATTAAATTCACAAAAGCAAAATTTAACATAAAATCCATATTTGACTATATATTTCGCCCTAGAATAACTTTTCCCAATTCAACTTTTTTCTTAAATAGATATTGCCATTATGCCACTTTACGTCAATATTTATGAAATTTTATTTATTTTTTTTTGATGATAATAATTAAATTCACTCAAAAGTCAAAATTTTTAAGCTATATAAATTTCATTATTTGATCTTTTATATATATTTTAATATATATTTTTATATTATTATTATATTATATATATTACTAATATATTATTTATATATATATAATTAATAATATATATACTAGTGGATTAGGTAATTCAAAAAACAAAAAAAATCCATATTTGGACTAATGGCTCTTCTGAACAGAAAATCAATAACATTGTATAAAGCTAAATAATTGAATACCATTCAACAAACGATTATGAATAACCATAAACTTAATTAATAAATAATTGTTAAAATTATTTTTTGTTTTTTTACCTCACAAACATATACACAATTCCCACCATTCACAAATCCTGTGCCCTCCTTTTTAAATATAATAATTGACATTCTATGTTATTGTACTATTCCAGAATCCTTTCAATTGTTACTAGCTATATTATTTCATAGTGTGAGATTTTCCGTTCATATAATATATCATATACTAATATTAGAGAGAAGAATCACACTACAATACTACATGATAGCTTAGCATTTGAATTCTGTATATAGTGGTTAGGTAATCAAAAAAAAAAAAATCCATATTTGACTAATGGCTCTTTGACAGAAAATATAACATTGTATAAAAGCTAAATAATTGAATACCATTCCAACAAACGATTATGATAACCATAAACTAATAATAAAATGTTAAAATATTTTGTTTACCCACAAACATATTACACAATCCCACATCACAACCGGCCCCTTTTAAATAATAATAATGCACTAGTTATTGTACATCCAGATCCTTTCATTGTACTAGCTATAATATAGTGTGATTTTCCGTTCATATATATATATATATATATATATAGAAGAAGAAATCACACTACAATACTACATGATAGCTAGATTTGAATTCTGAAACTTTACTAGTAACGAAATCACCACCTTCAAAAGGCTATCTAGAGCATGAAGAAACAAAGGAAGAGAAAGGAGCCAAGAACAGAACCAATCAAATGGAATGAGGTCATCTGAGTTCGGATAGCAGATGATTTAGGACGTGTACGTGGAGCAAATCGAGCCCTTCGTTTGATCTGAATCCCAAGCTTCCTAGTAGAGAATGAACTAAGATCAATATGAGCTAATTGTCTACCCTGGTGAAGATACTGGGCAATAGCTTTGTTGAATTGATCAAGGACAGGTTCATTAGCCATAATTGGAAGAGACTGGGACAGCAAAAGTAGGGAAAGAACAAGGAAAGTGAATATATATCTTGTTGGAGCCATCTCTGCTAAGCAAAAATTGGAGAAAGGTAGGAGGAAAGGATATCCTATCATGTAATGCTATAATGGACCATAGGAAGTTAAAATATATTTTTGAGATATTAATAGGCAGTAGTTGAGGTGGGCCAGCTTTATAACCAGAAGCTTCTTCAGGACAAACTGCTAGTGCTAGCTTTTGACTTAGTATGAAAACCCATTTCAAGAACAATATTTTTATCTGTACACTGTCTATCTGTAATACAAGAGGTTAAAGATTCAAACTCTAATAATCTTCGACGATAATCTCTAAAACGATACAATCTGTCTGTTGAAAGATGAAAAATATGACGGCAAGAGCCTAGCTGAATGAATTTGCAGTGAATCTAATAGCATTCGCCTAAAGAGGATCACTTTCGGCAAAAGTGTATCACAAGTCTCACTAATTTATTTCTGTGCCTCAAAAGGAAGATAAATGAAAAGGTTCACTTGTTATTCAGAATTCAAGGGCATATATTTCTACAGCCTTAACCAAATTTCGGACGAATATTAGATTGCATAGCAACATGCACCGACTAAGTAATAAAAGATTGGAATCAGAAGAAAAGAGACTAGTAAGACCAGAAAAATGAAAAATCTGTGTTAGGGGTACCACTGTCCTCGATTCAAAGAATTCTATAAGATGTGGATACATACCAATGTTGTAGTTGGTTGAAAATTGAATCCTTGCAGCTCTGAAGAACATTGGTTTACATTATGTATGGAAGTTCACTAGAGAGATCTCATCTGGAGATTAACCTTCTAACCATATTTGAAAGGTTACTTTAGAGTTCAAGTAAAAGTTAATGACTGTCAAGATTTATATTTATTAACCAACCTCAAAAATATCCATTTCTTTAAACCATCAAAATAAAAATATATAAGGTGGAAAATAAAGTTTTTAAACTCCCAACAATATAAGATTGATCAACTTTGCTTTACAAAACACAGTAAATTCCATATTCTTACCTTCATTAACCTCCCCCCATTACCCTAAAAAAGAAACTCAATGCAGAAGTAGCCAGAAAGGCAGCAGAGAATGATTCTCTAGACAATTAACTGTTCACTTAGATTTGAGGCACATATTTACTTTAAACAAAATTGCAAAGGTAACAAAACTTAAGAGAAGAGTGTCAGAAACATGTTAATGCAGAGTGAGATTCCAATTCGAGTGGCATCAAATCATTCAATTAATAATATTTCTTTCTTACTACTTAAAGATTTCAAAATCTCCAGCAAATCAGGCTTTATTTGAAATATAGGCTTTCTCAAGTGTTTAAAATGTATTCTTTCAATTTCAAAAAAGAAAAATTAATCTTTAAGTTTCGGGATGCAACTTGAGCTTTACCAACAATACACAGGAAATACCTTTAGTTTTAGCACTTTGTAGTCAGCGGAATAGATTATCCAGAATATCTTGGTTGAGCTTCGGGATTGGCGAAACTTGACCCACTTGTTTAGCCAGTTGGCCCATGACTCGATCCAGGTATAACACATAAAGCCCATTTCTGTTTTCCAGAAGTTCTAATGCTTTTCGAGCATGAAGTAGTGATATCACCCACTCTTCAAACAGTACTGCAGTGTCAATATTGCATATCATTTTTCGGGTAACCGCGATCCTTCCAAGTTACTCAAAATAAAATTCTGTTAATGCAAATTGCTGAGAAAATATTAATCTGAGAGCTACAAGAAAAATCTTGGTTGTAAAAAATAGTTATTGAGTACATAACACCGTGAAAAAGTCTACTACCACGAGCCAAATGCATAAATCAGTTGTAAGAGACTAATTAAAATGGATATGATGCAGTCAAGATAATTACCATTGTCAAAGCCTTCACCCTTTAACCAAGTTAACAAGTAATCCGATAACAAAAACTCAATAAGCTGTATCCTGTCATGCAAATTTAAAATGAGTGAACAAAATCTGATGCAACATTTCACAAATGATATATACTCGGATCTTAAGTTCTTCTGCCCTATGAAACTAAACTGTATCACTGGCTGAAACGTGTTCAGATTTTACATATGCAAGATTCGGGTGCCGAGGCCTATTAATTATATGTAGAACCAAGAAAAGGACTGCAAATTAGCATGTCATTGTTATGTATATTCTAAGGTAAATACTAATGGATTTCTCTGTTCAAACAGAATAATTTTGACAAAGATATTAAGATTAGTGATGGAATGGATGATCAAGGTAATAAACATATCATGGAAAATGAACACTTACATAATATACAAACATCTATGCATATTTGGAAAAGCATCATCAAATGGGTCCATGAAGAGCAAATTCTCTGCCACTAGAGATATTTTTTGAGAAACTAAAAAGATTGCACGCTGCCCGATGTAAGATTCACTTCCAAGCTTGCGGATCAAGTGTTCAATGTAGAACTGGGTATCAGCGCCACAGTTTGGCTCTAAAACAGCATATCAACTAATTAGTAAGAGGCACTCACTGAGAGACAACAATAGAAAGGCCGAAGGTAGCATCATCCAAGAAACAAGAAGAAAACAGTGTCCATTTCTCAATTTATGAAGTAATGGTTCCTTCTATTAACAAAACGAAACAAAATGCCTCTAATTAATACTTCAGAATTATGAAAGTTCAAAGAGCACCACAATTTCTAACCAATACTCACCATCTTGTGAAGGGGAACACATCCTTCTAACCAATCTCACAATCAAGTTGTTGACAATTCCTTCAGTAAAGTCCATATTCTTTTCTTTTGACAGCAGGTTCCTCGTTGAATCTGAAAGAGACGAGAGGAAAGTGGAAAATTATTACCACAAATGGTAAGCAATAAGGAAAAACAAAAACCAGAGGTTGTGATGAGGCAATGGTCCAAGACCAACCTATGAATTAGAGGAGAAACTTCACAAATAAAACATCATATAGGCAAAACTTATCATGAAACCATTAGAGGTAAACCGAACAGCATGAACTGAAACAGTACTCTTCAAAACTAAACTGCTCCTTGAAAATCTATTAAGAGATCATCATGTTTCTCAGTCTTGTGGCAATTCTCATTTTAACCTGACTTTAACTTTCGTACTTCGTTTTCACAGGATTCTTAGTTCGTGAAAATCTAATCCTGAGGCAGCCAACCACCATCCTTCATCAACCTCTTCCTCATATTAACATTCTCTAGAACTTCTTTCTAACACTTATATTGCCCGAGTTAATTCAATTCATGATCAATTCACCTAGCATCTGGAATACCATTTTGCATCACAGTAATTTAAAGTAGGAGGTTTAACGAAGTTAAGAATATTAAATATTTTGGTCACAATGGATACTTTTATGTAAAATTATACCTATTACAGCATGGATAACATGAAACACTTGCATGCACCATTATTCTTGTGAGATTGGAATAGTAGACCAACCAATCAAACAAAATACAGTAGCCAGTTGCAAAAGTAGAAACCAATGGATACACCAAACAAATAAAAGATAACTAATGATCTCATTTGCCATCACATTGCCCAAGATAACTTCTCCTAAAGCAACAATCAAAATGTCCTAGAAATATAGTTTCCCTTTTCTCTCCTCTTAACTACCAGACAAATGAAGGAAAATACATTTTCACATCCCTTCTTCCAATTTCCACCCATCTCCCTCATAACAAACAAACTGCTACTCTGCTGAAAATGACTTACAATGAGCTTTTGAAATAGATCTGAATGTTGAGTGTTGTCACATTAATATTCTCAAGAGGAGAGCTATCTAAGAATGTAGAAGCTAATATCAGTACCTAGAATGAAATCCACAGCTTGGTGCGACCAGTTTGCAAAATTAGCCTCTTGCACCTGCAAAACTTAGGTGAGCATAAACAACAGCTGCCGATAGATATAGTTTACTTAAAAACATTTGATTTTTGGAATAAAATGAAACCATAAAGAAAGCAGCCAGCATAGCACTCTCACAGGAGAGGCAGTGTCACAAAGCTCCACAAGAAAATCAATAGAGGCCCTTAGCTGCTCAGCTGCATCTTCATTGTTGAAATCTGCAGATGTATAGTGAGCAGAAATTTCATTTCATATTTAATACATATACTTGCATATATATTACATTACACTGCTCTAGAATACCCAATTCTTCAGATGTAAAAGCTCTCAAACTTTATCTATTATTAACCTGCCAAAGTCATAGTCAACACTCTTTTTTTTCTCTTGACTTGAACAGAGTTAAGTTAACTAAGCAACAAAACAAGAGAAATAATTGGAGAATCAGCACATCTAGCAACTTCTATAGTTATATACGCCTGTCAACAATGTGGTAACATATAGTAAGAAATTTGGCCCAATTAACAACATTTTGAAGCAAAATGAAATCAAGTGGAGGAATAATTTTGGTTAACTAGTCCAAATAACGCGATCTTTTAAACCTGAAAACTTCAATTGTTGTTTTGGACCACCAGTTTTCCTCCTTTCCTTTAACCGCACTGGAAAAACAAAACAAAAGAGCTCTTAAACTTAACCGATAATTAAAGCATATATTATGATAAGATTGAATGCGAAACCTTGTCTGAGGAATCTGCGGCGAAGAACGTCGTCGAATCTACGATCAGAACCATCTCCGTCTTGCTTAAGGCTTAGTTTCCCCGAATTGTCAAAGAAATAGCACTTGCATGAAGCATTTTGCGGGAACAATTCGTAATGCGAAGCATCTAAACAAAAAGTCCATACACACAATAATGAATATATCCAAAAATGAAAATAATAGTGGAAATCCAGAGAGATACCTTCTGCTTCCTTGAGCTCTTCTCTGAGTCGAAGTAGCTCTTGTTTCCGCTCCTTAGCCTGAAATTCTCATCAAATAAGCGCGAAATTAGCCTCTGTTTGCCTGCCTAGAAAAATAAAAAAAAATTAAAAAAAAAAAAAAACTGAAAATAACGCCGAGAATAAGAAGGATATTTACTGCCATTGAAGGATAAAAAAGCTGTTAGTAATATTATTGCATTTAGATTTAATCGTGAACTAAACGAAGAATCAAGTGATTATTGGAGGGTGGAAAGTGGAGAGAAACCTTTCGCTTCCAACGAAGAGCGTCGGATTCGGGACGACTATCAGGCAAAGGAGATTGCCTTTGGAGGAGCTTTGATCGGAGAAGAGAGATCGCTACGGCGAGCTTCAGTGACTGATAGCTCATCGATGCCGTATTGGCGTTCGCTGCTTGTTCGCTTGAACCCATTCGCTGGACGCCTGTAATTAGCGCGGGAAATATTCGATTGTTTAAGAACCTTCAATTGCTTTGAACGTTCACTCGCTTTTTATATTGGTCAGAACTCTCTTGTAACTGCTGATCCTGCACTTCTCGCCTCACAAATTGCTAAGCATGTCGTTCAAATTTAACCGTAAAGTTTTTGAAAAAAAATGGATAAAAATTACAATTTCATGATGTAAATTAAGCGAAAAAATTGATTTTGTTCAAAATTATTTTATTACAATTTTGAAATAGTTTTATTCATAGATATGCTATCATTAACTCAATAATAAACTAAGAATATTTTGAAAAATGATCATAAAAAATTAAAAGATATTTTCATTCCTTAAATTAAACCATTAAATTTCACCTCAATTTGAATTCTCCTATCTATTTATTTCAATATAAATGTATAATTTTTAAAGGACGAAAATCACGTGGTAATATACTAGATAATGAAAGTAATAATGCCGCATTTTTTTACTTTTCCTTTCAATTTAAACTCCATTTATTTGTGGAAGATAACTTACATTTGAAAAATATTTTTCAAATCACTTATTTTCTGTTGTTTAGCTTCAATTTTAAAATTAGTTAAAAATATTAAAATTCTAACTCATAAGACCATAAAAATAAAAATACTAATAATATAAATTTCATATTTTAAAAATTATATTGTTAAACACGAGAATAATGCAAAAAGAAAAAGTAAATTATGAAAGTCGTCAGTGGCCGTTGGTGATGGTCGATGGTAGCGGGTAGTTATGAATGATGAGTTGTGGTAGTGGCTACCGATTATTAATAAATTAACAAAATATAAATTTATAAGATTATAGTAAGTTTCTCAAAATCTAAAAAATATTTTATGTTTTTGAAAATTGAAAGTCATTTTCCTTAAAAATTACTTAATTTTCATTTGACTAAGAAAATATTTTCCGTTGACTTATTTTCTTGAACGTCCCCCAAACACAGAGGCAGCGTCAGAGTATATAAAGTGGAGTCAATTGACCCACTCAACTTTTAAAAAATATTTATAAAATAATTGATAAAAAATTTTAAAAAAATGTATATTAAATGACAAATTTTAGATTTTTTTAATCTAATTGGCCCAACTAAAAATTAAATTAAATAAATGACTCCGCCAACAATAAAAAACTATAGATAATATTTTCCTATAAATTATTTTACGAAAACAAACGGAACAGATTTCTTTTTTTCAATTTAATAGACATTAAGTTTTTTTTTTTAACTAAAAAAGAATCCAATGGAGTTAATATTTAATGAACACTAAGTTTTTAATTAAATAAAATAATAAAATTACAAAATAATACAATTTATTGAAATTATAATTAATAAACATCTAAATAATTCAATTAATAATAAACTTTAATAATTGCTTCCTCATTTGGGTCCACCGATATACTCACTAGGAAATTGTCTCATACGTTGTGTAAAACAAGTAAAATGAAAGTAATCATAGTGGTAGCGAACTCCCGGAGTATAGCTAACATATATTAGCGGTTGCCTATCCAAATCTTCTCCTTCGCACACATGGCAACGACGCACAACAAAATAAGATGGCAGATAAGAAGGAGGGCATAAATACGACCTTTTTGATCCAATTGTGAGCTCCGAAGGTAACATGCAATTGACATGAACATCAAAATTGCAATCATAGCATTTGTAGCCAACTGAGCTGCCCACTTCATCACAAATAATACATCGAAATTGGTAATTGTACTTAAAGGGCATGATTATGAGATTAAAATAATGTTTATGCACCCCATCATAAAGAATAGCTGGCAAAATTTCAAGTTTGAGATTGGTTTGCAAGAGGCAATCATAACAATCGTCTGAAAACTCTTCACAGTTGTTACATTTATACGTCTTCTCGAATTCATATTTTTCAGGGTTCTTTGCTGTCAAACAACTGGAATGCGTAAATCTTGAGGCTGACTCTGCACAGAATTTATGAAAGATGAATTCACTGCACTCTGCACATTCATAAGAGAGGCCAGAAACAAGATTTGAGCATTTTTTGCATTGGATTTTCTCTGTTCTTGGTTCTTTAGATAAGACTAATTCATGCAAATGGTCATTTAGTTTTTCTGCATTCTTTCTCATACCCTTTTTAGCACGGCAAAGTAAATTAAGTATTTTGGTGACATCTTCATTCACGTTAAATAACTCTTTACTGATAGTTACCTTTAAGATAGGTCCACCGTCATCATAAAGATAATGATCTTGATGATAAATTGTTTTGGGTTGAATAATGACCGAGCGTGCTTTCCCAGAATGCTGCAATTGTTCCAATTTATGGAGACGCTCGTTATTACATTGCATGTTGACAACAACAACATTGAACTTCAAACTAAGCTGGGTTAAAGCGATTCGACAAATAATTCCAAAAGATGAATCGACAGCAGCGTCATTAGAAGCTGCACTTATGGTTGGAGATGATATTGTTTCAGGGGTTGGAGTGATATCGTTTTCATCAACGAGAGGACATTGAAGGAATTCTGCGAATTCATGAGATACTTTCCTGCTGCCAATGGCTCCTGAAAGATCGTTAATTGCAACAATTAGTGGTACCTGTAGATGTTTTAGTTGTTCCATTCTTTTTTTGCACTTTCTTCTCTCTTTCTCACTTGAAATAATAATTTGGAGTAATTATAACATACAAAAGGCAAAGCATCTTATACCTCCTGTAACCATAGCAAGCAAAACAAGCCTAAAAAGTAAAACACAGATCTTACTCGTAGAATCTTAGAGGTGTGCAATATGTCTACACTATTAGTTTCAGGTCTTACATTTAAACTAGATGAATTTAACCTTAATCATAATTATCAAACATACATTTGCCAATTAGACCAATAATAACTTGATTAAGATTTTAAATGTATCAAAAATTAAAAAGCAGCAGCAAGAATCATGATATCAAAGACTGTAAGCAACTTTAGCTTTCAATAAGAACAAAATGCAGCATCAACAGTTGTTTTGTCGACCAAGGAAGACTATAATGCCAAGATTATCCTTATTGGAAAGGAATAACATGCCACCTTCAACCAGCTTGAATAAAGCTTTTAGATTTATAAATCAAATGTATACCCATAGAATCATGAAGCTGATATACATAGAACGTATAAATAATTTATACAGCTCCAATAGAGAGAAGCTTAATAAAGGCTGCAAAATCAAAACCAAACAGCAGAAGAAAATTGCATGTACAAAATGCCATCAGAAAGATAAATGAAATGATCTCTTTACTAGTGCAAAGATAAAATTGTACGATTTATGAGCTGAGCAGTTTAAACAATAAACTAAATTACTCAAAAAGGTCAAGAAAATGAAGATCAAAACTAATCAAATACAAAACAACTGGATCCCTTAAAAGGGCCACTCTTCCCAAGCTATTAGGCACATAATTAGCCACGCTCGAGAACAAAATCCATGGCATTATGGTTTTGATTCTTTGCTCAATAACACACAGCTATGACCTTGGGGGAAAATATATCGACTTAAAAAGATAAAAAAAGTAACCTGTTCTTGGCAGCTTCATCTTATCACATAGTACAAATTGCTCGCCTCAAAAAGGTTCGGGACGGGGCATTATGATTCGAAACAAAGCACAAAAAGTTCTTGTGGATACAGACGCTCAAGTACTCACACAATTGCATGCCACGCCTACTAAAGCAAACTCTGGCAAGCCTCAATATCAGATGCCTGCGAATCTAATAAGCCTTGCCCATTTGGACTGCAACCAATGGTCCTTATCGCTGCATCAAGTACAGCTTTTTGATACATATCATCTTCCATCTTCTTAAGGACCTCTCTCACCACTTTAAAGTCCAATGCCCCAGCCAAAACCAGTTTCCCAATAATTTCACCAAAATTATGAGGTGCTTTTGGTAGGTCAATGCCAATATCATCCAACAATGAACCATAGAGCAAACATCCAGTTCCTACGTCTTTAGCTGTGATAACCTTCTTCGCAAACAAATACTCCAAAAGTTTCGCAACTGGCTCAACACAGGGTGGGTTTTCCTCCAAGCCAAGGGAGATGGCTTCCTTGACAACTTCAGGATGGTAAGCAGGGGACTTCAGTTCCTCCACACATTGCAATGCTTCATCCAAAAGTCGGATGTTGAAATATTCTTTCAAAAGCGAAATTGTTTTTCTCTGGAGTTCATCAGGATTTATACTTGCGGCTGAAACAACTGGTTTCTCTGCAACAGGAGGCATATAGGGGGTTTTACTAGGTATGGGAGTTTGAGGAGAAGGCTCTGTAGCCAAACCAACATTGTAAGGACGGGGAGAAGGGCCACCACTTCCCTGCAATAGGGCACTACTCTTTCCACCTATAAAGCCACCACTTCCCTGAGGCAATAACCTAGCGTTAAGTGATGTTGACTTATTATACATTGGTGATGGCACACGTCCTGTAGACTGCTGCATAGTTGCTCCATCACCCCTTGGGATTGAACGGGTCCTTGGAACCTCCCAATTTTCATTATCAATTCCAGGCATCCCAGGCATCCTCCTAGTTCCTGGCATGCCTGGCATCATACCACCTGTGCCAGGTCTGTTGATGGGAAAGCCCCCTGGGCCAGTAGTCCCTGGAGCAGCAGAGATAACCCCACGACTATTTCTGATACTTGAAGTAGCACCTGGACGCAATCCAAGATTCTTTTCTGCCTCAGAATGTATTTCTGTAATGGTTTTGGCTTTAACCTGCACAATAACAGGAGGCGTTAATATAACAAAATTTGCATTTAATTACCAATGAAAACTAAAACACACCTCTTCGCGTCTAGGAATCCAGTTATTTGACCGCAGATCAAGAACATCACGAATCATGAACCTTAATCGAGGAGCCAGTTGAGGGTTTGATGCCAATTCCTTTAAACGACTAAAGTATATATCATTTATACGCTGCGACTTTGGACCCTCGTCAAGCTGCTTCCCAATAGTGTTAAAGAATTGACATATGGCTTCGACATTTTCTTCAGCAGGACAAACTTTGTTATCAGGTCCCAGAAGCTCCTGTTTCACATAGCAAACAATGATAAGAAATTAAAAAAAAAAAATACACATAATAATCTATCTCATCTTATTGTCAGGAAGTGCAACATGAATTTCTAATTTAACCTTAACAATGTGATGAACAATTTTCTCAGGAACCATCTTCTGCTTCAGAAGTTCTCCAATCAAACGGATATTTCCAAGAGTACGAAGCTTGACCAATCTTTCCTTATCCCTGCGTTCAAGCTCTTGCTCTGGAGCAGTCATCTGCCTGACTTCCTCCCTTAATTTATCAGCACCTTCAAATGCCTCCTGGCAGATATTCAGGAGAACTCGCTTGAACGTGATTTCTTTCCCACCTGGTTCATCTGATGGGAATGGAGGGAGCTTCTCATTAAGATCAGAACACAGCTGAGCATACATGGGACAGAATGTGGGCTCCAGAACAGCCTTCTCAAACACAAGCTGTATCACACCCTGCATGACAAGGTACATGTGAATTCATCTGGCAACTATAATTCATCTAAGGAACAACTATATAAAAACAGATTAATTAACCTTTAAGATGTCAGCCGATGTAATGCCAGAGTCAATAAGTTGACCCTTGAGAAGATCAAATTTCTCAGGGGTAAGCTTGTTCAGTATACTGCAAAAAAAAAAAGGGGGGGATAGAGATCCGTTTTAAGCACACTAAAACTTGTACCTAATACTGACCCTTGCATGGCATCAAGAAAAACCAAAGCAGGGAACCGTTTAAACAAAAATAACGAAAGACATACAAGACCTATATTCTAACAAGTCCATGAGGGTTATTTGTCATTTAACCGAGACCCAATATTTGTTATTTGTCATGCTAAACAATGCTTCCTAACCAAATTATAGAAATATAATCATCTTCAGAAGCAACAAGTAAAGAGAGAGTAAAAAATAGGAACCAGTAAAATAATAAGCCAATTCTATCTCTTCAGGCTCTTTTGTTGCTTACTACATGTCATCTGTGACTGGGTAAATGTTTTTGGTTTGAAGCAGTCAATTTATTGATTTATCATCTTCATTTTAATACTAAATTATTAAGCATAAAAACAAGTATAGGGTTATGAGATTCTGTCAAAAACAATTTATCAAATCTGAAAAGGATGCTGCTTTCTAACATTTCAAAACATGATTGAAACACTAACATGAAAAAAACCACTAAAATGCAAACAGGCGAATACAGAAATGCATTAAGAATTTTTTTTCCCTAAAATGAAAAAACCACTAACATATTTTAATTGCTTAAAGGAAAAAACTGGTGTTCAAACGTACCAGTGAAATTTTATGAGGATCTCAAATAGATAACCTGCTTCAAAAATTAATCCTCATGCAAATTTCATTATTTAAAAAAACATATACATGCAGGATTCTTTAGTGCCTTCTGGGTAGCATACATGAATTTGTATCTAAAAGATCATAAAGCCATTAAGACTCACAGCAAGTCCACACTTTCAATGAGTAAATGCATCAATTCAAACACTTCGTAATCAGTGATTCAGTGACACTTCAAATAATTGCAATAAATTACCCTTTCACAGTCTTCAATACACGTTCATTCTCAGAAAGATTACCCCTTCTAGCTGACCATGGCACCTCAGCCTTGACTAGAGCTGGAGCAGGACCTCCCTGGTTTTCAAAATAATCCAAAGATGAATAGAGAAACAAAGAATATCACTACTGTGTAAACAAAGAGTTCGAGAGTAAGCATTATAAAATCTCCAAGACCAAAAGGCAGGTTTTTACCAAAAGCCAATCCATATGCCCGGGGACAGAATTTCGAACCAAATTATTTTAATGATAATAAAAATAATGACAGAACCACAACAATGCAATCAAGATAATATACATTTACACATTTTATAATATAACTTAAGCAGGGTTTCCAGCACAGTGATATCTTTTAATGCCAAAAAATAATCATTATTTAGGAGGCAGGAAAAATTAGAGAAAATTAAAAGACCACGCTTTGATAGAATCCTTTTGCAGCACTCTAAGATGAACTTATATTCACATGCATTTTATTAAGATGAAATAGTTTTGACATTTCATAATGTGTATTAGAAATGGTTACCACAGTATATTAAAGTCTAAATTCAGCTATTTGTGTTTCAGCATGCCACAACTTTTTTGCAAAATGGCATTCAAATAACTAGAGCAAGACCCAAACAAATGGAGGGACAAGACACATTGGATGACTTCATGAGAGGAGAGGAACTTCCAAATTCTTGTCATTGATATAGATATCATCATGGAACTGAGTTTTTATTTGGTAAATTATATTACTTTACTCACAGGTGCATAAACAGCAGTTTCAGAAAACTATACCAGAACCAATAATAGAGCAAAAATACACACCAATAAAATAGATTGTACAAATTACCGATTGATTGGAAGAAATCTGAGATCTTGCAAATTGGGAGTTGAGTTGGTCCTGACGACTAAATTGATTTGCTTCCTGCTGTCTGGAGTCATATCGACCAACCAAGTCTCTGTTTTCTCGAAGAGAATCCCAGGACCTCTCCTCTCCTGGCGAAGAAAATTGCGGAGTACGACCACGCCAATCACGATTGTCTGGCTCTGAATAACGACTCTGAGGCTGAACTGGTGGCTGCATGAAGCAAAATAAAATCATTTTTCAAAAAGCCGAATAACTTAAATGCAAGCAGAAAATTCATCACTTAATCATATTTGACCATTTTAGTTACAAGCAGTCCAGCCATAACAGAGCATTTGTTACCATTTGGTATTTGGAAGGTAACTAGCTGTCTGACTAAATTAAACAATTTTAAAAATCCACCACCCTTTCCTTCTGACAAAGGGACAAAATATAAAGCTATATATAGACAAGAAATCAAATCAAGATAGAAGAAGAATTTACATTGCTTTCTCCACGACTCCAGCTTTGATCTTCACCAAAAAGCTCAGCTTCAAATTCCCGTTTGATTTTTAAAATCTCATCAGAGATGATAACAGCCTATGAGAAAATTAAAAAGCCACAATCAGGCAGTGAGGATATACATGAAGTGCATAACTGAAAAGATTCCCCAATAAAAATACTATTTCCAGCTTATATGCTCCACATTCAATCCAAGATCATAATCTGACTTGATCATGTATGCAACTAAATCTCAAGGAGATGCAAAATACACTAACTATGAAATGAAAATTTTTAGGGGGAAGGAAGGAACATTCTGTTCTGAACAGAGAAAAAAAGTCTAATTCATTCATCATGGTGTTGACTTTTGGTGCTGTGTCACCACAATTGAAATCAGTCTAAATGAGCCATCAAACACAATTTTAAACTAAGAAGTTACATTTACCAAGCCTTATGATATCTCAAGCATAAATTTAGAAGAATTACCTCTCTGAGCTGCAGCAATTGGTCCCTTGTGTACCGCACTCGCTCACGAACCTCAAACCGTGAGTCTCCAGTCTAACAACAAATCAAACAGTTGGGAAAGTCAGGCACTTCAACAATCAACTACCATGTTATAAAGACAACAAATGAAAACCAAACAGTGAATGAAATCCACTGAAATAAAGCCACATAGCTTGCACAAAACTAAGGTGGATTATTACAATAGGTGACACAAATCATATACTCATTTTATAACTAATGTCATCATCACATAAAATAACTTCTCTTATCCATTAGCATTACTTAAATAAAAGTAAAAGAAACATTCAAGAAACATGCACATAATAGCAAGCCAACAGGAAATTACATAGCCTCTAGATATACTTAAGATGAATAATTAAATTCAAGAATTAGATATACATTTGGATGAATAATAATATCTAATTGTTGTAGAACACAGGCAAAACATCATCTTCCATTAGCATCCATTCACAGTCCACATAAAATTAAATGTTAGTAGGTCCTTTATGGGCAAGCTGAAACTCAGTACAGGCCCACCTAAAGCCTACATATTAGTTTTCGTCCATATTTACAGCAGGTACACATATTAAGTGGCCCACCAAGAATTAGGACGCTTGAACAAGCTTCGGCTTTAGACCTTCTAAATGTAGGAAATTAAAAAGGCCATAAGTTAGTTGCACCAATCCAATCCAATTATGAGCAGTATCCAAAATATAGAACAATACGAGAAACAGCAACGCAGAAAAATGAAAAACTTTTCAAAAATAGCTTAATCTACTGCTCCTTTTTCAACATCTATCTGAAACACCAGCTTCTGGGAGCAAGAATTGCAAGAATCTCAAAACCAATCACAAAATACAGCCTGACAAAAAGTAGGTTCTAAGTTTATTGGCTTGTAGCAACTACCAAAACATCCGTAGCAGTGAAGCAAAAATTCATAAATAAAAAGCTCGCACATGTAATAAAATCATCGACATAACCAATCCCAGATCCAATATATTTCAAAACCCAAATCACAAACAGGCACCTTTCCAAATAACAATACCAACAACAAAATCATAAAAATACACTGCAAATAATCAGAACAATAATATCTATAAGCTCCAATAACTCCAGATCCAAATAGAGATAACGATTTTAAAATAATAACAATCAATAAACGGAGAAAGAATCAACCTTTAAAGCAGCACCGCCATGAGGACGCAAGAGAGGAAGATCACCAAAAGCGATGGAGGAAGAAGAAAGTGCGGAAGAAGATGAATTATTAGATGAGGATGACTCCAAGCGTGGATTGAAGAGTCTATTCCCTCGACCACCACCAGGTCTCAAGCTCAACACCGTCTGATCAGCCTGCTGCATACCTCGATCTTTCACTCTCAGATATAATCACCACCGTGCAATCAAAAAAGCAAAGAAAACCAAAAAAATTCCTAGATTCAGCTATAACAAGACAAGCTGAATCGAGATAACGCCTTCTTTTCTTTTATATATAAAAGGAAAGAGCTACAAATCTATATATATAAACAAGGTAGTATATATATTGATAAAAGATAAAAGAAAGGATGGATTTTGAAATAAGGGTTTGGTGGGGATGGGGGCTTTCGTTGTTTTTCTCTCTCTTCTGCAGAGACAGAGAAGAGAAGAGAAAGAGAGTATGTGAGGTGTGGGGGCAGAGGAATACAAACCCTACTTTAGGTTAGAGAGCTCGTTTTTTTTATTTTATTAAAAATTAAAATTAAAACTATTTTCATTTATATCTTCCTTTTTTTGGTTTTTTTTTTTAATTTTCAGGATTTTATCTTTTCCCATTGTGCGTTGGAGTGCTTTCTAATTACGTTGCTCTCCTTGGCTGTTGAGGATTTCAGTTACTGTCTATTTACAGCTGTACCCTCCTACTTGTGTATTAACTATTCTGCTGTTAATTAATTTCGTTGGGTTTATAGACTAATTCTTTTTTTTTTTTCTTTCAGTATTTTGATATCCAAATTCTATTTTGATTTTAATTTTTCATATCAAACACTATTAGCTGTTGGATTTCCTTTTTCCTACCTTAATTAGGTACCATACATCAATAATTCAATTCAATTCGGTTTCACCAAATCTAAAATGACAGGTTAAAAATAAAATAAATTACTTAAGTTAGATTAAATATTTTTAAGAATTTATGAATTATATTTAATTATAAATTCAATAAGTAAAATTGTATAGGGATCCAATTCATGAATTGATAATAACCCTACTTTTGATTTTATGTATTATTTTGTTAATATTTTACATTATATTTGTAACAATTCAAGTAATTTAGGATTTCCTAAATACTATATAATTATAAAATATAAATAAAAAAATAAAAACTTGGTACATTTTCATTACTGGTCTTTTTTTTTCCAATCATTTAAATCTCTAACTTTCATGCACTGGTTTATAAAATCCATATATAATGCTGGATGATCAGGAATTTATTTTTTTTATTTTTAATTCTGCTTTGTGTAAATTATTTTAAAGCATATAATATTATTTTCAAATGAATTCCATTTATAAGCAAATCTTTCGTGATAAGTTAAAATATAAAATTTAATTGAATTTCACGTCATTTATACTTTGCATCGTTATGTCATCTAAAAAGGGTTGGATTTCTGATTAATATTAAAAATTAATTGTTAATACCCTTATAAATCAATCAATATATGTTATAGAAAATAAATTTTCTCCTGAAATTGCCACGTGTGACTCTAAAATATTATGTTGTCACATAGGATTTCAGTTTAGTATTTCATCATAATATAAAAATAATCCCTGTTCTTGTCACGTATGAATCCAAAACAATAAAACTTTTAGTTATGATAAGTATTTTATTAATTATTACACGGTGTACTTTTTTATTAATAATAATTTTTATTTATTTTACGGAAAACAATGATAATAAAATTAATAGCAACAAAAATTTTTTTCAAAGTAATGACTTAGTTTATGTCTTCGAGTGATCGACAATCAACATTTTAATGATTGATAAGTCACATTATTATTTATCATATAGGATTTCAAAATAATAATTTAGGTTTATATTTATTTGAAATAAATTGAATTTTATGGTTATTTATTTATTGAATAAAAAGTGTGTTAAATAAATAAATTATTTATTTATTTATCATTTTAATCGATTAACTATAACATTAGAAATGCCAATTTATATAGCTTTTAATAAATAAATTATTTAATTAATATACTTTAATGATATGACTATTATTTTTAATTCATAAATTTTAATATATAGGCAGTTATTATTTACATTAATTTCAAAAAAAATCTTTAAAAAATATATTAAATTTATTAATTGTTGACTTACCTAATTAGATTTGTAAAAATATAATTGATAAATTATAACGTTAGATAACTAATAACATATTAAATAACAATTTATGTAGTTTTAAATAATTTTAATTTGATTATTGAGGATTGTAAATTGATTTCAACCATCATTCGATTATTTCAGTTAGTCAATTAGATGAATTAGGAGATAAGAAAATATTGAGGCTCATAATTTAGCTAGAGACTTTTTTGCTCATGCTGATCTCCAAGTTTGGAGTTCCATCCCTACTTATTTGTAATTTATTTACTTTGATTTATGAAATTTCACATTTCCCTTCAGAAAAATGATTAAATTACTTCTTCAAATTTTAATAATGAATGGCGGCGCTTATTGTTTTGAATTATTTATAAAATAAATTAAATTAAGAAATTTTACTCATGACTATTTATTTCACTTTTTTTTTTCTAATTTCATTTTTATAAATTCTACCATTTTTAATTCACACTCTTCAATACCTATCTATAATTGATTCATGCAAATATTCTTTTAATTTTTTTTGGATTGAATCTTTGATTTTTGTATAAATTGTCAATTGAATCTAAACATATTTTACTATTTAATTCATTTGTTATGGGTAAAAAATTTTCTTTTTTTTTTTCAGAAAATAGTTATTGTATACTACAACCCAATAACCATACCCAAACGCAAAAAATAAGACAAAAGGGCAACCAAGTACTTTCAACTCCAGTCTCCAGCTTGTCACTTTCGTAATCAAAGTTAAGGGAATATTCAAGGACAATATTGACACTTAGGAAAGCAAGATATATTTTTAAAAAAAGAAAAACAAGATAAAATTAACTTCCCAATTTCCCAGCCAAAATTCGTCATTAAGTAGAATATTTCCGAACGTTACCGTTTCACGAGTTGAAAAAAACGACGGCGTTTTTGTACGATTGTCAGTCGCACTCGCGCTTACCCTAACTTTTTTAACTGATTACCTGTTACCGGCTGCTGGCCCCACATTCAGTCACTTAACCTCGCCTAGGTTCAATGCAGTCATGATGCTTTATCTTTCACGACCTCATGTCAAAGCAACAGCTAGCTATTTGCTAGTAGGCCTAACTTATACGTGGCGGTTAGTCTATTTTGTGTGAGGCTTTGGTCGCTTAAAGCGTGTCCGGCATTAATGTGGACTGTAATTAATATGTCATGTGAGAAATAACATGTGAATGATAATATTATTCAAAATTTCTAAATAATCACTCTAATGTAATAAATTTTTTCGTTGTTTAACATACTTTTTAAAAATAAAAGGTGTGATAGATAATATTTATATATTTATTTGACAGTTCAACTTGACATAGCAAATAAATATTAACATAAGAGAATGTTTTTTAAAAATTATTTTCTACTTTTTTTCTGATTTGTCAATTAAATAAGAGCAATATATATTAACATTGAAGATGCTTTTGATGCTACATGCATAATAAGACTAAAATTCGATTTTTTCGGTTCAAATCAAACATAGATTAATTTTATAACAGAAACCAAATTGAATTAAATTGGATTAATTCAATTCAGTTAGGTTGGTTTTTTTTTTCAATATTCTAAAACATCGAACCAAAAAAATTCGGTTATTGTATTATTAACAGGTATAAAATTGATATGAATGAATTGAGTTTGATTTTCGGTTTTTTTAATATTTTCCACCACAAGGTAAAACATTAGAAAGAAAGAAAGTAAAAGATGAAATGTTAGATTAGGTATGCCTATGGGTTACCACTTTCCACACGTCATTATTATTTTGGCTGTTTGTGAAGGATTTTGTCTGTTGCGGATTTGGGTTTCACTTTCACTTTATCGCTCATTCGTCTGGGTTTAACCTTAAGAGTAACTTTAAGGACAGTTAATGGCGATAGGCAGTGAATTTTATTTCCATTTTTACCTTCACTTAGATTTTGGAACTTGTGGATTCGTGTCACGTTAGGGAACAATTCTTATATGTTTGCTGGCCAAAAATCATAAATTTCATTTTGAATCTCCGTTTCACCGTGATTCTCTAAATTTTGTATGAATTTAATTTCCATATTTCAATAATAACTATATTATTCGCTAAAATGAACTAATTTACAGAAATGTAATTATGATTTTACATTTTCATATTTTATTTTCGCGAGGAATATAATTATTACTAAAATGTGAAAATATAAATTATGATAGATTCTCGCAAAATTTAAACAATCACAAAATAATCGTAGAGAGTATACGATGCAAATGTAGGCAAAAATTTTTGTTATTCATCACGATTAAAATTATTTTACATTTAAAATATACATTCTTCATATCCAATATGTAGACATGATGCTTTAATTTATCTCGTGGTAAAAAAATAAAATATTTTTTAAAGCTAGCTCAACATCGCCTTAATTAAAAGACCGTGTGATTGTCACTTCAATCACAGAAGCAATATATTGATAGTGGTGAAATTAATTCACTTAAATACTTTTAACATGTCAAAATAATTATACTAATAAAATAACATATCTACGATTGTTTTTTTTTTTTTTTAATGAGGAGAGTGGAGTTTGAACTTAAATCATTCTTGCAAATGGCAATATGGCATAAGTAATTTACTGTTGGCTAAAGCACATTCCCCACATATTTATGAAAAATGACTTGTTGTTTTTATTTAATTAATAACAATAGAAAAAAATTACAGTGGATCCTTATAGTTTGTAAAATAGAATTAGTTCGGACATGTTTTTTTCTCTAAATATACTAATTTGTTTTTATATTTAGCTTCTGTTATACTATTAGGTCATTCTGTCTAATTTTTGTATATTTTCCGTTAAACCAATAAAAGAACACAAAAGTCAAAAGATAAATGTTAAAATAGTACAATCACTATAGTATGAAAAATACAACTAATTCGTCCCTCTGTTTGTAAAAATAAATGGGATATTTTCGTTATTTCATAAGATACTGAACAGAAAATATACAAAAATTGGACAAAAATACGTTATAGTATGACAGAAGTAAATTATAAGAATATTTTAGTCTATTTCTTAAAAAACGGAACGGAGGCGAACTATTTATATTTCACGAACCATAGAAATCGTAATGTAATTTTTCCATAATAATATGGCTTAATAAATTAAAATCAAAATAAGTAGGTTTAGTTGTAAGAAAGACACTTATGCATCGTTGCGATGAAGCATTTTCGTAATATTGAAAATAATATTTTTAAACTTTATAGATTGATATGGGATGAGTGAGTGTTTAAAATTGTTTGGTGAGAAAACTTGAGTTCGTTACATAGAAGTCGATCTATGTAGAATCACTCTATATTGTTTTCAATGAGTTTAGAAAATAAGCAAAATATGTTAGCATTCAATTCAATCAAATCAAATAAATAAAATCACCCCATTTAATTCGATTTTGTAAGCTCAAACTCATTAAAAATGATTAAAAACTGAATTAAATTTGTCGATTTAGATTAATCAATTCGATTTAATTTTTGTTTCAAAATATTTGGTTTGCTTTGATTTACTTCAATTTGAACTAAACCAAGCAAATGTTTTGAAAATATTCACAAACAATAAGTTTAGGTAAAAATAGAATTGATTTTCGGGTCAATTGAAATTTGAAATTCACAAATTTACGCGATCAAATCGCTTTACAGTGAGCTCAAATTGACAAATGCCTTATATAGATACTTCCATGAGTAAAGAAGTTAAGCATGCAAGGCTAACCTGGTGGTGGTTTATTTGGTTATCTCACTTATACGAGAAGTGAGGAGTTTTGAGTACGGAGTGTTATTTTGGACATAAAGATCTTAATGACTTCAAAAAAAAAAAAAAAAAAAAAATCTTCATATAAGATACTGTCATGAGTAAGAGAAGGTTAAGCATGCAAGGGCTAACCTGGTCGGTGGTTTATTTGGGTTTCGCTCACTTTATGAGAGAAGTGAGGAGTTTTTGAGTAACGGGAGTTTGTTATTTTGGACATAAAAGTCTTTAATGACTTCAAAAAAAAAAAAAAAAGTTAAGGCATGGACCTAAAGAATACAGCATACGTTTTTTGAGAACGTGAGAAAAAAAAAAAAAAAAAAAAGTTAAGCATGGACCTAAAAATACAATACCTTTTTGAGAACTGAGTTGGGCAGGCTTGCAGGCTGCCCGGGCCGAATCCACCTTAGCCGGATCACATGAGGCCGTAAATAGATCTAAAATTCTAAATATAGTGCCGATTAGAAATGGAAGCACAAAATATTCTTACAAGTATCTTTGACCTTCTTTTCAAAAAAAAAAAAAAAGTATCTTTGACCTTTGAAACGCCACGTGTACTCAATTAGCTCCTTTAACTGACACCTCACCTCCCTTCCCACCAGCTGGTTTTTGTCTGCCGCCGCATTGAGAAACGTTTCCAAAACAGTCCCGCCGTTTGACGTTCTCATCAAAACTGACCAAAAAGTCACTGATTTCTCTTTACATGTACGATGTACAAACCTCTGAACTTTTAAGCAAGTGAATTTTATAATCATTTCTTTCAGATAAAATCAATAATAATAATAATAATTACTATACTTAATAATTTTATCTTAAAACACTAAACATTAGTTTTATAAACTTAATTTAATGTTCGTTATATAAGAAATAGAGAATAAACTGATATTATCATTTGACGATTAGTAATATTTTTCTTTTTAAAAAAAATTATGAAATTTTGTAAGTACTTCTAAAAAAGATAAAATTTATATGAAAGCCTACTTATAAATCATAAATAATTTTTAATTATAATGAACATATTTTTGATCTAAAAAAATGATAAGGCAACAATAATTTTTAAAATATTTTTATTTTATTTGGATGTATGGGTAGTCCGTAAAATATATTTAAAAAAAAAATGAACGAAAATAGAGATGAGTATTTGATTAACCAAATTCAATTACGCGGTTTTAATATTTTGAATATATATTTTTTATGATATTTAAATTTAAAATCAAATAGTATAGTAATCAATGGAAATTGAATTAAATCGGTTTGATTTAATTAAATTTTAATTATTTAAATTAAATTAGCATTTAAAATAAATTTGGTAACCATACGTTCATAACCGAATCAAGAACTAATAACCAAACATATAGTTTTATAACTAACCAATCGTTAACCAAATTTCTAAAATATTTGAATCCGACCAAATCAGTTGATTTGATTCCGTTAGAAACGCGAATTGGTCACCGCTAAATGAAACAAACTATGGAGATCAGTAACTCTCCGGAACAGTCTAGCTAACTCTCACATCTTCCATTGTATGTCTGAGCGCTGGAGTTTCCTGTTTCTCTATAAAACGTAAGTCTCTGCTATTTTCTTTTATCCGACACGACCAAAGCTAATTATCTCAAACAAGCTGTCTACTTTCCATTTCAAGCTTTTCAACAATGTCAGTCAATACTGAGAAAGCCATAGGGATCGACTTAGGCACCACCTACAGCTGTGTAGGCGCTTGGCTAAACGACCGCGTTGAGATCATCGCTAACGACCAAGGCAACCGCACTACACCTTCTTATGTTGCCTTCACAGACACCGAACGCTTAATCGGCGATGCAGCAAAAAACCAAGTCGCCATGAATCCAGAAAACACAGTCTTCGATGCTAAACGACTGATCGGTCGTCGTTTCTCTGACGCTTCTGTTCAAAACGACATGAAGCTCTGGCCTTTTAAGGTGATCCCAGGACCTGGTGATAAGCCGATGATTGTCGTTCGTTATAAAGGAGAAGAAAAGCAGTTTTCTCCAGAGGAGATATCGTCTATGGTGTTAATCAAAATGAAAGAAATAGCAGAGGCGTTTCTGGGTCACAGTATAAAGAATGCGGTGGTTACTGTTCCTGCTTATTTTAATGACTCGCAAAGGCAGGCGACGAAAGACGCTGGTGCTATTTCTGGCCTTAATGTTTTGAGGATTATCAACGAGCCAACTGCTGCTGCTATTGCTTATGGTATTGACAAGAAGGCATCAAGAAAAGGCGAACAGAATATTCTTATCTTTGATCTTGGCGGGGAACTTTTGATGTTTCTTTGTTAACAATAGAAGAAGGGATTTTCGAAGTGAAAGCTACGGCCGGTGATACTCATTTAGGTGGTGAAGATTTTGACAATAGGTTGGTTCACCATTTTGTATCAGAATTTAGGAGGAAACACAAGAAAGATATTAGTGGAAATTCCCGAGCATTAAGACGATTAAGAACTGCTTGTGAAAGGGCAAAACGAACATTATCATCAACTACACAAACAACAATAGAGATTGATTCTTTGTATGAAGGTACTGATTTCTATTCTACGATAACTCGTGCGAGATTCGAAGAATTAAATATGGATTTATTTAGAAAATGCATGGAAACAGTTGAGAAATGCATTCTTGATGCCAAGATTGATAAAAGACAAGTTCATGAAGTAGTTCTGGTAGGTGGGTCGACAAGAATTCCAAAAGTTCAACAGATGTTATCTGATTTTTTCAATGGGAAAGAGCTCTGTAAAAGCATTAATCCTGATGAGGCTGTTGCTTATGGTGCTGCTGTTCAAGCTGCGATACTTACAGGCGAAGGAAGTGAAAAAGTGCAAGATTTACTCTTGCTTGACGTAACACCTTTGAGTCTTGGGCTTGAAACCGCTGGTGGCGTTATGACTACTTTAATTCCAAGAAACACGACAATCCCGACCAAGAAAGAGCAGATTTTCTCTACTTATTCTGATAATCAACCTGGAGTTTTAATTCAAGTTTATGAAGGCGAACGAGCAAGAACAAGAGATAATAATCTTCTTGGGAAATTTGAACTTACTGGAATCCCTCCAGCTCCAAGAGGTGTGCCTCAGATAAATGTGACATTTGATATTGATGCAAATGGGATTTTGAATGTTACTGCAGAAGATAAGACTGCAGGAGTAAAGAACAAGATTACGATTACGAATGATAAAGGGAGGTTGAGCAAGGAAGAGATAGAGAGAATGGTGCAAGATGCAGAGAAATATAAAGCAGAAGATGAGGAAGTGAAGAAGAAAGTAGATGCAAAGAATAATTTGGAAAATTACGCCTACAATATGCGAAACACTATCAAGGATGAAAAATTTTCAGGGAAATTAGATCCACAAGATAAGGAGAAGATAGAAAGGGCAATTGATGAGGCATTGGAGTGGCTTGATAGGAATCAATTGGCTGAGGTTGATGAACTTGAAGACAAGTTAAAGGAACTTGAAGGGTTGTGTAATCCTATAATTTCAAAGATGTATCAGGGTGGTGGTGGTGGTGGTGGTGGTGGTGGTGGTGGTGATGCTCATATGGGTGGCGATATGCCTGGGGGTGGGACTAGCGGGTCTAATTATGGAGATGGGCCAAAGATTGAGGAAGTCGACTGAAATTGAAGTAGCAAGTAGAAAGTCTTGTGGGGTGGTTCTTTTGGTTTGTTTTAGTTTATGTTTTTCTGGGTAGATTTGTAGTCTTGTGCGACAATAGTGTTCTTTTCCCTTCTTTTTCTTTCCATTTTTGTTGGTCTTTGGCCTTTAATTGCTTCTGTTTCAGTAGCATACTGGCATTGTATATATGTATATATACTAGGAAGATAAAAGATAGTTCCGTTAAATAGCAGTTTGTTTTTTTATGATTTAGCAATTACTCTAAAACGTAAATAAAAAATATGAATGAAATAGAAAGTGTTTACTAATACCAGTTAGAATTAAGAAATTAAACACAAAAGAAGCTAACATTTGATTGGACAGCAGCAAACACTATCCTTACAAGATTAATTAGTCCAAACTCTTCGATGTATAACCAATAAGATGTAAGGTGTTTTAGTGTAATGGCGGAAGCTGATGCTTTTAAATTTCGGGTCCAATCTCTATCCTTTTCTTGAATGGGAATTTATAGACTGTTGTTTAACTCGTAGCGGTTTATACAATTGTTTAAATAATAATAAAAAAAAGAATTCAGTTATTTATTTAATTGAATTCAAACAAAAGAAATAATAAATATTGATTGTCAAAAAAAAAAAATTAAAAGCTAAATGATAGAGTGTGATAAAAAGCTCTCTCATCATTTAAAAGTTATTGTAAAAACTATATTACCCAATAGAGCCCCTATCTCCAAAGAAAAATAAGAATTTGCAAATTTTTAAGTACCAGAAAATAAAACAAAATGGTATTATTATTAATTAATATAGTGGCAAAAATTTATTCATTTTATTGCTTTATGGGCTAAGTCCAGATTTAAGCCAGTCCTAGGCCCGGCCCAAATTTCCTCAACCCAACACAGAAAAACAAAATTAAATAAAAATAAAATTTTCGGATAAGAATTTCTCTCTCCTAAGTCCTGAGCTTATCAGCCGAATTGCCACTCGACTTTCACTCTACCACCAGAGCTAATGGCTGGGATCACCAGCACCAGCAGCTTCTTTATCCTAACCCCGACAACAAGCAGAACGACGCCGTCTTTACTCTCTCTGTCCTCTCTCGAATCCAAGCTCTTCGGCCTCCGATTGCCTGGCTCCAATCTCTCCAAACCCGACTCTTCCATCGCTTTATCGTACGCCTTCTCCATCTCTGAAGTCACTGCCCGTTACGGTGGGTCCCGTTCCGGTTTTGATTCCCGCCGATCGAGGAAGAGTGATTCTGATGATGAGCAGGCTCTTGATATGTCTATTATTAGGTAATTGTTAGTTTGTTGCATAGTTTGTGCGATTGGAAGTTTGAATTAAATTTGTAAATGTGGTTATATTGTAGGTCAGCTAGTGTGAGGCTCATTGATGAGCAGCAAAATATGGTTAGTATTGGCTCTATCTTCTTTTTTTGTAACGTTGGAAAGGGAATTTTGTCAAAAAATTGAAGCTTTCTGGAAGTGCTTTTGCTGTGGAATAATGGGATGTGAACATTTACTGTATTTAATAACCAAGTTGGTAATGAGGTTGCCTGTGCTTATGTAGGTGGGAGTGGTGCCTAAAACTCAGGCAATTCAAATGGCTGAAGATGCTGAACTTGATTTGGTATGTATTCTTGGTTAGTTTCAGTTAGTTTACTTAGATTTGTTTGAGTTAGGTTATGGTTCCTTAAGGTGCTTAGAGTGGTTAGTATGTATTCCTCTTTATATCAACTAATCTATCCAAACATTTTGCTTAGTAGTATACGTTTTAGTTCATTCATCATTGTTGCTTTAGTACCATACTTTGCTAGTTTCATTTGAATTCGTAATTATATGGTAGCTGTATATCATAAGGTGACAATTAGAATTGCACTTTTTCCATATGATTATGGATGGCGGCATGTAGTATGAATATGTTTGGGTGTGGCTAATGAACTGTTTTTTAGAACTTGAATTTGTGGGTGAGAGCTCATAAACTTGGGATTTTTACGGTTGGATATCAGAGTTTAAGGGCCTAGATAATTGAATCTTGTTATTATTTTTAAGAACCAGTCTCCTGAGTAATTGGATATGGCATGGCTGCAATTGGTGCTGCAGCTTATATTTACAACTGTGTTCGAGGGAAACAGAAATTTGTTTACTTTCTTTAAAACCTTTTAACTTTTAACCTTCTGATGTTTGAGCATTTTATTCTTTTATCTTTGTAGGTGATATTATCCCCAGAAGCGGATCCTCCAGTTGTCAGAATAATGGATTACAAGTAAGATATTTTCTGAACCTTTCTTTTACACATAAAATCAAATGTGTCCTTGTAGCATGGAAGACCATTGCAGCTGATAATGCTTTTTTCTTGTAATTGGGTAGCATTTCCAGATGAGTGCATGGTTCAATTGCAGGTTTTAGTGCTTAAATATCATTTCAAGTTATACAGATCAACGAATATTTATGGGAGAATCTCTGTAGTTACTGGATAGGTACTAGATATAATGGGCTGGACCTGGACCCTTGTAGTTGGCCAATGAACCAATGGGTCAGGCCTGGACCCCCTGTAGTGGCCAATGAACCAACAGGGCAGGCCCTGGTTGGCCAATGAACCTACAAAAGGGGCCAAATCAGTCGATATGAAAGTGTGGATTGGACAGGTTTATGCATAATGATGAAAAAGATTTGATGAAGGACATAATCGATATGAGCGTGTGCATCAAATGGACACTCTCATAATTTGGAAAGTGGGCGAGATGGTTCAACCGGATAAATTATTATATGCCCCATTTTTGCTAATTATGACTGTTGGCCTTTTCCATTTTTTTGTATCTTCTTCTAAACATGAACTGCAAAAATTTTGCTTAAGCTATCTTTGAATTTCTTTTTAGTTGGAAGTCTTAAAATGAAATTGTGTACCCATTTGTATGCTTATCAACATATTGTGAAGCTATTATTTTTCATTTACTGTTCTCTTCATTAAGTTCGCTGAAACATAAAATATTAATATGCAAGAGCAAAGTGAGAAGGGATGGAAATGATTTAGTGCAGCAAGAGGGAGTTGAGCCACCTATGTAGCTATATGAATGTCCTTTCTAGTTAAATTTTATATTTTTAATTGTCTGCCTTGTGAACTTTTCTAAATGGAATGTGCAATAATACTTGCGATATGTCTTTTTCAGCAAATATAGGTATGAACTGCAAAAGAAGAAGAAAGGACAGCAGAAGAAAAGTGCTGGTGAATGTCTAATTTGTTGTTGAGCTTGATGCATTTCTTATTCATGTTAAGTCTCTGTTATAAGAATAAATACTGACCAAATTGTGCTCCTAAATGACAGCAACTCGCATGGATCTAAAGGAACTTAAAATGGGGTAAGGAACAGAGTTTTCGATTGATGATATACTAATTTATTCACAATCTCACTTGTAATTCCTCAGCTTGTGTCTTTCTCTCTAAGAATCTAACTTTTGTTAGCTCATCTGTAAGATTTGCCATTCATAGCTACAAACTTGACATCCTGGTCATATATAATCTTTTCAAGTGGATGTTTCTTACATTGGTTAATGGGGTTAGTTTTTCTAGATTTATTTCTATATTCACTGAAAGAATGTCAAATTTTCTTGTTTAATTCTGTCAACAGTTACAACATTGATCAACATGATTATGATGTACGTCTGAGAGCTGCTCAGAAGTTTTTAAAAGATGGTGACAAGGTTGTTCTATAGTACCTTTATTAATATTAGCATATGATCACATACTCAAATTCCAAATGCAAGATGGCTGTCAATTGATTTATTTTATTTATTCCTTCCAGGTTAAGGTCATAGTGAACTTGAAAGGCCGTGAAAATGATTTCAGAAATATTGCTATTGAGCTTATCAGACGTTTCCAGAATGATATTGGGGAGGTACCATTCATACTTGTGTATGATTGAGAGATCGTAACCTATTTTAAACTATTTGATGCCTTGATACTTGTTAGAAGTTAGAACCAAAAATAAAAAAAATTTCTCTCCAGAGGTTTCTCATTTGCACTGGAATGGGTCTATTCATATCAGGCTGACCTAATTGAAATGGAAACCTGTGTAGATCCGTCTTGCTACAAGGCAGGCCATGGTTCCAGACTGAACAAGAACCAGAACTGCTGGTTCAGGCCAGTTCTTTCGACTGGATGGGCTGGCTTTCAAGGCCAAAATTCAAAATTTTCATTTTTTTGGAACCAGTTCCAAACCGGAACTAAACCCTCAGCTCCAACCTAGACATTTGATCCCATTTCCAGTTCTTTTTTTTATGGTTCCATCTGATTCGGCTCCAGACGTTTCCATTCCCAGTTCCAAACTGAAAATTGGCCAGGCTGTATGTATGGCTGTATATACAACCATACTTTGAAATGGTCTGAAATGCCTTACAGTGTAGGAGGTCAGGCATCAAACCCCTGGCAGCCTCTTCCCTTCAAGGCTTCCTGATGTACAAAAAGAAAAGACTGACCCTAACAGCAAATAAGTTCTTTGCCCGGACAATCTTAAACTGTCCACTATCAAGGATATTTTCTTTTTCCTTCATCTGTCTATTTTGATTATTTTGGCAATAAATTTTTGTTAAGTATCTTCTTTAGATTCTTCATTTCTGTATGTCTAACTTTCATTTGATGCGGCAATCTGTAGCTTGCAACCGAAGAAAGCAAAAACTTTAGAGACAGGAATATTTTCATTACTTTGGTACCAAATAAGGCTATTCTACAAAAATCGCAGGAGCCGCCAAAGAAAAGGGAAAAGTCAGCTACAAATGAAATATCAGCTGGCGTATGAGTTCAGTTGGAAGTTTCATGAGGGTTTTTAACTAAGGATTATTGGCAGGTACTCCATGTTTTATTTGGCAAATAGGTTTGGGATCTCAATTTTTGTATAGCTTAGTGTAATACATGTATAACAACATTCTTACCAAATTTTTACAACGGAATCAACCTTTTGTATTTTTAATAATTGTGAGATAAGCTAGGACCGGCCTTGATTTGTTTATTTATTTCTTTATGTTCCAAATATGAAGTGGTTCAAAGCATTTTGTTCTATGATATTAGGCTGAGTTTAGGGCTTATAGTGAATATATAAATGCAGTGATCCTATGAGCGTGGAACTCCAACAATAGAATTCTTTATTCTTCCAGGTTGATGCAACTAAATTTTTCCATTTTGTGGCTCGAACATAGCAACAATAGTCGTGGATGGATCAGGCCAATCATACAAGGGCAAGAATTCTCTAAACCATTTTTTGAAAGTTGTGAAGCTGCCTTCCTGAGGTTTCTGCATATGGTTTGTGTTGCTGAATACATTAAATCATCATATGGAGTTTCTAGTAATAGTTACACGACCGGAGATCAACGATGAGAATTTGTCTTGTGGATTATGGTTGTTTTTCTCCAATTCAAATGTTCAAGAGCAATACCCACTCTTGATTGGTATCTTTTTGAATTATTAAGTATATAGAACTATAGTTTTCTCATAAATTTTTAGTGGAGAAAGGGTGGAACTTTAATCTTAAACATTGTATGCTGTGAGACTACCAAGTAGTATTGTTGATTTAAAAACAAGTTTCTCTATTAAATTTTTTAACGTACCAAAATTGGGATATGGCAGGTTTGGTGTGGGCGCGGCATCTGATCTGATATGTAAATATAGTAGAGGGTGGTGGTGTATTTAAGTAGGAGAGCTTACTCTTTTCTAGATAGAGAGGCTTCAACTTACTCAACTAACGATTTTGCAGTTGGCTTAGACGCTAAGTTCTTGCAGCTCAAGCATTGCCCTTCACATGTTTTTTTTCAGGTTCCATAACCAGCTAACGGACACCTCAAGTTTTGAAAATTATGGATTTTTAACCCTAATTTAGTATACATGTATATTTTTCTTCAATGCAATCTTCTATTTATTATTATTATTATTATTATTATTATTTTTTTGTAGTGATGCCTTGAGTTTATTCAAGTGGATCCTAATTAACCAAAATGTGGTTGTAATGGAATCAAACTAAAACACAAAAAGGGTAAATCAAACCTTTTAGGTTTAACATTCATAAAAACATGAACCTAATTTTGTAAAAAAAAAAAACAAAATAAAGAAAAGATTACAATCAATGCATGTCTAAGTAAACATCTTAATGTGATTCAGAGGTGTTCAGCTCTTTTTATGGAGCTGCTAGCTACTTTGTACTTATCTTATATTTAATTTTACAAAAATAAATATTTTTTTTTTCAAATTAATACTTTTACGTATTTTTTATTTATAATTTAAAAATAATAACTACTATACATTATTATAAAAAATTTAATTAATATTTGTTATTTATATAACATACTATTAAAATAGAAAAATAAAATACATTCACTTTCAAATATATATATAAAATATGATACAAGATAATATATAAAAATAACTATATTCTTATCATTTTATATTTCAATATCAATCACTATGAACGCCAGTTATTAGTTACTGTAAGTAATTAATTCAATATAAATAATAACGGTTGCCAACAAATATTTCTTCTAACTAACTATGCTTAAATTATGACAACACTATAAGTCATAACCAACATAAAATATAAATAAATAAATAAATAAATAAAAGAGACCTCTTCAACCTTATTTATATTTATTTCCAATTACACACACGTACTTCTGTGAAAATTAAAAAGAGAGTACATTCAGTTTTTAGACATAAATTCCAAAAGAATGTATTTATCACAAGACAACCAAAAGGTGGCCGTTGAAAAAGAAGTATAAGGATACGAAGGTAGTTGAAAAATAGACGAAGCTTAGCTTTACGGCAATGGTGACTCTGCAACCAACAACAATACCACCATCCTCCTTACACATTAGGTGACAGATAATTCACATTCTATGCCCAGTAACCCTACCCTTTTCATTCATAAAAAAGAAACACTCTTTCACCAATCAACCTTAACACACATTTCTCTCTATTCTCTTTCCACTTCTCCTTCTCCATTGACCCATCATGGAAGCCAGTGCCGGACTTGTCGCCGGCTCTCACAACCGCAACGAGCTCGTCGTTATTCATGGCCATGAAGAGGTAAACAAGAAAGATTAGTTCTTTTTTTTTTTTTCCCTTTTTGTTAAGCAAGTTAATTATGCATGTGGGTTGTTTAGTTAAGTTGATATTGGGTTGGTTATATATATTTGCATGTGCAGCCAAAGCCATTGAAGAACTTGGATGGTCAAGTTTGTGAGATATGTGGTGATGAGATAGGGGTAACAGTGGATGGAGATTTGTTCGTTGCTTGCAATGAGTGTGGTTTTCCTGTGTGTAGGCCTTGTTATGAGTATGAAAGAAGAGAAGGGACTCAAGTTTGTCCCCAGTGCAAAACTAGATACAAGCGTCTCAAGGGTATATTTGGGATTATAAATATATGATACAGACAATACCATTTTTTATCATTTTTCTGCCATTGCACTACTAATAATATCTCAGAGAAATTACAGGAAGTTTATTCTGTTTTCTGTCACTAGTTTGATATTTTGGTACTAAGTACTTGTTTCTCTTAAAAATTTGTTTCTCTTTTTCCTCAAACAAAAACATTTTTCAGTTAGTTTATCAGTATCTGAAATGAGTTCAACACAGAAATATTAGCTTTTAGAATGAAATTTTCATGCATTTGGATTTTTGTTTATCGAGTGCTTGTCTAGTAACACATAAATAAAGATTCAAAATCTTGATTATATTTGTAAAATTTTAAAACATAAAATTTCCCCGCACAGGAAGCCCGAGAGTGGAGGGAGACGATGAGGAAGAGGATGTGGATGATATTGAGCATGAGTTCAACATTGAAGATGAGCAAGACAAGAACAAACATCTTACAGAAGCTATGCTTTATGGGAAGATGACTTACGGAAGAGGCCGTGACGATGAGGAAATGATCAATAGTCAATTCCCACCTGTTATCTCAGGCGGAGTTAGATCAAGACCAGTTATTAACCTAACTCTTAATTTCTTACTTATGATTTTTTTTTTCCCAAGTTTTAATATTTATTAAATGTATAAATGGATTTGCAAGCAGGTGAGTGGAGAGTTTCCTGTTGGTTCTCATGGAGAACAAATGTTAGCTTCTTCACTTCATAAAAGAGTGCATCCATATCCAGTTTCTGAGCCTGGTATAATAATATTATAACTATTGCTTGAAGTATAATTAAGGGTTAATTTTCTTATAATTCTCTAATTATTATTATTATTATTAGGAAGTGCAAGATGGGATGAAAAGAAAGAGGGAGGGTGGAAAGAGAGGATGGATGATTGGAAATTGCAGCAAGGGAACTTGGGACCTGAACCAGATGATGATCCAGATGCAGCCATGTGAGTATTGAATTACCCTATTGAAGCTAATTAGTGCTTAATTTGGGTGATGTTTGATAATATTTTTAAACAATTACTGGTTGCAGGTTAGATGAGACAAGGCAGCCATTGTCTAGGAAAGTACCAATTGCTTCAAGCAAGATCAATCCTTATAGAATGGTTATTGTGGCTCGTCTTATCATATTGGCATTGTTTCTTCGGTATAGACTTTTGAACCCTGTGCATGACGCAATTGGGCTCTGGCTGACATCAGTCATCTGTGAAATTTGGTTTGCAATTTCATGGATTCTTGATCAGTTCCCCAAGTGGCTCCCAATTGATCGCGAAACGTACCTTGATCGACTCTCTCTCAGGTTACAGGCTATTATAATCTATCTATAAAATGATTTACGTAACTGAAAATGTAACCTTTCAATTCTCATGGTGGTGAGTGCTGATTTTGCTGTGCAGATATGAGCGGGAAGGTGAGCCTAATTTGCTTGCTGCGGTGGATTTCTTCGTTAGTACTGTGGATCCTATGAAGGAACCTCCTCTTGTGACTGCAAATACAATTTTATCAATCTTAGCTGTGGACTACCCTGTAGAAAAGATTTCATGCTACCTATCTGATGATGGTGCTTCAATGTGCACCTTTGAAGCGATGTCCGAAACTGCTGAATTTGCTCGAAAATGGGTACCATTCTGCAAGAAATTTAACATAGAGCCTCGAGCCCCTGAATTTTACTTCGCTTTGAAGGTGGATTATCTCAAAGACAAAGTCCAGCCAACTTTTGTTAAAGAACGTAGAGCTATGAAGGTTTGTGATAAACCTCTCTAGATGGGCGTAGAAGAGCTTGCAGCTGTATTAGCCAATGAACTAAATGTTATGTATTTGTGTTTGTTTTTGGCAGAGAGAATATGAAGAATTTAAGGTTCGGATAAATGCAATTGTAGCAAAAGCACAAAAAGTTCCTCCAGAAGGATGGATCATGCAAGATGGGACTCCATGGCCTGGAAACAACACCAGGGATCATCCAGGTATGATTCAAGTGTTTCTAGGTCATAGTGGAGGTCATGATGTTGAAGGAAATGAGTTACCTCGCCTTGTTTATGTGTCCCGTGAGAAGAGGCCTGGTTTTGCACACCACAAGAAAGCTGGTGCCATGAATGCCCTGGTAATTCAATTTCACAAGACGAAGATTTCACTACATTTTGTATGATAAATATATAACTTCTTTCGGCAATTTACAGATTCGTGTCTCTGCGGTGCTTACAAATGCTCCTTTCATGCTGAACTTGGATTGTGATCACTATATCAATAACAGCAAGGCTGTCAGGGAAGCCATGTGTTTCTTGATGGACCCTCAAATTGGGAAGAAAGTTTGCTACGTACAATTTCCTCAAAGATTCGATGGTATCGATAGACACGATCGATATGCAAACAGAAACACAGTCTTCTTTGATGTAAGTCCATTCTTTATGTATATTATAATTTCTCTAACTTTATTCATATAAATATATAAATAAATTGTGCAAGAAGGAAATGTCAAATGATGTACCTTTGTTCTGCAGATTAACATGAAAGGTCTAGACGGAATTCAGGGCCCAGTGTATGTCGGGACAGGATGTGTTTTCAGAAGGCAAGCGTTGTATGGCTATGAACCTCCAAAGGGTCCCAAGCGCCCAAAGATGGTTAGCTGTGACTGCTGCCCATGCTTTGGACGTCGTAAAAAGAAGCAAGCTAAGAAAGGTGCCATTGGAGAAGGTGCAAACCTTGAAGGAATGGATGATGACAAGCAGCTATTAATGTCCCAGATGAATTTTGAGAAGAAATTTGGACAATCAGCAATTTTTGTTACTTCAACTTTAATGGAAGAAGGTGGTGTTCCTCCTTCCTCGAGTCCTGCAGCTCTGCTAAAAGAAGCCATTCATGTGATTAGTTGTGGCTATGAGGACAAAACTGAATGGGGAACTGAGGTATGATCAACAACCAAACTTCATAACTCTTTTCGGTTACAAATTTTTGATCTCTTAACTAATTTCGCTTTCCTCTGCAGTTGGGCTGGATTTATGGTTCAATTACCGAGGATATCCTTACAGGTTTCAAGATGCACTGTCGTGGCTGGAGGTCCATCTACTGCATGCCAAAGAGACCTGCATTTAAGGGTTCAGCTCCCATCAACTTGTCTGATCGGCTGAACCAAGTGCTTCGGTGGGCTCTTGGTTCTGTTGAGATCTTCTTTAGTCGCCACAGCCCTGTCTGGTATGGCTACAAAGAAGGAAAGCTCAAGTGGCTTGAGAGATTTGCATATGTTAATACAACTATCTATCCTTTCACCTCCTTGCCACTTCTTGCCTACTGTACTCTCCCTGCAGTCTGCTTGCTGACTGATAAATTTATCATGCCAGAGGTACATAAACTCTATTTTCTCCAATGAATAAAAGAAGGATAAATAGCACATGTATGTTTTGGAAGGCAAAAAAAGTTAAAATATTTTATTCATCAGCCTAAATTATTTAAAACACGAAATATATAAGTAAACTCAATGAAATCAAGGTAAATTGCATATTAGCATGAAATATATATTTTTTAACTTCTAAGATAATGGTTAACATATTCCGACTTGATATCCATCCAGATAAGCACCTTTGCAAGTCTCTTCTTCATTGCTTTGTTCATTTCAATCTTCTCAACGGGTATCCTTGAGCTCAGATGGAGCGGAGTAAGCATCGAAGAATGGTGGAGAAATGAGCAATTCTGGGTCATTGGCGGTATATCAGCTCACCTTTTTGCTGTTGTGCAAGGTCTTCTGAAGGTTTTAGCTGGTATTGATACCAACTTCACTGTCACATCCAAGGCAACTGATGATGAGGATTTCGGAGAACTTTATGCTTTTAAATGGACAACCCTCTTGATACCGCCAACTACCATCTTAATCATCAACCTTGTGGGAGTTGTTGCTGGAGTCTCAGATGCTATAAACAATGGATACCAATCGTGGGGGCCTCTATTTGGGAAGCTCTTCTTTTCCTTCTGGGTCATTGTTCATCTTTACCCATTCCTGAAAGGTCTAATGGGACGACAAAACAGGACTCCGACAATTGTTGTTATCTGGTCTGTCCTCTTAGCTTCAATCTTCTCCTTGCTTTGGGTTCGGATAGACCCATTTGTCATGAAAACCAAGGGACCTGACACCAAGCAATGTGGAATCAACTGCTAAGAAGTTCATATTTTTTTACTTCTTTGATGTGCACTTGGCTGGAAATACATGTACATTATTGCTTTTCACAAACATATGATATATGAACACAACATGGAGATGCACAAAGAATAAAATTAGAGTGAAAATTTTTGTGTAGCAATTTGTAATGTACCAACTACCAAGTTTTGTAATGGAATTGAAGATTTGATTCTTACATAATTATTTCTTCCCAACTCCCCCAAGGATTGCAGAATACCTGAAAAGTGTCTGAAATATTGAAAAGGCTTAAAACTTGTACAGACATTTAAACTTCCTTGCTTCCTGCAAGTAAGTTGTGGCTCGATATAGTCAGCTTTTATTCGGCTATCAAGCAATTAGGGAGACAAAGAGCTTAAGCATGAAATAGCACTGTTGGCCCATAATCTGTTAACAAAGTCTCAGAATATGACGAGGAAATGCAATGCTATGCTTCTCAAAATGACTGTGCCACTGTTATATAATCAGCATGAAACTGACACATTGGATGGTTATTCCAAACTCACATGCCTTAATCAGTGTAGAGAACAATTTTATCACCAATAGTCCCCGCAAGAACATATGCCATCCTTGAAATGATGGAACCTATTGGCATCCCTTACCACAATGAATCTGTTTGTGATTTTGGATATATATTTGGTTGCAGTATGACAGTCTAAACAAACCCGGAGATTCTTAGTAATCCTAATTTCAGTTCCGGGTTCAGTAGAGATAAGGCCAAAAACAATGGCTAACTTCTCACTGTGAACCTTCATCATTAGTTCCTTCTCCTCTTCCTCCACATCATGTAAAGCAGTGTCGGTCTCTGTCTGAAATCCAGCCTCCTTCAGCTTTCCAGTCAATTTCTCCAGCTCAGCATATATTGCTGCTGATTGAGGATGGGACTGATCACCAGATGTGAAAACATGTGGGACCTGGCCTACCTCAATTAAGGTGCAGCCTGGAGTCTTTATCAGCTTTCTATTTTTAGCTGTTTGTCTCACCAAAGCAGCTTGTGGATAGTTCCTCTCAGTGGAGTAAATATTTGACATCAAAACATAATAACCCATGTTTTGTGGGTCCAATTCAAATAGCTTTTCAGAAGCCATACTAGCTAGTTTTGTGTCTTTATGAATCATGCAAGCACCGAGCAAGGCACCCCAAACAGGAGGACCTGGCTCAACTGGCATTTTCTTGATAAATTCCAAAGCATGCTCCAACCGTCCAGCTCTGCCAAGGATGTCAACCATGCATGCATAATGCTCAGCTAAGGGTTCAAACCCAAAGTCATGAACCATGCAATGGAAAACTTCATTACCGTCCCTTACTAGACCAGCATGACTGCAAGCATACAATACAGAAAGAAAAGTGACCCTAGTTGGTGGAATGCCAGATTCTAACATATCATAGAAGAGTCTTAGAGCTCTCTGCCCATGGCCATGGAGACCATACCCAGAAATCATAGCATTCCAAGTTACCTCATTCTTCAGTGGCATCAAGTCAAATAATTGCCGAGCCTCTAATATACTCCCACATTTTGCATACATGTCAATTAAAGCAGTCGAGACATATATATTAGACTCAAAGCTCTTACCCTTAATTAATCCATGCACCCATTTTCCTAGACTTAAGGCTCCAAGTTGAGCACAAGCTGAAAGAATACTAGCAACTGTGATGGGATTTGGACTGATGTTAGACATCTGCATTTCCCGGAAAAGAGAAATTGCTGTTTCTGTTAAACCATTTTGGGTATAACCTGCTATCATGGCATTCCAAGAAGCTAGAGTTTTCTCTGAAGATTCATCAAATAGTTGTCGTGCTGATTCCATTTCATTTAATCTACTATATACTGTGGTCAATGCAGTTGAAACAGAAGAATGCGAAGCAGTGCCAGATTTCACACAAAAACCATGGATGCAGTTAGTAAGAGATAAATGACCAAAAGGGAAACATACAGGAATCAATCCCACAATCGAACTAGAATTGACCTTCTCCCCAGAACTAAGCCACTCTTGGAACAATCTCACTGAAGACTCTGTATCACCATTAGAAGTAAATCCTGAAATCATAGCATTACAAGATATCAAATCTTTTCTACCAATATCCCTAAACAATATACTTGCCGTCCCAACATCCCCACATTTAGAATACAATGAAATCAAATCCGTAAGCACTGAAATATGAGAATGAAAGCCACGCTTTATTGTCAAGCATTGAATCCCCATTCCTAATCTCAACTCCTGCAATTCTGCTACAGCCGGCAACACTGCAATCACTGTGGTTGAATCAAACCGCGGCCCGTTACCAGAAACCATATCCTTAAAAAGATTAATTGAACCCTCGAAGCAACACATCCTTGACAACCCAGAAATCATTGTATTACACAAAACGGTATCTCTATGAGGCAATCCATCAAACACCTTATGTGCTAAATCGTCTCGGCAAAGTTTAAAATACATGTCGACAAGAGCAGAACCCACATACAAATCTGAACCAAATCCATCAACAATTCCCTTCCCATGCAATACAAGTCCAACTCTCATGTCCCCGAAACTCGTTGCGGCAGATATAATAAAAGCATAAGTAAAGTTATCAGGATAAAGATCAGTGCTTTTTCTCAAATGGGTAAAAATCGAAATGGCGGACAAAGGCGAGTTATTCACAGATAAGCCTTTAATGAGGACGTTGAATAAGAAAAGGTCAGGTTTTGGGACGGTGAAAAAGAGGGCACGTGCGTGGTGGGTGGAGCTGAAGTCGAAGAGCTTGTGGGTAAGCTTAGTGGCAACCGCGAGGTCGTCCTGGAGACCGCTGAGGAGGAGCTGGGCATGGAGTTGGGTTAAGTGTGAGAGAGTGGTGGATTTGTTGAGGAAATTGAGGAAGAAGTAGCGGGTACGAGGCACGCAAGTGATTGCTGTTATGCTTTTCAAGGACATTTCTTCGATTTTCTTTTTCTTTTGGTTGAAGATGGAGGGCGTTAATAGGAGTTTACCGTCATGGTTTTTGAGAAAGCGGCGGGAAACGCAAACTATTTTTTTTATTTTATTTTTTGAAGTTCAACCCTTTAGTAAAAAACAATTTTTTCCTTTACAGTTTACATAATTTTATTAATTAATTTAGAACAATTAATTTCAATCAAAAATTATTAATCATTATTAAATAATGATAAAACTTTTAACAAAAATGTTATTTTCTAATGTCCATTATAATTATTATTTGGTAATATATTAATAAAAATGTTATTTATATTTAATTATATTTTCAGTTTTAAGTTAATTGACTTATAAATTAATAGGAATTTACCCAAAATATAAGAAAAATTGGAAAAATATTAACTTCAATGAAATTAACCTATAAAACCTTATTTTTCTTATTATTAGTATTATTTTTTTATTCTTTCCTTGATAAACTGCTCATACATTGAATTGCCAACCCTTTGCTTCCTTCTTTACTTTTCTTTTTCATTTGCCTGATACAAAAAATTACAAGTAGAAAATGATGGAGCCAAAAGCTCACTGTTGACAAAAAAGAAAAGAATTAACCCAGATGAAACTTCTGACCAAAGACAAAAAGTAAAAAGAAAATCAATTTACATTTACTGAGACAGTAGAATACTCTGATTTGTCTCTCTGCTGAAGTAATATTTGGTAAAAGGTTAGCTTAGAAGATGAGCAGGCCATGGAGGAACTCTTTTCACCATAAACAGTCGATTATTAACAGCATGCTTCATCTGTAAGAGATGGGTTCTAATGCTATACTCCTCTACCTGATTCATAACCCAGAAAGGGAAAAAAAATGGCAATCAGACATCATCCAAATTCCAAGATATGCTTCATAGGGGAGAAATGTAAGTAATAAGCATCCTTTATAGAGTAAAACTAATTTTACCTCATATACTGACAAGCACACATATTTTCATATCTATGCATATCTGACTTACACGAATGGTGACAGACCGAAAAATAGCTCCAAAAAAAAAAAAAAAAAATGAATGGTGACAGACCGAAAAAATAGCTCCAAAAAAAAAATAAAAAAAATCCTTTCTAGCAAGGGGAAAACTCTTTCAAGCAATGCAAAGTAATTTAAGACTGAACTCAAAAAAAAAAAAAAAAAATCTTTCTAGCAAGAAAACCTCCTTTCAAGCAATGCAAGTAATTACAAGACTGAACTAGGCCAACGGAACTGATAGAGATATATCAGATTAGCCACATGTATAGTGATAGAATCACAACAAGATTGAACACATTGCTAGAGAATGAAGCAATTGACAGCCTGTATATAATTGACCTCAACAGGCAACAACTTGAATATCCAACCAAGGAAGCAATAACATTTTTGAATTATATCAAATAAATGAAAATGGTCAAGCCCAACCATTTAACCTAACCTATAATGTCTTGATTGACGCTACCAAGTGCCGATACTACTAGAACCGACTCCATTAGCATGGGCATGGGCATTCTTGTAACCAAGTAATCCACAGAACGAAGTGATTTTGCACTTAGCGCAACGATGAAATCTAGATCAAATAGACCTTATCTACAGCCACACAAATGGCATACATATTAAAGCATGTCAACCTGCCACATTAGCTTACAGATGAAAGGACTCTCCAAATTCAGGCAGATATATATTATGCTTGTAATCTTTCCATCTTCTATGTTCTTTTTTTTTTCTTTTCATCTAAACATGGCCTGTGAGGATTGATTCAACCCCATGTCAAATGAAAAATCCATATGCAGATTCAAATTTCAACAATAAATCCATCGTTTTAAGTCCTTAGAATGGATGTAGAATTTTTTTTTTTTTTAACATGAATCTCAAGCAAAGTACACAGACAATAAAGCAAGGATAAGATAGGAAAATAAAATCTGATGGATGATGTAATAGCATAATCCAATAACTGGTATGTGGTAGCTCAAAATATCCCAAATCAATCACACTCAAAAAGCCAATAGTTGATGGTGTAACGAAGAGTATAAATTCAAGGAAGACGAAACCAGGAACAATGCATGGTAGGTAGGGATGGACCCACGATATGTGGATGAGAGGCCAGGGGCCCCCCAATTTTTTTTTTAGTTTCAATTTTGTCCTTTTTTGTCTTTCATTTTTCCATCTTGGTTCTATCAGCTTTGAATATTTTTCATTTTGGTCCCCTCAACTTTTATTTTTTTCTCATTCTAGTACCTCCACTATCTTTTTCCATTTTTACTTCCAGGTTTGTTTTTCCTATTTCAGTACCTGTACATTTTAAACATCTTCCCATTTTTTTACCCCATTTTATTTCAAATATAAATAATAGGTCTCCGGATTTCTCTTTTGAAATGTAAACTCATATTCTAACTTCAAGTTTTTCTCTCTCCCTCTCTCTCTTTTTTTTTTGAAAAATAATAAATGCTGTTTTAAAGTGATAAAAAATCATTATTTAACTAATTTTTTGTTTTATCATAGTTCTCCATCTTGATTAATTTAAAAAGATGTAAGAAATTTATAAATGTATCTTAATTTTGATGTATTTAATCTTAAAAAGAATTCCTTAAAAAATTTTAAATGAAAAATAATGGAATAGAGAACTTAATTTTTTAATAAAAACAAATTATATGAAAATTTTTAATTTATAAAAAAATATCTTATACTAATTTTTATCAACTATGGAAAAAAAAAAATTCCCCCATTCCCCAAAAATGAAAATTTAATTCCATCCTTGATGGTAAGGTGTACAAAGTAACTAGATTAATATTAACTTATGATTCCTAATGATCGTAACTGTAGCAATTTTTCTTAATTAATTGCATCCACTTGATGCCCTATCCAAACGTGAAATCTCACAATATTACAAGCTACTGTGATATGTTGAGGCAGAAAATGCAAGCATCTAATTCTAACCATGTCAATAGCTTTTTAGTTACTGCACTAAAGTTCTTCATTTTTGTAACTCTTTATCTTCTGCAAGCATTGGGTACTACAACCATGCATTTTTGTTCTTACCTGCAGAGCGGTTGTGGAAGCCAATAGAGTTTCCAGTTCATCAAGCATAGCTTTCTCTTCTGCTGCTATAAAAGCAAGCTCAGAAACCAATCCATTCATCCCCTCCACCTATATCACAAAAGTAGAAACAAGATTTAAGCATCAGATGTGCAAATATTACCGGAAACAACAATCTGCAGCACATATAAGCACAGTAGAGATTTGGGCTGTGGGGCTAAAACTCAAACTGCTAACAAGAACCTTAAATAATTAAGATACTCATGCCCTTGTCCCAAGCGGAAAAAAAAAAGTGAATGCAATTAGTATATTAGTAACACGTGCTAAATGTGAACAGTTAAAAGAAAAGGAGATATGAAGAAAATCACCAACCAACTGAGATTTAAGTGAATCCTGAAGTATTGTACTCTAAAATGCAGCATTGGACACCCAAAAAATCAGCACTAATCTTGTGCAACACTATTATAACTTCACCTTGAAAAGCTTTTAAGATTCTGAATTTTACTCTTCTGTAACTCGTCCACACTATCCAAACGAGACTTATTTTGCAGATCAACCACAGAAACGGAAGTCCAAGAAACCAGTCTCCATATGTCATCAAAGAGTTGAGAGGAAAATTAAACACATGTGAAATGACTTTACCATGTCTCAAAAGAATACCATGCCATTGGCTTATATTCAAAACACATATGACTCAAATTTTTTAGCTTTTCCCTAACTTGTACCTTCTTGTACGAGATATTTCAACTAGTTAGTTGATACGGGAACTTGAGTGATGACATTATGCAGTCAGTATCTGCTTTCTGCCGCATGAACTACAAACTAGATGACAGTTTTGTTTTGAAGCTTTGGTAATCAATGTCATTAAACTTAGCTTCGGAGATGCCATTTGTCTGCATGACAGTTTTTTATATCTATCCGGTGTTTCAGAAACACACAATCTATATAAAATTGTTTTTGAAGTTAAAACCAAGGATCTGTCCAAAACCAAGCAGAAGATGAACATATGTGAATATATAATGAGTTTCATCACCACCTGATGCCAGCACAGATAATCTTAACTTCTTTTGTAACTCTTAATTTTCAGCTCAAGCAGCACTAAGATCCACAAGCAAAAAATAGTACTTTATAGCTATCATATCAGGTTATTAATCCTTCAAGTTACACACTGATGAATTCAACAAGATACTAGCTTGGCTCTACAAGCAACCATATGGTTCATAAACCACCTAAGAAATAAATGCATAATTGCATGGAAAAATGCATGGTCCACATAATGGAACCAAAAAAAAAAAAAAAAAACAATTAGCTCAAAAGAGAAGTGAGCAAATCTAAATTCACCATTGTGCTTTCTACAAGAATTGCAACAGGAGGTATGTGAGAGAGAGAACAAGGGGGACAGAGAAGATTTTATCTCACCCTTGAGAGTAAAGAACATATGGAGGATCCCATTGCCTGCAGCACATCAACAGCTGAGGAAATAGCAATCTTCAAAGAGCCTATATCTGCCTGAAAAATGAAAATCAAATAAAGATGTCAAAAGTTCTCTATCTTTAGAAATCAATTCAATGATGTTTAACAATCAAACAAAACCTTTGCCCCTCTAGTCACTGGAACACGAAGAGTGGTTGCCTCCAAATCTTCCAAAGCCCCAGATAAAGAGTTTACATGATCTCTTTCAAGTAAAGTCCAATCATCTAGGTAGGCCATCTGAAACAATCATTGAAGTTATTAGATTAATGCATAACTACTGAGTATGCAAAAAAAAAAAAAAGGAAAAGGAATTGGTAAAGATTGCTATTCAAAAATAAAGGAGGTTAAAAAAATGCAACAGAAGTTTGTAGTTAACTCTTAAACAGGCATAGAATAATGCTTCTTCACAAGTTGTTCTGTCACCAAATCTAGTCGCCCTACCCCATGGGACCAATTATTAGTCTCTAAGGACTCTCCAATTCAGACATCTAAGGCATCTTAAGCAACTTGGCCACACAATAATTAATCTGTTATCACTGCTTAGGCAAAGAAGAGGAGGGGGTGCATGTCAAGGGTGTATCTAGTGTTGATAAGCGACAGAAGTAAATCCTATAGCTATTCTCATATGACTAGACCAGTGAATGCAGCAAAGTTGCATAACATAGGACCCAAGTAGAATTGACTAGATGGCTGAAGTAAAATGACAACCGATCTTGCTGATGACTCCAAAATGAAACCACAACCCTTCAGAGATTGAGAATCAGATCTCTTAGTTCGATGTTAGATTAGGTCCTAAAAAATAACAATGTAGTACATGTATCAGATTTAAATCCAGTACTCTACTGAACTACTGGCACATGCAGGACGACGACTCTGGTTCTAATGGCCTCTAAGCTACCACAACTCTGGTTCTCATGGCCTCCAAGTTATCACAACATCTTTGTCTCTTATGAAATCACTAAAACTCTTTTGCGAAGAGAATTAGAGAATGGCTGGACATTGTTAATTTTGCTAGATATGACTAACATGCAGAATTTGCCGTGTGCATATCTATAAGTCTGTACAAGGTACGTGCTTTTAAGTTAGTATCTCTATCAAACCTAAATACAACCAAGCATTTATGTTGTAAAAATCCAAACCCATTTATAATGGTTCTAACACCTCTGCTTTCAAAATAATTCTGCTGCTAATTCCAAATTTTGCTTGCCAAACCCCCAGTCAAAAGAAAAGTTTTGAAGGACACAAGGTAGCTCAAGTTTATTTTTGGGAGAACTAAAGAGAAAAAACTATTGCACAATCAAAAAATACATTAATACCCACCACAAGAACTACAACCAACACATGTTCACATAGAAAACCACTCCAGGGGATTGATATAAAAAATTAGATATAGTTGCAAAATTATGGTGCTATAACAAGGAAGAGACATTACTTGACCATTCAAAATAGCGATCAACTTAAGTTCTTGCTTCAGTTGTTCAAGATTGATCCTCTTCTTTATTACTGAATCCCACAGTGCTAACATACTGTTCCAAACATCATACAGAGTTTTCTGCACCATCATAAAAAATTCTATGGAATTAAAATTGTCGTAAAATGGAAATTCTATTCTAAAAAAGTCAAAAATGAAAGAAAGATTTTGCATTACATATGAAAACAGTAAATTTATATACCATGGAGGATAAGTGAAAAATAATTTAGTTAAACTATAAGCAGATATACATTTTTAGCAACTTCTAATATTTTCAGTAGCAAAAGTTTCTCTCCTCTTTTTATTTCTGTTTTCAATTTTTCCTTTTATTTGTCTTCTCAATTTTTTTTTTACTCTGTACATATAAACGTTCTGCATTTTATGATACAAGGAAAGCTGATAGTTTAGGCACACATGAAAATATTACCAAAAGCATCACTGTAGTAACAAAAGATTAAGAAAGACATATGAAAAATTTGGGAGTCCTACATAACAAATTTAGCTAGCTAGATATTCAAGATACCGTACCTCTGCAGTTATTTTCTGAATGTAAAGAACAGCCTCAGCTCTGGCATTAGCAAACCGCCATTGCAAGAATCTGTTGTATAATAGCCGTATCTGATGAGCATCTTCAATATAACTTGCACTCTTTTTCCCTTTCTTAAAATCGACTATAAAGCTAAGCACAGAACTAGAACTATTGGGTTGGCAAGAGACACTTGCTGGCCATGCCCGAGATGGGCTGACCCCTCTAGCAGGAGGAGTGGATGGCCTTGCACGAGTTGGACTGAAACCTCTATTTACAGAGTTCTTACTTGGAGATGAAGGGCGTGATTTAGGGGTCGACAGGGACTGTGATCTAACTGTAGGAGTTATTATAGACATTCTATCTGATAAACTTGGTGTAACAACCTTTGGAGTTCCAGATAGCCGCAGCAAATTATCATCTGAAGAATTTGCCTCAAACCCTATCCTGCGCATATCTTCCAGACCTGATAATTTTGCAGCGTCACTACCTGATTTTTGTAAAGGTTTAAAGTTACTATCAGGCAGAGACAATCTCCTGAGTGAAGGTAAACCAATTCCAATTGGTGGGGGCAAAGCTCTCACTGTCTTATCGGTGAGATCCACACTTTTATTTGATGAATTGGAAGGTACCTTCCCGCCTAACCTACTAGGCCACCTGTGCTGATCAATCAATTTAGCATGTAAACCATCTACAGGTTTAGCATTCTCTGATTGATCCTGTACATTCTTCCCTCTGAGAGGACTCTTCCTTCTCGCTGACGTAGGTTTTCGCGATTGAGTAGGTGTTTCAGGCTGCTTATGGGCCACATTTGAAGATGGCCGCAATGTACGATCAGAGGAGATATTAGCCACTGGTTTTTCCTTCTTGCTGATAGGAATGGAAATAATATCTGACTGGAAGGAAACACTAAGACTTCTCATTGTAGAAGGCCATAAACTCTCAGGTAACCGGCTGCCACTACTAGGCCTTCTAGATTGTAACTGAACATCGACAAAAGAATCATGAACTGGTGTAGAGGGGCTCAAGGGTGAAGATGGAGTGGAAGGCCGCCTTCTCTCGGCTGATTGGGCTCTTTTTGGCACCGCCAGGGGAGTTGCAGGCAGTGCTCTTGATAGCTTCGGTGACGAACAACGCTTGGAAACAGAAGGTGTTGGCATTGGTGTTGGCGATTTATATCTAGAACTAAGTTCCCTCGTTCGAGGGCGACGAGTGAAGGCTGCTGCATTGCTGTTCCCTTCAGGTGAAACCAAGAGAGTTCTTGGGGTAACCACAACTGTGTGCTTCTCTGATTCATATACATCCATCAAACAACGTCCAAATTATAACGCATTGATGGAATATTTCACATAATTGAACCAAATTTGACCGTTTTAGCTTCCATTTAACCCACAGTGAAGGGAATCAGACCAACAGCTCAAAAAGAAGATACTTTCCCCTGCAATAAATCTGCCACAGACGCACATAACCAGAAAAAGTACGATATTACAGAATGGCAAAAGAAAAGCAACGAATAATAAACCAATAAAAGATTAAAAAAAAAAAAGAAAAAAACTTAAAATTGAAAAAAGATTACATCTTTCCAAAGACCCAGATCTGACTGGGGATGAATTTGATAATGACAACAACTAAATGCAAATGGGCACTTAATTATCATTAACAAAAACACAACTCCAAGCAGATCAGGCATCTCAAACATTTTAGCCAGTGGTGATGACAAAGATGAGGATAAAACAACATCAGGAATATATCTAATTACAGAGAAATCCTTAGCATGCTACAATGTGTATTAAAGTCATCGCTAGAGCTTGTTCTTTTTAGGGTAAGGGGGTCCCCAGAAGAAAATGGGGAGACCAGAGAGTAGACTGCTGTTATTGAGAGAGAGAGAGAGAGAGAGAGAGAGAGAGAGAGAAAGAATCAGGTAGAGAGAAAGAGAGAAAGGGTACGTAGAACAAGAGAGGTTCTTTTATTTCACTTTTCCTCTCCTAATTTCCCTTTTGTCCTTCTCACGGGACTGCCGCGGTCGGCTGGGCTGGCAATTTAGGTTCACTCACTAACACAACACAACACAACATTGCCCCACTCCTTCTTCATGATAAAGAATTCAATTGGAGTGATTTCATAACTAACAAAAGAGATCTTTCTCTATAACTGTCACTAAAAGGTAAATAAACTAATCTCATTGATATATTATCTTAGGATAAACTGTAATAAATCCCATCAACAGGATTACATCAACACTATCACTATAACAAACAAACAAACAAATATATATATATATAACTTATTTATTTAAGGATAAACTGCAATTGCCATTAATGAAACAAAGAGCTTACCTTGAGATCACACACTAAATTTCAACTGTCTCTTACCTGGGTTTTCTAGTTTTGTCATGTAGTTGAACTTAAATATTATTAAAATAAATAGAATAAAAAAATAATGTGATTTGTTAGTTTATAGCTAAATTATTAAAAGATTGAAGTTGCAGATGCTAATGTTCTTGGGGATATGGGAACAGACATGGAGTACCACGTGCAAGCAAGATCATTGTCCATCCCCATACTAACAGTGATATTCATATCATTAATTTACAGTATTGAAAAATTAGTAAAAATTACTAAGAAAATCCATTGATTTTCCATAACCAACGGGGCTTGATATAAATAATATTTTAGGTTTTGACGTACTGAAGAAAAAAATTAAATTTCCTCGTTTAGGAACGAAAATCGATAACATGTTAAAAAAACCCACAGAGGTTTAATTATAACAAAAAATTGATTTTGAAGATTAAAAAGGAAAGTCGGGGTTTTAATAAAGAATTAATTCACATAATAATTGCTGTGTTTGACAGGTTCATGTCTCTGGTTTTGAAGACACGTAAAGTGATCAATACTGTTCATGTAAATCTCTCTGTAGGTTTCAGAAATGGCAGGGGAGCAAAAGAGAGAGAAAGAGAGGGTTTATTGAATCAACAAAAAAAAAAAAATCGAACTTTGTCGATTATACAGGAAATGAATTTTCAATTATCCGATAAATTTGCAAGCAAAAATCGAATCAATGAGAGAGAGAAAAAAAAAAAGGAAAGAAAATGTCGAATTAGAAGGTAAATATCTCACCTTGAATCAAAACCCTAAATTCTACTGATCACTTCGTTTAATTCTGTCAAATTCCCTCTAATCAGTTGAAGAAAATTTTAGAAACTGAATCTAAAAAAAAAAAAAAAGATGGCGGAGGCTACAAGAGGTGACCGGAGCCGGAGCTGGGACTTATAGAACCTGTGGCGAACTAGCGATCGGAAATAGAATATTCCGGCGAGAGATTGGGGGAGACAGGGAGTTATAGTGATTAGAGTTTTATGGGAAGAGAGAGAGAGAGAGAGAGTGCTTAATTAATAAAATTTAAAAATAAAAAAAAAATGAAAAGGAGAAAGACAAGATTTTGAATAAAAATTTGAGGGAAACGGTTTTTCAGTTGAGAGGGACGTTGTTTTCGCGCCACCTACTCATGAATCAGACTTTCTTTTTACATTTTGAGTCTTTGACTGTTAATCTGTTTTCTAACTGACCATATCTTTCAATCTAATCCAATCTGTATTTTTTTTTTTTTCCATCATATATTTTTTTACCTCATGGTAAAATAATTATTACAGCTAAATTAGCTAATTTGGCAATTAAAAGAAAACATATTTTATATTAACAAATGTCCAAGTGAAAAAAAAAATTCTTAAAATTCAGTTGAAATTCAGTTGACCTGGTGGTTAAATTTAATTAGTGTAAGTCTCACGCATGACATATCAGCATTAATTAAGAAATTCATTAACAATTCAAGAAAAAAAAAAAACCATGTTGATTAAATAATTCAGATTAACAACACTAAAATTTAAATTTTGACTATTAAAAGATCGAGTTTTTTCTTATCATAATTAATGTATATCGCATTCATATTACCAATTTTAATGTCGTGTTTTAAATGAAAATTAAACGAATGACACATTTACTAAAAAAATAAAATACAAGATATTAATTGATAAAAATAAAATACACTCGAAAAAAATTGATAAAATTAAAAAAAAATAACAAATATAAAAAATGATGATTTTTCTTTTTTTTTTTTTTTTAAACGAATGACACAATTTTACCTAAAAAATAAAATACAAGATATTAATGATAAAATAAAATACACTCGAAAAAAATTGATAAAATTAAAAATAAAAATAACAAATATAAAAAATTGATGATTTTTCTTTTTTTTTTTTTTTTGTCAATTTAGACTTTCATAAATACACCTTAAAATTGAACTCATTTATCACCATAATTAAAAATACTAAGTTGAAATTAAAAGAAATGGCTATTCTAAGATTTTTCTTTTTTTTTTTTTTTGTCAATTTAGACTTCATAATACACCATAAATTGACTCATTTATCACATAATTAAAAATACTAAGTTGAAATTAAAAGAAATGGCTATTCTAAATAATACTATACCAAACAACTATTACATCAATGGGTTAAGAGGCATTGTATTTATTGGTAACTATACTTTTCAATTTTTTTTTTTTTTTTAGAAAAGAAAAACTATACTTTTCAATTATTACGTTTCTCCTACCACAAAATTGTAATATGTTTTATAGAAATATTTAAAAATAGCAAGTTATAACTATAATTAATAAATCATTAATGGCATTTTAATTTCATATCAATCTTAATTAATGGTTTAATCAATGGAGAGGTGTGAGAACATAAATATTGGTATGGGTAGTTTTTTCTTTTTTTTTCTGAAGCTTAGTAATATTTTTTATAAAATATACTAGTGTTTAAACTGTATTTTTATAATGTATATAAATTAATAATCCATTGATCAAAATTAAAATTTTTATCTCCTCAAAAAAAATTAGCACAATTTATAAGAATTTATATAATAATGATCGGAAGTCATGAGCTTTTTTTTATCAGTAAAAATTTCTTTCATTATTAAAATTCAGAAAAAATTGAACATAGTCAAGCATTTAAACCCAGTCATCAAATCTTTTCAATACACTCATCTTTTCATTATTAAAATATTCACTTTTTTTTAAAAAAAATTACTAAGCAACATTAAAATTTATTTTTCAAAATTAGAACACAAAATCCTTTAATTTTTCAAAATTTCTCTCTTTTTAATTTTTAATTCAACTAAAAGATATTTTTTTATCATGAAAAAAAAAACTTATTGTTATATGAAGTTTGAATATAATTTTTTTTTTTTAACATTAGACTATTAAGCTACTAGTTGATTTAAAAATGATGTAGTATAAAAAGTATATTATTTTAATAATTGTAGAAAAATTAATTTAATGGGTTTGAAGGGTTAGCTTGTCATCTTTCCTTCATCACAATCATTCTCAACATAGAAAATTATCTTCTTCTCTTGGAAGGAATCCTCTGTCTTTAACATTGTCAATTATTGTTGTCTTAATAGCTAACTTTCAAAGGGACTTGATGAACACATAATTACATGATAGTCTCATTCTCTTATTAATTCCCAAAATCATAATTTAAATATTTCAAGGTAAAGGAGAATCACTTCAAAGAGAGACAATTGGAGAAATGAAATGATTCCAACTATAAAATGTTCACATGGTGAATAGACAAATGACAAGGAAAATGGATTAATTAATTTATATTCTTCACAATTAATTAATTATATGCACATGGTGGATTTTTTTTTTCCCCATTAGAACTATAGATAAACACAAGCTCTAGTAATTTTATATAATATTCTTTTCTTTTAAAAATTTTCAATAAGTTACAAATGAATTAAAAATAACTATTTGAATTATGAGGCATGGCAAAAATATTCAAATTATAAATTATATTTTAAAATTTTAATTAAATGATTTATTCTTTAGATGTATATATTTTTCAGTCAAGTCTTGTACAATTTTCAAATTAGATTTATTTGTGTGTATTGGATTTATATTTACCCAACTAAAGGAGACACATTTATGATATAATAATTTATATTTGTCCATAGTTCAAAGTCCTAATCTATGAAATTCTTAATTTCTATTTTTCTCTTTGGAAGTTCTTGATGAAGTGTGGGAGTGATCATTTCTTCTTAGGGTATGAACCAATAGAATTAGAGAAAAATCCCATGAGAAAGACAAATTCAACAAATTCAATGCCCATCATATGTTTTACTTTTTCAAAGAAAAGTTGTAATCTGGTCAAAACACACAAAATAATAATAATAATAATAATAATAATAATAAAAACCAACTTGTGGAAAACTCAACTCAATGCAAGCTTGAGTAGGATACTGTTGTTGTGTTTTGACTTAGGAATTGTTCTTATCCTCTTCATATATATCTAATCTATTTGCTTAGTTGACCAAATATATAAAATAATAATAAGGCAGAATTGAAATTCTAAATTAAAACACTCGTATAAAAATAATATAAACAGTCTGAATACAATTTTTTGAATAACCAACAATCAAAATTATTACATATTGCATCCAAAAATTTTATTAATAAAAATGCATATCTTTAGGAAAATCAAAATACATATCTCAAAATTTTAATTATTAATCCTTAATGCATAATTGTTTTTTATTATTTTTAATTAAAATTCAAAAAAATTATCAAAGTTTGAACCAAGTTACTAACTTGGGTGTTAAAATTTTAAATACTAGGCACACTTACAACTAATTAGATAGACCCACAAATTTTTTTCCCTTAATTAGTTAATTTTTTGAGGAAATTTGAAATTTGGTTCCACAATAATAATTACAAGCTTAAAAGGTCAACCAACCCCACTTAAGCTCTCAACATTTATCAATGGGCCTCCTTTTGATTAGGAAAAAAAAAAAAAAAAAAGGTAAAAGTACACTACACATCATGCTTAGAGCAGTACTGCCCATCATGTCTCTTTTATATTATTTGTCTATTTTATTTTGACTCATGTGATGAAATATTTAATTAATTCATTGACAAAATTGGTAAGTTAAAATATGAGATCATGAGAAATAAAATTATGAAACATGGAGTTTTTAAATTATCCATCAAAATATTCTCTTTATTTAATTATTATTTGATTTTGATGATGTGGTGTAAGCTCACATGTTTATGATTATTCTCATGATATTCTATGTGGGAATATGAGATGCTGGAAAATGGTATAAGAATGACAGTAACATCTCTTTATATTTCTAATAAAAAACAAATGATTATAAATACACAATTGCTAAAAGAAATCAGGGTACAAAAAAAAAAAAAAAATTCAATCACAATTTTTTATCATTCTAAATAGATTTTAAAAAATTAACCATCATCAATTTTCTATGCGTCAAAATAGAATAAGCTGTCAATACGAGATAAACACTCAATATTATATAGTCTAACTATTAATCATATAGAGGAATCTTAAGTGTTATGTTTAAAAGCTCTCCCCAAGATGCCAACTCCACAGAATAAAATTTAATGCGCTTCAACCATTAGACCAAACTATCCTAGAATATTATTTATCTCCCTTTGGTAAACAAGAAAAGGCATAAAACCCTTTTTGTCTTTCCCTTGTTGGTAAGAAATGAACAAATTTTGTGGGTTTGATCTTCATTATATTGAAGGGCCCATTTTCTAAAATTTGACCTTTGATCTTCATTAAGATGGAGGCCTTGATTGAGTTTCTCTCCTTTATTACAGTTTGTAAGATGATTAAGACATATCATGTATTATTATGTTACTTTCAGCTTCTCACTTGGGAGCCTTTTGTCCCATTCTTTTGGGCCTACTTGCCTTTCTCATTTTTATGTCTTTTGCATTTATTATATTTCTGTTTTTTAATTAAATTGCTTATCTTTTTGTTTTTTTATATAGTATTTATAATCATGGTGATGGAGATGGCAGACATCACCACGGTTTTGAATCTTCGGTTCGGTTCCTAAAAAGTTGAAATCAAGTTACATTTGATTATATTGAGATGATGTCAAAAGAGGGTTCTTTTTTTAAGAAATAAAATCAAGGATTCAAAAGTTTCTTTTTGCTTTTTGTGAGTAAGAAATTATTGAAACAATAGAATGATTTGGTTTCAACTAAAGACCGACCCAAAAAAATATATTTAATGGAGATACTATATAAAAGTAATGATTCAATAGAGATAAAAAGTAAAAATTTAGTAAATTAATGCAAATATATAATTAAAATATAAAAAAAAATTCTGAACTAAATCGTAAAATGGGATTAATGTCCCACTGCCATGACATAGATACATTTCTGATTGAATGTAATTTAATATGATTAAATGTATTTCTGATTATATAGATATAAATGCATTTAATTATATATTATACATAAGAAACTTTTGATAATAATAATAATAATAATAAAAGTAGCTCCATAAAAATAGAAGTTAAAATGGCCGAAAGCCCATTTGGTCCCCTCAAGAGCCGGTGGTTCGCAAAGCTTAAACCAAATGATGAGTACTCATGTCATGTGGGACACGATCATTGTGGTCAAGCCCATGCACATGCCATGTCCTTTTCCTTTTCTTTTTCTTTTTTAATAAAGTTAATTTTTTTCCTTTTATTTTCCAGGAAGGATATCATTTTCGTGTTTTTTATTGTTCTAAGAAAATATCTACTTCTAAAATCAAATATTCTAAACTTAAAATCACAATTATTAACGGAATTTTACTTGAGTATTATTTTAATATTTTTACTGCCCGTAACAATTTTTCCTATAGCAATCAATGAAACTACGATTTATATTATTCATAATATGGCTAGTGTTTATACCATTGTTCACAGTTTGAAAAAGCGGATTATAAAACGTCATCTCCTTCAATATTTAATGAAACGTTAGTTAAATAGATAACAATTAATTTTACCAAACATATCTGAATATAAGCCTATTGTGAATGCAAACAAGAGAAAAAAAAAATATTATTTATTAATTTATCCTTTTTTATTTTTTTTTTTCTTAGAAGGGTAAGGGTAAGGACAGCGTTGTTCCAATTTGCTGCCAAGATTTGAGACATTTCATGGCATACCAAATCCCAAACCCTTTCTTGTGAATCATATAATTCATTCAGTACAAGAACAATCCAAAAAATCAACATTAATAATTTAATTTCTCAGCAAGTCTAGAATAATATACAAATTATATGCCGTTTGCTATTTTGTTTGAATATGCTAGAGGATTTGAAAATGTTCTTGCATTGGATACCCTAGCAACCTAGTATGAACAAGACATTGATACATCAATACTGTTCAATTAGTAATTTTTTTGCTTTCCCCTCTGTTCTTACAGGGAAACTATGAAATTTTCTTTTCTTTTTTTTTTTCAATCAATTAATTTATGAAGATTGATAAAAACACACGTTGGAAGCACCACAGCAGATGGTCCTTTACAGAACAAATTGCACCACGGCACATCTTTCTGCTGCCAAAAGATAGAGCAAATACAGTTCACTAAAGTTTCATAGCCTCCTAATATCACTTGTGAAGGAAAGCTAGCTTAAAATAGGTATCAGAATTCGATTCTTGAAATTAGATTATAAAATTACAATTTTTTTTTTATTTACGAATTCTTTAATTCAAACGTGAATGTTTTATTTTTAATCAACCAGAAGAAGTGAAATTAATACGATATATAAAAACTAACCCAAAAGACCATTTTATCGTTAAACGACAAGGAAATATATGTAAGTGCATAGTTATATGATCCATCTTTTCCTCTACAAGCTCACTTACAAGAGCTAGCCTGACTAATTGCTTTGTGTTCAATTGAAAAGATGATCTATATATACGTTTCAATTACAGGCAATCCTTCTGAAACTAAACTTGTCTTTAGAGCTTCCATTTACATAATAAGCTCCAGAACTACAATTACTTTGAAATTAAAATTTTCCAGTTGAAGAAGACAGATGAGTTCTTTTCAGTTTTCTCTAACAATGACCTTTGATAATGCAACTAGAACAAACGAATTCAATCCCTTTAAAAGATAAATGTACTTGATCAAAAGCTAGTGGATGAACTTGACAGAATCTTCTTTATGCTTGTTTATGAAGTTAAATGAGTAAGTTACAATCAAAATTTGAAGTTATTTAAACAAACTAACTAAAAATTATCAAAATTATGCTTTCTAATGATAGATTTATTTAGGCTCAACTATAGTAAAATTAATGCAAACAAATTGTTTAAAAATAGTTAAGATTTTCATTCAAATTTAAGCTCAATTACAGTATCAAGTGTCAACCTTAGTTTCAGCTTGATACCCTTTTTTTGGTAAGTTGAAAATTATTAAAGAGGTGGTTGCCAGGGTTCAGACATGGACACTCGATCCCTTGCTACTAAACCAATTGCCAGCTTGATACTTTTAATTAAGCATTTTGAACAATAAAATGTCAGCTAGAATTCATTTTAAATAAAGTAGACCAAGCTGAATACCTTGATACTCAGTTGGGCTTATTTACATCTCTGCTGTTGTTTGCAATGGCTATTCCTAGGAACCGGTTGAAGAATGGTGCTCAGTTAAATGAGTTGAACCGTGTCAAATTCTCCAGCAAAACAGAGGAATATCCTTGCTTTTTCAAACCTTTTAGCATATTATTTAAGCTGCATGATGATGGTGGATGCAGAGAACGCCTATCATGAATATACACCTCGCACTTATATTCCACCCCTTTGCTTCTGCTTGCATCTGTTAATAAACATCGCAGTACATTAAAACAGAGATCCAATGTTCCAACCACAATGAACAGTTGAAGAAAAATGAAACGAAATACCAACCATTAATATGAAACTCATTGAATTTTTTACGTAGAAAGGACGGTGTTCAAACACATATTTTGCTACTGTAACAATCTTGTGAAAAGATGTCATTCCTTCAATTTTTCGATCTAGTTATATATATATATATATGCATAATTGAGCTTGTATCCTTGTCGCATTGATGACCCACATGATTTCTAGTACTTCACATATCCAACACCCTGAGCCTTGCCCAAAACCAACTCTATGTCATCTAAAAAGAGATCAAAATTTTTTGCCACAGCAAATCCTGCGTGCATGCCATCAACTGCTGCACTTACAATACCGCCAGCATAGCCTGCTCCTTCACCGATTGGGTAGAGCCCTTTCAAGGACACGCTCTCATAAGTGTTACTATCTCGAGGAATCTGAACAGGAGAGCTGGTTCTAGTCTAGAAGAAAGAATGAAAATTCCAAAAAAAAGAACTTTAGATAGTGGCTAACATAAAGAAACAGCAGCGAAGATGGTTGCTCAATCAACATGAAGAGCAAACATTAAACAGGAAACTAAACATGTAGTTCCACATGAAATCAAATGCTCAATTGCTATGTTCTTAAAGGTGGATTGTAAAATAGGTAAAGAATGAGATACCTCTACCCCATGAAGAAGAGCACTTTTGGAGATAAATCCTGGTAACTGAAAATTAAAATGTTCAAAGAAAAACATAAGCTTCTCTGGTAAAATTATGAGGAGTTTTCCATAATTGAAGAAAAATTAAGACCTCTTTGTCAAACATCAAGATGGAATGCTGCAAAGCATCTGTTATATGAGAAGGGAACAACTCATGAAGATTCGCCGCCATCACTCCTAATCGATAGCTTGATGGGGGCAAAGATGTTACTGACAAAACAAAACAAATCAAACTAGCTGAAATTTTTGAAAGTTAAAAACACTTGTGGAAAAGAAGTAACAACTCTACCTGATAACTTGTTTTCAAGAAAATCATAAACTGTCTGTGCAGGCACCATAAAGTCTCCCCCTCCCATGACAGCTGCCCTTTGCTCAAATTCTCTCTTAATAATGGGGAAATAATTTCACACAACAAGAAAAAGGGGAGTTAAAACATTGATGTTTGAAGAAAGTATCGTAGTTTGAAGTGACAGAAGATAAATGTGTAAAGTAATTGTTTTGGTATGTCATTTATGGATGATACAACGTCCAGAAGAATATTGGCAAGGGATGGAGAAAAAGAGTATTCTCTCTTGCTGTGCAGGTCAAACATAAATATTATGGCCACGTAAGTTGGAAAGAAAATGCCTAGAATTTGTATGTATCTAAATTGAAAAGAAACAAAAAAAATACAATACAAAGGTTAATGAATCATAAACACTCACATACTACAAGACTACCTGGAATTCAACCCCAGCAAGCGGCCCACGGAAGTTCAATGCCTCAAAATCCTGTGTTGAGACAGTGACAGCAAGTGCAGCATTTGCCCACTTAGAAGCACGGCGAGAAAATGACATGCCATTTATGCAGAGTTCCGATGGACTTGTACTAGTAAGAACAACCTGTGGCCACAGATTTAAGCTTCGTCAGTGATACATTCTGGAAATTTTTTTATCAGATGTGATGTTCTCCTGATTCATCTGCCCCACCATACAACCATTTACAGAGGCATAGAAAATAGTAAATTTTGATGCTTCTATTCATGTGAAAACACGTATTTGCCAGTGCAACAAGAACCGAAAATAACATGACTGAGATGTGGCACCTAAAAGAAATGCCGCAAAGTACCAAGTGGAATTTTAGTAGTAGCAAGAACAACATGCATACCTGACCCCCGGGGCACATGCAGAAGGAGTAGCAACTACGACTTTTGGGCTGTGAAAATGAAGATGTTTCCACACCATCTCTACTGACATAATTAACAACCTTGTAATCTGCCACTGGTACTTTCCCACGTCCACTATGAACCTCAGCAGCCAAGTCAGAATACTGTAAATTTGTATAAACTAAGCATAAGTGCAAAAAAGAGAAGAATGCAAATGCACTAACTTTTTACAACATAGTAGAAAAAATCCAATTAGCAGAGCAATTACTCAATAAAACTTTCCCACACAGATAGAAAAGAGATGCAGAGCCAACCTGTATGCTGTTTATTAGTTCTTGGGGATGCTCAATGCGCAAACCAACCTGTTTAACCAAGCAAGTTATAGATGATAGAAACTTCTAAAAAACAGCCACTAGGCTAGCCAACTTTCAGCATTATAATAAAGGAAACATTTTTTGACTGCATATAAATAGAATCAACACAGTGCATGGATACCAAAAATAGAGCCAAAATCAGCAAGTAGATATCATAATGCAATCACTATATTATCAACTAATCAAAATTTTGTTATTAGAACATGGCATTTGATTCACCAAATACGTCATCATTGTATACTCTTTCGTATATATGGCACAACCCAACCCTTGGTTTTCAAGTTTCTAATTCCGAACTTTTGTGAATTGAAATATCTAAATAATAAGAAATTTCCTCCTCTGATTAATTAACACCTTGTTTTTTTGACCTCCTCCTTTCTTTAGTCCGCAGGAGTTCAAAAAGCATTGAAGGTGAGCAGATCAGTAAAGAATCTCTTGAAAATCAGAAGCGATAGAGATTGTTATTTTGGGTCAGAAAATTTTAAAACTTCTACTATCAAGGAGACGAAAAGGTCCTTCAGATTTTGTTCTTACCTCCATCAGATGGTAAGAAATTGCTTGCTTTTGCTTACTTACTACCAGCTCCTAGGTCCCAAGACAAGCATCACCCCTGCCACCAGTTGCATGACTTTTACTTACTGGGGATCACTACCTTGTAATTTGTACATTTTTTTTCCAATATGCTTGCTAACGTTCAACTAAAACATAAACATGGGCGAAGATACAAACCTATATCACCAAAACTACTTGTTTTGCGCATATCTTGAATGTCAAGTTTAATATTAACTGCAGATCTAAAACTATATCCATGGGCTTGCAGATTTTGTTAGCACACTGGTGTATAGTGCAAATAAATCGATGATTGTGCAGGTCCCCCAAACCTCATTTTGGATTTAAGATTATAAGTGGATCCCCAAGTCATGCATGTCAACCATACTATACAACCAGACAGTATAATAACTTAACAACATCTAAAGTTCAGTAGAGTGACTTTGATAACATGCTCTTTTCTAACCAAATTTTTTGGTTTAGCCTCTCCTACACCAAGCTTTTTAAGCCACCTTGTGACATTGTTTTAATGTCCACTATTTGGAGATGACATATTCTGTATTCCTCATAGATCTTTGTGCTAATGACATGCAACCACAATGCCATTGATACTTCAGTAATAAATCAACTATAGAAAAGAAATAGGTTGGTTTGTAAAGAACACCAGCTCACATAAAGCGGAAAAAACCATGGCATGGCCCAATGAAAAAGAATGATAGGCGAAAATATTCCAAACTCACAGCAAAATCTTTTGGGACCAAGTGAATATTATGAGAAAGAAGCATTTGATATACATCACGAGCAGAATGCCCCACTGCCAGAATAACTGCATCATACTGCAACCTCTGCCCATTATGCTGCAGTCTGTCATTTGAGTCGGAAACTTTTATCCCAACGACATGTCCATTCTCTATCATTAGATCATCTACCCTTGTGTCAAACATGGTAGAAACCTAAGGATGTTGGAAAAGCAAGACTCAGAAGGAAATTGAGACACCAATAATAAGTAGTTTAGCATAACCAGGTGAAAAACTCTAAAAAACAAGCATAATCAATAAATAGTTACTGACAGGAAAAAATTGATCATGTAACTTACACCTAGCCTTTGTATATGCTGCCGAAAGTTGCGAAGCAATGGAATCAACTTATCTGTTCCCAAATGAGGCTTCCCATCAACCAAAATATTTTTTGGAGCCCCAAAATGAACTAAAGTTTTCATAACCTAAGATAAAAGCAAATATAAGAAAATAAATAAATTTGAGAATCGACTACAATGACAAAATTGTCATAAAATTGTGTCAAAGTTTGTCTTATTATATCTTTGCTACCCAAAAATGTCCCATCAACCAAAATATTTTTTGGAGCCCCAAAATGAACTAAAGTTTTCATAACCTAAGATAAAAGCAAATATAAGAAAATAAATAAATTTGAGAATCGACTACAATGACAAAATTGTCATAAAATTGTGTCAAAGTTTGTCTTATTATATCTTTGCTAGCCTAAGTAAACTTATTTTCTATATAAAAAAAAAGGATATAGTTAATTCACACTAAAATGCAACACAACGTGCAGGATGTAGCTGATTCATGCTGAAACGGAAGGAAACTGTATCTGGAGATGGTACTGCAACCTTATCTCCATGTGCACTCCTATATAAGCTTCTCAGTAAACAATTAGAATGAACCAACGAATACTCAAGAAGCCATTACAGCACAATAAAAACCTATTCGTTGTTGAAGGAGGACTCAACACTTGTGTCAATTCACGAGCACAAACAAAAACAAAAACAATCATTTCCATAAATGGCTGACTTCTAAGCAGAAAAGGGATTATGTAGTGAAGAAGCCAAAGAGAAAATCGGTAACATTTTAATGGAAAAGGAAAACCATGCATTCATGAAAATATATAATCAGAAAATATAAGAGGAAAAGTTCTCACAGCCAAAACACTGTCACTGTTCTTTCCAATTCTTGTTACTAGCTTTCCATCACTCCATGTACCTGCACCACCCTGCCATGCATAAGTCCTTAATATGACTTGGCAGTGAACAAATATAGAAAAGGTACCAAATGAATAGATAGTGGCTAACAAATAAGTACATGATTTCAATTTAACAAATCAAAATGAGGAAGAAAAGACCACGAAACTATTGAAAAAAAAAAATAGGTGGGAGGTGGTGGAGAATTCCCAGTATCATAATTCATATTCCGAATTTCTAATAATCCATCGGCTTATTAAACAAAGTTTATTCTATAAACAAGCTTATAATATTTGTTCAAATGTACTCCAGAGAATTAGGATAGCATATGTTATATATGCAAGCCCACCACCAAAAGATTTTGGTATCTTGTCATTAGCTTTAGCTACAATGTAACTGTTAGACCAATTTCTAGTGATATACCATTAATTTAAGAAGAAGATCTAAACATGCGGCATGATGATCAAATTTTAAAATGATCTTGCAATGAAGAAATCTAAGAAATTAAAAAATGAAAAGCAACAATAACAGTCAATACTTCTGCTAGTCTCCTAAATTCACTTCACAAAATCAATACTTAAATCACTAATCTGTTCAAGCTAAGAATCACTAACTTTGGCAATGTATTTAGTTCTTAAAATAGTAAAAGTAATTATCCTATACATAAATCAGCCAAAGTCATTTGAACTGCTTAATCAATAAATTGTATGGACTATGGACTCACATATGAGATATTAAAACAACCTTCAATAAGAGTACTAAATGAATCAAGATACAACCTCCCCATAGCAAAAATTGCTTTCCAATTCTAAAATGCGTCGAACCATCAAAGCACCAATATCACGTCCCCTTCGTTCAACAGGTTGACCTCTTTCTATTAAGGTAACATCTGCTCCGAGTTCTGCAAGAACAAGAGATGCAAACAACCCAGATGGGCCACTCCCCACAACTGCAACCTTTGGCCTTCTGGTTGTTGGGTACTTGTATGTGCCTGCAGAGCTGGAACAAATGCTACATCCACTTTCTCTTGACGATTTTTGTTCCTCAACCCTTGTGCAGCCATGTAGTATGCTGATTACATCACCTGAGACTCTTCCTTGAAGTGTATGTTCTACAACTCCAACTTTAGGCTCTAAATCAGAAATGAATTCCTGAGTACGAGGCTCTAGACTAATAAGTTTACTGGCATCCATATCCACAGTATACACAAATTTAGGTTCCTTTAACATCTGAAAAAAAAAAAGAAAAAAAAAAAAAAACCAAATTTTAGGGTTCCTTTAACATCTGAAAAAAAAGAAAAAAAAAACCAAGTGTAACAAATTCATCAGGCAAAGAAAAAAAAAAAAAAAAAAAAAAAAAAAAAAAAAGAAGAAGAAGGAAGAAGAAGAAAACGAAGACCTGTCCAACCCCTACTTTCTTAACAACATCTTCATTTTCCCTATAAGGCAACCATTTATCACGAATTCAGATTTGCCAGATGGCATGAATATTCAGTTTTTACAAAAGTTGGCTTTAAATATATGAAACCAAGCATTTTTCATTACAACTAAAAGCAAAAAAAAAAAAAAAAAAAAAAAAAAAAAAAAAAAAAAAGAAGAAGAAGAAGAAGAAGAAAACGAAGACCATGTCAACCCCTACTTCTTTACAACAATCTTCATTTTCCCCATATAAGCAACCATTTATCACGAATTCAGATTGCCAGATGGCATGAATATTCAGTTTTACAAAAGTTGGCTAAATATATGAAACCACATTTCATTACAACTAAAAGCAAGCATGGAAGAACAAAGCTCTAATTTCCACCAAACTGACCTTTCTGGCATCAAAAGATTTCCTTATAACAGTAAATGCTTCTGGGGGAAGCATTGAAGCAACCTGAAAAAAGTAAAGGAAGAATTAATAAAATACATTTTGATACACCTTAGTTCAACTCTGAAATGTATAAAACTCAAATTGTGAACGTGATTTCAGCTTACTTAAACCCAAGAAAACAAAAACTGAACTATAGAATCACCATAACTCTTAATTCAGCCAAATCATTCCTTCTTTACTAAAAATTCTAACAAACCAGGCAGAAAATGAGAGAAATTACCGGGAACTTAATTGCTTTCGCAATTTCTTGAAGCAACCCGTCAGAGACGCCGAGAAAGTCCTTGCCGGGGTCATTTTCGACAGAAACAGCAAGCTTGGAAAGCCTCCAGATGCCTTCGAACTTGTTCTTCACATCAGAGAGGACTTCTTTATGCTTCAATTTGAGCTTCTTTTTCTCAGATGGATATCTCTTCTTCCCGCTTCGTTTCGTTGCGCAGAGGATTCGAAGTGTTTGGGGACAGTGATTTCGTCTAGGGGAGGGATAGGGAAGAATTGGGGAAGAGAGAGGAAGGATTTTATAATGGAGAAGCGACATTGTGAGAGAAGAACAGAGTACTCCAGATTGAGTTGGTGGTAGATAAGGAACAATGCTAGAAAGAAAACGATGTAAAATGGTAATTATAGCTGGAAGTAAACTTTTATCTTGTCCTTTATACGCAAGGAAACTTTTCTCTTGTTCTACGTACAATAAGGAAACTTTTCACTTTTCCAATCGCTCACCAACGACAGAAGAATTTTCTCTGTCGTCTGCACATAACATGTTTAAACTTTTAAATGAACGGTCGTTTGTTTTTTCCTGTGCCCATGTCGGCTGACTTAACGGGCCAGGATGCTTCAACACAATAGACAATCCAATTGCCCAAGATTTGGGCTTTCATCAAAATGGAAAACTTTTATGGGCCAAGTTACAGTATTCCCCAGTACATCCAAGAGTTATTTTTCTTTTCTTTTAAAAAATCTTGCACATAACGTATATTTTTATATTAGCACACTTTAATTAATAAATTTAAATATTAAATATATTTGATATTTATACATTAAAATTATTAGTAACATTTTTTTTATTTGCTAATAAAATAAAAATATAATTACTGGAAATAGTTACTATTATTAAATGAAAAATTAAAAATATCAATTAAGTAGTTTATGTTAAGAAGGAATAAATAAAATGAAATAGATATATTAATCAGGTAGGTAGCAGGAGAGAAGAAAGTCATCAAACACATAGACCAACCATACAATTATGTTAACCTATATGTTCAGGATCAGAAGTGTATTGTGGTATGAGCACCTCAGTTAAGTTCAAAATGTCACCTCCACAAGCAAGAATTTTTCAGCTTGCACAAGAAACTCTCATTTCCAAATTATAACACATGTGTTTTTATGGTACCAAGAAAATCCAATGTTAAGCACATTAGAGGCTATATAAACTGTGTACAGCTCAACCTACACTCCATGCTGCAGCCACTGCATTTCAAGGATGTCGCTCACCAATTGCCGTTATCTGCATCACGAGTCTGGTAGAAATCGTTTGGCCGCAAAATATTGATATCCTCAAACTCATTTTCATCTAGAAGACAAAAGGAAAGAAACTATTAAACCACAGATTGAAGTCAAGCACACAAAAATATTCAAACGAATTGGAAATAGGTAGTACTAAAATTTTAGTTTCCAATTTCTGTTTTATAAACCAGCTTAAACCACATTAGATATCACAGATTTATAAATTTGGTGCGCATTTTGATTTTGACCCTCAACTTGCTGAAGCAAGAAATGAAAATCCAGGCAGAAGAATGACTATTTCAATCAGAACAATCACTGAAGTACCTTTTAAACATGCATGAACAAAAAGATGCAAGTCATGCACATTGTAATTGAAAATTTTATTAGAAATAAGTAATGTGAATGGAATAGAGACGCAGTCCAAATTGTAATGGACTATAAGTATCAATGAAAAGCCAAGCCTGGTCTTCAAAATAGATAGCAAAATTGAAAAGTAAAATAACAAACCAAAAACTGCAGGGAGCAAGAGGGTGAAGGTAGAAGGCGGGATGAGTGTCGTGATTCATGGAAATTGATATTAATATTCCCAAGCGCTTATGCTAACAAAATAAATTTTACATATTATGACAAAAAATTCGGGAAACTTTGTTTCAACTCCAAAAGTTTTAGCTACCAGTTTCAAAAAGATAAGAAAACAAACAACTGCATGTGATTTCTATTTATTTGGGGCATAACACTTTTGAGCATGGTAACATTCTGGTTTATTAGAATTCATAACACAATCAGCAGCTAGAAAATTACTACTGACTTCTTACAAATTCATGAAGGAACCTGAGAGATGCATTACAATATTCTATTATAACCCTGCTCTCTAATCTGTCCACAAGCTAATTCACCCACTCTCTTCCCATAGAATGAATACCTCCCAACTGAAATCATTATGGATTTCAGTTTAGAAAATGCAATTCATGATGGTTCTATACTCCCGATGGAGATTTAGAAATATAGCTTATTTTCACATTTATAGGTTATCTAACCTGAAAAGACTTGCTCAAAGCATCTCACGTGAGAACTGTAAAGTTCAAAGTGGGTTCCTTTTTAGTTTTCAGTCTTGTTGATTAAGTAATAAAATGGACAATCAAGACCATTTGATCATGGTTCATATAGCCAATAGGAGTAGACATGAAACCAACATATATTAGAAAGCATAGACAAGAGTCAACCTTTTCTCAAAGTTAGTGCCACAACAGCATCATTTTCAACCTGAAAAAAAAGAAATGATGAATTTATTGAAGAATGTCAAAAGAAATTTAAATAATTTATAACCTCAAAATGCCACAACAAAGCCTTTTCCAGTAATGGAGATTTATTTTTTACTGTAAGTACTGGAGTGGTACCTTCTGGTCTGCCAATGACTTTGAATCATCCAACACTTCCCCATTAGGCATTAAGAAGAGTCTCTGATCATTAACTGGCTTATCAATCAGGACATGCAATTTCTGTTTAATCTCCAGAACTTTCTCAGTTGGATCACATTGGATAAAGTAAGTTGCCTTATCTCGCTTAACCCGGATATACATAGCCTATTCAATCATTACTGTACAAGTCAGCTGATAGTATAAAAGAGCAGAAAACAGAACAATAGAATATTTAAAGAATTACAATAAATAGGTAAAGCATAATAAATAACTGTTTCACATGTGGATTTTCTAATCCTCACTTAACTTGTGCCAAGCATTGGTACTGGTTATTAATTAAGCAAGTGAAACTTTGTCAAGCAATTGGATAGGATGTAACAAGAAATAAATACAGCTCAAAAAATCCAGCACAAAGTTTGAAGAATTTACCACTTGTCTGGAATATATAGCACATTTTGTGATATATACAGCTTACTGTTTTAATAGTTCAGCATTTAGAAATATATTGTTTAAGAAAAGCAGCACTATCCTCTAGTTACTCGGAGAACGGAAGAAGAAAATTCTCCTACGCTGGCTTTAGATAAAAGGAAAGTTTCATTTAAAATAAACAAGAATCAATTAGCTCTTGTTTTTTTTTTTTTATAATGATCACCTAACAACAGGCCAATGGACGTCCTATTGAAGAAATAGGCAATCTATACAGCAGTTCATAAAATGTTTATAAATGTGCCTCCTCCATACAAACTTTTTAAGCAACAAAACTTGAAGTCACATCAAGGTTTTCTCGGGCTTCAACTTGGCCCAACGCCAATCACTTTCTTTCCATATAACTTCTTTTCCATTCACTACAACTAAGATAACTAGGAATTTAGTTTCATGGGAAGCCTAGTCCTTTTTTAATTCATATATCAGCACCAATCACTGCCTAAAAAGAATATTGGATGACCACTCAAATAAATGTCCCATGTCCTGAAAGTGATACCTTTAAATAATATTAATCATTTGACGTGATTCTCATTGAGTAAACCAATGGTAAGCTCTCATTCTTCTATTTCCCTCTCTTTGTCCCTCTCTTTTTCTCATAAATCATAAGTAATCTACCTCAACAAAATGTTGTAACCATAGAGTTACTGCTTCATGCATATTCAACATGCCCATCAAAAAATCCTCATTTCTAGCACCATACCCCTTATCCAAGTAAAGCATCTTCCCTCCAGCATTCTTTCCAATTAACTCACAACCAAAGCCAATTTTATTCCACAACTATTAGTAACTCATCTATGATGCAACCTCAATTTTATACCAGTCTCTTCGTTAACCATCAATGGATGAAAACCAAGGATTGTGTAACAAAAAAAAAACTGTTCATAATTGAAATATAGAAATGCATTTTTAAAGCATCAAAATCAAAGGAAACATAAAAAGGGTATACAGATTCACTCACCATTTTTTAGTTGGAAATTAATGAGAAGGAAAGTGAAGAAGTTGCTGAGACGCACCTGCAGAAATGAATAACAGTATAATAATTGCCCAATTTGCAAATACAACGCCCATCAAATATTTTCAAAGTTAAAAGAGTATATGTATAAACAATCGGCGATAATAGAAACGGACCTTATTTCGCCGGACGACGAAAATCGAGGTGATAATTCGTGGGCTCTGTTGCTGAGTGCTGACCTTCGATCTCTGTCACTCCGTCCGTTACTCCTTCAACCCGCAGAGAGGCAGCAGAGTAAAAGACTTTTTGTACAGTTGGCCGCAGTTGGAGCCTTGGTTTCTTTTTATGGTTATTTCATTTGTTTCCGACAAATGCATTTTCATTTTATAAAATTTTTTATTTTTCTTAAAAAAATACATAAATAGATAGATATTTTATTTTATTTTATAGAAATAATCATTTTTTTATTTTTTTCTTCATTAACAGGGTCCAACGACACAATAATAATATTATGAGCTATATAATTGCAGTAGACTTTTTTTAACTTATTAAATTCATAAAATCTTATTGTGGAAAGAATTTAAATTTAACATTAGAATCTCAATCATACCACATTATTTTGTATTTTTTTTATTTTTGATGTTTGGATTTAATTAATTTTTTAGTTTAATATTTTAATATCATTTTTATCAAAATATTTAAAAAAATATTTTTTCAATTAAATATATTTCATTATAAATTTTTCATAAACATTTTAAATATATTATTTTACTTAGTATTCATATTTACTTATTCACCTTCTTTTTTAGAGTTAACAAAAAATTACAAAAAATACCCTGGTATATTGATATGCACCTTTATCAAAATTCAAAAGAGATTTGTATTTTTTTTTTTTTTTTTAAAACATGGAAGTTAATTATAAAATGTAAAATAAAAGCTATATGATGATTTTTATAAATTAAGTTGGTACTTAAACAAAAAAATAAAAACAAACAATGTATAATAAAAACTATATGAACAAGTATGTTGAAGATAATATAAATGACATTTTCATTTTTTTTTTTTTTTGTCAAACAAATACTTCTTTCAATAAAATTTATTTTGCATAAAATATCAATTAAGAAATATTTTTACTTAATATTTAAGACATTAAAGTTATTTTTCCTAAAAGCACATTTTTATATAGAAAATTACTTTTGTAGGAAGAAGATAAACTTTCATAAAAGTGATTATATGAATATTGGAATACTTTGTTTAAGTGACAATAAAAATTTTGTTTCAAATCAATATTAATTGAACTGAAATATCCCGAATTTTTATTTTCAAAACTTAGGAAATTTTATTAAATCAAAAATCTGAATTTTTGATAGTATGGGTTGTAAAGATCGAGCAATTCTAATTTGAGGCAATTCTAATTTGAGCCCAAAGTTTTATGAGTTGGGCCCAAGCCCAAACAAAATGTCGAAAATTTCGAATCGTAAACAGTTAAAGTTTTCGAGAAATAATATAAAATCCCAGCGATTAATATATATATATTTACCCTAAAAACAAATCTCCTTTACTATTATTAGTTTATTTTTTATTTTTATATTTTAATTTTGTTAAGGAGGAAATGTTTTACAGATACTTAATTAAAATAGATCAATGAATTGGAACCGGATTCCAGAAATCAAATTGATTTTTTCAAAAACCACAAGAATAATTTGGAAAACCGATTGAAAAAAGCCGGGAAAACCAATCGAAAATCAAAGATTTGGGTCGAATCGAACCGGTAATCGAACCGGTTCTGCCAAACGCATTTAGAAATTCCCTTTCTTTTTTTTTATCTCAGCGCTGCAAGCCTCTACTCTCAGCATCAAGCACGCGGCCTCCTCTCTTCTTCTTTGGGGGTCTTCTCTTCTTTCCTTCTTCTTTCTTTTCTTTGATCGACCAGCCGAGAGCCACAACACGCATCGCCTTCCCTTGCCACTGTCAGTCGGATCCGACCACTTCCGGCGTGCGTAGCTCCGATCCGACACGAGCAAATTTCCGATCTAGCAAAAAATTCGACAAAAAAAAAAAAATTATATTTGGGGTATAAATTAATTTAACTACATTTTCGTTAATTTAATTTTATTAATGATAGTTAATTAAATCTAGTCATTTTAGTTAGTTTAATTCTAATAATTTTAGTTGATTAACTTGATTTTAGTAATTGGTTTTAGTAATCTTGAGTAATTAATTTAATTTATCAATTTTGATTAGTTAAATTAATTTAATTTGGCTAGATCTACTGATTAGTTTAATTACTTGATTAATAAAAATAATAGTTAGTTAAAATTAAATTCAGTATTAAAAATATTAGTTAGTAATTTTAGTTAATTTAGGTTAGTTTAAATGAATTCAAAATAGTTATTGTTTAATTTAATATGAAGTAATTATTGATTAAATTAAAAATGGATAGTTTAGCTAAAATAAATTCCGTATTAATATTTATTAGGAAATTTTGGTAATAATAAAATTTATGGAATTTAAGTGTAGATTGAAGGTAGATTATATTGTATGTAATTTTAATTTATAAATTATGGATGTAGGGGGTGATGTTAAGGTTGAATGTAGTGTTGATATTGTTATTCGGATGGAGGATGAGAAAAATTGAATTGATTGATTGCCCGATGGATGGGCCGTGTGGTTTGGAATTATTAATATATTGTTGATATTTTAACAGGTAAATAGTTCAATTTTTAGGGGAGATGTTGCCGAAATTTCGGTAGAAAATAAAATAAATTTCAGTAGAAAATAAAAATAAATTTCGGTAGAAAAATAAAATAATAATTCTATAACTTAATAAATATTAAATAGAGTGCTCTAATTATTTAATTATTTCCATTATTATTCATTGAATAATTCAATTTATTGTATTTATTTCCATTATTATAATTTATTTTAATTGTTTGTTTATTCTTACATTATTTGTTATTTAATTTAATTTTGCACTTGGAGAAATGGTGTCTAGTTGTGCCATTTATTACGTTGTCATGGCCCGCACAACCTGGTTAGTATTGCCGCTTTGGCCACGCAGGCCCGCACGGCTTTTTGTCCCTTGGGCCAGGCTTTTCAAACCCACCCCAAAAGGCGCTAAGCCATTAGTGGTCCACCTGGTAGGCCTGCCTTACTTTAGTATTGTCCGCTTTTTGAGGGTATCCCCAGAGTGACCTCTCACGGATTTGTCCTCTTTGGAGAGTATCCCCAGAGTGACTCCAAGAGGCGCCTTTTGGGGTGGGTTGAAAAGCCTGGCCCAAGGGACAAAGCCGTGGCGGGCCTGCGTGGCCCAAAGCGGAACATACTACCAGGTGTGGGCCATGACAATTGGTATCAGAGCCCGAAGCCTCGTTCCTCCTGGTCCGGTGGGTGGGCAAACCTCAAGACGTGGGCGTTGAGTCCCTTAAAGGGGGGGTTGAGCGGTGGCTGGTTCCACTCTGGGGATAACCAGTGCACTCACTTAGGCCGAATCCCCCAACATCCCGGCTACGCACGAAGGGAAGGAAGTGATGTACCATAAGAAGGGGTGGGTTTCCTTCACTTGTTAGCGCGCCTTTTGGGGTGGGGTTGAAGCCTGGCCCAAAGGGGACAAAGCGTGCGGGCCTGCGTGGCCCAAAGCCGGACAATACTAACCAGGTGTGGGCCATGACAATTGGGTAATCAAAAGCCGAAGCCTCGTCCCTCTGGTCCGGTGGTGGGGCAAACCTCAACGTGGGCGTTGTTGTCCGCTTAGGGGGGTGAGCGGTGGCTGTCACTCTGGGATACGCAGTGCCTCACCTTAGGCGAAATCCCCCCCACATCGGCTACGCAACGGAGGAAGTGATGTACATAAGAGGGGGTTGGTTTTCTCACTTGGTTAGCGCGCTTTTGGGGTGGGTTTTGAAAAGCCTGGCCGAAGGGACAAAGCCGTGCGGGCCTGCGTGCCCAAGCGGAACAATACTAAACAGGTGTGGGCCATGACAATTGGTATCAGAGCCAAGCCCTTCCGTCCTCTGGTCCGGTTTTGGTGGGGCAAACTCACGTGGGCGTTGAGTCCCTTAGGGGGGGTGAGCCGGTGGCTGGTCAATCTGGGATACCAGTGCACTCACTTAAGGCGAATCGCCACATCGGCTACGCACGAGGGAGGAAAGTGAATGTACATAAAGAGGGGTGGTTTCCCTCACTTGAGTTAGCGCGCTTTGGGGTGGTTGAACCAGCCTGGCCCAAGGGACAAAGCGTGCGGGCCTGCGTGGCCGCAAAACGCGGACAATACTACCCGGTGTGCGGCATGACAATTGGTATCAGAGCCGAAGCCTCGTCCCTCTGGTCCCGGTGGTGGGGCAAACCCTCAACGTGGGGCGTTGAGTCCCCTTAGGGGGGTGAGCGGTGGCTGTCACATCTGGGGATTACCAGTGCACTACCTTAGGCGAATCCACATCGGCTACGCACGAGGAGAAGTGATTACATAAAGAGGGGTTGGTTTCTCACTTGGTTAGCGCGCTTTTTGGGGTGGGTTGAAAGCCTGGCCCAAGGGACAAAGCCCGTGCGGGCCTGCGTGGCCCAAAGCGGACAACTACTAACCAGGTGTGGGGCCATGACATACGTTGTCCAACTGATCAATATGTCTGCACTTGAATTGCAATGTTTGATTTATGTTTGTTGTGTTTTAATGCTCTGCTTTGTTTGTGTGGAGTTGGGATGAGTGGGTCACCATGGGTTTGTGAGACTGTTTCTGTTATAGGATCCTGGATTCTTAATTTCTTTTATATTTCTGATTCTGTTATATGGATCCTGATTCTGTTTCTGTTAAGCCGGGTAAATGGAGATCGGCGCTCACCGTGTGGCACCTACTGTTACCGTTACTATTTAACCACAGGTTGGCTTCTTTATTGGGCGCCACCGGATAATCTAGATTTTTGATCGCAGCCCGCAGGGTGGCCTCCTGTTGTGAGCGCTTGATGATCTAGATTTGATGGAGACGACCGGGTGCCTCCTGTTGGTATGAAAAAAAGAAAAGAGAGGATAGAAAAACAATGAGAGGGCTGGTCCAAGTAGGATTAGACCGGTCGGCAGTATGGGGGATCGGCTCCTGGTGCACAATGTGAGAGGAATGAGCCATGGGTGGGAGGACGGCTCATCGGGGGTTGGTGACTCACTGACTAAATTTCACGTGATGTGATTATATGAGATGTTAAATGATTGTGAGTGCTGGTGACATGTCATTTTGTGTAACTGGCTGCGTGAGCAATATAACTAGTCCGGATGAGCTAATTGAATATATTTACACATATGTGTGAATGGTGTGTGTTGTGCAATAATAGTTACTCCTTAAGAAGCTCACATA